CAGGCGGAAACCAAGCTGGGTCAACACCCAGCAACAATAACAAAGACATCACAATGCAAATCGACACAACAGATACAACTCATCCTAGAGATGCCGATACCATTGTTGTCAGTCAATGTTAGGTACATCAAATGGAACACATCGACACGGGCATCTAGTCATCCATTCTGTGAATACAGCAGGAGGACAAAAGAGTGCAGGCCCTACAGAGTTAACCATCAACCTGGCTGACTACAAAGGAGAACAAGCAGACATCATTCTGATGCAAGAGCCCTGGGTTGGCATACCACCAGGCAGGAGAATAAGAGTAAAGACACACCCCAATTACGATATATACTCCCCAGTGGATTCCTGGGACAGCGACAGTACACAGCCCATATCTCTTATTTATATGAAAAAATACCTTTAAGCGGATCAATTTTGGCCCTATGCTACACGAGACATCACCTGGGTCAAGGTACAAGGCATTACATTTGCCAGTGTCTACCGGCCATGTGACAACCCATAGGAAGTGGATGATATTCTGGAAGTATGGACTCCACCTTTTGGCTGCGTTATAGCTGGAGATTTTAATGCTGGCGACACATCCTGGGACTCGAGCAATCCAGGATATCATGGTGGCGTCATACTGGCACAGACTATGACAGACCACGGACTAGATCTGATTTCTGAACCAGATGTCCCAACACATGACGATGGAAATGTACTGGATCTGGTGTTCTCAGATGTCCCTATGGCCGAAGCCTCAGTGAATGATGCACTCCAGTGCACTTCAGATCATGAGACATTACGAATAGTCATTCCAATTCAGGGAGATCTAGACCGAGTCCCCAAGGCCAATCATTGGATAGTACCAGACAATAAACTATAAGAGCTGGCAAATAATTTCCAAACCAGGATTCATGAACTCCCCCGGCTGGGTGTATCCCCTGGCCAGGTGGATGCCTTTACATAAAGCTTGATCAATATGATCCAAGGCTGTATCAGGACAGTGGGCAAGAGGCCCCGTCAATCTAGGCCCACTGCTTGGTGGAATGATGACTGCAAAGCAGCTGTTCAGACATACAGGGCCCTTTCTAAACAGACTACAAGCTAAGAAGGGCGGAATTCAGCCCGACGGGAATTTTGCCACGTGGTTCAGAAAGCTAGGAGAGAGTACTGACAGAATCTAATTGATTCAGCAATTGAGCCAAAGGACCTATACAGAATCGTCTCTTGGCACAAGCTATCAGCAGGATTGCGCTCCCCTCCAATCATCATAGGAGACCAAATATTCGAGTCACAAGAGAGCAAGGCAAATGCATTACGCTCAGCCACGCTTGAACGAAGTACCTCAGACAACAATATCATCGACCCCTGGTCCGCTCAGATCATACAACCCAAGCCACACATCCCCCTTGAATACCACGTCGGACTGGAAGAGGCTGAAGGGTGCACTTTAGGAACCAAGAGCAACTCCCCGGGAGTAGATACCCTCACAGTACGGATTCTGAAAGCTTGCTGGCCAGTCATTGGTGAACATATCAGAGCCCTTTTCCAGACCTGCCTACTGATTGGACACCACCCTAAACCATTCAAAGTAGCTGAGGTGGTGATGATCCCAAAACCAGGAAAGAAAGACTACTCCAATCCCAGGGCCTACAGACCAATATCGCTACTGTCATGTCTTGGCAAGGGCCTAGAACGACTCATTGCGAAAAGAATTACCTGGTTTGTTGTCAAACTTGGAATTCTAGCCCCACAACATTTTGGAGCTCTACCAAAGCGCTCTGCCACTGACCTGGTAGCTGCACTCATACACGATATTGAGCAGGCCCTTGACCAAGGCCTTGTTGCAACGGTAGTCACATCAGATGTGAAAGGGGCCTTTGATGCTGCCCTAATGGGACGGCTGGTGGTTCGCATGAGAGAACAGGGCTGGCCAGGCTTTCTCATAAGATGGGTCCAGTCGTTCATGTCCGAGCGGTCCGCAAGAGTTCGGTTTGAAGGTACTGTGACCGATATAAAAGCTCTCACTTGTGGGCTCCCACAAGGCTCACCAGTCTCTCCAATCCTCTACATGCTGTATACAGCGCCAATCTGTGCCCGACTTGGCATGAAAAGAAGACGCTTTGGATATACAGATAACCTAGCAACACTCTGCATTGGAAAGAACCTTAAAAAAATAGCTACAGAGGCTTCTGAAAACCTTCATTTACTCAACCAATGGGGACATAACAATGCTATTGAATTTGATCCCAACAAAACCGAGATCATGCACTTCTCACAGAAAAAGAACTCAAACAATCCCCCAGTTTGCCACAGAACAATGAACAAAACAGCTAAGCATTCCATGCGATGGCTAGGTGTCCTTCTGGATAGGAAACTAAACTTCAAAGACCATGTTTCTCACTGGGCCAAGAAAGCTAGTAGGGTAGCAAATCACCTTCGAGGACTATGCAACACAGTCAAAGGACTTCTAGTAAAGTCAACCAAGAGGGCTGTGAAAGCTTGTGTTATTCCTATTCTCACATATGGCCTGGAGGCCTGGTACCCAGGAATCGAGAAAGCTGGGAGCTTAGGTGAGACATCAGCATGTCGCATTAAGGGGCTTCTTGGAACAATAGATGCCGTACTACGAACGGCGATCAGGGCTATCTTGCCAGTCTGGAAAACACACCCTGGACATATCTTACACTTTGAATCACAGATTCCCCCAGCAGGAGTTCTTGCAGAGTCAATAAGACGACGTCACGGCCTCTGATTAGGACGAATAGATCAGAGACACCCTCTGGTTGGCAGGCTCCAAATACAAGCTCGCAAGGATCCAACAAGGCTACAAAGGAGCTTCCAGCTAGTCCCTGACTTCCAGAGACCAACACTTACCAGGCCATTATAAAAGGAGGCCCTAATCCGCAAAGACAAAGACAAAAAAATAGAGCTCTTTAAGCAATGGCTATAAGAGAGAAATGTGAACACTGACCTTGTTATCTATTCAGATGGATCACAATTGGACGACCAAGGCACAACCCGCACTGGATGGGGTTATACCATCAGGAAAGGCGGCACTACACAAGAAGTATACCGGGGAAGGGGCAGACTTCTACAAGCAGAAGTAGTAGATGCTGAAGTCCATGGTGCTCTCCAAGGTCTTGCAACAGCCAGGGTAATTGGACACGGAAAACAGCTATATGTCTGCCTGGACAACACGTCAGTAGTAGATGGGCTCAATGGGACTCCACCCGAGACATCACAAAACATTTTTCTACGATTTCAAGAACTTGCCACAGCACACACTCCTGGAGTGACCGTCAAATGGATTCCTGGACACAGAGATATTGATGGCAACAAAGCTGCCGACACACTAGCAAAAGAGGATACCATGCTGGAAACAGACACAACAAATCTTCCTACAATCTCTTGGGTCAAGAGAGATCTCAAAAGACAGGGCAAGAAAGAGTTCAACCAATGGTGGAAAGACCAATCAGAATCTAGGTATCAAGAAGTATACTCACATGCAGTAACTGAAAGAGACCTTATATCTTTTAAGAGGAGTACTTTACACAGACTTCTAGCGGCCAGATCTGGACATGGCGACTTTGCCAGATACCATGAACGCTTTGGGCACACAGACTCAAATGATCACTGCAGCTATGGTGAGAAGAAAACACCACAACACATTTTCTTTTGTAAGAGGCTGGGGAAAAATCGGCTACTGCCTAGGCATTCGCCTAGGGCAGCTTGTTTATAATACTTAGGGGAGAGGAGCACAGAATGGGCAAAATTCGTGGAGAAGAGCAAGTTCTTTTCAACAATCTGCCCCTGATAGATAGCCTTCCTTGAAGGACCAGATGGATGACCCCAAGGTCATACCGCCGCAACAACGGGGATGGGCCCGTGAGCGGGACTGACTGTACTTATTATCTTGAGACCTCCACAACCCTGCGATGCAGAGGCTCTGGGAGGCGTGGTTTGTACTACTGAGGAGCTACCCCCACGTTAAATACAAAACAAACAAACATCGAGCTTCTAGTGGCGCTATGAACGACAATCTGCGTATAATCCATTCTACACCAGTCCAGGAACGTCACATGAGTCCATCATCGGAAAGGTAACTTAACTGCTAGGGACATGACATGTGTTAGATACGAGTAGAGCCCGACAAGCCTGATAAGAAGTGGCAGTTCGCTATATTACAGGGTAACGGCATTGAAAGTTTCAGACCTTGCAACAAGGAAAACCATTATCAACTAGCAGACTCAATTAGTAGATACGGTATTAAAAGGAAAGGTAGCGAGTTACTATGGTTATCATCTGTGTGTTATTTGTACTTTCTGACAGCCTCCTCACTCCTGAAAAGTGACAACTTTGAGATGCCAATTTTTTGTACCCTTCTCTGTCTTGCTGATCTCAGGAATTTTGTCACACCTTTTTCATCACACTCGGGGACTTTGCCTGCGTTGGGAAGAAGAAACTTGTCTTTATTGAGCAGCATGCTAACACAGACTCTACTGGCCCCTCATCCACAGCCGATCCCGTGGTGTAGCACGAGTCGATACCGTGGGAAGCAAAAAGGCGAGACTCTCTTGACCGATGCAGCTCAAGACACGCGAGATGAGAGCGCGACTTGGGCCAATGCAAGGCGGGATGAAATGGCGTACATCAATGCAACTCAAGACATACTCGATGAGAATGTGACTTTGAGAAAATGCAAAGGCGGACAGGATGGTGAAAGGTACTGCTTGCGGCCAGGAAGATGCGCGGCGGAGAGAGGAGTCGACTGTGCTTTCCATCACAATTACCCATGCGCCGGGTCGCACAATGGCCGGAGAGACTCCCGCTTCTCCTCCTTGTCCATTTCCCGGAACCGCGCGTATGGAAATTCTCGATCAGAAGGTTAAACCTCTCGGAGTACTGATGATACGAGCAGTCGAGGGGGTCTGTATGTGTGTGTGCGAGAGTTGATTATCTAGCTAAGTAGGTGAGGGCTGCGAGTATTTATGGGCACCTGTATCAACTGATCAGGTCCGAGATCGCTGAGAAGCTCGCAGCTTCTCGTCAAGGTACGTGACAGTACCTGACAGCTTCTCCTCCAGGGTCGTGAGGCGCGCCACCTCGGCCGCGTACTGGGAGAGTCTGGCCTCGTCCTTCTCCTTCTCCTTCTCCTTCTCTGCATCATGGCGAGCTCGAGCCGCCGCAAGCGCAGGTTCTTTCGCTCCCATGGCAGTACGCGCCAGATCGACAGCCATCTTCCCGTCGTTGTTCTTCACGTCCACCTCGATGCCGCTCTCAAGGAGGACCTCACAATAATAGCGATTTCCGCCCTTGGCGGCCCAGTGCAACGCCGTGTCACCCTCGCTCTGCTTGAAGTTGATGAACGACTTGATCAGGTCCGGTCGGTAGGCGTGGAAGTGGGACAAGATTCGGTCAAGCATGGCTGGTTTCATGGTCAGCAGCATGTGTTACGAGTGTAGTATAAAACCAACGTTGACCTACCGACATGGCCTCGCTTGGCTGCATAATGAACCATCGTCGAGCCGGCTTCATCGCGAATGGACATGCAGACAACGGGGATAGACTGCTGCTCTCGGATGGCTAACCCCTCTAGCATGGACTCCACCTGGGGGGCATTGTCCGTGAAGGCGAACAGGAGAACATCACGAACCTCTCCGATCTCGATCTGAGGTGTTGCCATTGTGGCGAATCAGTTGTGAACTGCTCAAATTGGTCAGTGATGCTCTTTTTCTCAGCTTCATACAGATATTGATTAACGACATACTGTGAACCAAGTTGCTGCTGCGAAGGTTGAGCCTAGTTGTTGCTGCGAAAGTTGAAGGGGTGCATTGAAAGGCAGAAGCAGATATGTATGAGTGTGGGATGTTTGGTAAGATATTCTGGTCTAGCATAAGGGAAGCGAAGGGCGTATTTTATCCTCAGAGACAGGAGAAAGTCGACAATGGGCACCCTATTGTGGATGCCTCATCCATTGTGTGAACCAGCTATATCGCGAACATAATGGCTGCACCTGAATGGAGCTTAGAACAAGGGTGTTTAAAGCATTGACAACTGAAGTTGTCCTAAGATTGGATATACTGTATATGATTGATGCGCAAAACACATTGTTTAAGGACAGTGAGTGTGGAGCGATGTTCACAGCGAGGACCCTGAGCATGAACCAACGCTTCCACGTTTATAGTTATGAGTGAATGTAATCACATTTCGATTGATCTTCCAACAAGCCTTGAATCAGTCATGGCTGATGCAATGGATGGTAGGGAGCTGTGCATTCTACAATTTAGTAGCGGAAATGGTGGCAATATATACACCTCGCAACCACACGCCCGTTGTCCCTTGCTGCTCACCACCCGGTCTAACAACACACCGATGATCGCGGACACAGCACGTAAACTTGCAGTCGGAGTCTTATTGCATCATCAGACCATTTATACTTTTCATGTTTGGCAAAGCGCAACTTCTTGTTGACAAGTTCAAGGGAGCAATCAACCGGATAATCACTGCATTTCTGATGCGATATCCCTATTTCCGCCGATAGATTGAGAGGAGCCGTTGTCACAGGTGCAAATGAGTCATGGCGGACAGGACTACTTAACTCAGATGACCATCTAACATATATTGAAGCAAGATGTGGATTGTTACGGCGGTAAATGATAGCCCTGTAACCCTAGGGGTATATATACCAGATTATGTCACGTAGCTAGCTTCATTGTTTCTTTCTTTTCTACGTATTAACAAACTCATTTCTAGAGTTGCTAGCAGTTTTGTTGTGACAGTTTGATGTATAACCTTTTACTCCAACACAGGTAACACTGTTCCGGAGATCCTTTGATTCCTCCTTCATCCCGCTTCGACCCCGATCCTATTCCGACACCACTCCCTTGAGCGCATTGGCTCGGGAATATTGCCTCCACGCCTTCACGGCACCTCCCACGACACCCTCGGCTACACCTCGATATCAGCATGTCTGAAAACCTCATCAACGCCGGAGACATCCCGGTTCCGGACCAAGCCGCCGCTCTGATGGTGTTGACCTGTGGTTACACCAGAGTCACCTCGATCAGATGCACCAAGTATAATGGAGGCCACGGGGAGTTCGCGCCTGTATGTTCTGCCCGAGTACCTGTGCGGGAAACGAAATGCTAACGAATCGGTGGTAAGACGATGCAGCTAATAGAGGGGGATGCCGCCGATATGGCAAAGGTGGTTGAATGGGCACCGCTACTACTGCGAAGTCCTGCTTGAGAACGGCATAGAGGTCGATGAGAAGAATAACACGGGCAGGAACGCAGTCGACATTGCCCGAACAGCGCTCACCGATACCAATGACAAGCTCGCGGAGGTCCGGGCCCGCTGTGATACGGAAAACAACAAGGACAAGAAAGACGAAGCGAGAATCAGCCAACTCGCTTTTGAGATAGCGAGTGGAGGAGATGAAGGGAAAATTGGAGAGCACGATCTCATACCTGGAGGGAAAGCTTCGTGCTGCCCAGCAAGCAGCCCAGGCAGCCCAAGCTTGCAGACGTTCATAGCTGAGTATCTGGTAGGAGTGACGGAAGCGCTGTGCAATAGCTACTAAGGTATTAGATTATAAGTAGTTAGCCACATTATTTCAGATGTGGTCGTTATCTGCCTCGATCTTATATCCCAGGGTCCAATAAAGCAGATCATGCCACAATCTAAAAGTCTGTTTGCTGTTAACAAACACTGAATAGAATATCCTATAGGGACCAAGAGCAACACCCCGGGAGTAGACACCCTCACAGTACGGATTCTGAAAGCTTGCTGGCCAGTCATTGGGGAACATATCAGAGCCCTTTTCCAGACCTGCCTACAGATTGGACACCACTCTAAACCATTCAAAGTAGCTGAGGTGGTGATGATCCCAAAACCAGGCAAGAAAGACTATTCCAATCCCAGGGCCTACAGACCAATATCGCTATTATCATGTCTTGGCAAAGGCCTTAAACAACTTATTACAAAAAGAATTACCTGTTTGTTGTTAAACTTGGAATTCTAGCTCCACAACATTTTGGAGCTCTATCAAAGCGCTCTGCCACTGACCTGGTAGCTGCACTCATACACGATATTGAGCAGGCCCTCGACCAAGGCCTCGTTGCAACGGTAGTCACGTCAGATGTGAAAGGGGCCTTTGATGCTGCCCTAATGGGACGGCTGGTGGTTCGCATGAGAGAACAGGGCTGGCCGGGCTTTCTTGTAAGATGGATCCAGTCATTCATGTCCGAGCGGTCCGCAAGGGTTCAGTTTGAAGGTATTGTGACCAATATAAAAGCCCTCACTTGTGGGCTACTATAAGGCTCACCACCAGCCTCTCTAATCCTTTATATGCTGTATACAGTGCCAATTTATGCCCGACTCGGTATGAAAAGGAGACGCTTTAGATACGCAGACAACCTAATGATTCTCTGTATTAGAAAGAACTTTAAAGAAATAGCCATAAAAGCTTCTAAAAATTTTATTTATTTAATTAATAAGGACATAATAACATTATTAAATTTGATCCCAATAAAACCAAGATCATGTACTTTTTATGAAAAAAGAACTCAGACAATCCTCCAGTCCGTCAAGAAATAATAAACAAAATAACAAAAGACTCCATGCAATGGCTAGATGTCCTCCTAGATAGAAAACTAAACTTCAAAAATCATGTTTCCTACTGGGCCAAGAAAGTTAGTAAGGTAATAAATCACCTTTGAGGACTATGCAACATAGTCAAAGGACTTCCAGTAAAGTTAACTAAGAGGGCTGTGAAAGCTTGTGTTATTCCTATTCTTACACACGGCCTGGAGGCCTGGTACTCAGGAATCAAGAAAGTTGGGAGCTTAGGTAGGACATTAGCATGTCGCATTAAGGGGCTTCTTGAAACAATAGATGCTGTATTACGAACAGCGATCAGGGCTATCTTGCCGGTCTGGAAAACACATCCTGGACATATCCTATACTTTGAATCACAGATTCCCCCAGCAGGAGTTCTTACAGAGTCAATAAGACGATATTACGGCCTCTGACTAGGACAAATAGATCAGAGATACCCTCTTGTTGACAGGCTCCAAACATAAGCTCGCAAGGAACCAATAAGGCTATAAAGAAACTTCCAGCTAGTCCCTGACTTCCAGAGATAAACACTCACCAAGCCATCATGAAAGAAGCCCCCAGTCCGTAAGGATAAAGACAAAAAAATAGAGCTCTTTAAACAATGGTTACGGGAGAGAAATGTGAACACTGACCTTGTCATCTATTCAGATGGATCACAGTTGGACGACCAAGGCACAACCCGCACTGGATGGGGTTATACCATCAGAAAAGGCGGCACTACACAAGAAGTATATCGGGAAAAAGACAGACTTCTTCAAACAGAAGTAATAGATGCTGAAGTCCATAGCGCTCTCCAAGGTCTCAAAACAGTCAGGACAATTGAACGCAGAAAATGGCTATATGTCTGCCTGGACAGCACGTCAGTGATAGATGCAACAAACCTTCCCATAATCTCTTGGGTTAAGAGAGATCTCAAAAGGAAGAGTAAGAGAGAATTCGATCAATAATAAAAAGATCAATCAGAATCTAGGTATCAAGAAGTATACTCATATATAGTAACTAAAAGAGACCTTATATCTTTCGAAAGGAGCACTCTACACAGACTTTTAGCGGCCAGATCTGGACATGGCGACTTTGCTAGATATCACGAATGTTTTGGGCATACAGACTCGAATGACTACTACAGCTGCGATAAAAAAAAAACACCACAACACATTTTCTTTTGTAAGAGGCTTGGGAAAAACTGACCACTGCCCAAGTACTCGCCTAGGACAGCCTATTTACAATACTTAGGGGAGAGGAGCACAGAATGGGCAAGATTTATTGAGAAGAGCAAGTTCTTTTCATTAATCTGCCCCTGATAGATAGCTTTTCTTAAAGGACCAGATAGATGACCCTAAAGTCATACAGCTACAACAACGGGGATGGGCTCGTGAGCGGGACTGACTGTACTTATTATCTTGATACCTCCACAACCCTGCGATACAGAGGCTCTGGGAGGCGTGGTTTGCACTACTGAGGAGCGATCCCCCACGTTAAATACAATCAATCAATCAATCAATCAATCAATCACTGAATAGACTATCTTTAAAAAAACGCTATTTTATCCATACCGCTGTCACTGCGTTCCGGTTTTTGCCGTCAACTACTCTTATTCGTCTTTTACCACGAACGCCAGTCCTCATAATCTTCCACACAGCCGAAGCCCTCCAACTTTTTGTGAAGCTTTTTACATTTCTTCGCCAACTTCTTCTTAAGCTTCAGTTTCTTCTTCTCTACATCATTGAGCCGTACGCCACTCGATGTAATGATAGCCCGGGTCGCGGCCGCCGGCCACTGCCAGGTCAGACTCGCGTTGGGCTGGAGGCGTAGGTTGACCGCCGGTTTCCAGCTGACCCACCTGCTTCAAGAGGAAAGGCCACTCCCCGAGTACCGTGCTTAGCTTCACACCACTGGGTGCCCATTGTCGACTTTTCTCCTGTCTCTGAGAATAAAATCTCACCATTTGCTTCCCTTTTGCTCGACCAGAATATCTTACCAAACAGTACATACTCTTACATCTTTGCATCCGCCTTTGCATACGCCCTTCAACCAACAGGTCTCGGGAGCCCAGATGGGGAGTCGGTGCTCGTCTTCGAACAAGGCCGTGTTCCTAGTGAACTTGCAAGCGGTCTTGTGGTGAGGCCAATGAGCCTTCTGACATTGCTTGGTGCAGTACTTCACGAGGGTTAGCAATACGCTCCCAATAATTCGTACACGACAAAAACAGTAACGCATTACAAGCCGGCAGCCTGTGCACACAAGCTTGCTGGGCTCGCTGCAGTCGGTCTTCTAGTTTGCACAAGTCTGCCCGGTGATGACCACTGGGGAAGCCAAATTTGGGCGCCTGGCACGTTCAGAAGAAGACACAGTCTTCTGTATGGAGAAGACGGGCGATCCTGTCACATGGTAAGATGTGTGAGGAAGGAAGGGGAGGCACTGCAACCCAGTTGAAAATGATAGCTGGCCGGCCATTGCAGTGCAGCGGTATACAATGATCCGCGTGGACAGGCATATGAGTGTGTGAGGATAGTGAGAAGAAGTTGCAGAGATGAATGCCCGACGTCTTCAAGAGCAACGAGGGCAGTCAAGGAGGAAGGAGACAGCTCACACCCGGACGTCCTCAGCAGCGCCAATCAGGCACCCACGCGTCAAACACAAACGAGGAAGACGTGCCCATTATCAACCACTTTCTTGCGTTCTTGCCCATCGTCTACTTCCCACATCAGAAACAGATTTGCGCCTTCCTTGTTGCCTTTGTCCTGGCAAAATGACTTATCAGATTCCAGGGGTGATTGGCCAAGCCCCTTAATGACAGAGCCATCCCAGGAACAGTCTGCAACGCTGTGCCTCGGGCCAGGACTACCTTACCTCGTAGGTATGCATGCCTTGCATATCATTCTGACGTAAGCGAAACACACATGAGCTTGAGCGCTACGTTGGGAAAGGCGTTGTGATGAAGCCGTTGCAACACAATTGCTATGTCACGTTAACCGTGCCTTCAAACGGTTGTTAAACGGGTACATACAGAACCTGAACGTGGCATCTCGCGTCCGGTGCGGTGCAACATGTACCTAGGTATCTACATATGCAACTTAACCATCAAATCCGTCATACAGCTCGTCATCACCTCACTGTCTCGCCGTCTCCGTAGTATCGGTCAGGCATGTCGACCTCCCACAACGGCCGCTCAATCAGCGCCACTTCCAGTGACTTTTGTGACGTTCCATTCAAAGCAAGAGTCTTGCCGTCCCCTTCGCCCTGGTCCTCTAACCCGGAATCGAGGGGGACGATCCCTAAGATCGGTCGATATTTGTAGGTATGCCAAAAAGCGACGCCACGACCAGGGACTGATTCAGACGGTGGTTTGCCTTGAGCACCTCGGAGAAGTGCCAGCTCCCCCTGACGTTCATCATCCGAGTCTTCGCTCTCACTCTCTTCCGGAGCTTGACTGGTCTCGTCTTCCTCCATGGGATCGAATACGGGGCCGTCAAGAGAGAACTCTTCAGCGGCTTGACCTTGTACATGACGTGTGACCTTCGTTGGCCCGACCGCACCCTTTTCCATTTTGCTACCAGCACCGCTGTCGGGCCCTCTCTTCCGCTTTCTCCCTTGCCTCGCCAGCTCCATGCCCGCTGAGGGACCAGTGGTGGCTGGCTCGACCAAATCTTGCGCCATGTCGAACATGAAGAGGAATGTGTTGCCGTACAACCAGACCCGATCGCCTGACCAAATTGCCCCCTTCACAAGGTCACGTGTGTCTCGAAATTCAACCGGGAACCTCGATATCGGATTCCGCCTGGACCACGGGCTGATGGAGCCAAGGCTGGGGTGAACTAGTAGTATCTGCGGTCTAGCAGTGATCGTAAGGAGAAGGTAGTCGTCCCGCGTATCTTCGTCGTCTGTGGAAGCATTGGCCGACGGAATGTGATTGGAAAAGGATAGTACTGTGGGTGCAGAATTGAGTCTCGGTAATAGGGACCCATTTGGATTGCGATTCCACCTAGAACCGGGGGCCGAGACTGCATCTCCTCTTTTGTCCTCATCATCATCGTCGCTGCTAGACGAACTCCCACTGGATGAGGCGTCATCGTGGGTGCCGTTCGTGTTATTCTGGATCCTCGGCTGTGTTTGACCAAAGACCCAGGTATCCAACCAACCTGCCAGGTCCGCTACTGCAAGCATCTTGCTATCTGGAGAAAATGCAATGTGGGAAACCGCTCTGTCATATTGTCCGAGACCGCCGAGAGAAGACTGTTTGGACAGCTTTCGCCCAATGCGTTGTAATCGGATCGCCTTAGGGTGAATTGTTGGCTTGCTCGAGGAGTCGGCGTCTTGAGATATTGACATGAGGGAAATTTTCGTTCCTTCTTGTATGAGACACAACCAACAGCTATCTGGGGAGATCTGAACGCTTGTCGCGCCTTGCGCAGTGACCTTCTCGGGTAGGTCGATCTTGGATATCTTGAGATCATCTCGCCTGGCCTCATCTCGAGTTTTGAGATGGAAAGCCTTAACGTCGGATGTTGTTGACACAACCAACAACCGCCCATCGCCGCTTATCGCTGCCGAGGTGATGTTTGCTTCGCCCTTTATCAGTATTCGCGCCAATAATTTCCGGTTCTTGGCGATTCCTGGTTCACCGTCAGAGGCGTTGACGAGGCTCTCAAATGGTCTTCTGAGACGCCACACATGTACTTCACGGTCCCACCAGCCCACTATCAGCCTGCTCTTACAAGCGCTTTGCAGCGGCGGGTTCTGGGGCAGATGTGATAGCGCTCGATGTTCCTGCATGCCGGCCATTTGCAAGGGCACCACAATGGGGCTGGCATCAGGTCCTGGGGTTCAATTAGTACAATCACTTGGACAACGAGAAGTCAATAGACGAACCTCCCGAGACGATGACGCTCATGCCGAGCCCTTCGAATGTGGCCATAGTTTTGACATCATGGCTGTGATACCTCCGATGCCACACCTTGCCCCATCGTGAACCGGAACCTGAGATCTTCCTATAAAGCACGGTTTTCCGATCCATCCCACCGCTGACGATAGTTGAACCGTCTGCGCTCGTCGCAAGAGACAGGACATCCTGGTTGTGACTCTGAAGCCTCTGGGCCTGAGTATAGGTGACGCCGTCCCAAATGCACACCTGCCCAGTCGAGTCACCAGTAACTATATCTCCTGACTGGAGACATTTCACAGACCAAACTATGATCTCCTTGGCGCCACCGGCAATATCTGACCCCAATGTCATTTTCCTCAAAATGCTGCCGTTGTGCATATTGTAGACTCGTATTGAGCTGTCGGAACAGCCTACGACCGCGACATGCCGGGACTGGAAAGCAATGCTTGTCATCTTGGTCTTCTTGGACGAGGACTTGGTAAGGATGCGGTCGAATCGGAGGTCGTCGTCATCGATCGAGTAGAGCACGAGGCTTCCGTCTATAGTCCCAGCGACAAGCTTCGTCCCGCTCTGGGCGACCTTGGACTTGCCCTTGTCGCCATCCTTTGACGGTACGACGAATGGTTGAACGGCGAGGCACCAGATGTCGCCATGGATTCCGCTGGCCTGTTTCTTGGGGCGACCTTTCTCGAGGTCCCATTCGGTGACTGTGTGGACGTTAACAGCCCGTCTTCAAACCCTCAACGCATCAAGTCTTCATACGTACTGGTGGTGGTATAGCCGATGGAGAAGAGTCTCGATTTTCCAAGGATCTTGGTGCCGTCCTGCAACTTGTGGTCGGGTTCCGTGACCCACACGAGGCTGTCAATGATTCGGTCCTTTCCTCCGTGCAGAGTAATCTCCTGATGCCACAGGCCATTCATGGGGTTCCATATCGAGATGTTGCCATTCGCATGACCTATCGCCAGACGGACGGGGGCGTTCTTGGAGGCTGTCGCGTGGGAAAAGGCAACGGCGTTGATGGGAGAGGGCTGGTAGGGAACGAAGCGACAGCGGTGGACGTCCATGGTTGTTGCGCCCGCCTGAGCTCGAGGTGTGAATCTGGAAGGTGAAGAGCGAATCCAGCATCCAGCATGCATCCATCGCACATCATCCATCACCCAGCACTTTGAACTTTTTTTTCTTTTATCTTATCGGATCCGAGTGGGGCCGCAGCTCCTGCCCCATAACCCCACCACCAAGCGTCATTGGCCAAAACGCTAGTCGCTGGGTGCTTGTCTTTGGCGCATATTTACTGGTCTCTATGCAACTACACAAACAACGTTATATCCACGTCTAGATTGATTCACGTTTGTCTTGAGTTTACACGGCCGATGACAAGCTCAGAGGGATGGCATACAAGTCATGAAATACCACTAAGTAGGCAATAAGCCTATACTCGATAGCGGACACTTCTATCTCAAGCGTTGGCTCTAGCCTCATACAGACACTTCCATCCTGAGCCATGCCAGTCCTGGTGTCAAAATCCCACGCTTCAGGCCCAAGAACCCCAATGCTCATTCACCCACGGTCCCCGTCGCGATGGTGGTGGTTGATATATCTCCGCCTTCAATACATGTACAGTACTCCGTCAACCCCTTGTACCATGCAAGCTACAAGAATGCTAGAAAGGTGGCTGAGAAGGAAAAGATCATCACCCAAGGCCAGTGGTATGCCATACGATGAATCGATGCACCCAAGCTCCTACTTTCAAGAACAGTTTCGCTAGTAAATGCCACACCATCGCCGTCGATATCAACCTCCGACAGCTTCGTAGTGTTGACACACGTGCAGAGGAGCTGCGGCCCTGGGTACTTCCCCGGAGCCACGAAACTGAAACTCATATCCAGCAGCAAGATGTGAAGTTTGTTCGCAAGGTTGTGAAAGCTCCGGCTGTTGGTTCCGTCCACAGGCTCGGTGATGTTCCATAAGAATCCCCGACCGCTGGTTAAGATCTTGCTGTTGTTCTTGAAAAGACTGAATCCGTAATACTGTTCCGAGAAGCCGTGGAAAGCCTTCGACGTGACGCCAAACGAATCCCGACACTCGGGTATTTGAGCCCACGATGAGCTGGCGAGGTTGAAGTTGCAGTCGGTGGCGCTGGGTCTGGAACCTTGAGCCAGTATAGCATTAACACAGTCCTGGCCCAATACCGGTCCGCAGTCTGTGCTGTCACGATCATTGTCCCCATAGGCATTCGTTACGTTCGCTGGGAGGTCCACCCAGTCCCCTAACGTTTTGACACAAAGACGGTTCGTGGTTCCGTCTAATGCTGTCGAGATGTTGCCACTGACTAGCCAAGTGAAATCATACGTCTCGACCACATGAGAGCCAGTGATAGAACCATTTGTGTCTGCGTCTGGCGCATCGATGTTGGTGACGTTGATGCCTGCAAGTTTCCTGTGTCAGCGAATGCTTTCCACATTACCGCACACGACAGAGAGGCACCTACGCCATGTCCATTCAGCATCCTTGATCACCGAGCCGTCACCTAAGAACTGCCAATACTGCTCGAGAGGCTTGAAAGACACAGACTGTGTCAAAGTCGGATTCTGGTTGGCCTTCTCGATCAGGTCGTGAGTGGGCTCATTAAAACGAGGCGGGAGGGAGCCTCCCCATAGCTCCCCCCAAGGGCGTATTGAGTTGCTATGGCGCCGCTGGCCAGTGCAGTGAGGAATAATGAAGTTGACCACATTTTGTAGCTGTAAGGTAGGGGCAGACGGGACGATGTACTCGACGTAAATAGTGCTCAGCGAACCTGTGATGGGGATGAAGCAGAAGAAATGAAACAACCGACGGAGTGAGAGGTATTTAGAGGAAAGAAAAGCTCAGACTTCATTACACGGGGGTCCACGACATTCCAAGCTGACTGTCATTAACAGAGGACGTTTCGTCATAGGCGTACCCCAGACGCCTTATAACACGTTGGTGCTGATCCTGAAGACCCCAACCGCCCCGGGCATTTTGCAGTACTGCCATAAAGTCACACCGCTTCAGTGAGAGGTCAGCACGACGCGATCATGAATATGTCAAGGGAACATGAGGTATGCCAAGGCTTGTTGTATGGTTTCGATCAAAAGGAAAGCGAGAAGGACGCCGCAAGGCTCATTGATATGCAGTTGGTACGAACATGTAAGAATGCAATTGGTCTGCGCCGCAATGTCAGCCCTTGATCACGGCTGGAAGGCACCCAATAGAACACACCGGCGATGCCAAGAAGGGCAAATAAGACTACATATGCGAGGCCGTTTCACCATGTCTCTCCTTATCCGCCAGGCCCGGCCATTGGAATCCTCAAAGTGTATTTGATGGGTGGTAGCGAGCGCCTTTCTAATCTCTGCGAGCTTGCACCACTGTTGGAGGATTCGCTACTACCTGTAATGATGCCTGATGATTTGATATAAATGATCATGTGCTCCAAAACCTACCAGTGTATGCACATGGGAAAAGAATGACGCGAGTCCTTATAACGCTCCTTTCTCCTTTCTCACGAGTCACCGCTCTCAATCCATTCAGTTTTATCCCTGCTATATGCCAAGCCCTTGTCTTCACTCACACAAGACTCTCCCTCACTTACGTCCCGCCGGCGTCTGATTCCTGAATACATGATACGGGATGTTGCGGTAGACATATCTCCATTGAGCACGTAGATATCCTTTCTGCTATCAAGATCCACCATCCGACTTCTTGGTGAGGTATGGATTACTCTGTGTCCTTCTTTAATCATGGTACTGGCTCAAACCTCTTTCATCTCAGCATATATCAGCACTCATAGCTATAGATGCGCCCTACCACGGAGCCGGGCCCGGGTTCGGCGTAGAATACGCGCTAGCGCTAGCCACCGGGCTAGGAATGACAATGACGGCAGCAATGCCTGGGCCTTCCCGGGTGCCGGCCGTGACAGCTGCGCTGCGAGCATTCAAAGACGCAAGATATGCTCGGACGCAATGGCTGGTGCGAAGCTCCGGGGAAACGGGCGAGGTCTACGAGTGGATGTACCCTGCCAGCCGAAGTGATCCGGCTAGACTGCGGGCCGAACTTGCGGAGCGTCAGAAGAAGATATGGGATTTTGATGTCGACAGGATGGTTGAGGAGGTGAAATTGAGGTTTCAGGCCTCGTTAGCAGGAGCTGGGGCTGCCACGTGACATAACATTCAAATATACATGGACAAATCAACATTGTAAACAGATTCAAACCACTGCAGCACGTTCCTCTTTGTCCTCGTTTCATGTCCCCGAGATAACAACGGAATACTTGATTGCCATAGTCTGTCAAATCCGGTGCGGATTTTGGTACGCATTGATTTGTACGGAGCTGGGTTGTTCCATCAGCAGTTCGAGCGACGATGCCTTGATCTTCTTGACATCAGCACCCCCCTATAATATATCTTGACTGCTGCCCATCAAGCTTCAGAATCCCATGACAAGATTAGCCAGAAAGCTCTCCCTGCCACACTCGGTTCACCACGACCGGCCCACCCACTAGGTACCAGTCATTCTTATTCGCTCACTCAGGTACTCTTGTCCTTGGCGAATCCTCGCGATAGCTCAGTGAGGCCTTGATTTTGGCTTAAAAGGCGATCCTATCAAGAACATATCAGTGTGAGAGAGACACCCTGCTAATTGCACGCCCGTCGTAGGCTGCACCCGGCATCGACTCGAACCCGAAAACGGAGAGACATACCGCGACCCAGGTCGGCGCCCAGTAACCAATACACCTAAGCACGAAAGCATAAGGTCCCCTGCTCACCAGCCCACCCCGTTCATGCCAACGACGTCGCGCACGACCAACTCAGCGAACCCGTCGACAGAGAGACTATCCTTGGGCACGGCGTCGCCCTTCGCCCAACCAGCGATGATGTCCTTGATCGGCGCGTAGCGCGATGCTGGGGGCAGGTCGAAGCTCGCCGCGCCGTTGACGTGAAGCTTGCTGTCTATGACCCCAGGGAGAATGGTGACGACGCTGACGCCGAACGGCGCGAGCTCTAGACGCAGAGTCTCGGAGAGAGCGTTCAATGCGGCTTTGGATGCGGCCTACGTTGCTTTGGCACCCCCTGAGTTTCAGCCAGACGTCCATGTGGTTGCTTGAGTGCCACACGAAAATGGGAAAGAAAAGAAACCGAGAAAACAAGGGGTAAACAAATTTCAAGGGCTGGTCGTTACAGGGAAATGGATTCAGACACGAATATACAGCAACGCAGGTAGGTAAGCAGCCGAACCATGAACTTACAGTACCAAGGCGAGTAGATAACAGAGGCCGACGAGCTCACATTGACGATGCGGCCACGACTCGCAATCAGGAAATCCGCGAAAGCCTGGATCGTCCGCAGGGGCCCCCACAGATTGACGTTCATCATCCGCTGCCCCGCGGCGATGTCGACGTCGAGCGCGGGCTGCACGTACTCGAAGCCGGCGTTATTGACAAGCACGTCCAGCCCGTGCCCGGCGTCCGCCACGGTCCGGGCCGTCGCCGCGACTGAGGCCGCGTCTGCGACGTCGAGCGGCAGGACGGTGACATTGGTGAGGCTGCTGAGAGTTTTGGGGATCTTGGCGGGATTACGGGCCGTGGCGAAGACGTGGTGGCCGCGCCGGGCCAGTGCGAGCGCTGTCGCGGCGCCGATGCCGTCGGCTGAGCAGCCTGTGACGAGGACCGACTTTGTTGGAGACATACTCACAGCCGAGGGTGGTTAGCTAGCTGGCGATTTCTGGCCGTTGGGGAGGGGACAAACAAGCGGGGAGCAAGACAGATGGATACGGTAAACAGCCCGGTGACTATTATGAGAATTCAGATGCTTGTATAACCAACACTTTCAGTTAATACGTAATCACACACATACATCTCATAGAGGTCCTTCTAATAACCTCCAAGTCAAGAAAAGCCGTCAAGCCCAGGCCTAACTTGATGCTCAGACCTGGAGACGGAAAACCTCGCTCAGCTCCCCTGTTATTCACCCTCATAACGAGATCCAGCGCCCGGTTGACACAAGTTGCTAAGCCCTGCACTTGCAGTTGGGACCGGTCTGTGCAGCGGAATGAGTGACGATGCATGGATGCTGTTGGTGACCTCTGGTACAGGGGTGAGGGGATTGAGGACCTGTTGGTTGCGGCGCAGATGACAGACCCGGCAGATCTTCCTAGAAGGGGAGTGGGCTGAGCAGGCTCCCAGGCCGTAGCGGAGGCCGACTCTTTACATGTGTCCCTGGACCTCCACCGAGAAATGAAGGGGTATCGTTATCATGTTAAGGTATGATATGGATGCTCGTTGTTGCACGCGTTGGAGATGACCTAGGCTACCTTACGTAGGGCCGCGGCTGCCTTGGAGCTGACGTTGCGGACTGCTTCCTCCCAGTATGACGTGCTGTACTGACAGCCTACAGCAGGTGCCCCTCGCATAAGAAACGCCTTGTTGCGGACAGAGAGAGGAGAGAAAAATCACAGAAGAAACACTAAAACACCAAGAGCCTGAACAAACGCTACCACGATCCTACACAGTCTAAAACTGAACGACCTGATATCTCTCCACAAAACAGTCATACGCAGACGAGATGGCCGCAGAGACCACTGCCTTCGACGTCGTCATCGTGGGCGGCGGGACAGCCGGGCTCGTGGTAGCCTCGCGGCTTTCCGAAGACCCCTCTCTCCAGGTCCTCGTCCTCGAGGCCGGGCTGGACCTACCACAGATGCCAGAGCAGTTGATGCAAGCCGTCTTGACTCCAGCCGCGAATACCCAACTGTACAAAACACCCGTTGATTGGGACCTCAGAACTATCGCTCAGGTGAGGACACCCTCCTCTCGACGTATCCTGGTAACAACTACACACAGAGTAGCACGCTGATACTCGATGATGAAAAGGCAAATCTAGGAGGCCGAGAGTTGAGCTTTCCCCAGGGCAAGATGCTGGGCGGCTCCAGCGGCCTGAACGGGCTCTCCTTTACCGCCAGTGCCAAAACCGTCGTCGATGGTTGGGCGGAGTTGGGCAACCACGGCTGGGAGTGGCCCGCCTTCTCGCAGTCCTTGGCCAAAACTTACACCGTGGCCATGGGCCCATCCCTCGTGACAAAGCCGAGTAACAACCAGGGCCCCTTACAGGTAGCTTATGCCGATGACTGCATGGGTAACTGGCCCAAGATCTGGGCAGATACCATCGAGTCGCTTGGGTTCCCGGGCGCCCAGGATACGCTGACCGGCCAGGCCGCCGGCGGGTTGATGGTCCCAGATACCGTCGACCCGGCTCTGGGCATCAGAAGCTATGCGGCCAACGCCTACCTGAATCCAGAGGTCCGCGGCCGCGCCAATTTGACGTTGCGTACGGGTGTCGAGGTCAAGAAGGTGCTCCTCAAGAAACCCGAAGGTAGTAAACCTGATGGGGGCGGCCGTCGCCGCAGGCGTCGAAATCACGGATCCTACGACCGGCGCAACCACGACAGTCATCGCGCACCGCGAGGTCATCATAGCGGCTGGAGCCTTTGGCTCCCCCAAGCTTCTCGAGCTCTGCGGCATCGGCGACGCGGGACGGCTCTGCGTGGATCATGTCGTTGTTGACGCTCCGGGTGTCGGCGTGAACCTCCAAAATCATCCCCTCATCACGTTGTCATTCGAGGTGGCCAGCGACTCGCCGCCCACCAAGGACGCCTTCGTGCGCGCCGCCCTGCGGCAGGACGGGGAAGTCCTGGGTGGGCCAATGAAGGAGTACATGGAGCATCGCACGGGCCCGTTTGCAAGCAGCGGCATGACGTCGGCCGCGCAACTACCGCTACCCGGCCTAGATACGCCCGAGGGAAGACAGGAACTCGAGGGCCTTTTCAGCACGACCGGGCCGAGTCCCAGCGGAGTCTTCGCCCTGACGCACGAAAGGTTCGTCCGGGCCATCCTCTCGTCACGGTCTGAGGCATCAGGGTACTACACCTTCGGGTCAGCGTACGCCGCATTCAACCCGGACGGAACGAGCGCGCTACCGCCCATGGATGCCTCCGAGGATAGCTACATCACAGTCGTTCTCATGCTCGCGCATCCGCTCTCGCGGGGCTCTGTGCATGTCGTCGGCGCCGCGGCCGAGCAGACGCTGGCCATCGACCTGGGCTACTTTAGCCACCCGCTCGACCTCGAGGTCATGGCTCGCCACCTCCAGTTCATCGAGCAGGGCCTGACGGTCGCGGAACCCTTGGCGAAGTGGTTGAAGCCAAACGGCAAAAGGACGGTTGGGGCTCCCGAGGCTGGGGCTTTCAAGGATCTCGAGGTAGCCAAGAAATAAGCCTCCCACTTCCAAGATAACCCCATTCCCCCCCTCTTCAACCCAGGGTCCGAAAAGTGCCGGATGCTGATGATGTTGCGGCTACTAGATACATCAAGGACAGGGCCATCGGGGCGCACCACTTCACAGGGTCCTGCTCTATGCTCCCACGCGAGATGGGCGGCGTGGTCGACCCGCTGCTGCGTGTGTACGGAACCAGGAACCTCCGTGTATGCGATGCCAGCGTGATACCTGTGACGCCACGTGCCAACCCACAGGCAACGGTGTACGGGATGGCGGAGCACGCGTCGAAACTTATCAAAGACAGCCTGTTTTCGTGCTAAAAGGCTACACTCAGGCGAAACCGTTGACACACGTCGCTCGTTAGGCTTTGCAGACGCAGCTGAGATCAGTCCGTATCAGTTGCTGAATAGATGCTGCGGATAACGAAAAGTGAGGCAGACGGGGTGAGTTTGGCAAGGTCTCTAGTTCCATTTGTCTCTGGTTGGCAGCGGTGATGGTGACATATCCATGGTTGACAGACACTGTGCTAAAGGTAAGTTGGTCAGCCCCTCATGGGTGAATCTACACCCATTACATGTAGGCATCACGTCTACAGGTTCAAGGTTGGAGATTAGACCAGCGTATATGTGGTTTGCAATCATTCATGTCAATTTTCTCATACACGGCATCTTCGCCGTCGTCGTCTAATGATGCGCCAACATGCTCATAAATATTTCTCCCCTCTTCGGTCTCATACATCGCGCTGGGTGAACTTCAACACCCAAATCCGAACCTCACAGGCTTGTCGCCCACGTGTGAAGTGACACATGTACATCCTATCAGCCCAGGAAAGCGCGCAGACCGAGTCCAAAGGATATCAGTGCAGATGGCTATCGCTAAAAGAGTACTCGAACGCTCATAAGCTTATAGATCATCTGGGTCATATGATGTGGATGAGCTCCGATGAGCACCCTGCCTTCACCGTGCTACGCCCTGCAGCATAGAGCGTAGACGTCTATGGTGGGTGGCGTTGTTGATATAACGCGGATTTGTTTCTTCCGGGTTGCAGTTCAAGCCGCCCGGGGCTGGATATGTGTGACTATATGTCAACACATGTCTGATATTCCATGATATTGGTGATCAAGGTCACCGGTTCGGCGACTCGTCTTCCTCCGAGTCGGACTCGTCCGCGGGGGACTTCATCCTCGCAACTGGCAGGGTCTCAAGAGACTGGGACTTGTTGGCGGCCGCATCGCCCTTCACGTCTTGACTCCCCCGACGACCAAGCCCGGTGTCGAATGAGTTCTGTGCAGTCGGTGTATTAGCCTGACTTCCGCCGCGTTGGCCATGATAGTGGACGACCTGTGGCGGGGGCTGGCCGTGCTGGCCCAGCAAGTGTTGCGGGTACGGATTCAAGTCTTTGCTGGAGGTAGAGAAGGTTGATACGACTGGTTGGTGATAGCCATTCAAAGCGTTACTCGGGGTTGGCACATGTCCGGGCGGCGGCGCTTGGGTGACTGCTGGTAGCGAGGCCTGGCTGTGCTCGGCCTGTGTGGGAGTGCCTGCCTCGTTGGGGGTATCCGGCCCCTCAGCTACTTGGCCCGTCAAGCTCGTCATTCCACCCTCAATGTCACGAAGTAGGCGGACATATTCCTCGGGCACCAGACCACTTTCCTGTGTCTTTGGATCCTCCGCCACGAGCCAACCTTCTCCATGCCTATACGAGACCCATATGATCTGACCTTCAGCCAATGGCAGCTCGTTCTCGTTTTCCCTCCTGAAGTCGAACAACGCTACGGCTTTGCCGTGCATTTCCTCGTCTGGCGAGGTGATGGTGAACTGGTAGTCTCTAGAATATCTCGATTCGTCGAACGCTTGGAAGCCCGGGGACGAGGCAACGCTCGACGCTTCCGACTCGGATCGATACCCTGGGTCGTTTTCCGCATAACGCCGCGGCCGCTGTTCCATTGACTGGTACGCATGGGTCGAGTGCCGTGCTTGGTCAGGCGGATACGTGACAAACTCTCCGCCTGGACCATTTGCCTCTACACCTTGACTCACGTAATACCTCTCGCTACCATCGCCGCCGGTCCCGATGTAATACCCTCTATCGGCCTCGTAGCGGGCAGCATGCAGAATGGAAGACTTGCCGTCTGTCGAGCCCCGCGGTTTTCCATGCCCTAGAGCTGCGGAAGTAGATTTATGTTTTCTATGCCTCGAGCTGACCACTGGGCTCTGCAGGTCTTCATCCTCACTCCACGGTGGGCCATCTCCGAAATGAATGGGAGCCAGCTCGCCGCCCTTCCCGAAGCCGCCGTCAGCTGCCCATTCCCAGCCCAGCTTGCTTTCCCACGATCCTGGCGGGTCGGAAAGGCGCCTCAATTCGCCTGATGGTGTAGCCATGCCGGAAGGCGGGCGCGAAGGCTCAGGCGGAGGGCCATAGTGCAATGGGGTTAATGGAGGATATGCGAAGTCTCGGACGATGGTGTATGAGAGACTGGAGTGGAAGATAGGGAAGAGGTACGAAGGTGGCCGTGACCGAGACGGTATCGAGCCCGTCGAATACTGGGACAGTCGGTTTTTGGAAGCGTGCGACATCGGTCGTGGTATTGGCGATCGGCAGGCAGGCGGCGATGTTATCAGGGGATGAAGGGAGGGGTGCTCAGTATTCTGGACCGCTGAGTTCGCTGATGGAGACTGCGATGGCGGTGCTGCTGAAGGCAACTTGGCCGGAGGTGAGCTTGTGGACATAGTGGCGGCCATCGGGAGGGAGTGAAAGCGAAGCGTTTGGCGTGCGTACCCAGAAATGTGTGTTCAGAACGAATACATAGGTCGAATACGTCTGGAGAGTATTCGGCGGCCCAGACAGCAAATGCGACTGTCGCCTAACAGACTCGGCCTGCAAGCTGTTCCGCGATGTCTGCGGTGAGATCCAGAAGTAAAGTGGCCGGTGGAAAGTTGGCTGATGGCTGAATGGGTAGGGTGTATGTATATATGCAGCAGTCGCTACCTTGCGACAATGGATGACGAGGGCTTCACTCGGACGGAGGACGCTCGGCTGAGGTTGTCAGCATCGAAGTGGATCAGCAGCAGCAGGATCGCCGAGTGGTGTTGGCTGGGTTGTCGGGTCTGGTGGCCCCGAAGCCCTATATATGTCGGACTCAGATTCGGACTCTAGGCTGTCACGGTCACGGCGGGCTGTCGCAATGTGAATGGACGTCGACCGAGAGAAACGCGGATGTGACTGCGTAGAGAGTGTTCATGAACAGAGGGCTGCGGCAGCGGCAGCGGCAATGGCGCAGTTTGAAGGTGTCTGCGAAGACACTGTGGGCGGGCAGATAACAAAGAGTGGGCAAAGGAACAAACAATTGTAAGGGACGCGGAGAAGAGTGGGAGACGCAGTAGCCTCAAGGTGGAAGGCCCTGGCACCCGGCAGCGTGGGCGAAGAAGATGCAGGCGGCGACGAGTGGAGTTGCCAATTGGGCCGAGTCGTGATAGGTTCAATACATGTACCGTATTGCTGCGCGCATGTACCTATTCTAGGTGCATTCCAATTTGCATTTGCCTTTGCCTCGACACCATTCAGTCATCCAGTCGGTCATCCATCGGGGCGGCGATGGTGCAGGTGGTGTGCGTGTAAAAGTTATTAGGGTCACTCAATTAGATTGGCAGGATTCGAGAAGCGGCTCCGAAGTTTGAATGGTTCGTCCAAATACTAATAACCCCAGGCCCCAAGATGCATCTTTTTCAGGTTGGGCTGGGTCGGCTGGGCTGGCTGGGCTGGCTGGTTGCAGGTCACAGGTGGTTGCGATTAATAGGCGCGTCGTGCTGCCTTCTGAGTGGCTGCTTTGGGCTTGCGCCAGTGCAGTGGTAGACCTCAGTGGGGCCAGCGAGTCAACCCTACCAATGGAAAGTAATACATGAACATGTGTGCCCGTGAACTTCTACTTCAATGTTCTGTAGAGCTGCACATGTATTTGTGAGTACATAGGTTATCTTATAATGGTCAGCGTTGGAGTTGATATGCTGTGTTCAGTCATGTCTGCGCTTACCATGAAAACAACAGTGGTCTACATGTGAGGTGAATTCCCAACAGATGCAGAGATGAAGTGTTGAAACACAAAAATGTACTGTGAGAAAACAAATGTAGTCGGGAGAACTCATGCACTTCTTCTTATATTAGCGCAGCACCTTGCAGCAACACCGCTTCTCCTCCTGCAGAGACAGGCCAATGGCAACATGGACCAGACGCAGTCAGTAGAGCCATGCACCTAAGCAATGGTGAAACACCGCATGCAGAGCACGTGACCTGGGCAAGATGCTCGAGTCCGCCATCGCCCATAGGTCAGCATCTCAGGTCCCAGCATGACTTCTGCGTCGTTCGAAGGGGCTGGGATGCTTGATCAAGAAGGACAAAGAGCGGTCTGATGCTACCAGGTAAGCCAGGCAAGGTGGCAGAGGTTCCTTGTAGCGCCAGGGAGATCATGACGCACATCCCTGAGGACTTGGTAACTCAAAGCGGTAGAGACGAGGCCTCACTGCTTAGGTCACAACTCCGAGGAAGAGGAGAATGTGGCCGGATCGAGTAGGATAATAAAACTTGGACTTTACGCCTCTGGTATGTCTACACCGTGACACTGTTTGACGGACTGGTCATACAAAGGGCGTGCGGGAAGTTGTGTTGGAACATAGGTAGGGTTGGCCATCTGCAAGACACCGATGATGATGGTGATGATGCTATTTTGGGCGAGTTTATTACCTTATTGTCCCAATAGAGAATGCTCTACAAATTTGAAAATACCAACTGGCGGGGTCCGAGCCCGCTGACAGCTGGAAAGCAGCTGGGAATGAACATTGAGCACCGACCACACATACCAAGCCCCACTTTGCGTTCCCTTCTGCTGGTACGAAAAACAATCACACAAAATGCCCACCGAATTGGAAAGCTTCTCACCACCTACAACTGCAACGTGCACCACTCCAAGCGCGGACCATTAAGGTTCACCACCCAAACACCATACCAGTGCCATGGGCTTCTGCTGGCATCCCTACGACAGTCTTCCTACGTGACAAGCTTTGAAGGCAGCCCGCTGTCTGCATTGATGCGATCTCGACAAGTTAGACTCGTCCGCTCTTGATCACCTGGGCTTGCTCTTTGCACTGGTCGTCACTACGTCGCCAAAGAAATTCACAGGCCAATTTACATCTCAACTACAGAAGGCATGTTACCTCTACCTACTCTGCCAATCCTCTTCACCCCTTTTCCATGATGAAAAACATTATTGGAGCTGTCTTACAACCCATGGTGACAACCTACAAATTATCATACGCAACTTTTCTGAAACCACAAACCTTTTCACTTCCAAGCAGCAGCCGTTCATTTGCTCAGTCATGCTAACTTGATGAAGGGACACCTATGCCACTCAGATAGTTCGCCACGCGATGCGAAACTACTCGACCGCTCTTCCTCAGTCTTAACAACTTTTCCGTGCATAGACGAGAGCAGTCCGTTGATTTTCTCACCATGGACGCGACAAATGGAGCTTCTGCCGCGCCCGTGCCAGCTCCGCCAGCAGCACCAACGGCCAATGGCGAACGGGAAGACACTGGAGGTTACAAGCTCAAGTTCTGCACTGTCTGCGCCAGCAATCAGAACAGGTAATCATACCGTGGCCGGGTGTCGGCTTCTACCATACACACGCTGACATATTACAGATCTATGGAGGCGCATCTTCGACTCTCGCAGGCCCATTACCCTGTCATTTCCTTTGGTACAGGGTCTCTCGTCCGTCTACCCGGGCCTACCATCACCCAACCCAACGTTTACCAGTTCAACAAAGTATCCTACGACACGATGTACAAGGAACTCGATGAGAAGGACCGCAGACTCTACACCGCCAATGGCTTGCTAAACATGCTGGGAAGGAATAGGCAGGTAAAATGGGGCCCTGAACGATGGCAAGACTGGCAAGTGGGCATCCCGAGAGTCGAGCAGTCCAAAGACCGTGGCAGCGAGGGAACAGAAGGCGGTGTCGTAGATATCGTCTTCACTTGCGAGGAGAGATGCTGGGACGCCGTGGTGGATGACCTCCTTAACCGAGGCTCACCGCTGAACCGACCCGTTCACATCATCAATGTTGACATCAAGGATAACCACGAAGAAGCCTCGATAGGTGGCGGGGGTATTTTGGACCTCGCAGACTCCTTGAATAAGGCCGCCAAAGAAGAGCGAGAGGCAATGGGTTCTGCCGTGTTCGATATGGGTAGCGCCGCAAGCCGTGCGTCATTCGATGAGCGAGTTCCAGAGATCATTGGGGAGTGGCAGGATAGATGGCCGAATCTGCCAGCAACATGGACGTTGGCTTGGTTCTGATATTACGTGATCACGAGATACTTCTTTCAATGATACCAGGAACGATGGTTCCATGCACATAAAGCCGCATATACGTCTATTACTAAGCCATTTGATGGGTTCAAGCCATGTGCAAGAGAGCTACAGTACTTGGATGTAAGGAGGTCCCAGGCAGCCAGCGTCTGTATGATCGAACGCAGCGGGGATCCCTCGTCTCGTGGTGACCCTGCCAAGATGCTTATTACAGCCTAGCGCTGCGGCTCAGGCAGTTATTACTGCTAATGTTGGCTTGAATCTTGATGTCGCCTTCGCGCAGTGTGGTTTGCGATTCCATTCCGGGAGATTTTATGGTTTCATATATATACTACCATTTGGAGAGCAGTCAACCCTAGGACAAAGGAACCAAATGAGCTGCCGTTCGTTCCCTGCTCTGCAGAAAACGATCTAACACCAACAGCTTGAGAGTGAGCGCCACCCAGAGTTGATGCGGGTGAGGCACCCACCAACCGAGATTAGAGCCTACGCGGCCTGGCCTGTCGACAACAAGTCTACGACTCACGAGGATATTCGAGGTTCGAGGTCTTGTATGAAGAACCCACATTGTTTTACTATGAAAGTTACAGGGGTCTTCTTCCCCCGTCTTGAGCCTCATCAGCTTGGCAGCCCGGGATTCATCATTCAATTCTATTTTGACCGTCTTGCTATTGAATCGTGCGACGGTCACATGCAACAGTTTTGAAGTGTGAAGTTCCAACCCGCTTCTCGAGACTCTTACCACACTGCTTTTACTTCTGGGCAGCAGACATCTGCTTTTGCAGCTCTCTCAACTCTGCATACACGCCTTTCGCTTTCCCGTCCAGCACTTCTTTGATGTACTCCTCATAATCTTTGAAGTTGAAGTCCGGGTACAGGTCCTTGCTCGTCAGATAACCCAAGTACTTCGCATACTCCGGCGTATTATCTCCTCGAATACCCCACGATATGAGATACTGCGCTGTCACTTTCTGCACATGGGTCAGGAAGTCCGTCGCTCCATTCGCCATCTTTTCATCTGCGTCCTTGATTTGTGCTTCAAAGGTTTCGCGGCTGGTGTACTTCCGCTCGAGCTTTTCTCCCGACAGCTTCTCGAGGAGGGAGTAGATGTCGTTGGGCTTCCAGAGCTCGTTGTACACAAAAACGTACTTATTGAGCGTTCGGTCGTCAACGATGATCTTCGCGACGTAGCGGCCGATATCCCGGAGATCGGTTATAGCGTTGGGTACGTTGCCGTCTCCGGCTATCGTCTGGCCTTTAAAGCCGATGGCGTAGTCGATCTTGCCGGAGGGAAGCTCGGGGAAGGAGATCTGGTACCACCAGCCTACGTCTACGATAGTGTAGGGGAGGGAGAGCTGCTTGATGTGGTTGTAGACATGTTCCTTTTCGTCACGGAGGCCCTGGACGCCACCTGGTGGAATGACTGTGATGAAGGCACATGGTAAGACTGTTCGGTTAAATCAGCACTTGGCCCATCTCCTAGCCCTGCTCGACATCGGGTGGACGTACATCGCTTGACCCCAGCGGCTTTGGTAGCAGTGGCGAGAGGGATCTGTGCAAGCTGTTCTCCTGCGCTGACGGCACTGATGACGACCTCGAGGTCCTTGAGAGCGTCGACCATGGCATCTTGCGAGCCGCTGAGGTCGATCGGTCGGATCTCAACGCCACGCTGTTTGAGAGCGGTGTTGGCTGGCTTCGAGGCTGAAGCCGGGCGGACCAGGGCTACGACGTCCTTTGCCTGGATTAGCGCTCGATACCAGAGGCGGTACACGCAGTATTGCCGTGACTTACGAAGTCTCCTGCCTCAAGCAAGCCATTGACGATTGAGCCACCGGTCTCGCCTCCTGCTCCCACAATGCCTACGCGAAGTGATGGCATGGTAGCGGTAGGCAGAACGGATTCGTATGCCCACCTCGAAGAAAGGTAGAGGCTCGAATGCCGTGGGATTTACTTTCTAGGAGAGGCTTGCTGTAGTAGATGGAGGAGTTCAAACTAATGGCTTGGAAGCAGGTCAGAGCAATAATACGCTACTTACGCTGAGTCAAAGAGCGAAAAGATATAGCATTGGTGAGCTATTTCTTGCGTGCGATGACGAAGGAGGGGAGTTTGGAGAGGAGGGGTTGGGCTGCATAAATATCAGGATATCGTGCATAAGTCTCCATCTCGGATCCGCGAGATCCCCGCTTATCGTGTAACCAACTTCACATGCTTGAACCATCTCCAGAAGCGAATGCCATGCTTATCCAGTATGGTTAAGAAAAAGACTGGGACGAAGAAGGCCGCTGCCACCAAGAAGTCGCCCACGCCGCCACGAAGAAAGCTGCAACGAAGACGAAGAAGGCAGCTGCTAAGCTCGCTGGTAAGCATGCTGCTGCTAAGAAGTCGTCCATGTCTTAGAGCCACGCATCCCAATCATCAATCGCCCACCACCACCACCAGCGGTAAATGACAGGCAGCGGGCGCAGCGCTCATTCATCATGCGTGGCTCAAACTCTTGAAACTCGACGGAGGTTGTACTGTTTTGACGGGATCATGCGACGGAGGATCGGGAACAGCAGCCACCTCTGTCTCTGTATCTTGCAGGCGGCGTTCTCCTTGTACGATGAAATCAAACAATGCCGACGGCATGGATGATATGATGGACTGGATTTTGGAGTTTTCCCAAACCTCACGCTTGCGTCCTGCTTCTTTCCTGCTCACCTGCTTCGTTGACAATGCGCAGTCAGCCAGTGCAGGATCTCATCTCGGGAGCCCCTGTTCTTGGTGGCGACTCCTATTTGCAGATCCTAGAAGCCTAGACCGCAGAGATAAAAGCACCCACACGCTGGCGGTCAACGCGGATCTGCCAGTCTTCCGGAGAGCCTCAGGATGCCGACTCCTTGGATCACAGCACATCATCCGTGCTGATACAGTCGGGGCCGAGGTCGTGATTACATGTAGAAATCTGAATAACGGCGTTGAAAGTGAGGTTGGACCGTTGTGTCGCGTGTGCAGGCGCATCCGGTTCGAGATGGCCCGGTGCAGGTATTGAATTTCCTATTGGTCTATCCAAGGAATTATATTCGAAGTTTCTTACCATTCTAACCGGACAAGGAGACAGTCTGTCTCACATCTTTCCAGCCATTCACAAGCAGCGTCGTGGCTGATAGGCTTGGTGGTCAACCGTCGGTAGCGCGCGCGATGGGATAGACTAATCAGAGCCGCTTTGGACGCACTCGACTTGAGCCAATTGCATGGCGACTTTGACATCTTCAGGGGATGCGACATATCTCTGCTCGAACATAGGCAGCAGAAGCAGAGCACCAGAGGTCGGGAGGTCGGTATGGTATTCCTGAGCGGCATTCTGCCATTCACGAACCTCCATAGTGATCCAGAACTGTTATTGACAAGTAGGGAGTTGAAGTTTGTCGATCTCTCCTGATCCCGACTCCCACACCGTGCGTCGGTGGAGTTGGTCGACAATCATTTCCCCGCAGGTATTATTAGCAAGCGTTATTGCCCACGTCCTCTTCCTGTGTATTACCGGCAGTATGTGTGTCTCGACCATTCTTCCTCCAAGTTCCAACTGTTCACCTTGACCTTGTCATTTATGCAGCTTTATTATGCCGTTGTGGAAGTTGATAAAGAATGACCCAGGCAAATGTAATCATGGGAAAAGAGTGGGAACTGCCATGCGGCACCTCCAAATTGAGCGTCTTTAATCTTAGATTATTTCCCACAGACCTCACCATTGAAGCTGCATGGTGTTGAGTTCTTGGTGTAATTCTTTACAGAGTATCCGCCTGTCAAGCTAGCTGTCCCAGACCCCTTCCCAGGCTTCCAGCTGGTCGCTGTCGAAAGTCATGTTCGTTGTCTTGTCATGAAGGAGTTTATTAGGAACTTGTACGGTGCCCACCTAAGGTACAGTGACCCTATGGCCCCACCTGCAGCGAATCCTCCAAGTGGAGCAGTGCTACAGCGTTAGGTGCCCTGTTAGGTGCCCTGGTGCCCCTGTCTGCCTGCTAGTGGGGACCGTCCTGCCCGACAAACCGCATCTCCAGCGTGCTCCACCCCCTTTCCCAAATCCCAATTGGGGGCACCGATGTCTCCTCTCTTCAATGTCCATGCTCGTCGTCCAGGAGCCCGCACATTTCGCTCCTCCGCCCCAAGTTGCCCTTTTCCTGCTTACTTCGTGTGTCTTGTGTCTCTGGCTGTAACGACATGTTGCTGTCCCAGCAGGTTTGACTTTGTGTGTTCCGAGTCCTCCACAACTCCCACCTGTGTTCTTTGCGGTTGGTGACATGATCTGACATACTGAGACTCGACCTCGAAGTATTTCCTCAGTCTCCCGTGGCGGCTCTTATTAGCACTCTTGCGCCCCTCTCTTTTCACAACACATTCTTTTCTATACCTTGCTGTCTTCTGCCATTTTGGCACGTGGAATTGGGTGTACAGGAGACCCAAAGCGTCTTGATCGCTTGAATCACATCGCACCGCATTAGCACGGTTTCGCTCGTCCTCTTCCGCCGCTGGTTCCTCCGCCCCGACACGACATTCTCCAGTCGGATATCGAATCTGGAATACCTCCCGATCGTCCCCACGGTCCCTACCGCAATCCACCGCGCCTGAACTTGTACCATTGGACTTCAATCGCGTGCAACTTTCCGTGCTGGTGAAACGGGAAGCAGGAGACTGGCAGTTGAAACAAACCAGAAGTGCGACCCGTGGCTATTTGAGTGTTTCGACAGGAGGGAAGGATTGCGTTGCGTCGAGGCAGAGACATAGGCGACGCCGCAATCCCAGACTGCATCCTCGCGTGGCGCAACCCTCGATCCTGCCCCGTGCTGCGTGCTGTCTCGTGTCGACAGGTTCTTTGTTCTAAATTGGCCCAGCCGCCCAACATAATATTCCTACTCCCTCGACCATGAACACCCGCAATGCGCCGCTCTCACCTGTCTCTCTAGGCGGCGGCGAGTGGCCCGGCGTTCCTCCTTACCAGAAGCCCGACGGCGAGAACCCCTACCCCAATAATCGCGGTCTCATCTCGCCGCCCAGCTCGGGTGGCTCCAACAGGATGATGAACGGCTTCCCTCCCGGTGCGAGGAGCATCGGCGGACCCTCTCCTCCGCCCTCTATCGGCCGTTCCAGCACCTATGCGAGAAGCGAGAGCGGACGGAGCATACAAGAGGAGAATATCGAGGCTGTGCTGGGCGAACACTATGTCGCGCTCAAGAGATATCTATCGTCGACTTCGAAAGACGGACGCGCCAACCCGCCCCCCAACAAAGCCCGTGACAAGTTGCTGCGACTGTCATCTGTGCAGTTTAGAGAGCTTTCCACCGACGTGTTTGACGAATTGGTGCGACGGCAAAGGAGGCGACCTCCCCCGGGCGCCCCTCCCAACGCTGGCCCGCCGCCCTACCTGCTCCCTGAAGATACCTTCCACCCAAAGCGCAACCAAGCACGCCAGAAGCTGTCCACACTCGGGTCCCCCAGATTTAGAGATCTCGCCACCGACGTCTTTTGTGAATTGGAGCGGCGCATTCCTCGGTTTATTGCTGGAGACATACCTCGAATGGGAACGCCTGGTGGTCCTCCAAGTCGCACCGGCACACCTGTCAATGGTATGGGGGGTCCGAGAGGGCCCGGAGGGCCCAACCGCGCGATGCGACGGCCGTCCGATGCAAGTTCCATTCGCTCAGCAGGACCCCCAAGAATCAATGGCGAATATCCCATGCCGCCATCTCCCGGACTCCCAAACGGTGGCTTCGACCGACCACTCCCCAAGACGTTCAACAGCAACACAATTGTACCGAACAAGAGTACCATGGTGGAGGAAGACGACGACCTTACTGGGTCAAACGATGACGACCATGATGCATTCGGGCTGAGCAATCGTGCCAGTAAGAGGAGTGCCGGCACAAGTGGGGGCGCCTCTGAAGTAAGTTTTGAGCGTAGCTGGTGTAGAGCATTGCCATGACTAACACTCCATAGACGGACAAGAAGCTTATAGACGACTACCAAACCCAAGTACGAGAACTGCGGGACAAACTGGACGGGATGGAAGACCAACTGAAGAAGAAAGACGACGAGCTAAACAGCCTGATGGACAGCGAGCGCTCACGGGCCGCTGCCTCTAATGTGGAGAAGAAGGGCTGGGAAGACTTGCGAACTGATTTAGAGGGCAAACTAGCCGAGGCACAAGACCTGAACAACTCGATGCGCAACGAACTCGAGCGTATGAGAGACGACCACGCTGCCGAATCGCACAAGTTGAGGGAGGAGCTTGATTATGCCCAGGAGATGGCCGAGCAGAACAAGGGAAGCACAGACGATTCAGAGGCAATTCGGGAGAACCGCGAGCTGCGCATGGCCCTCGAAGAGCAGCAACAGATCACAGAACATGTCCGCCGTGAAACACAGCAGTATCTCGAGGAGATGAGGGCGCTGACCGTGCAACATGCGCCTTCTTACGACAGGCAGGCCCAGCTGGAGAAGACGATCGAGGGGCTGGAACAGGAAGTCCAGACCTGGCGAAGCAACTATGCCCGCGCCAAAACCCAACTCCGCAGCATGCGCGCTTCGTCGATAGGACTATCCATGGAGCTAGACGCCGTCAAATACGTCCAGGACAAAGGGTTCATAGCGGAGACCGGCCTCGTCAAGGATGTTTACGTCACCAAGTTCCAGGTTTCGATCGACGAGCTTCTGCGCCGAGTCCGAACGGACAACCCGGAGAAAGTGGTCCATTATATGAAGTTGGTCATTTTCCGAGTACAGCGTATCACCAAGGACATCGATGCCGATCAGCCCAACGACGAGGAAATCATTCACCACCGGCAGAAGCTGAGGAGCCGCGTTTCCGCCACCGCCAGTAATCTCATCACCGCCTCGAAGAACTTTGCTTCCTCTGCCGGCATTTCCCCCGTCTCCCTAGTCGATGCGGCTGCTTCGCATCTCGTCGCTGCTTTGGTGGAGCTGATGCGGGCTGTCAAGATTCGCCATACTCCAGCTGAAGAGCTTGAAGACGATGATGACGGTACGATCACCCCTGTGGACTCGGCCCAGTTTGCCTCTACCAGCACCACTACAATCCAACAAGATCCATACTCGGAACCCCAAATATCTCCGCTGGCGCCGCCTCCCGCATTGCAGGCAATCCGCGCAGGCATGCGTGATAGTGCCAACTCCTCCGCATATAGTCCTGTCAACTCGCCGAGAGAATCTGTCGAGCAGTACAACTCGAGAATGTCCGGCAATGGCGCAACATATGGGAACGGTAATATGACTTACACGGGCGCCAACCATAGCGATGCAGCGACCCGGAATGGCTACGGGCCTCGAGATACCGACAATGAAGATTTGAAAATCTATCTCGAAGACCAGTCAGCCGTAATGGTCCAGGCTATCCAGGGTCTGGTTGGGTCCATTCGTGGCAACGCACCGATCCAGGAGATTAATGACCAGATCGATTCGATTGCCGAGGTTGTCGGCACAGTCGTCTCGGTGACGGTGTCTAGCGGAAACGACGGTGAGATGCTCGACCGCCTCACGTCTTGCCGTCAGCGCTTGCTAGAGGCTGGCGACCACGGCAACAACCTTGCTGATCGAGGCCTTGGCGACACGGATCGCGAGTGGCGAATGTGGACGCAGACCCTGCCCCCTATCGCCTTTGAGATTGCACGTGTCACCAAGGAGCTTGTGCAACACATTGACCGCGTCGGCATATCGCCTGGCGAAGAGGACCTGACCTAGAACGAAATGGAACGACCAAGGTTGATACCATTGCCACATTTTCTTGACTTTGGGATGCCACTCATCCCAGATTTCACCACTAGTCATTGAGATACCCCAACAAGCTTTGCTTTGGTGGACCAAGCCGATCTTTCTGCTTCAGGTCCGGAGTACCTATCTTCGCGCCTAGTCGTGGAATGCCTACAACGTGGAGCCAAACGCACTACCACGAAACTTATTGCTAATTCCTAAAACTCCACAACCGCCGGCATCCTCAATGGACATCAGTCATCCACCCGTGATACAGGAACTTAGCTGGGCAAGGGTACTGCACTTGTGCTAGACATCGAGCGATGTTTCCAGGTCACCTTCGTGTTTTGGGCGCTGTCTACACTGCACAGTAGAGGGCAGATAAAGAGCATCTCGGGAAAGAGAGGACCGCACAACTTGGAATCAACTCGACGTAGATGAGCTCGGGTGCTCCCTGGGCTGCGGCATGAATAATGGGGGTGATGGATGGTACGAGAAGTTGGACGACTCCGGACGAGGCCATATATATCAAAACCAACATGTATGTTATAGACATTGTTCACTGCTAGAAAAGACTACGTGGCAGGGAACACCGAGCCAATTGACGTTGTACAGTACAGATCTATGGCGTACATTCACGCAACTGATTCCTTTGCATTGCGATTCTTGGTTGAGTGAAGCAGATTTCCGCTGTCTATGGTAAGTCTCTGGGTATTTTCTATAGGTGTAACTGGCCGAACGCCTAGAGTAGAATGTTTCCGAGTAGTAGGAGTCGAGTTTCCATGTAAACGGTCCGCTGCTAGTGAATGAAGGGCAGCGAGGTGTGTTCCCTCCGCAAATTGGTAAAGGGGGTAAGTAAAGCAACAAGCTCCTCCGCGAGAATCGTCCTCGTCCTCGTCCGCGCTTTCGGCCCGTACCGAATGACTGCGACCACTTTTCATGAACACCAAGTAACCATATTCGCATCTCACATCCGTCCGCTAGGCGAGGTCGCCTCAGGTCTAGCCCTTCGACACGCATCAAACAGGTCAGTAAGTCAATCCCCAAAGTCGTCTTCGTACCATTTCCTTTCCCAGCCCCTTATTCCTCTCGAGTCCGGGACGTGCTCCTAGACGTGTTCCGGGACGTGTCTCGGGAGGAGTCCGGCGACATCAGCGGGTGTGGTGCGCGCCACTCGCGGCGCTGGCTCGACGTGCGCATGGGGGCCGGCGGCGGGCTGGGCTCGGTGTTGCTGCGTATTCGGGTGAGGCTGGCCATCCCCGTCGATGTGGTGCTGGTGCTGGATGTGGATGCGGATGAGTCTAGACTTCCGGCGATTGCTCGTGCGATGTTGGACGGTCCCCGCTGTCGATGTTGCTGTTCCTGTTGCTGTGGTAGTGGTTGCTGCTGCTGCTGCGTCTGTTGATGAACAGGCGCCTGCTGGTACGTCTGCTGCAGCGTCGGGTGCGGACGCCGGGACTCCGAGGCTGAAGTCCTGGATCTGGACACGGAGTTCCCCATCTGCCTCGAGGACGACGAAGACGACGCGGCAACCGCTTCCAGGGCCTCCCGCTCGAGCTCCCGCTCGAGCAGGCTGTCCTGCAGCTGCGGGACCAGCTCGGCCCAGCGCGTGCGGCAGTCGGCCTCGTTGCGTCTCCAGAGTGCGTTTGCTACGGCCTGCCAGTCCATCACGCCGTACCGTCTCACGGCCTCCTTGAGGATGTTGTCTTCGGTATTGGACCATTGTCCCACGCCGTTGTGGGTTCTCCGCCGGGAGGGCGTGGGCCGCGGGGCGCTGGTGCTGTTGGGGCTGGTGGAGAACATGGTTGCCTGGGTTGGATCTGGTAGTCAGGGGAGGGCTTTCTTGGGAGTTGGGTGAGAGGTCTTTTGCTAGCTGTGTAATACAGGTGTGAGTATAGTATCGTCTACAAAGCTTGAGAGCCAGTACAAGAGATGAAGCAGGCAGTATGTGTGTATGAGTGGTGGTAATGTTTTTGGCAGACAGAAGAGAGAGAGAGAAAGGGGAAATAAAATGCCAGCGGTTAAAACGCTCTCATAACGGTACTCTTCTACCAAGCGCGAATCCAAGATGAGGGCGGGCTACACGTGGTCCGAAGACGGCATTCTCGTAAGATTACGCGTCTGGTCTCGTGGTCTGTCGCCTGATAAAGGCGCCTCATAAGGTTTGGGGCTGCAGTGGACCCTGGCGGTTGCTGTTGCTGTTTGTGACAACTTGACCACGATACCCTCAGGGGCCCCTTCTCACGATGCCATCACTTATATGAACCTGATTCTCCCAACTACCTACACGATTGCTTTATGCCTAGATCAACAGGACATCGTGGATGACCTGGCAACCGAATAGAACACGTCTCGTGAGTGAGCAGAACCCCCTTAGGCCATCTTTTGACGCCATCGTGAGAAGTTTTCCCAGCACCGAGATTGGTGCCTTCTACGTCAGCCTTGCGCGCCCGGACCGTTCCTCCCGCAATCGGCCATCGGCCAGTCTGGACCGGGCTGTAGCCTAGTACCTGCATCCGGTCTCGCTTGATGCCATCACGAGGGCCGTTGCCTGCTTGCTTGTGCTACATGCGACTATGGCAGTACCAACATCTAAAGTATATAGATGCTTACGTGATGACTTGGCTCTTTCCTTCTTTGATGCACTTGGAGCTGCTTCGAACCATTTGCAATCAAATAAGTCATTGTACTCATGTGTCTCGACAAGCGGGCACTCGGAGAAAGGAGCGGGAACCCGATGTCTGGCAGCAAGCGGAACCCCGTGTACCCCCAACCACCTCTCCTAATTTCACCACCACCCCCCTATATCTACCTAAGGAAGTATAAATGTAGCCACAGAAGCTAATGATGTAGCCTAGGCTGGTAGACATGATTTGCTCGTGGGGTTGTAGGGGTATATACTTGTTGCACATGAGAGTGATTCGGTGGCATGGTGCATTTGTGGATGTGACCCTGGGCAACTCTTAGTCGTTGCCCCTTTTTAACACACGTCAAGTGTCTGCAAGTTTCCATTCAATGCCTTGCTACCTCGTTATTATCCGCTATTCTCCCTAAATTCTCACCCCGCCTGTGGTGTACCTAGTCCTCGCCGGATTCAACGTGAAAACGACCCGTTCGAACGACGCCGTCTCCCAAATAGGAACTCGAGGCTAAAAAACTCAAAATGCCCTCTAATTGTCGATAGGGCAAGCCACTCGAGATCACAGTTTATAGAAACAGCTCTAGCTCCCCCAATGACGCTCATTAAGGTGCCTTGGCCATCTGATCCACCCCCCCCCCCCCGCGGAAAATAAAGGAGGGCAAGGAGCGGAACAAGTTAGAAGCTGTCAGGAAGCATCCTGGAGAACAAAGAACCTTCATGTACATATACATGGCCTCCGCGCCTGACTAGTATTGCTCATCTCTGCAGAACAACATACCATTTACCCCCCCCATGGTTCGGCCTTGTGACAGAAGCTGCCAAGTAGAGAAAACGGAACCGGACAACAACGGTCCAACGTCAAGACAACGCCACCTTCAGAAGGACTGGAGAGTCCTAGGTAACAAATCCCACTTCCCTTCATCTGACGTAAGGTTGTCAACAACGTTGTTTTGTTACGAGTTAATTTAACTATGCTCCGTCCTACTCCTAATGTTTACCTCGGAACTGCAAGACCCAGTCATCGTGGATCCTATCGAAAAGCTCTTCTCGGACATGCCTGACGGCTCTGGATGACGCCTATACTACTCGAAATCGACAGGAGCAGCGGTGTCTCATCTCCCAGACCCCACTGGGTTTGCGGCTCGCTTTTGTTGAGAGACTAACCCTCATCTACTTCTCCCACGACAACTATTTTTTCTTGGCGCCCCGCTGTTAGGGCGTAACCTCGATACCTGCACTAAAGTAGGCACTTCTTTTAGTAACTGACTATCTTTGTCAAGGCACAAATTTTTTTTTCTCATAAGCCGGATGGCACCCTTCCACAACGGGCCCCTAAACACGCCTATGGCCATCCCAAAGACGACCACTGGCGGCATGCTCAAATCCCCGGCCCCTAAAAAGACATACGGCCCGGCAACTCCGAGCAGGCTCTGCCAGGCGCTGCTTAACAACATCAGCAGCAGCCTGTCACAGGTCTCCGAGGCTGACTTTACCATTATTTCCCCTCTGAAAGGAAAATCCCGAAATATCAATGACGGCAGCACCACTAGAATGAAATAACCTCAATTAAACGAAATCTCTATAGATCAAGCCATTGAACGCGATACTGGGAGTAAAGCCGCCTCTTCAGAGTGCTAGGACCAAGTTGCCAAAATACTAGATAAAGACAGGCACCTTTATAAAACCAGGATGACAATGTTTCAGGAGTGTGCTGCAACAGTTGACAAGACACTTGAGAAAATCGGAACCGAATTATACTCACATGCCAAGGAGTTCAGCGCCTTCTTCTCTAAATGCCTGAGCGAGTGGCTAGAAACCCGAGATTCAACCATAAGGAAGACCACTTCCGGGGGGATGGTGATGGGGAAGCCCACCATGACTTTCGCCCAAGCTGTCTCTTCTAACCACCGACAACATCCACTGACAGTCAACACCACCATGAAGAAAACACAGCCTGGTGCCCTTATTAATGTCAACCAATAAAGAAGAAACAGGATGATCTCTGGGTCTTTGTCCGTATGGACAATAGCCATTTAGAGCCTTATGGGATAAAGTCTACACTAAACAAAAGACTTAAGCTCCATCCCCAAGAGCTTAGAGAGGTGACGCGGTGCCTCTCCGGGTTCACCTGACACCCAAGGGACAAGCCAACTCAGACTAAGCTCCTGGCTTTCCAAGAAGAGATCGCTGACATTCTTAAGGTATAAAAGATCGAAACCTACACGGTCTGGCATCACTACAAGATTGATGGATGCCCAAAGAAGGTCATCAGTGCGGAAGGGTTTATAATCGATATTACCAACACTGCTGTCGCTAACGAGATTAAAGCCCAAACAGGCAACAGACCTTTAAGGTATATACTCTCAAGAAACACGGTTGATTCAAATCCAGAGACCACATGGGTGATCTCTCTGCCCTGTACAACAAAAAAACCATTCATGCTTTTTGCTCACTCAATGACCTCGAGACACATTCAATACTCCCCTAAGGTTCACCAGTGTGCGAGCTGCTTCAGATACCATGGTAGAAACTACCGATGTAAAAAGCAAATATGTGCACGTTGTGCCAGCACAGTACACCAGGGGGAATACAAAAAACCAATCCCAAAGTGTGTCAACTGCAAGGGGTCTCATGCTGCCGACTTCGACAAATGCCCTGCACGCCCCAAGGTCATGAAAGGTATCATCCACAAGCACACATGGGAACAAATTCAGGAAATAAGGCTGGCCGGAGAAAGAGCCAGATCCAAGGCCTTCAATGAAGCAGGCGGAAACCAAGCTGGGTCAACACCCAGCAACAATAACAAAGACATCACAATGCAAATCGACACAACAGATACAACTCATCCTAGAGATGCCGATACCATTGTTGTCAGTCAATGTTAGGTACATCAAATGGAACACATCGACACGGGCATCTAGTCATCCATTCTGTGAATACAGCAGGAGGACAAAAGAGTGCAGGCCCTACAGAGTTAACCATCAACCTGGCTGACTACAAAGGAGAACAAGCAGACATCATTCTGATGCAAGAGCCCTGGGTTGGCATACCACCAGGCAGGAGAATAAGAGTAAAGACACACCCCAATTACGATATATACTCCCCAGTGGATTCCTGGGACAGCGACAGTACACAGCCCATATCTCTTATTTATATGAAAAAATACCTTTAAGCGGATCAATTTTGGCCCTATGCTACACGAGACATCACCTGGGTCAAGGTACAAGGCATTACATTTGCCAGTGTCTACCGGCCATGTGACAACCCATAGGAAGTGGATGATATTCTGGAAGTATGGACTCCACCTTTTGGCTGCGTTATAGCTGGAGATTTTAATGCTGGCGACACATCCTGGGACTCGAGCAATCCAGGATATCATGGTGGCGTCATACTGGCACAGACTATGGCAGACCACGGACTGGATCTGATTTCTGAACCAGATGTCCCAACATATGATGACGGAAATATACTAGATCTGGTGTTCTCAGATGTCCCTATGGCCGAAGCCTCAGTGAATGATGCACTCCAGTGCACTTCAGATCATGAGACATTACGAATAGTCATTCCAATTCAGGGAGATCTAGACCGAGTCCCCAAGGCCAATCATTGGATAGTACCAGACAATAAACTATAAGAGCTGGCAAATAATTTCCAAACCAGGATTCATGAACTCCCCCGGCTGGGTGTATCCCCTGGCCAGGTGGATGCCTTTACATAAAGCTTGATCAATATGATCCAAGGCTGTATCAGGACAGTGGGCAAGAGGCCCCGTCAATCTAGGCCCACTGCTTGGTGGAATGATGACTGCAAAGCAGCTGTTCAGACATACAGGGCCCTTTCTAAACAGACTACAAGCTAAGAAGGGCGGAATTCAGCCCGACGGGAATTTTGCCACGTGGTTCAGAAAGCTAGGAGAGAGTACTGACAGAATCTAATTGATTCAGCAATTGAGCCAAAGGACCTATACAGAATCGTCTCTTGGCACAAGCTATCAGCAGGATTGCGCTCCCCTCCAATCATCATAAGAGAACAAATATTCGAGTCATAAGAGAGCAAGGCAAATGCATTACGCTCAGCCACGTTTGAACGAAGTACCCCAGACAATGATATCATCGACACCTGGTCCACTCAGATCACACAACCCAAGCCACACATCCCCCTTGAATACTATGTCAGACTGGAAGAGGCTGAAGGGTACACTATAGGGACCAAGAGAAACTCCCCGGGAGTAGATACCCTCACAGTACGGATTCTGAAAGCTTGCTGGCCAGTCATTAGGGAACATATCAGAGCCCTTTTCCAGACCTGCCTACAGATTGGACACCACCCTAAATCATTCAAAGTAGCTGAGGTGGTGATGATCCCAAAACCAGGCAAGAAAGACTATTCCAATCCCAGGGCCTACAGACCAATATCGCTATTATCATGTCTTGGCAAAGGCCTTAAACAACTTATTACAAAAAGAATTACCTGTTTGTTGTTAAACTTGGAATTCTAGCTCCACAACATTTTGGAGCTCTATCAAAGCGCTCTGCCACTGACCTGGTAGCTGCACTCATACACGATATTGAGCAGGCCCTCGACCAAGGCCTCGTTGCAACGGTAGTCACATCAGATGTGAAAGGGGCCTTTGATGCTGTCCTAATGGGACGGCTGGTGGTTTGCATGAGAGAACAGGGCTGGCCGGGCTTTCTCGTAAGATGGATCCAGTCATTCATGTCCGAGCAGTCCGCAAGGGTTCAGTTTGAAGGTATTGTGACCAATATAAAAGCCCTCACTTGTGGGCTACTATAAGGCTCACTACCAGCCTCTCTAATCCTTTACATGCTGTATATAGTGCCAATTTATGCCCGACTCGGTATGAAAAGGAGACGCTTTAGATACGCAGACAACCTAGTGATTCTCTGTATTAGAAAGAACTTTAAAAAAATAGCCATAAAAGCTTCTAAAAATTTTATTTATTTAATTAATAAGGACATAATAACATTATTAAATTTGGTCCCAATAAAACCAAGATCATGTACTTTTTATGAAAAAAGAACTCAGACAATCCTCCAGTCCGTTAAAGAATAATAAACAAAATAACAAAAGACTCCATGCAATGGCTAGATGTCCTCCTAGATAGAAAACTAAACTTCAAAAATCATGTTTCCTACTGGGCTAAGAAAGCTAGTAAGGTAATAAATCACCTTTAAGGACTATGCAACATAGTCAAAGGACTTCCAGTAAAGTTAACTAAGAGGGCTGTGAAAGCTTGTGTTATTCCTATTCTTACACATGGCCTAGAGGCCTGGTACCTAGGAATCAAGAAAGTTGGGAGCTTAGGTGGGACATCAGCATATCGCATTAAGAGGCTTCTTAGAACGATAGATGCTGTACTACAAACGGCGATCATGGCTATCTTGCCAGTCTGGAAAACACACCCTGGACATATCTTACACTTTGAATCGCAGATTCCCCCAGCAGGAGTTCTTGCAGAGTCAATAAGACGACGTCACGGCCTCCGACTAGGACGAATAGATCAGAGACACCCTCTGGTTGGCAGGCTCCAAATACAAGCTCGCAAGGATCCAACAAGGCTACAAAGGAGCTTCCAGCTAGTCCCTGACTTCCAGAGACCAATACTTACCAGGCCATCATGAAAGAAGCGCCCAATCCGCAAAGACAAAGACAAAGAAACAGAGCTCTTCAAGCAATGGTTATAAGAGAGAAACGTGAACACTGACCTTGTCATCTACTCAGATGGATCACAGTTGAATGACCAAGGCACAATCCGCACTGGATGGGGTTATACCATCAGGAAAGGCGGCACTACACAAGAAATATATCAGGGAAAAGACAAACTTCTTCAAACAGAAATAATAGATGCTGAAGTCCATGGCGTTCTCCAAGGTCTCACAGGAGCCAGGGCAATTAAACACAGAAAACGGCTATATGTCTGCCTGGACTACACGTTAGTGGTAGATGGGCTCAATGGGACTCCACCTGAGACATCACAGAACATTTTCCTACGATTCCAAGAACTTGCCACGGCACACACTCCTGGAGTGACCGCCAAATGGATTCCTGGACACAGAGTGTGACAATCAGGCCTGCAGCTGCGCTGGTCAGGGCTGATGGGTTGAAATATCTAGATTCAACAATATCTAAGGAAGAAGAGGCAAGGTCGGAAGAGAACGGGGAAGCTAAGGGTATATATGTACATAAATATATGGAGGTATTATGTAATACCGTAACACAGAGATATTAATGGCAACAAAGCTGCTAACATACTAGCAAAAGAGGGTGCCATGTTAAAAACGGACACAATGAACCTTCCTACAATCTCTTGGGTAAAGAGAGATCTCAAAAAAAAGAACAAAAGAGAATTCGATCAATAGTAGAAAGACCAATCAGAACCAAGGTATCAAGAAGTATACTCACATGCAGTAACTAAAAAGGACCTTATATCTTTTAAAAGGAGCACTTTACACAGACTTCTAGCGGCTAGATCTGGACATGGCGACTTTGCTAGATATCACGAACGTTTTGGGCATACAGACTTGAATAACTACTGCAGCTACGGTAAGAAAAAAACACCACAATATATATTTTTTTATAAGAGGTTTGGGAAAAACCGACTATTGTGTAGGTACTCGCCTAGGACAGCTTGTTTATAATACTTAGGGGAGAGGAGCACAGAATGGACAAAATTCGTGGAGAAGAGCAAGTTCTTTTCAACAATCTGCCCCCGATAGATAGCTTTTCTTGAAGGACCAGATGGATGACCCCAAGGTCATACCGCCGCACCAACGGGGATGGGCCCGTGAGCGGGACTGACTGTACTTATTATCTTGAGACCTCCACAACCCTGCAATACAGAGGCTCTGGGAGGCGTGGTTTGCACTACTGAGGAGCTACCCCCCACGTTAAATACAATCAATCAATCAATCAATCAATCAATCACCAAATAGCTGTCAGATGTCACTTTCCCGGTTATTAGGTAAGTAAGAAGGTCCCCCCTTCAGTTACCCCTCTTCCGCTTCCAATACAGACCGTTCTGAAATCTCACATATCCATAAACAACAGTCAGGCGTACTAACGCAGGAACTTTGCACACATTGGCGTGAACCAACCACATGTTGTATACTGTATGAATTGGCCCCTGGAGCTAACCACGCCGTCGACATGTACTGCGGTCAACACAAAGGACCCGAGTTCATGTCCCACTTGGAGCGTTTTGTGCGCTGGCGCGATTCGGAAGATCTCCCACGCTCAGAAGATGAGCGTCAACCTTGTCGGCGATCTAATGACAGGGGGGTTCCTCCCGGTAGACAGGCTGGACGAGACCCGAAGCAGCCTGGGGAATGTGCTCCGAGGCAACGGCTTCCCGGATAGGGGCAAGTTCCTCAAGTTTTTCGATAGCCAATACGAAGAACCGTGTGCCCAGATCATAACCAAAGCGAAGATGGCCTGTCTCGCAATGCTGGCAAGAAGAAGAGAGGCGATACTCTGGCGCATATGCTTGGACGACCAGCTGCAAGACCGTTTCGCTCTCTCTGCTGGGGCTACTAGCCGATTGCAATATGTCTGACTGATGGGGGCAAGAGACGCAGGAGCACGAGAATGATGATGAGGAGACGCTGAAGCGATTCTGAAAGGCTCGTCTGGATCGGTTCGGGCTCAAACTTCACGACAATGGTCTTTTCTGCCCGCCCAGGAACAGAAGTCCACACCCAATCGCTAGGTAGGCCTTGCTACTCTGGAGAACGCGGAGGCGGATCGTCTTGATATTGAGGGTTGGTACTGAGTATATCACCTGCAAGGCCCTGGGAGCTGCAGGGGGCATCTTTCCGGTCTCGCACTTGCGTGAGAAGATCGTACCACCCACGACACAAGCTGGTAACTGAACATTGGGCCGTATGCCTGATAGCTGTGACAAGTGCTAACGGCAGACGGGTGAGTAGCCGGCCGCCAGGAACACAACCGTTGTACCATCCCCCCCATATAAGTCGGACACCCCCATTAGTCGGCCAGCCAAATTGTGGGGTCACCACCAAAACACACCCTTATTCACCCACCCACGAATGAAGCTATTCAGATCAGAGATTTATGGCAATATTATCATTCGAAAGCGCTGAAGCCGTTTACTCGTACAATTGTGCGGGCGCCCGAATGGCTCGCCCCGAACGGGTGTGCCTAGGCTCCTGTACAGCCTCCAAAACCTCCTCTTCAGCCGAGTCTTCGTCTTTGTCCTCTGAATCCTCTGAATCCATAACTACAACTTCTGTTTTACCTGTAAGGGCACCAGGGGTGATAGTACCACCCGTACTTAGTATCTGCGTGACTGTTCTGAATTTCCTGTTAGAATTAGGGACCTTCTTCCGCTTCTTAGGCCGTGCCCGCTCCAGTTCAGCCTCCAGAGCCTTGATCTTCCTATCCTTGATCATAAGCTCGGTCTCTTTAGCCTCGAACGCGTTCGCTATCTTTTTATACTTCAGCCTGGTTCCTGGATATCTTTTTTTGCCGAAATCCATGATCTGGCGGCTCGTAGTAGGCGTCCGCTGGTCTTCTGGTTCAGAGCTTTCAGGGGTATCAAGCTCAGGGGTCTTTCTCTTGTCTTCTTGTATCTCTGGGTGCTTTAAGCACTTCCTGCGGCTGATAAGATAACATCCAGTAACTCTGCAGCCAGAGAGGATGTTTTGTTTTGTGAAGACAGTAGTTCTGGCCTTGCTATAGCACCGGATGAAGTTGATCTTGTCAACAGGCGAGGCATCCGTCAAGGAACTCAGCTCAGAAAGGAATTTCTGGTAGTATGCCTTCAGGGCATTATAGGGACCGTTATCCAGGGGTTGCATGCAGTGACTAGTATGCGCAGGAAAGAAACAGAGCAATATATTGTTGAGAAGACATATAGTCATGAATTCGTCCTATCAATACATATTAGACCATATTAAATCGGGAAAACTTAAAGGGAGTCCATTTAAAATAAAGAAAAATCGTATACGTACGGAGGTGTGGCTCTTGTGGCCATCCAGTATCAAGAGGATAGCCTCAGACTGGTCTCCTTCTCGTTCTTCGTCTGCCTGTGGGAGGAAAACATCCTCTAGCCACTTGCAGGCTATAGTATTCAAAGTCCAGCCGTTCTCTGAGCATATATAGTGCCAATCTGTGGTCTTTCAAAACTCGTTGATAAATCACTGCACTTGGAGGTCCTTCTCCTTAAAGATAATACCTGGTTTGAGGATTTTTCTAGTTATTGAGATGGTCTCGATGAAGGAGGTCCAGCTACGGCCCTGTGGGCTTTTCAGGAAGGCTTTCTTGGTAGCAGAACTACCCAAAACTAGGGAATCAATGCCTATGAATTTAATAAGATTTTTTCTGGAATTAAAGGGGTTGATATAACTACCAAAACCCGCCATAATGCCGCCCTTATCGACGTTATAGGTGTTCTTTGGCTTCACCCAGCCGTAATCTTCGAGAATTTCAAAGAACCAGTTAACTGACTTGGGCATGAACCCTTTGAAGCGTGCTGCTTCCATCCTTTTGCCGACTTTTGTCTTGCTTGAAGGCTGCCATGAAGGTGTCTCCTAGGGGGCCCTCATCTCCCTTCTTCTTCAACAGCTTCTTGACGATCTCACGAACCAGGGAGTGCAAAGGGGCTAGGCCGAGCTTTTCCTGTAGTAGAATCTACTTGACTATAGTCTTTTCCTGGGCAGGGGATAGTCTCTGTTGCTGTGTGTGGGCTTCGATTCTGGTAGCCTTGCTGTTGAGTCGATCAGACAGCGTTTAGTGCAGAATACCGTGTTTTTGACCGGCTTTTTGCACAGATAGGCCCTCATTTGTGATATCTAAGATGGCTGAAGCCATCTGATCCTCCGTATATGAATAGGGAGGCATTTTGGGCGACTATACGATGCTGCGGTGCATACAGAACGAGGCTTCAGGAGAGCCGTGAAAACTCTATTTGGGGTACCAAAAGCGGGGTAATAGCTCCTCAATCATGTAAACCGGGAGGGGTAAATTTAGCATTAGGAAAAACCTCAAGATCAGGGCTATCTAGAGCACTAAATACATTGTGAATAGCTTCAATATCAGGCTGAATCTGTATAAGTGAACATGTGGGAGTTTTGGTGGTGATGGTGGGGTTTGGCTGGCCGACTAGTGGGGGTGGCCGACTTCTATGGGGGGATGGTAACTTGTATCAAATTCAGCCTAACCAAGGTCCAAGGCTGCTTCGACAAGTCGCGAGCTTAGCCACCGCCATGCACACGTCGGCATGGGTTGTGGTCGCATCTAGTATCAGCCGCACTTGGCAAGAAGGGCGCATGTGGTGAGAGTGGTGGATGTCGCGGGATGTCTCTGGGCCGTCTTACAATATGTCGTGGCCGGAAGCGGTCTGATTGGTTCACGTGGGGGTCTGCGCTCGGTGGCCGAAACGGTCTAGCTTCATCGGTAGACACTCAGACACTGTACTCGAACACTGTGCTTGGTAGCGTGCCAATTTAGGCATGGCGGCGTGCCATGGGGGGCCGATCTGCGGGTCATCTCGCTAAAGAGCGCCGTTTTCTGTCTAGAAGGACAGTGCTGGCTACCTACTCCCTACCATCTGCACTGTACACTAAGGTATCATCACGTCTTCTGATCCATCGTCCTCGACATTATGGCAAATTCGGGATCATTCCAATGCAGCTGGAACATTGAAGTCTGCAAGGTCGGCTGTACCTTCTGAGTTTTATCTCTTCAACGAGACTTGGAGCCAACCTGTATCGATCTCGTACGGGCTGGACCCCCTGAGAGTGATATAGACTATACGAATCAGTCCCCCCTTAGTAAAAATCGTCTTACACGAACAATGACTTTCCTCTTCACAACTCGGATTTGAATAACACATACGGGGAAGGAACCTGATATAGGCACCGTGCTGCACTATGGCGGTACTGCGTACTTCAGCTGACAGGGACAACGTCTTTATGACCTGTCACGAAACTCAGCCGCATCACTAGGTCATCTCCACCAATATGTCTAGTCTTCTCAGCATTGGACCAAGGGCGTGTATACCAAGTCCTCCATCCCTGGCTACAGCGCCATCCAGGCGCCTTGCTTCATGGAGGGTATCCAGGGCCATGTCCTTTTGCTGCTGCAGCATGTGCGGCTTACTTCCATCCAGCAAATACTCGACCCTATGGCCTGTCTTGAAGCAGCCCGACCCTCTTGGCTCTTGGCAAGCCATCAGCTCCAGCCTGAAAGTCGGCTTGCTGTCTGTGAATATGAGAGAAGGGTTCCCCTCCCTCGGAACGGCATGTTTCTGCTTCTGTCCTCCCCTTCTTCTCAACTTCTCCAGTCTTTCGTAAACGTCGCCATCGTCGCCCTCGCTGCCTATTGTTCCCACTCGTTGTGTCCTAGTAAACAGACATGTCGAACAACTATTCAAACGAGCGTGTTGCTGGCAAAGAGCACATACCACTCTACCCCCGAGGCTTCATAGCCGTCCGCATCATCCAGCTAGTTGTTGCGGTCGTTTGCTTGGGTCTCTGTGCCTATGGTGTGACGTATCTTGTCTACGCCGGCGATGCCCTGATGCTCTTCACTGTCAGTCCCGTCCAAGTATGTTGGAATGACGCCACCTGCTAACAACACATCAGGCCATCGCGACGATAATAGCCAGCGTCTACTGCTTAGTTTCCCATTACGGCCCTTCCAGATTCTTCAACTACTGGGCCATACTTGGCTTGGACGTCTTCCTCGTCATTTTCTGGCTCATCTCCTTCGCAATCCTTGCTGCTCAGGTCGCCGCGGGCTTCTTCTATTCCACCTCAGACTACTACGACGACTACTACGGCTACTATAAACGGAGCGCTGACACTGATACCACTACCTATGCTGCCTGTATGGCAGCAGCAGCAGGTCTGGGCGGCGTGGAGTTGTAAGTTTATCGGATTGTCGAATGCACGCGAATAGTCATTAACACAGATCCAGCATCCTCTATGTCGTCTCACTCGTGATCCATAGCATAATGCTATACCGTCACCGCAAGGCTGGCCTCAAATGTGTGCCGGGCAAAGCGGCTTCTGCTACTGCTGGTGGCGAGAAGATCCAGATGCAACCACAACAACCGCAGGGCTATGCTGCTGCCGGCTCGCCCCCTGTCCAGCAGACGTATTCTGCTCCTCAACAGCAGAGCATTTACGCGCAGCCACAAGCACCATCTCCTCTCTCGGCGCAGACCACGGGTGACCCCTATGCGCAGCACCAGCCCGTGGCTTCCCACGAGCCCGTATACGAGATCCCTGGCCAGGGTCAGCCGCATCACACCTGATGGGAAGCGATAACACAGGTTGCAACTTGAAGGGCCTGTTTGGAAACTGCGCATGCGCTGTCTACTCTGGTAGCTCGCTAGGTGTTGGTGTCATAATTGTTTCAGTTAGAATCCGATTTCAGGCTACCGAGGGCACAATGAGGAGTTGGGACGGCGACAAAGCGATCATGATTCACAAAGGAAAGGTCACCAATGGATCTAATAATCAAGTGCTATACTATCTATTACCCTGCTTACAAAGACTCACACATTTCCAAAGTCCGTCAAAGGTCCGAATTGGGCTATTCAACAGGTTGCATGCGGCGCCTTCAACCAGCTGCTAGGAATGATATGTCTCACTGGCGCTGCCGAAAGCGGCAACGTCCTTACGGAAACATCCAATAGAGTCTCAACGTTTCCAGTATATGTTCTAAGACTATGGGGTCGTCTTTGTCAATCAAGTGCTTTTCTACAAGTTGTCACTCGTTCCTTTTCTCGTTGACCTGCACGCCTCTCTCACTTAGCACTCAACAACCCGCGCCGAAGTCGACTGGCCCCTTACCTGCACCGTGTACAGCTTTTGGAACGCGCTGACCGACATTGATCACTCTGACGGACCACCGGCAGCTCTAGCAAGATGCCGGGCGCCAATAGAGCCGCCTCCTGGACTGGTACCAACACCACGACACCTAGAACTTCGAGTAACGGCTTGCCAATAATCAAGAGGACAGCACTACCAGGGCAACAAGGACAGCAAGGGCAGCAAGGGCAGCAAGGGCAACAAGCGCAACAAGCGGGCCAAGTCCATCCCAGAACTTGGAGAGAGAAAATCAAATACTCGATACCTATCTTCGAGGATCCCGACGCAAAATGGGGACCTTTCGCCCAAATTACGAGAGCGGCCAGAAGAGACGGGAGATGGGAAGAATGGAGCCTCGATACCATGTGGAAAGGCATACCCCCTACGATACAGGAGCCCCCAAGCGGGCTGAAGTCTTGGATCAGTTCTCGGATCAGTTCTGCGGATGAACCGCCCAAGATCAAGTCTGCCACGGCCACCCCCAACCCGGGCACCAACTTCGCTCCGGGTACCCCTGGAACGAACTCTGCGAACGATGCTGCCAACAGAGCCAGTCGTTTCCGAATGAGCTCCAAAGCGAAAAACACCGACTGGACCGGGTCCGACACGGACAACCTCCCCGTGGAGAAGAATATCTTTGAAGATGGCTTTAACGAATTTGCAGGGGACTTCAGCCCGCACCAGTCAGACTTCTCTGAACTCCTCGCCGGCCGCACCAAGCACGAGACAGAGTATTCGGACCAGCACTGGAAATGGCTATACGAAATAGTGTACAACAAGACAGCCGAGTTCGCCGAGCGGTGGTTCGACTGCGGCGTCGGCTTCAGCACTGTTCTCGCAGCAGGCCAGTCAGCATGGGGCTCTGCCATGACGGAGCAGTTTATACAGTACTCTCGGTTGGTCGCCCATGAGGACCGTCCAGAAAACACCTGGCGCGAGATCCTGCACGACCCCGTGCAGCGCAAGTGGCTCTGCGTGGGCATATTGGCTCAGATCTTCGAGAAGAAGATCTTCAATGAGATTTTATTCGGTGCGGACGAAAAGTTCAAGAAGAAACTGGACGAAGAAGACATGAGGGACATCGAAACAGAAGGCAAGACCACCTGAGCGCCATTAGCGATCGCCCACCCTGGTCGACCGACCATATCATGGACGTGGTGCTGACATTTGTGGTCGCAGGTTACGGTCGGAAGGCAAGTCGTAGCGCCTTCGCCAGGACTGCCGTGGGGTGGGATCTCGTGCCCAAAGAGTTCTGGAACCGCGTGGACGATCTGACTGCCCAGGTGCTGATCATCTTCAAGCCGCTAATCCAGCTGCTCATGCCGTACAACTCGGACCTCTCGTGGTACAAGATGTTCGTCTTCTGGCAGGAATTGCACGTCCTCGTCTCATGGGCCGCCTTCTTCCAGGTCTGCACGGCCCTGTCGCCCTCGGTCTTCCACTTCCTCTCGGCGACGCCCGGCGCGCGCATGGACTACCCGCTGGAACAGCAAGCCGACGTGGCGCTGTACCGCCAGTCCAAGACCCGCCACGAGAGCCAGCACGATCGCTGGCGGAAGGCGGTCGACGCCAAACTGCGAGGAGAAGCCCCTCTTGCCATCCCCCCCCCGTCTCCACCCGCTGGACATGGCGGATCTGGACTTCAACAGCTTGCCCACGAACGCTGCTGAGGTACGCGTCGCGGAGCACCACCGTCTGCGCGGGGCCAAGATCAAGTTTGCCGTCTTCCCCAAGCTCACCATGTACCGGCGGAGGAACCTCGGCCGGCCGCTCCCGGACCAGGGCAGCAGGGCGTACTCGCAGCAGGAGCTGGAGGACGACTTCGAAGGCCAGCGCATCGTCAACCTTTCGAACTGCCGCGTCGTCTACTACCAGGGCCTGATCTACCCGCGTGACGGTCAGGACGACAGCGTGCCGCTGGAGGTTCATCTCAACACCCTCGCGCAGCAGGGTGCTATTGTCCCTCGCCGGCTGTCGTGGGTGTTCTCATTCTTCCCGAGACTGACCATTGGATCCGGATCCGGATCCGGGTACTGGTGCGTCAACGGCAAGTGGAAGAGGAAGTTTCTCTGCTGGAATGCATACAATCCCAAGGTAGCAACCTTGGTATATGGCTTGTTCTACAGCGTTTTCGGGATGCTTCCCTACCTTCTCCAGTTCGTCAACTGGGGCATGTCGCCAGCAACATGCGGGTGGTACGGATACTTTCTGGATATGTCCTCAGCACTTCTTGCTTTCGCCCTGATCTGGTGGGGTTCCTCCTACCTGTACTACAAGAAGCGCGACGAGGGCATAAGCTTCGCGTTTTCTGTCGGGCTTGCCGCGCTGACCGTCGCGACATGGTACTACTCAGGTGCCAGTCTGTCTGATAAGATGCAAGACTTTGTTAAAACGATTGGTCCGGTTTTCGAGCACAACTTGCCAACGCTCGCCCCCATCGTCAGCGGCATTCCCGAATTCTCGAAGAACTTTCTTCTCTCTGCCTGGATCGGCTGCGATGCCAACGGGCCAACGCCTGGTAACGGTCCTGTACTGCCATCATGCAATTTCACCGCGCCGGTGGGAGGCAAGTAGGAATGGGTTTCGCTCGGTTGAAAAGGGTTACAGGAGGGTTGATTTCATGTGGGACTTTTTAACTCGCTGTTGTCATTTACTAGTTATCATCAATACGAATTTCATCTACCTGTTTCTGCTAGTAATGGTCTAACCCGTCTTATTTTTATTATCAAGCTCTTCGACCGCAAGGGAGGAGCCAATCCCAAATACCCTAAAATACGAGAAAAGGCAGAGCCGCGTGATATGCACATCATCGACGATCACCAAGTCAGGGCGAAAAGCAGAAACCCCACGTGGAACATCTTTGCTCGCCCTTCAAGTTAGTCGCGCAGGCGCCAGGGCCAGTATAGAGATCCAGAACGAATTCGGCCACTCAGCAACGATTAGTCCTCAAGATTCTGAAGAATGAGCTCAACTTCAGCGTCAGAAGTCTCAAGGATATGTTCCGGCTTGTAGAGAGGCTTCCAGCCAAGCTCCTTGTTCCCACGATCTGCAGTGAATTCACAGCTGTTGAAGTCAAAATAGATCAGCATATGTCCTAGTGTGGGGAGTAGATCTCGAGAACTCACCTTCCTCCCAGGGTAACCGGCACCAGTTCCTTCGGAACACCAAATACCGAAGCGAGGGTTTCGAGGATCTGGTCATTGGCCAACAGAACGGAGTCGTCTGCAATGATGTTGCGCTTGGTTAGGGCTGATGCCATTGCGAGATACAGGTCATCCCACTATTTCCCAGAATCAGCTGTCGATCAAGTCCAGCAATGCATTTGATGACTTGAAGTAGCTTACGGCGACGCTTCCTGAAGAAGCAAGATAGTAGCCGTTCTTGCCATAGCCAGGGTCCTCGTCCGCTAGTATCTTTCGCATCAGGTCTAGGTACATGATGGTGTTGTCAACGACATGGCAGACGGGCCAGGTCTAAAGTTGTCAGTCGAACAAGTCTTGACGTGGAAGAGCCGAGGAACTTACTGGTCGATCGGCATCAAAACGGTACATGCGCCCCATCGATTTGGCTGCACGGACTATTGCGACCGTCTGGATCGAGATGGGATTGCCGAAACCTTCGCCTTTTCCGTCTGTGATCTTTCGTATCAGCTTATAACTTTCGATATTGTCTTCCGAACACGTACACACGATACACGGTACGAATATGTAGCTTCGAACACCATGCTTTCCTGCTTCCTCGATCACAACGCTATTCGTATGAACTGCCTTTGAACCAGTCAGTGTTATTGTTGTCGGGAACGGGCTTCGGTTATGAACCCACTTCTTGCATCAACTCGAAGCCGGCTTTCTGGGACTTCTGAATGTCGTATAGCTTGGGATCAGTGTCAAGAAGGGTCCTGTCGGTGGGAGCGCCAGCATGATTCGAGAAGACTTTGGCTCCGCTAGTCTGCGAATTCCCACTTCGTTAGATATTGGCCTACAACTTCTCTGACCCGCAGTGAGTTATTGAGCACGTACATGCAGCAGATGAACCTCATGACCGGTTCTCTTCTTCACTTCAGCCAGGGCTTTGATGAAGTGCACCTGGGCCTCTGAGAACATCGCGTCGATCAGGTAGTATACGACAGTGATGGCGTTCCCGACCACAGCGGCTTGCACTGCGGCCTCTTCGGTTGGGTTGAACGACAGAGGCTCAGCACCATACTGCTTGACGGCATTGGCCTGGTCGTCGGTGCGCACCAAGGCGTACAACTTTCCGTATGCCGGCAGATTGGCGGTGCCCCAGCGGGCGAGAAGAGTTCCACCAAGGTAACCAGAACCACCAGTTATGAGTACGTTGTGAGACATGTTGAAAGGTACCTATCCAGTGATCGCGGCGGGCTATTCGTGGCTGGAGCCTGGACTGATCGGAGTCAACCATACAGTACTTCAGGGTAAGGCATCGCAGTCGGCCCCTATAAGTAATGGTGGAGACATGTCCGGGTCAGGCCCCGAGTGAATGATTGCAAATCACCCGAACCGGCTCCGGGTGGATGATTGCAAATCACCCGAACCGGCTCAGGGGTCGGAAAGACACTGCGCACCTACATGCCTATCGGTGTAAGCCCGTAAATCGCACCTTGAATTTGGACAACCCCCGAATAACTTGGCAGCCCAATTATTGACGGTACCCTATTACTCCGTCCAAATCGTGATGTCTTCTGTAGCATCGCCGCAATAGTCGTCCCGGCGGACAGTCTGTCAGGCCGGAGTGGCCACCGAGGGAGAATCAGGCTTATGTCATATACGGGTCATTATTCACCCTGTGACTAATGCATAGCTTCAGCATCTCAACCTTTGGATGCAACTATTGATGTTGTTGTTGTTGTTAGCGTCTGTCACCTCCTTTTCTCCTCTCTGCGATTGCATCAAGTGCTTAGCATTGAGTAGAGGTGTCTTCCAAACACACAACCGCGTGAAGACTACTGCCCAGATATTCATCTGCTTTCAACTACGTGGTATTGAAGTCGAAAAACACCGACCCTGGCAGAGGACATTTCGTTCGAGCAACAAATCTCAGACATAGGTACATAGTATAGTTACCTACGAACAGTATGCTCAGAAGAGCTCTCGCTTTGACCATGTGACCAGAACTGTCCATCCCATTCTACTGCTGCTGGTTCGGGGGGTGCAAGACAAAGACAACATGCCACCCCATGGATGGCAGCAAAAGCAAACCTGGGGTCTCTGCAGCTTCAGGGGGAGTTCATGCAGAGGCGGGTGCTGCCAAATCTCGTCTGTTTGCCAGCTTCCCAGCCCGGCGAATGGAGAGACGACAACAATGCCGCAGCCTTACATGTAGCATGGATGGCAACAGGTAGCCACCATGATACCCCCCAGTTCTGCAGGTAGGGGTACCGTTGCACCCAGATTAAGCGCGAATGTACACATTCTCGGGACATGTATAATTGTGCTTCCTTTGGATGTTCAAGTACATGTATAAAGAATTAGGGCCTTCCAGACACTACCTGTTACCATCCTTGCTACCTGTAGACAATGATTACTATCCTTGCTACATGCAGATGATGGTTACCATCATTGCCACCTGAAGACGATAGGACACTATATTATGGTCTCATTGGCTGAACTCTGTCAATTCCTCTCGCAACCCCAACGCTGTCTGTTTGCCTCATGCAGCAACAAACGGGACGGATGGAGGTTGGGGACATAATATGAGCTCATTGCTCTCTTCCCCCGCGTCGGAGTCCGTTCTCCCACGGCGCAAGTTGCTGCCTTCTCTTCCCGTATTACCTGGCCATGTCGAAAACGCGGTTGCCGAACCAGACCCCCCTCTCCGCCCATATACAGGTGCTGCTGCTGGTGCAAGAACAATGTGAGAGGTACAAAGAGAAAGCGGAAGCGTGCAAAATACTCGCAGAGCAGACTCTCAGTGACGTGTGCCGAAACTACGGCGAGGTTCTAAATGAAGCGTTTAGCTTGCGGTCTGACGTGGAGAGGTGTTGGCCAGCTAATATGAATCATGAGTTACGGGACAACATACTCCAGCAGATCTCCAACGCCATGTCGAGCGTTATCGAGACGAAGACCTGGACGACCCAACATGGACACGGTCTGCTTAGCTTCACACGCGAGGGTGGTACCCTACACACAAGTGTCACGCCTGAAGTCAGTACACCGGGGAACATCCAGGACGCCATACCACCACGAGACCCCCTTGACGCACCCAGGTATATGGCCATACCCGAAGTCATCGACCTCGAGATGTCGGACCCCGAGCCGCCCGAGCTTCCAGAGCAGAGAGGCAACGAGAACCGCCACGCTTCGCGCAGTGACTCCGATGAGGAACCGCTCTGCCGAAAACGCGTCGAGAAGAGAAAAGCAGAAGCCCACACGTCAATACCCATACCTCCGTCCAAGAGAGCGAAACCCAACAGTATAGTAGCCGAGGCCAGCACCCCGCCCGGCGGAGGCCCTAAAGAAGACAGCCGAGGCCTGCGCACGCTCACGAAGCAAGACGTGGAAGGCAAAGATCACGTCTTCGAATTCCCGCCCAATGCAGGCCTTTACTGGGTTACCCGTTGCCGACTCTGCCCTGACAAGCACTTCAAGGTCTGTCCCTTGACTCAAATGCAAAATTTCAAGGTCCACGCGCAGAGCAGCGAGAGACATAAAAATGTCGTCTTCGACGCTCAGTCTGTCATAGATAACGATCTCGTTCTAGGTAAGAGGACTCCTGACCCTGGAGGTTCCAACGAAAAGGGGGGCTGACGCGACACGACTAACACCCCGAGTAGTCACCGGCGCAAACCTGGCGTGGGCGCGAAAAAGCAATGAGTTACTAGGTGTGTATATCCGATCCCAGGAGCTGATCCCAGGGCCCTGACTGATGAGATGTTGTTTCGAGAAGGCTGGGGATTAGACCCCCGGAAAGAAAACCCAAAGGGCTACCAGATTCCCGAGTATATTGCCCGGCTACTCAAAGCTCGCCGCTGCACCCTGGCGAAGAAGAAGTTCCGGCCCCTAAAGCCCAAGCCAGCAGTATACGACTGGCGAAGACAGCCCGCAGACCACAGGCCCCAGACTCAGCAACCCCCGAGCCTTCCCCCAAGTCACTCGATCGATTGCACGACATTCCAGACGAGACAGTCTCACCACTCGCCGCCTCCTGAGAAACACGGGCCGAGCACATGTGCCTGGCTGGGTACACCCTGGCTGGGTACACCCCACAGCACTGCCAGCCCGTTACCCGTCGAGCAACAAAAGCGGCCAACAGACCAATCGCTTCCACCATTCAGAGACCTCCGTCACGGCGATACCATCCACGCACCGCCTGTAATGGCCGCACCGCCATCCACGCGTCAGCAGCGAACGCCGTCGCTGGAGTACGGCGGCTCAGGGAGCTCCCTGGGGCCCTCGCCCCGCGAGGAAACTCCGAGATGGTCCGTACCAGAGCCACGGTCGCAACCACAAGCACAACCACAGCCCCGTCATTGGGGAAGTGGCCCCACTCACACCGGCTGGTCGGTCGGAGCAGCTCCAGAGCTAAAGGACGCTGCCGAGACGAGGAGGAGTGCAAGTCCGGGCCCATGGATCAATATCGACGCGGACGAGGATGCAGTGCGGAAGTTCGAGCCGCCAGACTCGGACGAGTAGTCGTGGACAGCCCGGGGTTTTGGCAGTCTGTGGGACTAGGGTAGGGAACCAACAGAATTTGGTTACCTTGAGAGATGTCACACCAGAGGCTGCAAAGGGTACAAGACGTTGCGAGCCCAACGGTGAAGAAGCGGGATTTGTGGAGCGGAGATCTTTCCATGACATAGTGGGAACGAAGCAACCATGATCATACAACTCCCATGCAGTGCGCTGTCCAAAACTACACCGAGTTCCTCCCCAAATGCCGTGCACAGGGTATCAGTACAAGCGGCGTGTGTCTCGCCACATCAAGACCATCCGCCCCTTTTCCCTTCCCCCCTTCCGCCTTTCCGCGTGTGCTATTTGAGAGAGGTGGAGTAAGCTCACTACTATATGTGCAATTCGATATACGACGATAGATAAGGACCGTAGGCACATCATTCCTGTTCAGTTCCAGCTGTACAACGCCCGAGACATAAACGTAGCCGTGCATAAATAAAGCCTCAGATCCCACCCGCAAAGCCAGCCCGGCCCATGGCAAACCCGTTGTCCATCCAGGTATGCCAGTTGGTGTCCTCCTCGGCATCCATATTCACGTCCTGGTCATCCATAACAGTCACGTCTGCCGCAACCTCAAAACCAGAGCCCCACGGATTGGCCCACAGCCACGGCGGCGGGTTGTCGTCGGCAACAGGGTCCACGGGTGCTGCTGCGGTGTCTGCCTGCGTCCGCGGTGCTTTGCCGCCCAACGTCGTCGAGGAATCGTAAGCTGCGCCTCCGCTCGAGCTGAAGTTTTCAATGGGTACGCTCGGTTGCGACTTGAAGCCACCCGAGGTCTCCGCAGGGCCTCCGCTGGAGAAGAAGGCTTGCCGCGCGAGCTCCGTCGGATCGGCGGCGTAGGCCACCGAGAAGAAGTCTTGCGAGCTGAAATACGGTTGCGCCATGACGTGGTCGACGTACTGCATTTCGGTTGCCGGCATCGAGCCTTCTGCTTCCCCCTGTACTGTCTCTTCGCCTTGGGCCCCGACGGGCTGCTGCGTCGCATCGCTGCTTCGCAAACAGGAGAACTGAGCCGCCTTTTCGGGTCCCTTGGTACCGACAAGCTTCCGCCAGCGCTCCTGCGCAAGCGAATGGCGCACGGAGCTGGGGATGTGCTGGAAGCTGGCTGGAGGTACCTTGTTGCACTCCTTGATGTCGAGGTCTTGTGCCGCCTGGGGATCGGCTCTCAGGCGCGCGATCTCTTCGTCCCGATGTCGCTTCGCCTTGATCATGAGCTTCCGCAGCGGTATCCATGCTGCCCGGCCGCATACCGCCGGCCGGGCAGCCTCGGCCGGACCGGGTGTTGGGAGCGTTGCGGTAAGCGCCATCCAGCCGCGCTCGACCGAAGCTGTCCATGGACGCCGACACACTTCGAGTAGGAGATAGGCAACGGCATGCCACTGCGTATACGTCTGAAAGAGCCAGCGCCATGGTCGGCATTTGGGCTCTCCGTTGAGGATTTTGTTGTATTCGACGACCTCGACGGAAGACATGAATAGCCGGTCTTGGATTTCTGAAGAGAGGTCCTGGGCAGCCGAAGTCATCAGCAGCGGCTGGTAGATGATTAGACTCATCTTAGCCATGATGAGTCGCGCAATCGTGGCGGCCACCCAGTTGAGAATGTCGGTCTCCTTATCGGCGCAGTCCCTCAGATATTTGTCATCAATACGCTCATACATCGCAATGAGCAAGGCCTCCCGCTCCTGTAGGTTAGAGTCAGGGTCTTTGGGGCAAGCGGACATGGCGCCCGACGCGGAATGCATCTTCCTCACAAACGAGCAGATCTCGTAGCGAATAAGGCAGAACGTCACGTCGGTAGCCCCTTTCCGCTCCTCGGGAAATTCCGCCATTTCCGGGTAAATGTCCACATCGTTAATGTTCATCGGGTGCCGCGTGTCGAAGGTCCCTTCAGCGATGGTTAATTCCGTGCCTTGGTCCTCTGCTGATCTAATGTCCAGTATACAGATGGCCCACCACAGGCGACGGCGCATCTCGATATCGAAGGGACTCAGGTTCTCAAAGTGCGTCCCTTCTCGGTGCAAGCCAAGCGATTGCCCAATGCGGATGGCGAGACCGGTCAGTGTCCAAGCAAATCGCGTGTCGTCGTATCGCCGCACGAGCACGAGGAAAAGGACAAAGGCCTGGGCGACTACCAGCTCCGAAGTGGTCAAGAAGTGGGCTTTCGCAAGAGCCTGCTCTGTGGCGTAACGGTATCGACTAATCAGGTCTCCCTTCTCGGCATTGAAATTCATCTTCACCTGTACAGCAAGTCAGCGAGGTGATTTCTCCCGGAGGACTGGACAGTCAGTCGAATACCTCTTCGTCTTCCATGGATGTAAGGGCTGCGTAGTATATTGAGAACATCAAGGCCTCCAAGCCGGGTGGGATGCTGCTCATGTTGGTCCTCAGTTCCCGGATGGCCTTGCTCATGGTAGGTACATGCAGGATCTTGACAACAGGATCTACGCTCTCTATGTAAATTTGCCAGATAAATTCGATCTGCGACGGCAATGGGTGCAGCTTCGCCAGGTCAACTTCAGACGAGCTGTACCCCATTATGAAGCTATGATGGTCAAAATGCTGCTCCGGGGCCGGATCACAGTCTGTCACGGGTGTGTCGCCGTCGTCGGAATAATCGGAGTCGTCATCAGTGAGCCTTTGCGTCTCGGCTCGAAGCTCGTTGATCTGTTGGGAGTCAGCAGCTGTCATGTAATGGCTGACACCAGAGCACCAATGTCTCAATACATACCTCGTCATTTATCTTGGACCAGAAGGCATTGCTAACGTAGCGCGTTCTCCCCTTCTCGTTCAACACCAACCGTCCAAAGTCCTTGTACACGTCACCTGCCTGTCTCTTCACCGATGCGCTGTTTGCGCGAAAAGGTTTTGGCTGACCTGCAGGCGGGTACCCGGCGGGTAGGTTCTCACTGTATATATTCGAGTTCTGTTTCCTCGGTTCCTTCTCTTGTACTACGTCTATGGTTGTTTCGGGCGATTCCCCGCTGCTACTGCCAGCATGTCTCGTGGTCTCGAACTCGATCTGGCCACTCAAGTCCTCGACTATGCCTTCCAGCTTTCGCAGGCGCTTCATCAACTCGATCTCGCGTTCGCTCGTCTGCTTCGGCGGGGCATTCGGGTCTTTGGGACGCGGGCGTCGGGGCGCCCTGCCAGGAGCGGGGAAGACGCATTGTATCAGAGCCTTGCGACAGTTGCCGCATGGCATGTGCTTGTCACAGCGAACCTTGCGCTTGCGACATGTTACACAGCTTCGCGGGTTCAGGGCCGAAGACGGTGTCATGGAGGGGTCGAGGGTGATGGGCCCAGCCGATGCGAAGAACTGGGACGCGGAGGCGACGGCGGCGCCGGCGGCGGCTGGACTTCCCATGGGCAGATGGCCCCGCGACGTCGACAAGGGCGGGGAAGTGTCCGAGTCCCCATTCGGAGACGGGGTGATGGTCGTCGATTCCATTAATGGTTGTAAAGGTGTCTTGGATGGCAGATGCTGATGAGCTGACATTGGAAACCTGACAAGCTGACGAGGCGCTCGTCAGTGTGGGGGATGCCTTAGCTTTAAGTATCTAAGGTAGGTTAGGTACCCTCCGGCCCACGGGCGGAATCAGGTCAGTCACCCGATGGTGGATGATGGATCACAGCAGCCGCCCTCTCTGCCGTCAATCCGTCAGTATCATCAGTATCGTGTGTGGCGTCAGTATCATCTTGATGTTCGTTCTGTAAACTGGGGCTTACACATTCCGCTGTTGACGGTATGTAGCGGAGGCGATGGAGGTGGAGGTGGAGGTGGAAGCCGGGCCGACTGAACTTGCTTACCTTACGGAAGTTACGGAGGACTTGAGACAGCGGAGTGGCAAAACTGCAAACTCAATAGGGCTGAACCAAGACCCACCAAGACCGAGACGACAGACGGACTAGTCTAGGCTCTAATGGGCTTGGCTCACCTGTTTTCATCTTAGCCTGTAAATGCCGAATCGTCATTTGACTCACAAACATGGACCCCGCCTGCCCGCCCTACAGGACCGAGGGAGCAAGGATGGTAATGGTTAGCGGTTCCACATGCTGGGGGTGGAGATCTGTGTCCATTATAATGCAGTATAATGCCCGTAACTGCCCATAACTACCTCCTAACGAGAACGTTCCAGCCGTGGCAGTTGTGGTTGTGGGCCAAAGTTTTACCCATGTCAAGTATTTCTGGCCCGTGCTCTGCATAAAACCCCAGGAGTACTTGAGATACTGTACTCCACTGCACGACACCCCTGCCTAGCGCGGGCGACGTGACAAGGCTAAAGACTTACCCATATAACCACGGGCCACAGTACATATGATATGATATGAGAAAGTTCCGATCGCGAAAAGTTCTACCTATCACCATTGCAGATCCACGCGGAAGAACCGCAGGTAGCCATTACCATCCTGGACACCTGCATCTCTTATCCGCTACCACGATTGACCGGCTTTTCCATATGTTGCCGAGCGTAATTCAACATCCTCATTCAGCAAGCCATCCGAGCAGCCGAGACCCCGAATGACTGCATGGCAGCATGGCGAGGTTGATGAACCGGTCTCGCCCGTGTCTGGCGTCTGGCGTCTGGCGTCTAGCGTCTGGCGTCTGGCGTCTGGCGCGGTCCGGGTCCGTGTCCGTGGCCCTTGCCTACTTTACTTACCTAAGGTATGGGTGGAAATAGGATGAAAACGGTGTGTCTCTCGCATGATGCTGAATCTGCCCCACAGGAGAGGACTTGTTTCACGCACAAAGTCAAGGGTTGGTTCGACCCTATGATCACTGCGAAAAACAACAGAGAAACATAACACCGCTGATGGCTTCGAGGAATGCAAGGTCATCTCTGGCAGCGCGGTGCACGTTGGGAGATATTTAGAGGGCGAACCCATGTTATATTTGCCAACGTCAAACGAAAAGGGCTGGGCTTCATGGAGACTTGGGTGGTCTATCCGTCCAAGTCAGGACCCCCGGTTTCATTCACACAAGAAATACCTGAAAGGGGTGTTGCTTACCTGTGATAGCCTCGGGCGAGTGCGCTGGAAACATGATTGAAGCTGCCTCTTTGCGCTCTCGACAATTCGAATTGACCTTTGTCAGTCGGCCCGTACACATTGTGGAATGCCAATACATCTGTTGTGTTGGTTGTGTTGGCATGATGTTGGTCTCTGTCCATGCTACGCAACGTCTGACCAATGGGACGGTAAAGCGCCTGTCTACCTTGGTTAATTTGGCCGCCGCCTGGACGCGAGGCATACATCCTACCGGACAGGTGCCGCTGGAGCAGATAATGTTGGTTGGGACGGGATCAGTTGGACTTGGGTTCTTTTGATGCCTTCCCCCAATGATAAACAGCACAAAGAGAGAGTCCTGCCCCTCGCTTCCACCATCTTCTGCCCCTTTACGAATACGACTCGACAAACCCATTTACACACGTTTACACACATCTACGCACCCGAGAACCATGTCTTTGGTCGATGTGCTCATCGTTGGCGGCGGCCCATCGGGTCTTTCTGCTGCGCTGACTCTGGTCCGCCAGAAACATTCCGTTCTTCTGTTCGACACTAGCGAGTGTCGGGCTGCGCCCTCTTACCTCCTCCATGGCCATAGCGGCTCGGACAACCAGTCCCCGGCTGACTACCTCAAGCACGCTCGTGGTGAACTGGAGGCCTACTCAAGTTTCGCCTTAAGTAGTGTCAACATCACAGGCTTGGCCAAGATCAATGGCGGGTTCCAAGCCACCGACGAGACTGGAACGAAATACATGGGCAAGAAAGTTATCCTGGCTAGTGGCGTTGTTAGCATATTCCCTATCATTCGAGGTTATGTGGACTGCTGGGGCAAGGGAATGTAAGTTTCTTCTCTGGTCTAGTGGTCGCTTCTCGTACCACATAAGCTGCAAGATCGCGGACAAGTAGCAACCACCAAGTTCAGGTTACTGACCCTATACGCACCAACTTCCACAACCTCTTCGCGCAGGCATATCAGGAAGATACGTCGAAAGTCCACGCCGGTGTTCTTGCTGTCGACTGGATCGCAATGCCGCAGTTCACCTTCTACCTGTCGCACATGGCCACGCAGGTGGCCAACTCCGTTACCATCTACACGCATGGAAACGAAGAGCTGGCAGCCACCCTTGCACCCACCCTCGAGGGCAAGCCATGGAAGACCGACACTCGCAAGATCGCCAAGCTGGCACTTAAGTCGTCCGGAGACACCGCGGTCGAAATCACCTTCGAGGATGGCAGCACGGCGACAGAGGCGTTCATCGGCCACAGTCCGATGGCGACGGTTCGCGGTCCCTTTGCCGAGCAGCTGGGCCTCAAGCTATCGCAGACTGGCGGCGAGTACGAGGTCTTTGGACCTTTCAACCGCACGAGCGTCAAGGGCGTGTTCGCGGCTGGGGATGCCGTGACTATGTTCAAGGTGTGGCCGAACGCTGTTGCGAGCGGAGCGCAGACGGCGTCGGGTGTCGCTATCAATCTGCAGGAGGAAAAATGGAATCTCCCCCCTATCTTCCCTTCGGAGTAGTTAGATATACATGCGAATGGCTTTAGACCGGCCCCGAATGGATCTATTAGAAGCCAGGGTTACAGAAGGATATGCGTGTTATGAATGCACCTTAGGGGAATACTCTAGCGCATGCGACTTGAGGCTACTATCGGTCGTGATGGCGCTCTTCCTCGCTGACTGGCTGGCTGACTTCCGCTCCCTCGCTGACCTCCTCCTCCTCTCTGACCTTGGCACAACTACAAAGCGATCTTCATCCCGGGAACCTTTTACATCGGATTGCGCTGCTCAATGTAGTGGCGGATTATCGCTGAGGCCTCGCCATGACCATTGAGGTCAGCAACCTCCTCCGCGGACTTTCCCTAGATGTCCTTTGTGAAGGGGTCAAGCCCCTTTGGTGATCAGTACGTCGACCAGGTCAATGTCCCCTTCCAGCGCAGCAAGCATGAGGGGCGTTTGGTTACACCGATTGCTGACATCCACCGACGCTCCATTGTCGATGAGCAAGTTGACCGTGCTGAGGTGGCCGCCTCGTACAGCTCTGTGGATGGTGTTTCGTGGAAGGCGTTCTTGGTGCTCATCTTGGCGCCATTATGAATGAAGCCAGAAATGAATGTTGATTGCGCTGGTGTATTGATTGTTTGATTGATTGATTGTATTTATCGTGGGTGCAGTCCCTCCATAGGGCAAATCACGCCTCCCAGAGCCATTGCATCGCAAGGTTGTAGAGGTGTCAGTCTAGATACATTCAGATCCGCGCACGAGCCTATCCTCGCTGTAGCGGTACCAACCTGGAGTGACCAGATGGTTTTAGTCAATACCCAAGCACAATTTTGTCAGAAAAACCTCCTGTCTAGTGACAAAATGACCCAGTGAACCTCAGTCCTCTGGTGTACACATCGTTCCAGTAGCCGTTCGATATATATCGCATTGGTGGGTGAAGTAGGTGTTTGTTATCTGCTGGCGAGGGAAACCACAAGGGGAAAAACCTCGCAGGAGTGGGTATTGTGGAGACAAGCTGCTTGGCTATCGGGCTCTGCGATAATAGGGCCTCTCCACTGTCGTGTGCTAGTTATCGACTCGCACAAGCCGGGTCAGAAGGAGGCCATAACAGGATTCGAACCCACTTGTTCTCGTCGCCCACCGCACAAACGAGAACACAACCAGGCGCATTTGACCATTGCGCCATACGACCGCGCTGGTGTATTGATGGAGGGTTTAGAGTGGCAATGGTGTGATTCAGTAAGAAGGTGAATCATTTGATTTTTCCATGGGGATACGAAGAGAAAGAGGAACAGAGGGAGAGCGCGCTTGGTGGTAGAGTTTATATAAGAGGTAGGCCGCATAAATTTATCTGCAAAATAATGTGCGGAAGCTCTTCTACAGCAAGGAAACTTGCCATCAAACTACACTGACCTACCAATTTTGTCCGCCCTGTTTCCCACCAAAACTCACCAACTTTATCAAGCTATAACTATTTACATAAAAATCACATAAATATAATAAAAATAGTTTCATATAAATTAAAGCATAAAGATTATTATGTCAAAGATACTAGGTTAATAAAATCGATAAGAAGTAATAAATCTTAAAGAAAATAAAAATATTTATACGCTTTAAAAAAACTAAGGTAAAAAGCTCTTTAAAGTTTAGAGTAAATTCAAGTTATATTTACTACGTTAAATATAATTAATAGTTATTAATGAATTAAATAAGTACTTAACAATAAGCCTTTTAAATCAGATATTTTTATCTTGTAACGTAGCTGAAAAGCGAGTTAGCACTTGTCATAAACTTTCCAACCAACACGATTCAAACTATTATATCTCCACCAATAACAATGGCACCGCGTTATAACAAATCAGACTTACAGCTAGCTGTCCAAGCTAAACGATGTGACCCTCATATTTCTATATTTCAGCTTATGAAACTCTTTAATATCCCTTGTTCCACTTTAAGCAATAGAATCAAAGGAATGCCATCACGACGCGACAGCATGCCCAATACTTTGAAACTTACGGTTTCCGAAAAGAATGACATTCTTTCCTTTATTCTTGACCTGGATGTGTGAGCATTTCTATTCCGGCACAGTTATATTGAAGATATGGCGAACCAATTGTTGGCGGCGCGTGGGGCTGGACGTATTAGAAAGAACTGGACGCAGAACTTCATTAAACGCACACCAGGCCTTTGGACGCGTTTATATTACAGGATAGACTACAAGAGGGTCTTAAAGAAAAATTCAGACACATATCACACGTGGTTTCGCCAAATTAAGGCAGCAGTCGCAAAACATAGTATACAAGATGCGGATATTTATAATTTTGACAAGACTGGGTTTATGATGGGCATTATTAGGTCCGGCATGGTCATTATAAGCATCACAAGACGTGACAGGCTTAAACAAGCTCAGTAAGGCAACTAAAAATGATCTATAGCAATCTCTGCTATTAATGCTGATGATTGAGTGGTCCCGTCATTTATCATTTTACAGGGCAAAACCCACTTTGTGTCATGGTATTATGACACGACATTACTACGCAATTGGAAGGTGGCTGTGTCTGACCACGAATAGACTACAAATAAGCTTAGTTTGAAATGGATTCAGCATTTCGACAAGTATATCACAATGCAGATGACCGCCGGTAAACGCCTCCTCATCCTAGATAGCCACAAAAGCCATTATTTCCAGGTCTTTGAGAATTATTGTCAGAACAATGGCATCATTACTCTTTGTACGCCTGCCCACTCATCATATAGGCTCAAGCCTTTAGATGTCAGCTGTTTTAGCCCGCTCAAACAAGCTTACGGTCGCATGATTATAGATCTCATCTAGCGTCATATAACCCATGTTTCAAAGGAGGACTTTCTTACAGCGTTTTGTGAAGCACATAACGCTGCTATGACACTAGGAAATACTCGAGCAGGTTTCAGTATTACTAGGCTTGTTCTTTTTGACCCAGAAAGTGTCATTTCAGAGCTGGATGCTGTCGCTGTCGTACGAACACCGTCGCCAGACCCCAGTCTGCTACCCACTGCTTGGACTTCTAAGACGCCTACCACCATTAATAAAGTGGTAAACCAATCGGTTTACATCTAAAATCGAGTCAAAAACTACCAGGGAAGCTCACTTAGATTAATAATTGATGCGTTGAGCTCGTTTTCAAAGGCTATATACGGTCTTATGCAGAAGGTCGCTTTGATTGATTCCTGGGTCCGCGAGCTAGAAGAGGCCAATCACTTACTAAGTAAATGCCGGAAAACAAAAAACAAAGGTCTGATAAAAGGAGGAGTACTTTTGTTATACAGCAAGAAGGCCAAAAGGTTGCATATCTGCTGTATTAGTGTTGTTGCTGTTGAAGGTCTGGAGGTGGTGCGCAGCTGCAGTGGATGTTGTGACGGCCTGCACAGACCTTCCCACATGACAAGTGGATACTTCCCAATAGGGGAAGGATCTGACCAGAGGATCCCCTTAAAGGGGCAACCTCCCACTGTACCTATCTCTCTCTCTCTTCCTTTCCTCTTTAGTCTTGATATTCTCGTCAATAGAGTAATAGCTGCTTGCTGCAGGCCATGTCCCAGCTCCTCAGTATGCTCGCCGTGACAGATGTGGGCAATATGCCAACCTAAGTGGGTCACGTGACCACACAACAACTTTCTATTAAAGATGCAGTAGGTCTTGAGGCTATAAAGGATGGTACTGAGCTGGCAAGACAAGAAATGGGTGAAGGTAATCATCGTCCAAAGAGGACAGCAGTGCGTGATCAATGGTGTGGCGTTTGCAGCAATACTAGCCATAATGCGCGAACTTGTACAATAGAGATAGAAACCTCTGAGGAAGAGGAATCCGATTGATAGAATTGAATTGAATGCATTGTGGTGCAGTTATTTAACATGGCAGTTAGAGAGTTCATGACAAGTGCCAACTCGCTTGTAAAGCCAACTCGCTTGTAAAACCAACTCACTTGTCAGCTACATTATTATTAAAAAGTTATAATATATCGAAGTATATAAGTTTTAATAAGAAATAAAGGGATATACATATAATTTTAATAGGTTAGTATAGTATACTTAAATAAGCACTGTAATAACTTTAAAGCTTTTTGTTTTCTATTGTTTAAAACTCGACGAAACGACAATAATACATGCATCATTATGCGTTATTTTCAAATTGACTTTGTGCCTAAGCTATTGTTCAAGATAAGGACTGAACAAGTCAAGTTTATAGCTAGCTACGCTAATCGCGGACTGGTAGCACAGGTAACTACGCGCATGTGCAATAAGTATAGCTGCCATACGTGAGGGTAACAGCCTTATTAAAAAGGGTGCTTGCAGAGTGTCACGACGAGTGGCACCTAAGACGAGACAAAGCAGACGACAAGGGGGTAACCGACTCTATAGACGAAAATATCGAAGATGAAGAAAGGAAGGAAAGAGAGCTAGATACAGGTGGGAGACAGAGCTATCTAGATGAACCCCTGGCCAGGGTGTGATGTGGGGCGCAGTAGGTTGCGCTGGTGTGTGCCTTCATACTGCCCTCACACAGAGAAGATAGCGTAAAGTGTTATTATAACCGCATAAACGTTAAGGGCGTGTTCGCGGCTGGCAATGGGGTGACTATGTTCAAGATGTGGCCAAAAGCTGGTGTTACTACCAATCTGCAGGAGGAAAAGTAGAATCTTCCCCCTATCTTCTCTACGGAGTAGTTAGATTGGCAGTCCCTTCATAGAAAATGGGCGAGACCAACGTATGCTCTATGTACGCTTGACGAGAGCAGGACGTGTTATATAATAGAGAAAGCATTTTTGTATTCTTACTAGTCAAGCCCCATCCTGCATAGATAGTTCTATCCCTAGCCAATTTTCCCATCCTTAGTAGGTCAGAACCTGCCTTGACTCTTCACCGTCGAGACAATCGTTATTAGATACTACGACTGGAGACCTGAGCTTGGTCTCGGAGCGTGCTAACGAATGGCACCTCAAGCCACCTAACCTTGGCCTGGTGACACAGAGCAACTGCAATTCTGCTCTTATATCCAGTGGTCAAACTGATCCTAGCTGGGGATTAACGTACCAGTATCTGACTGGTAGTAAGCTTTCCGAATCCTCTCATTCATGGTCATAAGAAGCGTTCAGGCTTATACAGAGAAAAGGACGAGAGGAGATGATCTAGTGCTTCGTGTAAGCCTCTAGAGGACTGCCGTGCTCACCGTTTGAAGGCGGCGCGTACATAGGTACATAGGGCCATATTGGGTAACGATACGTGCAAGGCGGGGCTGCCGCCGTTCGCGTTAGAGATGAGGGGGCGTCCAAGGTATGTGGTCGATGAGACGGGGGGCTTGGCTATTGCTCTTAGTGATTCTGGCATTTTAGAGCCGGATAGGTGGTGGTCATAGGATGTGTAGCGGGGGTAGGATACGGCATATACATGCCATCACAGACTGCGAGGGCACGCCCGGGCTGCGATGCTTCGTTTAACCCGTGGCTGACTGATGATGTTTGTCATCGGTACTTGGGTAACAGCGGGGGCATGAAGTTGGGACAGCCCCCAAGTTAGAACAGCTTACATACCAAAAGGCCACATTTGCACCCACCCACATCACCATCAAGAATGAAGCTGTAAATAGTGTAAATAATGCATTCAAATCGTCTTTTCTTGGTGTTTCTTCCAGTGTAGAATTCATTAGGTACACTGCAGCGGGATGGGCCGTGGTGGGGGTTGGAAGTTAGCACTCCCGGGCCTAGGACTGAGGGGTCCCGGCTCCCGTGCCCCTATCCCCTCTAATCCAGCAGAAGTTCGTCGTTTTTTTCTTCTTTTTTTTTTCTGTAAGTATCATAGGCTTTAGTACGTTGAAATGCCTCCTCTATACACTCTTGAAGACCTTGTCGAGGCAATCGCCGCTATGAACGATGACGAACTGTTTCTTCGCAAGGGTTCCTAACGCTATGGAGTGCCAAAATCAACCCTCTCTTGCAAGGTCGAAGGCACCACGATGACCCAAACGCAGTCATATGGTAAGGGCCCTTGTACTAAGCAGAAATTGAGCCCTGAGCAGGAAACCAAGGTGGTTTCATAGATCCTCTATCAAGAGAAGGCAGGTCATGCGCCAACTCACGGCAATATGAAGTACATTATCCAGAGGATCCTAAAATCCCAGAGAAAATTGGATCACTTAGGGGGCCATTATATGCGAAACTTCATCTAGAGACACCAAGAGATCGAGACCAAGATGGGAAGAAAACTTGACTACAAGCGTATCAATGCTGCCACTCCTGATAATATCAATGGCTTACATGACCGCTATGAAGATTTCACCTTTATCAAATCTAAAAACCGGGCAAATGTCAATAAGTACGGCATTATGCAGGGTCAGCAGTACGTGAATTGTCCAATACAAGTGGTCTTCGGACGGCTAACCGGGAGATTATAGGTCTGATGGCCTTGTAATAGGTGGTTCTGGCTCAAAAAGGGCCAACGTCAAGTCCAACAACGACTGCATGTAGACTACAGTCGTGGAATCGATCACTGCCACTGGGAAGAAGCTCCGGCCGTTGGTTATCTTCAAGGCGAAGTCGATCCAGACGCAGTGGTTCAAGGAACAGCTTATAGTCAAGCATCCTGCAGTGGCAGACTAGATAGTAACGTACTCTATCAACAGCTAGTCCTCGAACAAGATCGCGCTACACTAGCTTGAAAACGTGATTTTTTTCTTATTTATTATTGTTAACTACATGCTAATTGAGCCCTAGATCTATCTACCTGACACTGCCCCTGAAGATAAGAATGAATTTTGCCTATTAATGCTCGACGGTCATGGCAGCCACTGCTTGGATGAATTCATATATCTGTGCTATATAAATAACGTTTATCTGAGCTTTTTTCCTGTCTATATAATAGGTTATATACTAATTAGTAGTTATGTTGCTAATAGAGGTAGTCTCGTATCTTTCAGCCCCTAGATTTGACCGTGTTCTCTGTGATGAAAGCCGCCTACCGCCGCCTTATCAACCAGCTCAGTCAGTTGAACGATTTGGCTCTCATGGACAAAGTACGGTTCCCCAGTTGCCTGACTAAGGCCCGTGAAGAAGTCACGGAGGCTATCATGCGTTCGGGATGGCGTGCTGCTGGTCTTTGACCTGTAAATCGATGAAAGACCCTCGCGAACGAGCATGTGGTGAAGGCAGCAGAGATCCAAGCAGCAACAACTGCTATAATGAACCCCGAGACTACCCCCAAGGCATTAGAAGCCCCTAAATCAGGGCAAGAGATCGCTCTGATGCTATTAGCAGTTGCTGAGACCTCTGAGCAGCAAGTAGGAGTCCGCTCGGTTACAAGAGCGTACGATGAGATGATGGTTGAGCTAGCCCTTGTAAAGGAGCTGCTGGAGGCAAAAGACGCCAAAATCGAGCATCTATAACTAAAAAAGCGCCATAAGGCCCCTCAAGAAGAGCCAGACCAATAGCTATGGAAGATTAGGGACGCTGTTACGGAGCAAATCGAGCATACGGAGGCCGCACAAGCTGCTATGGAGCAGCGGGAAGAGAGACGACTAGTTTTGCGTGAATTGCAGAACTTATATACTGATGAATCAGAGAGATCTCTCTCTGAATAATCTGAGGAGTCGTATTCAGAAGATTTAGAGGAATTGGAGCCCTCTGAGAATGAAGGAGTTGCCGTTGACGAAGAGGGTGATGGCACGGATAAGGAGTCTGACGAGCCCATTTTGGTGCGATCTTTACGCCGCGCGATCCGCCAGCCAGCGCGCTACCGCGTGAACAACTAATATTGCTGAAAACACCAAGAGAAGGCGGTTCTAAGGCATTTATTATATAATTTATAGCTTCAATACAGATGCAGTTATCTGGGGGTGCAAGTGTGGCCTTTTGGTGGGGAAACTGTCCCAACTTGGGGGCTGTCCCAACTTCATGCCCCCGCTGTTAGTTTGTCATGATGGTTGATATTTCTGCTGATCAGTAGCTACATTTGCCCCTGATTCATTTTTGCCTCCGTATAGTACCAAGTCCAGTGTTACGAACCAACAATACCACGGGCCCGTTGGCAGGCCTGAAGGGAAAAGGATGACCTATGAGGGAACCCAATTAGAACGGGGACACAATACAGAACAGCGCAGGGCATCCAGGCACGTGATCCAGGAAGTCAGGATCACGTGACTAGAGTTGCTCACGTCTGCTCGCGCGAGCAATGGTGAGCAAGGGAAGGTTGCTCACTTCTGATCACGCGAGCAACAGTGAGCACACCTCATCAGTGAGAGAGATTGGATATATAAGGATGGACATTTCCTAGCTAGACAGATAGATAGTCTCTACCTCAGTGATCAATCTAAGCATCTTAGCCAACCCTAAGGTGAGAGAAATCTCCTGACGACTCGACTATACAGTGGTCCCCTGGATCAGACCAAGCCCCAGCATCTGAGTGTCTTCTAGTTGACAGAAGCCCCTATCGTCCTTTGTGTTGACTTACCTCAGAACATAAAGCTCGTCACATCCAGCAAGCGAGGGATATATTCATTGTGCATGGCATAATTACTGTGTAAGAAGATGCGACGGTATTTTTCAGATCAGAACTTCTTATTCCTGGCTATCTATTACATTAGAACAACCAGTCTCTTTTGACTTTTCATCTCTCTCGTGTGCAAAGTTACAGCCTACCGCTGACATGATGTTGCTCCTTGCGGTGATAGCCGTGTTGGGCCTGGAACCCTCAATCTGCAAAAGCCGAGCAATGAATCCTCTTCAGTTCATGTTCCACTCCAAGTTCTTCATCTCGGCCTGCAACTCCTTGTGCTCTCTTTTCTCCTCCTTGGTCATGTTCTTCATCCCGGTCGTGGTTTCCGCCTTCCGTGCAGAGTTTGGGGCATCCGTCATCATGTCGACTGGTTCAGCCAACTGAGGATTGAGCCTTGTTGACCTTGTTGACCTTGTTGTTGCTTCCACCCTCCTCTCGTCGCTGCTTTCACTGCTGCCCTTGCCGCGCGCCTCTCTAGAGTTGCTCGCTTGTATTCCATGGTGTCCTTGAGCTTCGTCTTGGTTCCTTGTGCACCCACACCCGCAGCTCACTCTTCCCGTCCTTCCTGTTGCGTCAATAGCATCTGTTCGTGTATTCTCGCGTTCCGCAATAGTCTCGATGGCTTCTTTGAGTTCTTTCCAGCCTCGACGACTTCCTCAGAGCCAGGACCATGCTCGAGCATGTTGAAGATGGTTGCTAGGTGGCGGCCACAAGGTTTTCCCGAGAAAGTATGGTTCACTTGACGTTTGCCCGAACTCCCCTGATCTGTCTCTGTCGATTGAGGGAAGGTGCCGACACTCGTTCTTGCCACATTCCAGAGAATATCGACCAACTCGTACACGCTTGCATCTCTGAGAACAATATCCTTGAGAATGCCAATACTGATTTTCGGGCAATCTTCCGGCCAATGGCGGTCTCTGAAAGGGTCTGCCTTGGGCGAAATCCAGCCAGTCCCTACGAGCTGCGTCAGTTAACTTCATAGGAAGGCACGAAGTAGGGTAGACGAACAGACATATCCTGCGATGGCGCGATACAGCTCCCATCTGAACTTGGCTGCCGGCATACGGTTGGCGGAGATGTCTTTGAAATTCCCCTTGATGACGCGTCGCATCTGCACCCAAAAGACCTTGGTATACTCAGACATTCGCTTCTACGACATCAGGTCCTGTCGTAACATGCGCATCATGTCTCTGAAGTCCAACTTGCTGAAGTCTAGTTGCGGCTCCCTGGTGGGATGCTTGTCTGAGGAGGGCGCGAATTGGCTGGTCATGATGCACCGAGGTGGAGGTAATCGGCGCGTATGTTTTTGGTACTGGGGCTGGAGAAAAGCTGGATGTGAGGTACTCGGAAAACATGAAGTTTGGTTGCTGGGCTGATGGGTGCCTGGGGGGGGGCGGGGGGGGGGGGGGGGGGGGGGGGGGGGGGCTTTCAAAACCCTCCCCAATCGGCATTGTACACTACCTAGGTATAGAGCAGTAGAAAGCGGAGCTGGACAAATCTCGGAGGACCGCGAGATGGTGACTCGATATACACGCCGATGACCCCAGAGAAGCAGAGCCTCTACCACATAAAGGACATGAAGCATGGACAGTTCAGGTAAAGCAAGGAAGGTACACTCAGCCTTCATAGTCTCCTTGCGCGCCTTCCAGATCATCCGTAGATTTTCTGAAATATTGGAATGAGCATGCAGGGGTAAGAAGCCCTGTTTTGGTACGCTACATGTACTTTCAATGCTTATTCCAGGGTGCTTATTCTGATTTGAAGGTAAGTTTACCGTTGTGTGCTGGACGGGTCGAGTACCGAGACCGTGTCGTCTCCCCCCTTTTTCATGATTTCATCACCAACAAGAACTTTACCTTTGCGCCGCCCCTTTACGGCTCGGGATTGTAATGCACCTTGTGTATCTCCTCGAGCCTGGACGCCTTCACAGGAATCTTCACGCTGCCTTCCTCAATGTCGCGGATGAGCTCATTCACTGGCCATGCCTTGGATTCGTCCGGTCCACCCCCATAAGAACACAGCCGCGCGCGATTGGACAGGTCGACGAATGGTGAGAAACGTTCCATATCCCACTCTCCACCCTGGATACCCGTCATACACACAGTTCACACTGGCACAACGCACTCTAAAGAGTCGCGCAGAGTGATGGTGCTGCTCACCTCAGGGGACCTTGTCAATTCCGCCCTTGGCGCAGAACGCCACGTCGCTCGCGGTCTCACCATCGTCGATGAATACCTCACCGGGGTCGATCTTGCGTACCATTACCAGAGGAAAATCTAGAAAAATGATGGTTAGCGCCGGGCTCCCGCGTGACCTTTTGCCGAGACGGTCCAGGGTTGCGGAGCTCTGTAGGAAGCCGAGCGCACAATGTTTCCGCATGTGTCTAGGTCTCCGCCGATCCTACGCGCATGGGAGCTTTGCACTTGGAACTTTCGCAACGGAACTTCTTCTTAGCAACAGGCAACCTTCTTTATATAAGACGTGGCCTACGCCATGTTCGAATTCCAGGGAGGTGCTCTGGGCATTGTTTCCTTCCAGTGCTTCCCCATCGTCTGCTTGACCACACGCCAATGGCTGCCTCTGATTTCCGAGTCATCATCATGGGAGGCGGGCCAGAAGGCCTCGCTGCCGCTAACATGCTGGCCGCAGCAGACATCGACTTCGTCGTCCTCGAGCGGGCACCAGCAATCGTCAGCGACACCGGGGCCATCATCATGCTCTGGCCCCAGGGTACCCGGGTGCTCCACCAGTTGGGACTGCTCCAGCCCGCAGAAGGCAGATTCATGTCCGTTCGCTCCAAGACGACGATGACACTCGATGGGAGGGAGCTTTCGAACTTCGGCGTTTTTGATCTCTTGGAAAAGAAGTAAGCCACCCATAGCGGAGTTTAAACATGTAATACTTGAGCATGCTCTAATGCGAGGACAGTCACGGGTATCCATGTGCTAATTTCCCCCGGCCCCTGTTGACAGAGGTGCTCTATGAGGGGCTGGGAAAACGCAAGTCAAAAGTACGGACAGGCGTGTCTATCGAGGACATCGAGACGACCGATGGTGGTGTTCTTGTACATCTGCAAGACGGAAGCGTTGAGCGTGGCTCGATCGTCATCGGCGCGGACGGGGTCCACAGCGTGACCAGAAGCATCATGCGAAGGCTAGCAAAGGAATCGACAGGCGAGGACTTCGACAAGACGGAGAAGCCGATCCTTTCGCCGTTCCAGGTCCTGTACGGTCGCGCATCGTATATCAAAGGCCTTCCCAAAGGAGTCTTCTTCGAAACCCACGGCACGAACATGAGTTCGCAGATGAGTGCGGGGGACGACTCTATACACTTCGGGCTCTTCAGGCGCCTGCCAGGATCGACTTCCAAACGCAAGGAATACAGCGACGAGGAAGTAGCCGAGTTTGTCGAGGCGTTCGCCGACGTTGTTGTGATGCCGAATCTGAAGTTCAAGGACCTCTGGCCGCGTTGTCAATGGACGAGACTGGTCAATCAGCACGAGGGCCTCATGGAGCATTGGTACCACGACCGCATTGTCCTGCTCGGCGACTCGGCCGTACAGATGACGTCTGCTGGTGGCATGGGACTCAACAACGCACTTCAGTCAGCGGTGTATCTGGTCAACAAGCTGCACGAAGTGGTACAGTCGAACAGCAACCCAGCCAAGGGAACACTCACTCGGGCTTTGGCAGACTATCAGGACACTCGTCGGGAAGAGTCTCGAAGGATGTGCAACATGTCATACCGCTACATACGTGCAAACACGTGGGAGAGTTGGCTCACATGGTTCCTCGTCGAGTGCGTGTTCCCTACCGTTTTTGGACTGGAGAAGACTTTCAGGAAGTTTGGCGAGACTTTCATCAGTCGGACGAGGGTTCTTTCTTTCGTCAAGATGGATGACCGGACAGGGGCGATACCATGGGCTCGGTGATGTCCATGAGTCAGACAGAGGGCGACCAAATGCACGGCACAAGATGTGATTGTAAATATTCACAGCTCCATGTAAAAAGAGACATCATTCCTCGATCTCGATAGACCCGAATAACTCGCTGCAGGCACCAAGCCCACCTGCAGTGATTACCCCTGAACCCCCTTGCTTGTATATGCATGCTGACATGACCCTATACGTTCTCTCACCAAGCTAAGCGCATCACTGGCACTGGACATCTGCGTACATTTCGTAGGTCTTCCATATATAGCGAATTGATCGCATTGTCGAGATGCGTTATTGTAAGGGGAAAGAAAGATGTGTCAGTCCAGTGATACAATGGAAGCGGGATAAGGTACCTACTAAGGTGGATATATCGTGACGTCACAATGGTTTGAGACACCATCGACCATCTCGGAGTCCACTTCAACATTCCATTTCTCCTGCTCTTCTTACAACCTCAAAGCTCCTACCTTATCTTACATCAACCAAGTCCATTTCAGACAGTCCAACCATCAAGGCCATCAAGTCCATCACCATGGCCAGCAACACATCAACACACAGCAAGCCCAACACGATGCGCGCCTGGCTCTACTCGTCCGCCAGCGGCGGCTTGGAGCACGCCATCAAGCTAACCGACGACGCGCCGCAGCCCCCGCAACCGCTCCCAAAAGACCATGTCCTCGTCAAGGTCCAGAGCGCCTCGCTCAACCCCGCAGACTACAAGCTGCCCGAGATGGGTCTCCTCGCGCGTGCCATGATATCCGTTCCGGCCTCGCCCGGCATGGACTTTGCGGGCACAGTCGAAAAAACGGGAGACGCCGTCGACACGTTTCGCGTCGGCGAGAAGGTCCTCGGGAGGGTGTTCGGCGCTAGGTTTGGCGCTTTGGGCGAATACGTCTCTGCGCAGGTCGACGGGGTGGCTAGCCTTCCGGAGGGCGTGTCGGTGGAGCAGGGCAGCTGTGTGGGCACTGCCGGTCTGACGGCGTACCAGTGCATCGTGTCAAACGTGAAGGAGGGCGACAAGATCTTCATCAACGGGGGCAGTGGCGGTACGGGGTCTTTCGGGATCCAGATCGCCAAGGCTGTGGGCTGCACTGTGACGACGAGCTGCTCGGGGAAGAACATCGAGCTATGCCGCAGCCTAGGGGCAGACGAGGTCATCGACTACACCAAGGAGAACGTCAGCGAGGTGTTGAAGGGCCAGGGCAACATCTTCAAGCTGGTGGTGGACAATGTCGGCACCCCCACCGATCTTCACAAGGCCGCAGATCACTTCTTGCTTCCAGAGGGCAAGTTCGTTCAGATCGCTGGCGACATGTCCCTGGGCTCCCTCAAGACCACCTTTACGAGGATGCTGCAGCCCGCCTTCCTGGGCGGCGGCAAGCATAAGTGGGAGTTTCCCATGACCAAGAACAAGCCCGAGGATCTGGCTCAAATTGCGACGTGGATGAAGGAAGGCAAGGTGAAGGTGGTGATTGACGAAGTCTTCCAGTACGAGGATGCGCCCAAGGCAATTGAGAAGCTCAAGACTGGACGGGCGAAGGGTAAGGTGGTGGTACGGGTCTCGGAGTAGATCAGGTCGGGGTCGTCAGCGTTACCATAAGGGTCTGACCAAACAAACTCGAGGGATGATCGACGCGCTTCCCATTGTATCAATACTACCTGGTTTATGTTCAGCCGTCGTCTTCACATTAATGTCACTGAGTCCACAGGTGATTTACCTGTCAAACATACTCAGAAATGGCCAGGCTCAATCATTACTACTACTAATAAGCCCAATTACTACGGCTGCAAGGTTACCCCAGCTATCGGTGGCTTACCTCAAGCTCTCCTTTAGGAAGTTATGGGGATATTCCCATACCCTCGCGTCCTCGTCCGCCGGAAAGGAGCAGAAGCGCCTGATGAGCTGCGCAGGGACCGGCCATGAGATGACGGGAGTATAGCAGGTGAATGTGAGCATCCCCAATAACTCGTGAACTCTTCTTCTCAAGTGAAGTGAGTGACTTGGACTCGAAATCGATATTGTGCTCATTAACCAGGAATGCCTCTGTGGGCTTCAAGAAGCGATCTCAATCTTCTTTCTACCATTTCATTTCATTTCTTCATCAAGAAAGCACTGTGGGTGCTTCCTTTGGCCAGATACCTAAGTCTGAACATACAGTGGAAAAGCCGCCGTCAAAATCACGGTTCCATTCGGCTGGGCTTACCTGCCGCAGTCACCTGGCCCAGCCCTCAAGAATGCATATCAATCGTCTGATCGCCTCTCCATCAAAGAAAACGAACAAGAGGACAACAGCTTGACAAAGGCAAAGCCGACTCATGAAAGCATGCGCCCTTGTCCTACTAAGATGGACTTTAATTAGACCCATTCGAACAATGACTTGCACAACAAGGCGACTTAGCAATATCCTAAATATTCGGGAACATTCCCAGTCCTGACCCATCTCCTACCTACCCCTGACGACCAGGACATAACAACCATCCCACTCACCACTTCCAATTCAACACCCCCCTCCCATCATGTCCAACATCACCCTTAACACCCTCGACCCCGTCCTGACCGGGACAGCAACAGTCCGCATCCCCATAACCAGCACCCCCGTCTTCCCCTCCACCTCAAGACGCGCTTCCCTCCTCACCACCCTGCTGCCCAAAAAGGCCAAGTCCCAACCCAAGACCTGCACCATAAAGTCTACGCGCTGACGCAGCACCCCGTGGCGCCCGTGATCGCGCGCCACGGGCCGACCTGCCAGTGCCACTCTACATCTACCTCGTCCACCTCCTCCATCGCCATCACCGCCTCAACCAGCTATATCAGCGACGACAGAGCCCAGATAACGGTCCTACCTCGGACGCAGGTACGCGGCCCGTTGCGCAGACCGCGACGGCCTGGAGTGCTGGTACTACGACATACTGGTCGGGCTGTGCGAGGCGTGGGAGATGGAGGTGCCGGCGGGGTGTGAGCTGCCCACGGCCAAGCAGTGTCTGCGTGCCTAAAAAGGCGTGTATTCGCATGAGCGATACTAGGGGCGTATAGACGATGGAGGCATCTGGGAGCTGAATGATGTTATAGACTAGACATAAACATAAACATAGACATAGACCGGACTAGAGAAGATTTCCCCTTGCTGCGTGGCTTGATAAGAGACGTGTAATGTAGACCAATGTATGGCAAGTAGAGACATGATTTTACTAGTTCCAGACAGCGAGGGTGGCACCCCATCAAGAGCCGTATATTGGCCAGGAAGAACCGAACAATGGTTAGGATGACAAAGCCAATGCATAACCATCAAAGTATTAGTAGAACGAGCTTAATACCCCAGTCTTATCTAGTTGTGGCATGAGCCTCTTATATCTTCACTCTGGATGCTGCCCCGAGCTGATGATCACTTGGTCGCGGGTCCCTCCTCGACTCTACATGTGAAATGGCAAGCCCACATCCTCCCAGTCTCGCATGCCGCTGGAATCCTCATACTTCCAGGTTGTATACCCACCAACTTTCCAAGTACTTGTTCATTGTCCGCACGTCTGAACCTCTGGAGTTTACGTCCCCCTGTTGTTGTGTGAAACCAAGACCAAAGCAGTGTCGCTGAACGCCTATTCGTAATGCCAATGATGTGTAAGTGTGTCTAGAAGTAACACTGTAGTATTGGAATGTATTTCGGCCAATGCTCACATAGCTGCTCAGCGTTTGCCGGCTGCCTCCCTTTCGACGGCAGCAGAACTCCTCACTGCCTTGTCGACAGCGCTTGTCATCGCCAAACCAACTGGTGTCATTGCACCACCATTGGGGGCTGGCGTGGTGGTGCGAGTAGGTGGCTGGGAGCGGTTGTGCGTCATGTGTGCCTGGACTAGATGCCCAGCAGCAAGGGCACTGCAGAGGGACAACTCTCCGGCCAGGACAGCCGCACCAACAATCCGGGCTAGACGACGAGCATTGTCACCAGGGTTGGTCGGGTGCGATCCGCGCACACCAAGCATATCAAGCATGGCACCTTGGGGTTCCAGGATGGTGCCGCCACCGAGAGTCCCTACTTCGATCGATGGCATGGACACGGAGATTTGAAGAGAGCCGCGGAGACTAGGTCTGATTAGTATACACGCACCACCGGGGTTATGATGGAGTTGACTTACTTCTTCATGATGGTGATACAGTTGGCGCTCTCTACAACTTGCGCGGGATCCTGTCCGGTAGCAATGAACAGGGCGGCGACAATGTTGGCGGCTTGTGCGTTGAACCCTCCTACTGAGGCTGCCATGGCGGAGCCGATCAGGTTCTTGGAGATATTGAGCTCAACAAGGCTGTCGACATCGCTCTTCAGGACAGCCTTGACAATGTCGCCGGGGATGATAGCTTCAGCGACAATACCCTTGCCGCGACCATCGATCCAGTTGATTGCAGCAGGCTTCTTGTCGATGCAGTAATTACCCGATACGGAGACGATTTGCATATCTTCAAATCCAGATTCGTTGGCCATAACATTGAGGGCATGCTCCACGCCCTTGGAGATCATGTTCATGCCCATGGCATCGCCAGTTGTGGTCTTGAACCGAATGTACAGGTTGGTACCGGCCATGGCGGTCTTCATCTGTTGCAACCGAGCAAAGCGGGAGGTCGAATTGAATGCCTTCTTCATCGTGGTTTGGCCTTCCTCCGAGTCGAGCCACAGCTTTGCAGCGCCGGCACGCTCGAGGGTCTCGAAGCTCACGCAAGGTCCACGGGTCATTCCGTCACCAGTCAGGACCGTTACAGCACCGCCACCAGAGTTGATCGCTTTACAGCCACGGCTGACACTCGCGACAAGGACACCCTCAGTAGTAGCCATAGGGATGAAGTAACTCTGTCCGTCAATGACGAGAGGGCCAGCAACACCGACGGGAAGCGGCATGTAGCCTATGACGTTCTCGCAACAGGCGCCCAGAACCAATTCCCAGTTATAGTTCTCGTAAGGCAGCTTTGATCGATCCAAAAGTCCCGTTACTTCAGCTGTCGCTCGGGTTCTAGAGATGATTGTCCGCCGGACCTTTACGGCGCGAGTGCAATCCTTGAGACTCTTCTCCAGAGCGTAGCCGGGGATCTTGCCCTTCAATGACATGGAGATGACCTCTTCATCATTCATCTCATGCACTCGCTTTTGCATTTGCATTTGCTCCAGCTCGCCCTGGCTTCTGACTGTACCAGGGGATACAGGTGACGGGATATGCTGGACTGCCCTAACAGGTCTCGGAGGAGGAAACTGAACACTCTCGTCATCAGTAGAGGCAGGAGTGAGAGGCAGTGCCGCCTTCTTCTTGGGCTGAGTCTCGCCAATTGCGGGAGTGGTGAGCCCAGATTGTGTCTCGTTGAATTTTTCGGCTGCCGCGAGCTCGTTGGGATCAATTCGATGGTCGGGCACATTTGGATCTTTTATGCCCCATCTTGCAACGTTGAACAAGTAACCGTTCAAGGCAACGCTCATGGCCAAAGCAATGACAATCCACTTTGATAGGATTGGATCCTCCAAGCTGGTCAGGATGCTGCCCACCATTCGTCCGCCAACGCCATAACCGTCCAGCTGCGAGTAGCCCTCGTCTGATTGCCCGTTCTCGCTTCCTGTAGCAGAAACTGCATAATGTATTGAAGGGTACTCGAGTTCGTACTTGACGGGAGTGAGAACGGTGACAACCGTCGGCTTGGAGTGGCTTCTGGCATTGAAAAGAATCTCATCAAGTCCATTGGAAGCAACCTTGAATGGATCCAGGGGAGGCGTGCTGACGACTCCTCCCAGGCCTCCAGACCACGAGGACAAGCCAGAAAGACCGGTGGTCCTAAAGGGGATGGTAAAGATGTTGGCGATGTTGATAGCGATGAAGCCACCGACCATCCAAAACTTGAACTTGGGAACATTGCTCCCCTTGACATCCTTCCCGAAGAGTGCTTCGCTAACACGATCTTTGCCACCTTGCCTTGGCCAGTCATTGCTTGTAGCGACGCTCTCGGCAACTCGGTGGCTGACACCATCATCTTCCAAAGCTCTACGCATTTCAACATGGCGTCTGATGCGGTTGATCTCCAGCTTGATGCAGAGAATGGCGGTGTAGAACGTGAACAGCAAGATGCAGTCGAAGAACAGAACCCAGGCAGCCAGGAAACAGAACTGTTGCAGACCCCCCTGTACGCCAGAAGCAGCGCCGGCAACTAGTATCAAAATCTCGATAACATAGTCGCGAACAATTTCATAACCCTTGTCTCTTAATGCGCGTTGGACAGCATTTTGGATAACGCCGGCTGATAGAGCAGTGGGCTTCTTGGCCGATTTGTCTGATCCAGGGGAGTCGTCTTCGGGTTTACGGTGCTCCAGCGCGTGTGACAGTACGGCCTTGGTAAGAACGATATTCTTCTCGAAACCGATGGTCACGACAAGAAACGGCAGGCCTTCAGACAGCAAGACCATGGTGACAGGAACGCCAAGCTTAGTCGTGACATTCAAACCGAACAAGAAGGCAAAGGTCGAAGAGAAGAGGACACTAATGGCCAGCCAGACGTTGGAGCCAAGTTTCCGCATGGATAAGAAGAGCGAGACGAAGGTCAGGTGCATGGAGAGGTAGCCGAGGACCATGATGATGATATCAAGGGTCTCGGCGTTCTTGATGAGGTCAAGAAACTCGGTCCAAGAGTTGTGAATCCAACGTAGCAAACTGCTTCCGGAGTGACCTTTGGCAACCTTCATGATCCACATCTTCTCCTCCTTCTTGCCAACCTCATTCTCGCGCACCTCCTGGCCAGGGACGTCATTGGGGATCTCTCGCGCCGCTCGGACAAATTCGGGGGCCTCGCTGTATTTGATGGCAAACGCCAAAGCGCTATCTTGAGAATACGCAGTCAGGGAGTTGGAGGTCGAGGGCAGATGGGAAGCCGAGAGGTTCTGGGGCAAGGGCACAATGTGGTGCAAAGGGGCGGTCTTCGGCGCGTCTTCATTGGATTCGGGGAATACCAGAGTCACCAGCGCCAGGTGATCGGTGTCCTTGGGGACTTTGGCGTTGGAATCAAAACTCTGCCATCTCCACGAGTTGTCGGCGGACGTTTGTAAGCTGCGGCTCCCTTCGATCAGTGACGACCATTCGGCGTTCCGTTCGTTCCTCGTCACATCCTGCAGGCTCTGCTTCACTACGCCGACGTATGTGGTGCTCGCGATGAGGGCGACAATGACAATGGTATGTATCGGGTGCAGGCAGGCGATCTTGGACACAAATTGCAAGATGGGTGTGATCGTCTTGTTCGCCTTGCTCGGAGGAGCTGGCTTATCGCTCGGTTGCTCGCCGCGGAAGCGGGAGGGAAGAAATGAGGATGCAGCAATCATGTTGGTGCTACCGCGAAGTCATTGGGTAGCTGCTGATAGATGTTTCTAGAATTTGAGTAGAGCTGTCAGTCGTTGCCCGCCTGGCGAAAAAAAAGACTCAATTGCAGCTTTATCCATGAACGCATCTCATAGAGGCGTAAGGGGCAGAACCAGCGGCGCGGCGACATCGTCGCAGGCCATCCAAGACACAGAGAGCGTCCATACCTGGTATATGATTGAAACCCTCAAGGGCACCTGCTGGTTGCGCGCTGGGATCAAATGATCGAGAGATACCGAGTGTCTTTGCAGTCGCGGTTGAACGCAAATCGCAGTACGGTCTATTATCTACCTAGGAATAGGCGGGGCCGAGGTCAAGACGGCCTTGTTCGCGCCGCGGTCGCGGTTCGTGGTGTCGGTAGAGGGAGGCGGTGGTTTGGGCGTGGTGAAACCTTGTGGGGTCGATTCTCTTGTGGTCTGCTCGGTCGAGGACAGAGTCGCGCCGCGTCAGAGAGTGCAGAAGCAGACAAAGGCCGTGGCACAGGAAAGGAGGGTGGTGAGCAGAAGATGGACGCGTGGGATCAAAGGGGCGCAGACAATCTGCGGTGAAGGTTAGGTTGGGAACTGATGGGAGAGAAATTTCCCAGGTCTATCGCCAATCGCCAACACCAAAATGAGAGACCCACCGGCCGCTGCTGCTATCGATTGCCCTCGATTGCCATTTAGGGATAAGTCCGAGGTCGGCTAGTGGGTCTACAGTACTTTCAATGGTACCTGCATTCACTGTTATCTGCTGCCAAAACGATGTGGGCATGCAATCGTTGGCTAGGTACATCCTAAGTCACTCTCTACTGTGCAGAGGACCGTCCAGGGTAATACCCTCCCAGGACCCCTGACCCCTCCTTTACACCAGACAGCCAGAGAGCTGGGACTTGGCAGCTTGGTCAATGGTTGGACACATGCAGACGTTCTACCGTGCCAGTCGTGCCATCGTGTCATCCAAGCCAACCTGAACAAGCCTCTCACGCAAATCGCAATTTGAAGTGGGACGATACCTATCAATTTACCCTTCTCTACCTCAGTTGGGCGGTGTTAAGTCGGGTGAAGCACAATATGAAGTCACATCCGTCCCTCGAGCTTAATGATGATCTACACCGACCAATCCAACATATGATGCGCAAATGGCTCCTTACGTCTCGACTCTGACATTGTGTGCGATGTACGCCCGCAGAATCACCTATCCAACGACCTCGAGTAAATATTTATCAATGGCCACCTGGACTTCGGAACCCGAGTTATCGGTTGAAAGTTGATTGCACCTATCACCTTCCCTCGACCCTGGGGTTATTTCTTCTTGTTGCATGGCACATGCACTAGACCCGGCACCATGCTCCCACAGGCAACGACGTTATCTCGGTCCGTCCCCGGTTCCTTGCCTAGACGGGAAAATCCCGAGCCCGCTCCTAACTCGCAACCCCACAACCCACATCAGGTTCAACTTCTGCTTTCATGTCTACTACATATGTCAGCCACGTAGGATGGCCAGTTATTCTTATCTAGACCATCCTAATTCCCGTGTACGTTGGTAAAGCACATACGCATGACACAAGCACAAGCCCACGGAAGTCTGAAGAGCGACGGCCGTAGGACAATGCCCCTGCTGATATGACAGTCACCGGGAGGGTCATCCTGCGGGAAGCTATCATCACATCCAGAGATATAGGGCTCTCGTGACTCATCGGACGAAGCAGACAAAGGTTTCGCTAGTGGCGTTGAGGTTGAGGTTGAGGGAGAAGACGAACAGAGTTCAGCCATGAGCCACCAAAAAAAAAAAACCCCCATTGTTTATTTGCTCAAGGTTGTGACAGAGCCTGTATTGATTCCACAACATCGATATCATCTCAATCTGCTGGGTTGGGAACACGAAGTCACATCCAGAGAGGGGCCGCGATAACAAGACGTAGGCCGTAGGCAGGCTGACAGGGTCTTCTGGCCTGCTCAATCTATGCATTGGACTGCGCGGTCATCAAGCGTTGGACCTCAGGCGCCTCCATGCTGACGACCCTCGCGCCCGAGGCCTCGATGCCCTTCTTGCACTCGGGCCACCCAGCCGCATCAACTGCCCGCGTACAGTCCTCGACCAGGTAGGTCTTGAATCCCTCCTTCACTGCATCCAACGCGGCGCTCTTTACACAGTAATCGGCCGCCAGGCCCACCACATACACATCCGTCACATGGTTCTCTCTCAAGACTCCAGCGAGCCCGCTGTCAAATACCCGTGGCGAAGTGAAGGGGTCGTAGAACGGGCTGTACATCTCGACGCGAGAGTCAATGCCCTTCTCGATGATCTTATCGATCTTCTCGTGCAGCTCGGGTACCAGCTCGGCGCCCTTGGTACCTTGCACGCAGTGTACGGGCCACAGTCTCGACTCGTAGCTCTCCGATTCGTTGTTCGGGTTGGTGATCTTGACAAAGTCCGTGTAGGGCTGCTTGCCCTCGTGGTTCGCGGCGAAGGAGACGTGGTCGCGCGGATGCCAGTCTCTGGTGGCGATCTTGATGACAAACGGCAAGGCCAGGAGCTTATTGACCAGTGGTATGATATCGCGACCCTCTGGCACTGCGAGCGAACCGTTCTGTTCACGGTCAGCGACTCGCATATTTTCCCCGGACTTGATGAACGGTCTTCGCTCACGGGAGGGCAGAAGTCCTCCTGCAGGTCTACCACTATCAGCGCGGGTCTGAAGTCGCCAGTCATCTTCATGCTGCCAGCTGGTCCGGTTGATGTGAACGACTGGGCCGAGACGATGCTAGGAAGGTTCCTTCTGACTTGCAAAGACGTTGGACGAGCGGGTCTCCCTAGGTTACAGTTTTCTGGGGAAGCTCAGGCTGTGTGCTCAGGCTGTGTCATGGAGCCAAACGGTCGGATGCCATCCGTTTGGAGCCATGGATGATGCATCAATGATCGATGGCAGCTTTGATCTGGGATGTGGAGATGTGGGACCGCCAGAACCCTGGTTTAGTGGAACCGGACCCCTAATGTCACATCAAGTGGATGACTTCAGAAATTCAGAGTTCCAACTGCTCTCAATTCGTATTACGATTTCTTTCCATTGTTATTGCGATCATGGAGGCCATATGCGGTATATGCTGATGCGTGGTCCTCCATCCCCTTCAGTGAAGACTTGTGGTCTGCAAACAACACAGCTCAAGACAATGCAAACACGTACGAAAACGACCTGAGAACGGAGAGAAACTTGGGGGGGGGAGGGGAGACGAGAAACAAAACCTGCCGTGGCCCTGTATCGACTCAAGGAGGCTTTATCCTCACCCGCAGTGCGAAAGCGGCATCGATCCCAAGGGCTGCCAAAACCAATCACGACGATCACAAATCAAAGATTACTTGAGGCCGAAAAAGCCTCGGCATGTAGAAGGGATTGCCTAGGTGTAACACAGGGTCGCAGATGCAGTTCCCTTGCAGGAAACGATGTCACAGTCCCAGAGTCTTGCTGCGGAGAATCGGGGCACCTATCAACACCGCCAGCCGATGCGCCGCTCATCTGCCTGAAACGCGAGTCATGGCTCTGAGCTTTTGAACTCTTCAACCTTGCGCTCTCCAACTCAGGTCGTCGTCGTTACCATACCGCCAGCAGACTGTGAACAAACCCCGCCTGTAGGTGAAGCAGGCTATCTGCAGGATATATCGTCGCATACGAAGTCCTACTCGTCCTCAAATTTGAAACAATTTGATCAACAGAATCTACAACAGCCATTCTACAGGCGTTCTTAAACCACATCTTAGTCGCATAATTCCTAACGTCCATCGACGCTCTGCGCCTAGATCTTCCGGAGAAGCATCATACATCGGCGCGTCATGGCCTATACCGAGGCACGCGCTCCCGGGCGGCCATTTGTCTCATACCAGCCATTGAGCCGCATCTACAGGCTCATCTACATCAGCTCAATCGTAGCCCGATTGCCATTCTGGGTCCTCAGTTTCGCACTCATACGGAGGTGGAGAAAACACCCAACGTGGACTCTCAAGCAGACGTTGCTGAATCGCCTTGCTAAAGAGCTTCTCCACGTCACGAGCAGGTCAGAGAAACCAGAGCGGCTGACCCTGGAGCCGGGCAAAGAGAAAGAGAGGTTCGAGAAGATAGAGCCGTTCCCCGCCAACTTGTATCGGGGTCCTCTGGACGAGGACACCGTCAAGCCGGCGACGATCGGTGGCACATGGTTCCCGACGAGACCGCACTGGAACCACCGCGAAACCGACTCGACGGTGGTCTTGCACTTCCATGGAGGCGCCTACGTCATAGGAAACGGCCGATCAGACCAGCTCGGGTTCCTCTCCTCGAGACTCCTCAAGTATGCAAACGTCGACGCCGTCTTCAGTCCCCAATACCGTTTGGCCTGCCGACCCGATCCAGCCCCCTTTCCAGCTGCGCTACAAGACGCCCTGACGAGCTACCTCTACCTCGTGCGTACGGAGGGCATCTCAGCGAGCAACATCACCCTTTCGGGCGACAGCGCCGGAGGCAACCTCGTGATCGCATTTCTCCGGTACCTCGCCGAGTTCGGTGCACAGCTCGACATCCCGCCGCCGCGCAACGCGGTCCTGATCTCGCCATGGGTGGCCCCGGTCAAGGGGCTCTGGCCCGAGATCTGCACGACAAGCAACCCGCACTTCCGGACGGACTACATCGCCCATACGTTTCTGCAATGGGGCGCCAAGGAGATTTCGCGCATCGTGCCGGCGACGGACCCGTATATCTCGTGTCTGGGCCACCCGTTCGCGACGCCGGTGCCGATGTTCGTGAACATCGGCGCGGCGGAGATCCTGGAGATTGACGACACGCAGTGGGTGCGCGAGATGGGCCGGGTGGAGGGCAATGTTGTCGAGGTCAATTATGAGGCAGCGGCGCCGCATGATACGCTGCTCTTGGGTGCGGTGCTCGGGTGGGAGAAGAGCGCGCAGGGGGTGGCGGAACTGATTGGGGTTTTCATCCGGAAGAACTCTCGTGAGTAGGGTGGTGCAGTTGTTCTCCCTTCCGGGGCAGTTGCTCAGCAGATTATGTTAGAAAGTGATTTTTCTTGCTTGAGTCATAGATGGTTGTCATCACTTTCAATATGGCTACTTTCGTACCCGACGAATGGTTCCCGGGGGAAACAACTTAACTGTACTTTATGGTGCATACAGTAGGTGCCAGAAATTACACAACAACCACCATGGGGCTACCTGGTCAGAATAGGGGGGAGAGCCAGTGGCGAAGCCATGCGAGGAACTGGATGGGTGTGTCACATAAGGAGAATTATGAATGTGTCTGAACTGACCGCCCATGTATATGTGCTATGAGAAAAGATTGCTGTGTAGGAAGGCAAACGCAGAAAACGAAAAATGAACGGTGGCCCTTATATGCCACTGACCTCGCTGGACATGAACCCCGCCCCGAAACAGTCTGAGTAACTGTCTGAAATGCAACGAAATAACTTCAAATCGAAGAAAGAAGACGCGGAATCAACCTGTCAACAGCCCACATCCTTCGCGCAATGACTGCCAGCTCGTCACATTGGCTCAGCCCTTCTTTTCTCACTCACAGGGACACTGTTGGCGTCCATTCTGACTCGAAGAGCTGCATAGTGAAGTAGAAACCTGACTCATACTTCTTGTTCTGCCTGATACCCCTGAGCGTCTCTGAGCGAAGCATCAGTATCGGAACAAGTAAAGCGGTCAGTGGTCAATACCTTGGTTTTCCATCCATAATGGGAGGTTCTTCACGTACTCCAGCTCGACAGAGTCCAGATTCGCCCGGTCTACGTCGAGCTGGTCGGACCAGTCAATGGTGTATGGAACGTGCTCTTTGCATCCATGGTGAAAGTAGGTCAACAGGGTCTTTGCTCCAGCATGAAATTGAGCGAGCATGGGATAATTCGAGAATGGCGTCTATGACAAGGTGAGTAGGTCTTCCGGAGAGGTTTTGGGGAACTTACATCAAGCGAATAGCGTCTCGCAAATTCCCAATCATGCACGGTCGCCTCGTCGTAACTGTTTAGCAGAACAAAACAGCAGAGGAAGACAGTGAACCAACTCTTCAAATCCGGGTTATCGACAAGCTTCTGGAGGTCTGCTTGTATAAACAGCTTGAGGGGCTCCAGAATGAACTTGATGACAAGTGTATCAAACTGGGTAGCCATGATAGGGGAAATTGGAACCCTGCCGCCGTAGGGGCTCTCTGGCGACCAAAGGAGATGGAAGCTTTCCACAGAGTGACCCAGTTGCTCCAAGCCAGTGGCATACCATTGCTTCTCAATTAATCGACTCGCCGTCCAGAACTGCATGACATTGCGTAGAAGTAGTCTCTCGTTCAGTGATCGCTAAAAGCGTCAGCGTTGATCGGTCGCATCCACTGGCACACGCTACCCACCTTTGGATTGTCCATAGCGTGCATCACTATGAGAAAAGTCCGATGAATCAGCAAAGGACGACGACTGGTGGACTCTGCCAAGTGCCGGGCCTCATTTGCTTCGATATGGCGTTTGAGCTCGCCCAGTACGGCCTGCATGTTGCCGAGGGCGTACGGCGGACAACGCAGTGTGCGTTTGCCTTCCGACGTTGACCATGTGTAGCTGAGGACGTCGGTGGCGTCCGGCAAGAGCATTCTCGCGGATACCTGAATCTTCGAAGTCCCAACACGTTGGGTTAACCACACGGGGTAGCTTTCTGACGTTTGCCACGTTGAGATGTCATCGAGTCTCGCCTCGAGGAACCTCTTGGTCCAGAGATATGTGTCAGTTGGTCCTGGTATGCTAAGTAAGTAACTAGGAACATGGAAATGTAAAGAGGCACGAGGTCAAAACCTTCTCTGAACAACAGAATGTCAGGTATCTTGAAGTAGACGCATAACCTGGTGCGGTCGGGATACAGCGAGTTCCATGCCCGACAAGAGTCGCATATTTTGAAGCTGACGAGCTTCGTACCGCACTCCTAGATGGTTGCTCAGCTCCTAAACCAAACATGTATCATACGCGGTGGGCTGATACCTGATTGCCACTGGAGACACAAGCCAAGCAACGCTTTCGAGGTTCGCCTCCGGCACTGGCTACAATCCCAAGCCCCCCTGGACGACCGCCATTGACAGGGACAGACATGCCAATAGACGAGGGCCCAGTTGAGACACCACCAGCACTGCCATCGTACTGGGTATCACTTCCCGTGAGGCCAGCGACTATAGGAGTCCGCCCAGACGGCGCGGCGCTGCTCGATGGTGGGGTGGCGTGTAGGCCATCCGGCAATCGATATCTCTTCGGTGCTCTTTGGACAGCCAGCTCATCGTTGAGGTTGTCTTTCTCGGGAACACGGTTCGATGGTGGTGTGGCGTGTAGACCAGCCGGCGATCGATATCTCTTCGGTGCCCTCTGGACAGCCAGCCCTTCCTCAGGAGTGTCTTTCGCGTGGACACGGTTCGATGCCTCGTCGGAAGGGGAATGGGAGATGTCCTCTAGTGGAGGAAGGCTACAGATGATCGCATAGCCGTAGTCGCCGCCCTCGAGCTCGGGCAGATCATCGAGGAAGTCGAGATAGCTGTCATCGCGCCAGTCGTAGCCACTGCCGCCATTGGAACTCGGATTGTCCATGATGGCACGCAGAGGATACGAGCCAGTGAGTTGGTGGAAGCCGATGGGGTTCTTCCTCAAGACACGAGGCCTAGAGGACACGAGTTGCAGTAGGAAAGTGAGGACAGGACTCAAATTTCTTGTTCCTAGCATGATTACGGGGCCATCAAGATGAACGTGTTCCCAGTGAGTGATTTGTTTTTGTTTTTTTAAGCATTTCGATCAGTGACCAGCCACATCCAATGAGTTGGACCACTAGGCTGCCCCTGAGCGCGGATACCGCCTTTCTTGTTGTTCACTGTTCCTGATAGGCTTACTGGCTGAGGCTCAGTTTGCAACATCAGACGACGGGGAGTGGGACGGGCGGTGTGCGCTGCCGCCTCGAGACCACTCACTGCTACTATGTCCGGACCAGCTACGCAGGTGGGATGCCTTCTCCATGTGTACCAGGCCGAGGTATCGGAGGCTAGTATTATTTCCAGGGCGACGTTGCTAACATTCAACACGCGCTGAACCGCCGTTTTGTGCGCGTCGGATGGGCTTAGAGTTTGAAAACTCCCTCGGCGTAGCGTCGATAAGTCTTACGGCGGCTTTAGAGTTTGTGACTGTTTGGCGAGGCTCTGCTTTTTGTTGTCTTTTGGGGTTTCTGGGTTTGGCTCCTCCCTTCCGGTCGAAGAGCTAAAAATAAATAAAAATAAAATCGTGGCGCGACCTTGATGGTCTCTTCAACTATTAGCCATTTCGTACCCCTTCCACGCCGTCGGCAGCGACTGTTACAAACTACGGATGCATTCAAGGTTGTTCTGTGCGTCTATTTGCGTCCCAAAATACTTTGTGTCAAATGAAGCGATGAGTAAAGCTTTTTGATGTGTTTTTGTGAGGGCTTTGACGGCATATGTAAGCATGTAACGGAAAAGGATTTATTATTATTATTTATTTAACACGCGCTGTGGTATTGAGACTATTCCAGAAGGTTGACCTGGATAGAAAATGAACCAGATCCATAGCCTGACGCCGCTTTGCGTGGTGGACATTCTGTCAGTTGACAGGAGTTCTCCTCCAAGTGACAGGATCACAAGCTCGCTTTCCCTCTCGATTCGAATGGCAGGGTCAGCACTATAATTCCAGCCGCAATAAACAGAGCGCCGCTCGTGTAGACTGGCGCCGAGGTTTCGAGGTTTGCATATATCGCAATGATAGGCGCGATAATACCGAAAATGCGGTTAGACGTCGCCGTCAACGCATTGCCGGTGCCTCGGTCCTTGGTGGGGAAGAGCTCAGGGGTGTATGCGTATAAAACTGCGTACATGATGTTGCTGGTGAAATTGTATGCGCAGTTCCACCCGAGTAGACTTGCCGAATCAGTCGCCGTGGTCGACCCGTAGAGGAAGACACCCGTCAAGGCGGTGCTCAGGCTCAGGGCGCCCTTGCGTCCGAACTTGGGAACTTCGACGAGGACTCCGCCGATGAGTGCACCAGGGACACCGAGCACGGCGATGATCAACGAGTTGCGATACGTGAGATACGTCGACCCGTCACCGAAGTCGGCACCGCGCGTGCTCTGAATGTAGGGCAGATACGCATTATAGAGGGGGTATCTGACACAGTGAGTCAGTACATAGGGGCTGAGCAATCATGTCCCAAGCGCGGGCTACTGGCAAACTCACCCGAGACCGATGAAGGCCCAGACAAACATCAGTGCCGCTGTAGAGTAGCCCATCTTCTTTGTCGCAAACAGGGATCGGGTATGGTTCATGTTGATTGCCTCAAGCTTCCGTTTAACAGCACGACTAGCGCTCGCGCGCTGTTCGTATCCTTCCGGCTCACACGCGCGCAGATCATCGATGGTCAAGGAAGAAGTCTTCTTGTTCCGCCGCGCGACCTCGTGGACGATGCGAACCGCCTCCTCGTCCAGTCCCTTGCCCATGAGGTACTTGGGTGATTCGAATATGGTGAAGCAGAGAAACCGCACGGCGAACATGATGAGCGTCAAACCGCCCATGGTAATCATGAAGTAGCGCCATCCCATGTTCTTGGATCTTGTGCAAACATCGTCGGTCTGCTGACAGGTCATACCACCGAGTAGTGGCCACGCAACCAGAGTCGCGATGACTTGAGCTACTGCCCAGTCGATGGAAAGAACGGTCAGGAGGTACTGGTGCGTTCCAGGGAGAAATTCAAGAAAGATGGCTGAATCAACTGGGAGGTTGCCACCCACGCCGAAGGACCAGAAGGCTGCGAATACACCTATCGCAGCGAAGTTGGGCGCCGATGCCGCTATCAGGCCCCAGACCGCAGTCACGCCCAGAGTCATGTTGAAAGCCCACCGCCGCCCGAATATATCACAGCCGAACCCCCAGAACATTGCGCCAGCAAGCAGGCCCAGATTCTGAGCAAGAGATAGTAACGGCGCCTGCGGTGGCGAGAATTCGAGCTTGACCGGCGCGAAGATCAGCGAGGTGACGATGGGCCAGAGGTTGTCTGATGCCCAGCCAAAGCCCACAACGACGAAGAGCTGCCATTGATACCAGCCCATGCCAATATCTTGAATCTGCGGCTTTATGTTAGGAGACTACTCAAAAGAGCACGGGCTGCATGGGTGAACTTACCGCCCGATTCAAGACTATAAACATCAAGTCAGCAACTTCCCATCGGGTGGTTCTCGAGAGTTATATCAAAGGGAGCAAGAAGGCCGGCGCATGAGCGTGCGTCCCGGAGACCATCTTGGAGTGGACATGGAGGACTGACCGCGAGCCTTCGCTTCGTAAACCGGATAGATGGTGCCTTTCGGGATCGTGCTTACATCGTCGACACCCACAGCAACATTGTCACCTGGAGCACTATGATCCCGGCCATCGGGTTGCCCGGTCTCCAACGATAGCTTCTCCATGATCGTGTGCGACGGTGAAGGTTTGCGAAAGACACAGAACGACGGTAGGAGATTCCTGGGTAAGATATCTAGTAGACAAGTATATAAGTTCACGTTGACGGCGGGCCGCAAAGTCAATTATCTCCCGTCCGGACCTCCGGTACAGTCCACGTTCTGCACTTGATATAGTTTAAGTAGTGATGTTTTTGTAGCTCAGCTGCTGTCGAGCAAGAATAGGTGCTCATGGCGTGCTCGGCTATCCCTGCCTTCGAGTGGCTGGGGATCTTTTGGGCCCTTTGACATGCAGCTCCCCCAGCTTCACAGCTTCCCTATGCGATCAGCTTCGGTGACTTTAGCTGGAAAGTCCTGCACTACGACCCGGGCACGCCCTATATTTAGGTAGGCATACTCACTTTCCCCGCATGCTCGACCGAAAATGAAGGAGCAGGCTGCAGGAGGGCGGAATCGCGGAATGCGGAATGCATGTCTCGAAAGTGACCCCCGGACAGCTACATGTAAGTATTGAACAAGTGTTGAGAAGGGTCGCTTCATGACCATAAATGATGCTATGGAATCGAAGATAAACTTTACATTGACACCCGGTACTACATCACATCTTCAACTGTCTCGGCGCTGATGGATTCCAATCCATCCTCACAGACACTCCCTCTATCGATGGAATTTGTGCCCTCCAATGTCCATCCCTCCATGTCCTCTCGACCGGACGGCAGGAGAGATCTGGGGCTTCGCGGCAATGCTACATCGCCATCGCGTATTCTGAGACCGCTCTCGATAGTCCCGAAGTGCTTTGCGAGCGTAACCACCAGCAGAATGATCGTTCGATGGCCAAACCCTGCCGCTGCCGGACAGACATGTTTGCCAGCACCGAATGGCATGTAGGCCTGCTTCATATCGTCCGTCAGAACATGGCTGCGGCAGAAACGCGCAGGCTTGAACTCGAGAGCATCAGGGCCCCAGATGCTGGGCTCGCGGTGGCATCGCTCCACGTCCGCCGCTGCTGGGCTGCAAATGCCGCTGTTCCCTGGCATAGACGGGTATGCGCGGTATACACGCTTCGTGGGTGGATATAGACAAAGTCCCTCCTGCTTGGTGTCAGAGTATGCTCCCAGCTGTGCCGTCGCGTCACGATGACAAGCCCGAGACGAGGCGACGATGAACAAGAGGCAACTAACCTTGGCGAAAGCGAGTGCTCTTCGCTCCTCCCGCTCTTGAGGTGTTCCTGCTCGAAGCACTCCGGAACACTCTGCACCATACTCTGGAGTCGTTCAGTGCTCTCAGCGTCACCCCTTGGTAGGCGGCTGAGACGAATGTCAGAACGACAACCCGCCACATGGTCTCATAGGCGGGCATTATGAGATTCAGTGGGTTCCCCTCGTCGTCCCAGGGGTAGCATGCCGGAAGCAGAGCCTTCAAAGCGTTGTGGAGGCGTTCCTGATCGACCAACAAGATTGGCTCTGGCTTCCCCTTCGACTGAAGCCACAGGCGATTGATTATCTCTGTGGCGATTCGAGCCTGACGAAGATCCATGGTCTTTGGGTTGGCCGAGAAAAGCAGGTTCAGCGTCACGATGAAGCTGAAAATGCGAACCAAGGGTGCAAGGGGCAAGAAGGGCCAGTCGAATTTGATGTGACTGACGGTCAAGTCCAAGGCCGATTCCGCAATTCGAGATGCTTCGACCCAACCTCCATTCCCCTTGTTGCGTATGACCAGCTTGGCCAGTCCGAGGAATCGACTATGGACTTCCTCATCGGTGGTGGTGAAAGAGTTGATAATGTCGAAAGCGGTATGCAATCGCAAGTTTGGTGTCGCCCGAAGAATCAGTCGATCCGCGAGGGTCCTGACCCCGAACAGGGTGAAGTCGGCGATACTTCGACTGATCTGCACGCGCAGCACTGCATCTTTCCTACGCTTCTCTGCGAAGACTTGCCTACACAAGTAAGCAACCACAATAATGACGAAGAGAACACCGACAAAGCCGGACATCGTGATTGGGGTAGGAGTTGACACAATCGAAATAGGTAGAGTTCTTGGACTTCCTTCACGATATAGACTTTGAGGTTTGGGCAGACGCTGGACTTACAGGCGATGTTTAATACTTACATGGACTCGCCTCACGGCCAGTAGAGCCTCGAATTTCGGGCAACACGCGAACGAATGATGATCTGACAAGTCTGGATTATTCGGCATGTCGACAATGCCGGTTTCCATCCTGCCAGCTTCAAATCCAAACGAAACATATGGCAGTGATTCGACTGGACCAAAAGCTCCATATATCCTACAGAGCGTAGATTCTTCTGGACGAGTGAGAACCTGACTCCGGATTCGACGCCTTCTTTTGCCTTGAAGGCCCCGGGCAGCTACCGCAAAGAAATCCCGTCTGCTAGCACGGAGTACAAACGGTCAAGGCACAGGCAGCCAATGATCATCATTCATCACGTTCAATGAAGTTCGGCTTCTTCCATGTCATTCGAATCAAGAACACAGCCAGGCAAGGAGCTGTTTCAGGTCCTTGCCGGTGCAAACGGCGAGCCTTTTGTCGACTCCCGTAAAGCGGCCACGAGAGCCTCATTTGACTCACAGAGGCCCGCGAGCCAAGCACGATGGGCTCATAACTGCAATAACCCGGTACTCCGCCAGCGTACCATGAAAATGTCAGTCATCACAACTCAGACAGTACACAATGGTAAGCACGATTACCTGACATCGAGTCGACATTAGCCTCCCTCTCAAGTGAATTCTCGGCAGGATGCATGATTTTCCAGGGATTCCGTCAAGACAATTTCCGGAACTGGGCCTTCCTGGACATCATCCGTGGGATGTGTTTCCGTTAACCTGAGCCCTCTTCGCTGGCATGTGGGTAGGTACCACGGCATTCTACGCAGGACGTCTGCTATTCGGCGGTCAGCCCTGCAACTTGCCGCTCTCTAGCCCTCTTCGTTCGTTTGCCGTACCATTTAACCAAGTCGTTGATGATAGGGGAGCTCGAGGAAACGCGCAAGCGCGATCGGGCTGATCACTTCCACCCAGATTCTTGACATGACTCACCCAACCTGAATGAAAGGAACGGGAGACTGGGCGAATTGGGCCGGCTGAGTGCGGTGCGATCTTGGGTCTGGCTGTGGTTCTCACGTTTGGCATAACGCGAAGAGTCACCATTTGGTGCCATTGCAAGAGAGCGTATCCATAGCGGTGAGGGCTTGGCAGAGACTGGTGCCACGAAGCCGTTCGGTATATCGGTAATGATAAGAGTATTTTACAAGAAGGAAGATCCAGCCGAAGATGGGGTGGCTCATATCTCTTGCATACTCTCGCGTACTCGTATTTGAAGTTTGTTCCATAAGGTATACCCCTGACATCTATGCTCATTTCGTCAGTACTTCATACGGGCGAAGGAGCACCTCGATCAATACTAGAGCAAAGTAGAGGGGTCAAAAATAGGTATCACGTTGACTATGAAGCCGGTCGTCTCAGCCAGTTCTTCATGATTCGGGTGCACGCTGCCAAAACACACCGGTGGGCCAATATGGTCGGAATATTCTGTGTCAGACATTTTGCATTTTGCCATTCGCCTAAACGCCATTCCCACTGCCCTCTGCAGATCAAAATCAAGCATCTGCCCTCCTTGCCTGCCCCAATGTGGGTATCAAAATGGCAGTTCGCCGAGGCCTCTCATCTTCAACCCCATAGAACCCCTCATTTGTCGCGGTCACCACCACCGATTCTCTCGAGCGCTTCCAGCATGACGACGGAGTTGCCTCGAATGACCTGGGAGTCCCGTCAGTACGTATTGCGGGGCCGAAGGGGAGTGTGTAGGAACGTACGACCATGCCTAACCGGACCTTCTCGCCTCCGTCCTTTTCTTCCACGGCGTCGTCGAGAACGATGTTAAGGAAGACCTGTATTGCAAGTCAGCGCGTGCGATCTGAATATGGCATGCTTAGGAGCGATCCTACATCGTAACCGCGCAGTATTCCTAGGACTTTGCGACTGCCATTGAGTTGGACGAACAGTCTCTTGTCGAGGTACTGGACGAGTTTTGATAAGTTGCGGGCCACTACTGGAACGAGTAGATGGGCGAGACGTACCTTCTTGAGCTCTGGTTGCGCGGGAGCCATCTCGACGGTATCTGGATTGGGACTTGTTACCGCAGTTGTTTTGCGACAGAAGCTGGAGTGAGGTAGCGCAGGGCAAGGCGTGTAGAGCGGAAAACAGTTGAAGCTGGGACCATTCTGGGGAGGCTCCGGCTCGCAGCGATAAGATAGGAGGGGCTTATCGATAAAGACCATGGTATCCAAACTGGGTAAACTGAACCGTACAGCTTCAACGAAATCATCTGTCGACAACCTATTCTGCGAAATCTACCTACACGATGAGTGCATTTGGAGGCAAGCGCAAGGCGCGAAAGATCACAGTACAGGATGATGAAGACGAAAGCCCTCCCGTCGCGTCATTAAACCCACCGGCCGAGCCCCAAGAACCAGCATTGCAAGCATCGTTCAAGACGAGCCGAAAACCGTTCAAGCAGTCCTCTCTCCGGAAGAGCATAAACGTTAGCGATGAGGCGCCCGCCGCCGAGGACCCAAGCACAGCAACGCACCCAAAAGATGAACCAGAAGACACCGAAGATGGCGGCGCACCGCTACGGATCCGTCCATCAATAGGGAGAACGGTGTCTACCAAATCTAAGAAGCGACAGTCGGCCTCGCGCCTCTCCTTCGGGCCCAGCGAGACCACGGGCGACGACGATGCGATGGTACTAGGGGAGGAGGTATTCACGCCGAAGAAAGCCACTCTAGGGGCCTCGGCGACGGAGAACAGCGCCTACAAGAAGGGCATCTCGAAGAACCTGCCCCTCAACCGACTGCCCATGCGCTCCATAGACTCGGACGACAACCGCCCGCGGTATAGCAAGGAATACCTCTCCGAACTACAGTCATCCACCCCGAACACCCCACAGAACATATCAAGACTCCAGCCCGCGTCCGACGACGAGATGTCCCTCGACCCGTCGGAGCTAGAGGGCGCCATGGTCGTCGACACCATGACCGCGGCGCCATCGAACACAGCAGTGCTGACCGAAGCCCAGGTCCGAGAGAAGAAGGAGCGGCGCGCGCGCCTAGCCAAGCACGGCGGGCGGGACACAGACGACTTCATCTCGCTGTCGGACGACGAGCGCGACGCGGGGGACTCATACCTCAGCGTGCTCTCGCGCAAGACCCACCACACTGCCGTCATCAGCAACGGCAGCAAGCCGAAGAAGTCCTCCGACACGCGCCTGATAGCCGAAGACGAGGATCTAGGCGAGGGCTACGACGACTTTGTCGAGGACGGCGGACTATCCCTAGGCAAGAAGGCTGAGCGCGAGGCCCGTCGCCGCCAGCGCGCCGAGATGGCGTCGCTGATCACGACGGCCGAGGGAGGCGCCTCGGATCACGAGTCCGACGACTCGGAGGCGGAGCGCCTGGCCGCGTACGAGGCCGCGCAGACGCGCGCGGGCATGGACGGGCTGGCCGAGGAGCGCGAGCAGCAGCGGCGGCGGCTCGGCGGCGGCGCCGAGGGCGTGGTGCAGGTGCCGCCCCGGATCACGTCGCTGCCGGACCTGAGCGTGCTGGTACAGGAGTTCAAGGCGCAGATGCGGCGGAAGGAGGAGGAGTTGGGCCGCATGCGGGCGCGCATCGAGGAACTGAGAGTGGAACGGGAGGGCGTGCTGCAGAGGGAGCCCGAGGTGCAGAGGCTGCTGAATGAGGCGGGCGAGCGGTATAAGGCCCTGATGATGCCGGGCACCAGCACACCTGGGGTTCCTGGTGATGGGGATGTTGGTGGAGGGAATGCCGAAGACAATGTAGCCTCGGCGAAGTCGCTGTTGGACCAGGTTAGGGGAAGCGGTGGTGATACACCGCGGGGCGAAAGGGGTTTGGAGAGCCTAGGGACGACGCCGGTGAGGCCGCCGCAGATGGAAGTATGATACCCCCTATTACGAGTATAATGGAAATTAGCTGTGACACAGTCGCATTTTATGAACTGCAAAGACTGTTGTTGCTTTATTCGACCTTCTACAAAACATAATAAGATTCCCATGATTCTCCCAGGTGGGAGAAAGGGAGAAGGTGATGCTAACGAGCACCCGAAACCTCTCCAGTATCGATACATGTATGATACACCCAGCATTACCAGCCCAATGTGGGTAGGTTACCGATTCACATAGGTCCTGAGAAGACTTCCCTGCATCTTGCTCCCTTTCCCATACAGTACTTAAGCCCATTCAGTACTTATGCGCATCCAACATCCACCCTTCCTGTCTGTGATGGACTAAACTACTTGGACCGCGACACACCAGCTCCAATGACACCGGGCAGTTTCTCCTCGCCGATGCTGAAGAGCAAGCCAATGGCGAATGCGATGGTGGACACGAGGGCGATGGTGGTGCCGGCGAACAGCCAGAATGGCGTGCTGACGTCGCGCTTGTGGCACATGGAGCCGCCCCAGTGGTAGATATGTGACACTTTTTGGGTCTCGTTGTATTCCCGGGTAGACTCGCAGTAGCAGAAAAAGCATGATGCGTTCTGGTCGGTGATTTTGTCCCAGCGGTCGATGCACACGCCGTGACCCGAGCATTCGTTGGTCGCCGTCACGCAGGCATTATGCGAGGCGAAGCAGGCGGGAACCACTGTCGGCTGGGCGGCAGTGAAGGCGTGCATGGCCTTGACCGGGGTGCTGGTCGGCTCGGTATTGGTAGTCGAGGTCTCCAGATCCTCACTCATGACCAGCTCTTCCTCCAGCTGTCGGCGTCGGAGCTCTTCCAAGTCGGGGGTCGAGGCGGCGGTGTTGGAGTCGAGGAGAAGGATAGTGGTCTCCATCTTGCCGTCGAGAGCTTGCGCTTTCAAGGTCGCGAGGTTCAGCCCGAGTTGAGTAACCACGTTGCGGTCCTGTGGTAGAGGTTAGCAACTTGCTGTCTCTGAATATATATATATCAGGCTATATTCAAAGTCTACACACCTTGGATACATCGTAATGCAGATATTGGGTCTTGCCGCTCCAGCACTTGGCGCTCGTCGGGTTGATCGACGGGCCAAACGCACAGCCCGGTGTCTCTCGAACGGACAACTGGCTCAAGCCAGGGGCTGTGAATGCAAGCGGAACACGGGGGATGGCGGCCTTGACCTGGTCGTAGTTCTCAGCTGTGAGGCCAGAGAGAGCGATGACGAGCTGATTCGGTTCGCTCGCATCCGTCTGTTCGAACAGCGGTCGAGGCGGCTTTCCGAACTGGTTTATATACGAGACTGCCTCATCTCCGGCTAGAGAGTCTGATAGGCGGCCCAGGTTGAATCTCTTCTCGGGCGAGCTGAGGCGTTGGAGGAGGATGGCTTCGGCGACGTGGTTCGGTATCGAAGGAGGGTTCGCGGTGGATGTGAGGGTGTTGGATTGCCTCAGCATGTATGCCTGCGCATGGTGAGGTTCCGAGTTGGCGGTGTTGGCGGTGGCGACGCCAGCTAATGCCGGCAGTACGAAGCCGTTGAGCTTCATGATGTCGAGTCCTGAATCCCTGAATCCCTGAGCTGCTGTGTCGTGGGCCTGTTGTCAGGGCGAGAGCATGGGAATTGTCGATTGTCGAGGTTGATTCCAGGTCGAATGACGCCTCAGCTCGATTGATGCTTGTGGCTTGAGGCTTGAGGCGGAAGCTGGCTTGGGACGCGCTACTGCCTGCGTACATACTTCACACAGTACAAACACAGTATTCAAGGCGGATGCTTGTCGCCGGGTGACGGAGCCACTGGGGTCTGTTAGGGCGTTGAGGTACAGTTGGAATCGTTGCAAGTCATACTGTACACTATCTCCGAACTTTAGATCCAGCCCGTCCATCAGTTTCGCCTCGTCCAACAGACCAAACCAGAAACCAGAAAAGCCATACCTATTCCCTACGTCTGCTTCGCACCGCTGCATTCTCGGGCACTCTCCTTTCGTCTGCCGGCCGACCGACATACGGACCGACCGGCTGCGCCCAACACCAAGCTGAGTCCTCTGCGCACTTCGATCGCCGAGCTGCGCATACGTCTCGCCCTCGAGGCTGTCACATATTCCATACCTCTGGCCGCCAGCTGCTGGCGCGCCTTCAGTCTCCCGCCACCATGTTGCGACTGTTCCGATCGCGAAAGAACATCGTCTCCCTCGGCGCGAAGGTCAACGGTCCGGCACGAGGTCCCCAGCCCCAGGTCGTCCATATACAACATGTCAAGATCCGTCGGAAATGGTTCAAGCCCATGTATGCTCCGTCGCACTTCTGCGCCTTTGATGTGACTGTCCGTGCTAACTGTGACGCCTAGGAACCTTGTCATCGCTTGCGGCGTCTACTACGGCTGCTATCTGATCTACGACCGCGTCGTCTTCGGCACTCTTGGGAAATGGGCCCACGACCAGGAGGCCCAGTTGTCTGAGAAGGAACGTCAGGAACTCGATGACGAAGACCTAGAGCCGCTCTTCATACCATTCCCCGGCACCACCAAAATGGTCGAGCCGCTACCCTATCGTGGCTCCGATCCCGAGTGGCAGGCCTACCTCAAAATCAGCAAGAACCAGAAACTCGTCCAGTCCATACAGAGTTCGTATACTTATATACCATCGAGCCTCCTTTGGGGGACATGACGCTGACCGTCGGATAGAGAACCTTGCCGAGCTGACCCGTCGCGTGGTCGAGTCACATCCTATGCTGTCCAAGAAATTCGGGAAGGACATGAAAGTCAGAAAGTTCTGGCTGGACATACAGTACCCCTATAAGCCGCCACCCACCTTTGTTCGAACCGGGTACGATATGCCTGTTGCATCCACTTTTGACTCGACAATGCTGACGCTATATGTAGAATAGCAATCGACGATGACGGTATATCCATTGCGGAAATGCCCGTCGACTCCTTCGCCGTCCTCAGGGCACAGCGCGTACTTTTCCCATCTGCGCTCGGCCTGTCTTTGTGGAGCTTTTCAGGGGCGTTGATGAAGCAAAACGCCGTTACCTTTGCCAAACTCTTCGGTTACGAACCCAAGGCCGAGTCAGCTGTCAGTGTACAGCAGACCATTGACAGAATTCACCAGCAGCTCAAGAAATCGCCGGGCAAGACTGACTCCCCGTCATCGGCCTCTGTGCCCTCTACAAAAGGTCAGGCAACGGGCGGGTCAGCCGCAGACCCTATGGCTCCTGTGGACAAGAGATCCGCTGGCTCGACTGCATCACCAGAGACTTTGGGTTCAGGTGCTAGTGTAGGCGGAGCGGTCCCGAATGTACCCAGCGCAAAGGACTTGTACATGATCAAGACAACGCAGGAGCACACCAGCGGGCCGTGGCAAGCATTCAAGCAAAAAATGGCACAAACTTGGAAACCTCTCAAAAATTTTCCTCCACGTGGCTCGTTAAGCGTCAGCGGACTGGTGGAGATCGTCACGCCCCGTGCAATCGTCACTGTGGACGTCTATGCGTGGTGGGATCCCAAGACAGAGGATTTCGACCCGACGACCACGATTCTCAAATTGAGAACAATACGTCCAAAGACGCAATCCGCACTTCGGTGATGATGGTCCATGCTAGGAACGGTTCAGGATGGGGAAGCTCATGGTGAGCGGTTAGCATGGCGATACGATGACTTTTGACTATATTGGCGTCTGGAGAAGGTAGCATCGTCACCAACAACATGAATTGTACAGTATTCCTGATCGCAGGCTTGGTATACGCTCACCGCGTCCATACAACGATGTTTTATGATTTGCTGGCTTTGCTTTGTATGGAACTTGAGCGAGCGAGTTAGGGTCAATACGAGGATTCAGATAGATACCATAGATCAGGGATTGGGCGGATTTCCCCAGCAGGATATACAGCACCTATTTCCTTTGCACCACGCTGCCCGTTGGAATTAGCATCATACAATGAACGGCTATAGCGTCTTTGGCTTACTTCTACAAGCGAAGCAGGTCATCATTCTTCTGAAACATTCCTTCGATAGGGCTCTCCTGGATCCCGCCGTCTGAGCCACTTCATCTGATATCGTGAGGGGCATAGGGCTGAGCGCTATTGGCAGCCAAAACAGCGCATGTCGGCCCACGTCCTCTTTACCTAACTGACAGATCGTGATTTCAAACGGACATGAGACCCTGACCTGTAACCTGTTAGTGGGCGGGCGCGAGGTTGGTATTGAACTAATAATCAGCATCGATAAGCTTCTCCTGGCGTCCGCCGCCTCTCGTCAGTGGCCGTTCCTGCTCTGTCCGTATGCAAACTGGCTGCATGGCTCGATATGGAGTTTAATACTGTTCAAGGAAAATGAACCACCACAACGGAGCTGCTATCACCCTATGAAACTATTTGGCGGGAGCCGGCAGCCAGAAGCTACGCAGGATTCAGGGGTAGTGTCATAATATGAAGATATTTCGTATATGCCGTTACTAATCGCGGACTTGTGTTGTGTGTATGTGTGACGAGACTTCGTGTTCCTAACTCAGCAGATTGAGATGATATCGATGATGTGGAATCGATTCAGGCTCTGCCGCAACCTTGAGCAAATAAACTATGGTTTTTTTAGTGGCTCATGGCTGAACTCTGTTCGTCTTTTCCTTCAACCTCAACGCCATTATGGCACTGACGGCCGTGGCGGAAGGACAGATCAGACTGAACGGTAGTCCGTATGCCATGAGGCTATATCAATAAGATCAATAAGAAATCAATGGTGTCAACCATAGGACATGCTACTGTTTGTCATACACTTGACTGACGTGTTCGCCTGCAAGAATCCGGTGTACCACGTGTATGATAGCACCTGAAGAGCTTGGGTTGGACGTAGACGTCATTGTCTCTCTTCGTGTCGCTTAATCTTGATTGAGTATGAGTTCACAGACCTGCTCCCATCCGCCCAAACAGCGTAATGTGTGCTGATGTCGTGCGCGTACAACCCTAGGCCACCACTAACAGCAACGTCATCGGATGCTGAGCTACGTAGTACCTGATACGCAAACACGGCGATTGCTCAGCCTGGAGGCTCAAAGGGTGCTCTTGGAATAATATATACCTACCGCTACGTCAGGGGTCACCAAGATCCATTGTTTGCTATAAAGCGGCCCATACGTGCCGCTTTGGTTGACGTGCGAATCCATCGCTTTTTCCTCATACGTACTTCGGCCTCATACACTCTCCGTATATTTCCGTCAAGTATCATCCAAGATGAGCTGCCAAACAATCCAAGCAACCGTTCAAATTATCACACCAGTGGCAGGGACACAACTGAGTGACCAGGAGATCAGCGAGGCAGCAAGCGCCTTGTCAGGGTACAGCACCGCCCATAGAAACTTCACTGCCGGGGATTACTTTGATATCCCAGCGGCACCGAGTGGTGTGTCAAGTGAATGGCCACTCCTCATGCGGTCTCCTTTGGCCTGGACTCCAACTTCAATAGCAGAATATGGGAACTTCATCTTCTGCCTCAGTCAGGGTCAGAAGGAGGAGGTAACGCAAGCTTTGAACTTCTTCAAGGGTAAGTTGACTCGATGGAGATCCTGGTCACCGACTGAAAGTTGCTAAGGTCTTCACCTTGATGCTCGGTATATTAACCCAAAAACCTTCCCACTCCCGTCACTAGCAACCCGTCTCCGAGGTGTCAGCCATGACCTATACTATGGAAAGGGATTCGTGATCATACGTGGACTCGACCCCAACGAGTTCTCGAAGGAAGACAACGCTCTCGTGTTCTTGGGCATCTCTAGCCACATCGCTCCGCAGCATGGTGCGCAGACTAAACAAGGTCATATGATGGGTATGCTACTCCTTTCAACATCAGTGGCGGTTCTTACTTACATTACAGTCCACGTTGTCAACGCGGACTCTACCATCGCGCCGCTTGAATCCCGGCAATCCTTATACACGAATCTGGCCCAGGTGAGTATCGTCACGAGCGGCGTGATGTCTGGGCTAACCCACAATTAAGCCATTCCACTCCGATGTCTTCAGCGAGATTCTTGCCCTACAGACGATGGGGTGTTCTGTTGAGGGTGGCGATAGCCTAGTCGTATCATCCTGGGCCATCTACAACGAGCTTGCTTCTACAAGGCCGGATGTGATCCGTACCCTCGCCGCGGCTGATTGGCCATTTGACACGTGAGTAACCACGGCGCTCAACTTTTCTATCCTATGATCTGACCCGAGTAGGTATGGCCAAGATCCCCCTTACTACCAACGACCGCTGCTCTTCTACCAAGACAATCGCATCATACTCAACTTCTCAAGGCGCCTCCTGGTTGGATCTGACGCCTTCCCTCGCTCAGCTGGCATCCCGAGCCTATCGCTAGTCCAGTCTGAGGCCTTGGAAGCAGTGAACACTGCAGCTGAGAAGAACCAGGTCAGAATCAAGATGGAGGCCGGTGATTTGCGGTTCATCAACAACCTCGCAATGCTTCACGCACGAGACTCCTTCGAAAACGATGACAAATGCCAGCGTCACTTGGTACGACTATGGCTTCGTGATCCAGAGAACTCATGGCGCATTCCTCTCCCGCTGCATGACGACTGGGCCCGGGTTTATGGGAATCAGGTGACGATGGAGGGGAAGTGGCCAGTCGGTCTGCATTTGACACGGGAACAAGTCGTGGATAGGCAAGCCTCTTGTGGCCAAGGCTAACATCTCGCTCTTGTGCCCACGAAGAACCAGTTCTGCCAAGGGCATTGGGTGTGTTTGAAGGGTGACGTTCGTGGCATGAAATGGACTAAAGGGGGCTTTTTGCACTGGTTGGGGGAATAGGGGTCAGTGCAACGCGATGGTCTGTCTAAAGAAACTCTGGACCGAATCAAGTCCATTTTATTTGATCTAGACGGAGACCTGAGCAGCTTGTGCTGTCCTCCCCCAGTATACGTCATTCTTACAAGCACCAGTGCCACAGCATCATCAAGCCTTGTAGTGCTGCGTGAAGTCGTACCGGAGCGCAAACGAGGCCATATGCAGATCCCGCTGCATCGCCTCGTCGTTCTCTGCCCTTACGCACGCCTGTAGGATCGGGTCTCTATCCATAAGCGTGTCAGGGTCGCTATCCGAGACACGCCTGAAGTTGTCACACGACACGGGGTTGATGACCGTCTGCCACCTCTCGATCCTCTTCTGGCTATACAATATCAAAATCGACTCGTCGGTCCGGCCGTCCCAGATGCCGGCCAGGCAGTCGTACAGGCCGCCGACGTCGACGAAGCCGCCCGTGATGTCCATGCCGCCCCACGGATTGCACAGGTGCGCCGCGTCGGCTGCGAGCAGGATGCGGCCCTCCCGGAAGGATTTCGCGCAGCGCTGGTGCATCTTGTACGGCGTCATGTTGACCAGCTTGTAGTCGCCCGGCTTCGGGTGGCCGGGGAGCATCAGCTCGTACTTCCACCCCTGGCGCTGCTTCATTTCTTCCCAGCTCAGGCCCGGGCTCTCGCCGTAGGTTACTCGATAGAGCCCATCAGGGGTGATCTTCGCAGCCATCTAATGCATATGGTTAGTGGAGGCTTGCGAGAAGCTCTTGAGGAGAGGCTTAAAGCTGACGTAGAAGTGCTCTGGGTGAATAGTGAAGCTGCAGTCTTCGAACCCGTACTTCGGAAAGTCGTAGTACACCTGCTCTTGTCAGTGCTTCGACAGACCAGGATACTTCTTTCGCAACTCAAGCCTTACATTGGAAGACACTATCTGTCTATCCCATGTAAACCCAGGGATGCCGTCGCCAAACAGTGACTTCCGGACTTGACTGGTTGCGCCATCACACCCCACAACGTAGTCACCGTAAATCTTCGTTTTCCCCTCCGCAGTCTCAACATCTACCCATGCCTGATTCTCATCCTGGCCCGTCCCCGTGACCCTGTGTTTCCAATGCACCACGCCCCCATACTTGCCCAAGAACTCCTCAAGCATCAGCCGGTCGAGTTGATCCAACACCAAACATGCCATGCGCAGATCCTTACCATCGACGTCACTTAGCGCGTCACCGTCCATGCCCGTGATCCGGCTGTGGTCCTCAAACCGGCGCCAGCACACCGACGTCGGGCTCAGCCCCCGCCGGTGGATTTCGTCGATGATGCCCGCGCGCTTGAGGTCGGGGATCGCGGCCGACCCATATACGGCGGCGCGGGGCTGCTTGTCGAGCTCGTGCGACGCTTCGATGATCTCGACGGGGATGCCGTGCTTGGAAAGCAGGAGGGCGAGCAGGAGGCCTGATGGCCCGCCACCTACGATGATCACCTGCAGCGTGTGAGTGTTGCTTGGCCATACTGGCGTAGTGGACATATAAGCATACCTTCTTGAACGGTCGCGCCATCGTTGCGGTTGACGCTGGCTTCACGCTGTTGGAGTTAGTTTGGAGAAAGACAGAAGTCCAGAGTAGCATCATCTGGCCACATCAACCATGACTTGCGTCCCCAACCACTGCTGACGATTCTGTCTTCGGAATCCCGTTGAGCTTCCCCGCAGTCGATGTGTCAGCCTCCACGAGTTTCAGTATGCTGCACTACGAGTTCCGGTCCGGTCAAGAGGCCTTCTCGCTGGTTGAAACCCCCGCTGTGATGTCACTTTTCTATAGGCTACCAAGGCAGGCGGGCTGTGATCTTTCGTCTCTTGTCTCATTCCCATGGCATTGGTAACCTATTATAGTCTGGCTCGGTGACACCACAGGCCATCTCTGCAGAAGACATAGGCTGCGTTAGTGTCTTGATCGTAATAAGTATAGCTAGGAACCCATCCAGCTTCTCACTAACGACGAGAGGCGCTCCAAAACAGGCTTATAGCCGTACATCAAATAGGCATACAGTATGTGAAGGTCGCGAGAAAAGCTTTGGATGTATGGCAGTCTTGTAGTTTTTAAGCTCCTACTTAAAAGCTACACAGCCCCCAAACCATGAGCCGCCAGTATCATCACGGCACCTTCACAATGACCTTTCCAAAGTGCTCACCACTAAACAAATACTTCAGTGCCTCTCCGCCCTCCTCAAAGTCGAAAACACGATCAATAACCGGATGAATCTCCTTCTCCTCATACAGCCCCAACATCTCCTCAAACCGGTCCTTGGGCCCGTTGATCATGCCCTTGACCGTGACGTTTCGCTTCAGCGCCAGCACGTTGGTGTGCAAGCCCGAGCCGGCCGGGGTGTCCTGCTTGCCGGACAGGTATCCGATGCAGCTGATCTGGCCGCCGAAGCGCACGCACTCGAACGACCGGTTTAGTGTTTGCGCGCCGCCGCACTCGAAGACGATGTCGGCGCCGCGGCCGCCCGTCACCTCGAGCACCCTGTCGTCCCAGTTCGGCGTCGTCTTGTAGTTGATCGTGTGGTCGGCGCCGAGCGTGCGAGCCTGCTCTAGTTTCTTGTCCGAGGACGAAGTTACGATGACTGCAAGACTGCGTCAGCATTGATCTCGTATGCCATGACTTACTCTTGGAGGAGTTGTGTAAAGACTCACCCGTCATCCCGAGGGCTTTCGCAATCTGCAGTCCAGATATCGAGACTCCACCGGTGCCCTGGACAAGTACGACCTTGTCCTTGCCCGTCAGGGGCTGGCCCATCGGCTGGAAGGTGTTGATGCTCATCCACGCAGTCACGGCCGCAATCGGTAGCGCCGCAGCCTCATCGTCGGCCATGTATGCGGGGACCTTGACGAGGCTCGCCGCGGGGAAGACGCGGTACTGTGTCAGGACCCCTGGGAGCGGCAAACCCAGGCCGGAGGCCATGTCCTGCTCCACGATTTGGCCCGTGAGATGTGTCTGGTTGAAGATGGAAACGACGCGGTCGCCTTCCCTCAGGCCTGAGCTGTTGCCCGAGCCCACCTTGGTGACGGTTCCGCACATGTCTGAGCATGGCACGATCTCGTTCTTACCTGGCTTCAGGGACTTGTGGTGGCCATACACACCCATGCAGACTGGTCGTCGTGTCAGTCTCATGTGTTTGTCCGGTATTGTGCTTCAACTCGTACCCTCAGTATCTCGGAAGTTCAGTGAAACACGGCTGGTCTTGACCAGAACCTCGCCATCTTTGGGGTCGGACGGCTCTGGCACGTCGACGAGCTTGAGGTTGTCGAGGCCGTCTTGGGTGCTGATCCACTGCTTCATTTTCTTTTTCGTACGGAACGCGACCACTTTTGTGTCTGCTGTCCTTGAGTCGTAAATGACTACGAAATAACGTAGGGTCTATGTTAACACCGATAAATGAGCAAATGCTTGACCTTCCGAATACTCCGCGAAGATGAATGACCTGCCCAGACTAGGCTAAAGTGAAACCGGCAGTCGTCATAGTGATTAAAGTCATAACCCACACGCATGAAAAATAATCTCCATCGATTTGTCAAAAGATTAGCATCGGGCGCCGGACGGGACGGGACGATTTGATAGCATCCGGACCCATCTTGCCTTCGGAACCTTCCGAACCAAGGCCGGAAGCCTTTTGGGGATACACATGTACCTGTCCACCTTGCGTCCCCGTATCTACGCCGCAACAGACGACCAGGTTGAGCACACCACCAGGGACACCATCTCCCACGTTATCACAATGATTCCAGCATCTCACAATAGACCTCCTCAATCTGCATCGTGCGTGTCGGACGCCAGTCCGAGTCGAACAGTTGGAGAGCGAAGTATGATTCCGCATCATACGCTTTGCTCTCCTTTAAAGCCTTGAGTGCAGTCTCTGTCCCAATGTCAGCACTGAAACTCAATGGCTCTTCCTGAGTTAATTATCGAACCCTTCTCTGTGACCCATAGGCCCATTTCTTCCATATACTCCGCCTGCGCATGGTCCAGGTTAGCCGTGGCTATAACAGAGGGATCCGACCAATCGAGCTTGAATGGCACATGGCCATGACACTGATGATGGAAGTAGGCCAACAGTGTCTTGGCACCAGCTTGGAAGCCTTCAAGCAATGGGTAGTTCGAGTAGTACTCCTATGCTCTTCTATCAGCCGGTGTCAGAAGCGTTCAGGGGGTGGAGCTTACCTCGAGTGAGTTCCGCACAGCAAAGTCGTGGTCGTGCGCTGTGGCCAGGTCGTAGTTGCTCAACAACACGAATATACACAGGAATGCGGTAAACCATTTGCCTTTGGCTCCGTCATTAACAAGTGCCTGAAGCTTTTCCTGTATTCGAAGACAGAGGGGTGCCAAGACCGACTTCATCACCAGCTGGTCGATTTGGGCATCCATGACTGGGGAGACCGGGGTTCTGCCGTTGAAGGGACACTCTGGAGACAGGAGAGGGTGGTCTTCCGTGGGGTTGTGTCCCAGAGACTCATCGCCCGAGGCGCACCATGGCTCCTCGAGCAGACGGCTGGCAACCCAGAACAAGAGAACGTCGTACAGGAGTATTCGCTCTGCATGTGATTGCTGACACCGATGGTCAACCTCCATATAGTTAGTGCCTGAAGGGGAGACTTACCTGTTTGTGCTCTATGGTGTAATCGATTATCTCGAAAGTGGCTCGCACAATGGGAAGCCGAGTGCCAGTGAACGCCTTGACATACTGCCCGGCGTGGGCTCGGATGTGCCCTTCGATGCCTTCAAGTGCAAGATCCATGCACTCTATAGCATAGGGGGCACACACCACTCTCTGCTGACCCAAGGAAGTGTTCCAAGTATAATCGAGGACGTCGCCAGGCAATGGGTCGAAAAGCCGAACTGTTACCTCCACAGAGGAACTTCCCACGTATTGTGTCAGTTTCGTGGTCTTCGGAGAGGTTCGCCATAAGGGTATATCTTTGTCGAGGGAGCGGTCGGTCCACCGGAACTCGGGTGTAGACGCTAATCATCCAGGTCAGTACTGAGTCTCGAGGGGGTAATAGTGACCACCTACACTGTCGAAACAACCTAATGTCCTTGATCTTGTTATGGGCGTCGAGTCCATGGAGATTTGGGACGGGGAATTGCACCGAAAGAAGCTGATGCCCTTTGCCCGCGAGAACAAGCATCCCTTTCTCCACGCGTATAGCATCCATTACGGCGTCTTGTTGGTCACCTTGGGATGTGTCCTTGGCCAAAGGGAGGAAGCGAGCCGTAGGGGGCTGATAAGTGCCTTGTTCGTCAACAAGCACACTGGCCTCGATCGTATAGCCGTTCTCGGGACCGTCGTATTCAGGGAGGCTTGTCAACATGTCAGAGTACTTGCCATATACTTGGCACTGTGCTTGGGACCCAACGGGAAGGTTGGGACGCTCCATGATGGCAGGTAGAGGATCTGGATCGAGGATTTGTCTGGGCTGTGAGCTGGCACTCCTTCTTTCAGGGGAAGCGAAGTAATGGGAGTAAGAAAGAGAACATCAGGAAGATCTCCAGGGGTTGATCAGGCGGCGGGTCTTTCCCCTCAGCGGTCATCTCGAATTCAGTGATTCACAGAGGAGGCAAACTTGACATTGTTTTCGCCGCCAATCTTGATAGCGCTCAGCCCCCTGCTCCTCACGATATCAAATGAAGTGGCTCAGACGGCGGGATCCAGGAGAGCACTACCAACCTACATGTAGCGCCCGTCCACTAACAGGTTACAGGTCAGGGTCCATGTCCTTTTGGAATCACGATCTGTCAGTTAAGGAAAGAGCCGGCATGCGCTGTTCGACTCAAAGCCTTTTGATGTATCAACGCTAGGTACGAATGATTCTAGAGCCCATAGTATGTATGTACTGTGTTGTGCTTGGCACATTGCCGCCTAGGCGTGAGCCACGGCATCTGTCTCAAAGTTCGCTTGCATGGGTATAGCGTAAAGTCTCCAAGACGAGATCGTCTCATTCACCCCATATGATCAGACCCCCATATGTCCATCGTTATGCACATGTCCCCCCTGTTTCCCTGTGTAGATGAACGCCTCATCGCAGTCCGCCAGCGCCCTTCTCCACGACAAAGGCGACTGGACGTCTCGCGCGCCTATTGCGCACGCCCCGGGGTGGAATGACGATCCTCTTTCTCATGGCAGCCGCTTCGGGCTTGCCATCGGCATTCTCGTCGAAGCCCCATCGCGTAACACCACCAGCGTTGACCCAGCCCTCCAGATTGCGGCATTGGCTGATATCCGTCCATGCCAATCTGCCACAGCCATCGAGGACGCTCTCGATGCCGACAGCGGTCACGCGAACACACCCTCTGACACTCAGGCGCTCGAGTCCGTTGAGGTGCAACGCAATGCAGGCAAGACTGTTATCGCTGACAGCGCTGCCACAGAAGGCCATCTTGAGTTCGCGTAGTTGGGGGAGACCCAGAGCAACGACCTCTGTTGCCGTGTCTGACAGCGCACAGCAGAACGACAGGTCCAGATGCGTCAGCGCCTTGGCCGAGTTGACGAGCGCCACAATGGCGTTGTCCGAGAGATAGGTACAGTCGGCCAAGCACAGGTGCGAAAGGTTGACGAACCGAAACTGCGCCCAGGATTGGAAGCCGGCGTCGGTGATGGACGTACAGCGAGTGAGGGATATGGACTGCAGTCGGTTCGATGCATGGGCTGCCATGTGCGCCATCGAACGGTCGGTGATGTGCTTGCAGTACGAGAGATTGAGACGCTTGAGCTTCGGACACCCGATGACGGTGCCTGGAGGAGGTAGGGTGACTGTCTGTGTCTGGGTCTTCTTCTGACCCTTGAGACGCGAGGACGAACTTGCTATCACCACCTGCTTCGTGGCCTGAGGAGGGTGATCCGGCACGACCCAGCCCATGACCCGGGCCAGCAGGTTATCGCCGACTTTACGACAGTTGCTCCAATCAACCTCCTCGAGGTCTTTAGCATGGTCACTCATATCCAAGATCTGGTTGGCCGAGACATCCCACACTGACTTCATCTTCCACGTCTTCACGTTCTTGCCGCACATCTTCCACAAGGCCGAGAATCCTTCGTCGGTAACATGGAAACAGTTGCTTACGTCTACCGAGATCGGTCGCGGTCCAAGAAAGGGCGCGATTGTTTGGATGAGCACCTCGTCGGTGACGGTGCGATTGTATGGGGCCAAGTCCACGTGCAAGCCCAGTTTTGGTGAAGTTGCCGTGATAGTCCGCCAATGTGATGACAATTGTCTCATGCGGATGAGATTCGCTATGTCGAGGTATTGGAAGATAGAGACCAAGATATCATCAGGGAGAAGCGGCTCCGAGCTGGGATGAGGCCGTCTCGGTAGCAGCCTGGCCTTCTTTGCCGGCCCTTCCGAGTCCGGGGACGACAAGGCCGGTATGGAGAATCGCACGGGCGTAAACGTATCGATCATGCGCACCCGGATGCCGTTGGTGGTGGGCGTGCCGGGCGAGTCGCCAGGTGGAGTCGGGGGAGCGAGAGATCCTCTGCGGCGGTTGCGCAGGTTCTCCATGTCCACACTGAGGTACGGATCGGGGTCCTTGGGTTTCATCCGGTCTGACTCGTCCTTGATAGGTGAAGCTGGCTTTGAGGGTGTGGTGAAGGTGACTAGTGGCGCGGTTCTCGTCGGCGTCGACGGCGAGTTGCTCTTTTCTGGTTTCTGTACGTTACTCATTTCGATGTCCTCGTCGCCTGTCCTGATCCGGTTCCTCGCCGTCTCCTCAACCTGCTTTCTGATACCAGGCGGACACCGCTTCCACAGCCCATCCAAAGCCTCACCGCTGATCATGAGACACTCAACGGTCGTGATGGATTTGACCGTCGCCGTTCGTCGGAGTGATAGACCCAGGCTGGCTACCTCGCCAAAGTACTGGCCTTGTCTCAGACGTGGTCTAATTAGAGACGAACGCGTCGCCCTTTTTGGCTGTTGCCCCTCCGGTGCTTCGTGTATGACTTCTGCCTCCCCACGCACAATGAAGAATATGTCGTTGCCCGAGGTCCCTTGGCGGATTATATCGGTGAAGGGAGAGTAGGTCTTGGGCTGCGCACTCATGCCGAGAAAGTGCAGGATGTCAGGAGGGAGCGCCGAGAATAGGGGAAGCTCCTTGAGAGTCTGCCGGACGTTAACCAGGCCGCTGCCCAACGCGCTGCCCGTGGTCAAATCTTCGATGACGCCTGGGCTGGGGGATTTTCTCTTCTTCGTGTTCACCACAGCGCCCTCTTTGATGATGCCCACCTCGCCCGTTGAGACTTCCCCGGGCGCTGCCTCTCGTGTTGCCGTTGGCCCTTTCACATTCTTCCCTTCATGTGCGCGTTCTTGTCGCTTTTTGTTCAGGATTGTCAGACGTTCGTGGGCTTCGTGGCGGATTGCCTTTTCCATGTCGGGAAATCCGGGCAGCTCCAAGGAGAGATCCTCCTTCTTAAGGACGAGGAGAAGACATTTCGTTCGCGCAATGATGGTGGCTGTTCGCGGCATGTTCATGAGGACTCCGATCTCGCCGAAGAAGGAACCCGGTTTGAGTTCTGCGTACACAGCTTCCCCGTCACGGGATGTCACAGCAACAACGCCACGGACCAGCCAGTACATTGCCTTTGCTTCATCTCCCTCGGTCAGGACGTGATCATGCGCCGAGTGAATCTGGGGTCTTAGATGCTTGCCAATGGCTACCAGGAACTCCTCGGGCGCGGTCATGAAGAGTGGGAAGGACCTCATGCGATCAACCATGTCCAGCGGCATGTCCGGAATGGTCGAGGCCGTGAGTGGAGATGGACGAATCGGCCGTGTTGGGTTCGTCTCGACATTGAAGGACCTGATCAAGGAGGCCGAGTCGGGAAGCTGGCCAGTAGCTGGATGGTGAGCCAGGGCCCTGTAGGGCGAAGGCGGAGAATGTGAGCCTCTATTCCGCCTCATGGCTGCTCACGAGCCCCTGGCTGCCTGCCCGATATGATATTCCCGGTATCTGCCAGTCCCAGGTCCCAGGTCCCGATCCCGATCCCAACCAAGGACGTTTGACCTCCTCTTACGTGTGTGGAACCCCTGGCGTCGCCCTTGGTGTTTGGGGATCTGGAGAAGCTGTCACGCCTGGTGAGCACGGCTCATGGCGGGAAGCGTGGTGGTGGTGGTAGTTGTTCGTGGATCGTACCGACGAGGTTCGTTCGAAGTTGATTCCTGTGGTGGGCAAATCTTGGTCAGTCTCCATGCTTGCGCAATGCAGTGTCAGGCAGGCCGCGAGTCTGATACTTACGACCTGGCGATCAGCAAGGCAAGCAAGTTGAACCACCTAGATTGGCCGAGTGTGCCGAACGAGGAGGCGAGAAGGCGAGACAGGAGACGGGAAGTAGGAGACTGAAGCCGGCGGCTTTGCCAGTGTGTAGCTATGTTGCATACCACAGCACAGAGCGCAAGCGGTCACGCGACACAACGGAGGACTCTTTGGGGGGTTGACGGGCATGTGTAATGGACAATGGGCAATGGACACTGGGGAGCAATGGAGCATGGACTTATGGTCCCGAATTCAAGATTATCCCAACAGCAGCAGCGGCTCTAGCACTACCCAGCAAACAGAAATAGATGTGACAAACATACAAATCAGGTTGCCGTCTGGGGCATGGTGGCGCTCCCAAGGAGACCGCGAACGAACCGTAGTAGAGGTGAAGGTGTAGTAATATGTCGCTTTCTTTGTTGTGTGGAAGTTGTCGCATGCGCGGCTGCAGGCAACCAGGCGGAGGCGGAGTCGGCTGCGCTGAAGAGGGTATTGTGAGAAGATCACAGTATGTATGTACCTAATGTAGAGGTTGTGTGAGTGTGTATGTACCAGGAAGCAGAAAATCAGACTGTTTGTATGTATGTATGTATGTATGTATGTATGTATGTATGTATGTAGGTATGTACGTAGAGTAGTAGAGAAGGCGACAGGAGGATGTGAAGAAGATTACATTGACCCAGAGAGCTACCGGTAGCTAGGTATGTGTCGAGGAACAGACTGTACCTACTTGTGCCCCTAACCTACATACAGTACCCGGACTAGAGCGTGTCTGAGACAACACGTTTGTGAATTGGTGCAGATTCTAGCTGCCTACCTAGGTACTTACCTTAGGTGCCGACTGTGGAGTAGAAGCTCGACACTTGCAAGCCTTAACTCAGGTAATATGTATTTCCATCAATGCACCTCCTATCTACTCCTCGTCTCTCTTTGGTGATGGCACTGGGGTTATCCGGCGCGACGTCAGAGAGAGGAGAAGCACAGGCACAGGCACAGCGACTACGGGAGTGCGCTGGGAGCACAGGGACATCAGAGCTTCAGCACGGAGCACATGAGACAGCGTGAAAGGGCACTGGGGCCTCTTGCTGCCGCCTCCACTGCGAGGGAGGGCCCGCGCCACGGATCAAGCGACATGACCGTCATGACGACAGCGACAGGGTAGCGCCACCACAGTAGGGCTAACTTTAGCATCAGACCTGACGGGGTGGCCGATGGGATCATCTGAAAGACGTGTATGCCATGCTTCAGCTATTCAACTTATGTTACACACCCAGATCAGAGTGAAAATTAGATGTAGGTAGCTATGCAAGTAATAATAATAGTAGGATGCTGATGGGGCATATGCAATGCAAGCAAAGCAGACAGACAGTAAGTGGATGAGCCACCAACAAAGAACACATAATAGAATGAACAACCAAAATAACTGCACGCATATGCAGCAGAGACTGCCTCCTCTGTTTCATCAATGGGGGCTGTAGCTGTCACAGCCTGTCAGAGCCTACTTGCCTGCTTGCTCACCTCATAAGCACCTTATAAGTTAGTTTCATCGCTATCTAATAAAGGTCAGGCTCCGTCCAAAAAGTTGATGTACTGGCGGGCTCTCCGGTTGGTCAACTGAAGGTAGATACCGAACATCGTCTTGGTATTATATATATATATATATTTATATATTCATATATGACTTTGCCGCCGGAAGAGTGCGATTACAACTCCCCGTGTCTGGTCAGGCTATTCAGGATCCCAAGGACAGCCTAGGGCGGCGTAGGGCGGCGTAGATCAGCAGCTGGGCCGCTTGATCATGGAGCGGCGGTCCTTTCACTGCGACTCTGTTGCCACTAGCCGGGATAGGCGTGACAGGATGGTGGAGAAGAAAACGCCGAGAAGACCTATGGAAACCTTCTCGAACACCGAGACAGTCCAGGGTCGAAGTCTAATGTATGAAACTATTTTAGGCGAGGGATGACGAGCGTCGAGCACAGAGGACCAACGTTGTCTTGTTGCCTGCGGCTCGTCTCGCGCTCACAGTCTTGTGTAAGCCAGCCACCCACAGGAAATGCGCGATGACGATGACCATCGCGCAGGAGTTATACATATCCAATGGCTGCTGACCCCAGACCGTCTCGGTCGACAAGTCGGGGGCTCCCGAGCAAAATGATAAAAGCAGCGATCTTCTACTTGATGGCTGAACCGTTGGGCTGAAGTATGATTGACCACATGGCTTGAACGAGCTCAGACCCTCAACGGCCATGCAGGAGGAGTGAGAGGTACGTCGTAGGCATGCATCGACGTCATGTTTACCAAGACGGGTCACAGAGAAGGGTCGCGGGACTGCTTGCAAAGAACACCTCACGGTGGGTGCAATCTACCTACTCGATGAAGGAGAAGCAAAGAGGCCACGATCGACTCTGTGTGAGCACGACATCGTGTCCTCCTCTACCCCGTGCCTGCCCCCCTGTCCGAGACCTGCCGGAACCCCTGCGAATTCGAACTTCCCATAGGCCAAGGCGTTTTGAAGCCTTCGAGAAGAATTCTAGCGCCCGCCCCCTTCTCCGCCACACATGATCCCGCTCCTTGCTCCATCCGTCGCATCTCGCTCCGACCTGCGTTGCAGCCGACCGCCGCCTCCCGAGGTATCGTATTCTTCGCCTGCTCTTTTTGTCTCCTGCAGTCTGATAGGTGCCTCAAGCCTTTATCTGACCCGACGCTAGATCACAGCAACTTGCCGTAGGACGGACCCTCGGCCAGTTCGTATTTCTGGCGACGCCTTTCCTCCTATTGCTCTTGGAGTGTGAACGGGCAATTCCTTGCGTTACGTTTCGGCCGGTTCCGCGCCTCGATCTCGGTGTGACGCCAAGGATAACTGCCAGACAACCATGAGCTTCTCGGGCGGCCTGTCTCCCCCGTCATGGTACTCTACCGTACCATGGTAGCCTCGGTTCTCGAAGCATTCCATGCAGAATGAGTTGCTTGGAGCGTGCCGTGAACCGTTCGTGGGTGTCAGTGGACGTGGGACTCAGCAAGCCACTCGCTTAGTCGACGTATCACCGGTGACACACCATCCTTCCACGTTAAGCTCTTTGCCTCGTTGTAGCTTGGCCGTGGACTACTCGAGCTCATACAACTTCAACGGCCTTGATAGTCATGATCATAGTCGTACGGTGGGCCTTGAACAGGAAGGTATGGCTTCAGTCATATCTCATAAGCGTGCAGCTCGTCTGACTGTCAAGGTTGCGATCAGACGATAGTGGTCTTGCCATTTCGTTGCCTGGCAACATACATGACTCGAAGCCCTCGGTACGCTCATGGCACCGGACCAAGATCTCAATATCCCGTCCATGGTGTCAAACGGGAAGGTGATAGTTCGTACTTCAGGACGGCTAGCAATAATCCACGTGCTACCGGAACTTCCGTGAGCCTCTCTATCCTCCGCGTGTTGATTCATATCGGCATTACAGAAGTCTTCTACGGTGCCATCCAAAGTTGTCCAGTTTGACCTCCCCATGCTTCCCCCGTTTGATTTCTCGGTACTGGCAGGGCAAGTAGGTCTACAGTCCTGTGTCTGCCCAGACTTAGTCACAATGCACGACATACCTGCATCTTTATGCATTGCATGTGGCCGGCTTCCATTCAAGGCACCCATCGTGGGGGTGGTGCTGCGGTACTGATTTCAGTTGTGCTCAACAGAGTGCTGATAGTACGGGCATCAAGGGTGAATACCGGATCTGCTGTTCGATATCGTTCGAGTCGAGGGAGATGGCCTAGGCCTTCATGCCTTGTTGTCTACGGAGCTCTCAGGTGTCGTGGGTTGTACAGTTTCTCATCAAATGAAGCTCTACCCCTGTTCTGCATCTGGCTGTCATGGCCCTTGAAGCACGGCATTGGTGTACTGGTGCAGAAGAGTCCAGGGGTTTGTTGCGACCCCCACGTTCAGAAGGAGGTAGTCCTCCTGGACATATCAGCTGCTGACAGATGCACGTCTGAGCCAGATGTACCTGTTACTAGGGCATTTCCTGCAACCTGTTCATCCAGCACGGAGCTCTTGAGAAACAGGAGTGGGAGGGACCTACGAGTTGCTATCCTAATCAGGCCCAAGGGTTAGGATACGGCCGCAGTGACGAGGAGGGGTGTCATCCAAGAGCTGCCGACATCGACGTCGACGTGAGGTGCATCCTTCGGAGCATAATGCCCATATACACGGGCTGGAACCCCCATGCCTGACGACGGGTCGACTGATGCGAGGCCGGAAATACTACCAGTATAAGCTGCTACGTGCATCCTCGTCACACTTGTTATCAACGAGAGGCAGCCCAGCATACTCGGATGATAGCCATACTGGGTCTTAGCTCACCTGTCTGTGGGGCTCTCCTGCGTAGCATGGCGCGCATCCGTTACCTTATGTGCCAACCTGTCAACAAATCAATGCCGAAGTCTCTGAGGCCCGCATATAAAATCCGGCACTGTGCTCTTAGTGTCGGCAACGATAACACTCTGCCATTGCATGACCTCTCCCCGTCACGCCAGGAAGACACATAATAGATCACTGGCACTGCAGGGCATATATGCGTCCTCCATAAGTACTACCACCAGAGCTGGAGTTCTTGCAGAGTCAATACGACGACGTCACGGCCTCCGACTAGGACGAATAGACCAGAGACACCCTCTTGTTGGCAGGCTCCAAATACAAGCCCGCAAGGATCCAACAAGGCTACAAAGGAGCTTCCAGCTAGTCCCTGACTTCCAGAGACCAACACTTACCAGGCCATCATGGAAGAAGCCCCCAGTCCGCAAAGACAAAGACAAAGAAACAGAGCTCTTCAAGCAATGGCTACAGGAGAGAAATGTGAACACTGACCTTGTCATCTACTCAGATGGATCACAATTGGTTGACCAAGGTACAACCCGCACTGGATGGGGTTACACCATCAGAAAAGGCAACACTACTCAAGAAGTATACCGGGGAAAGGGTAGACTTCTGCAAACAGAAGTAGTAGATGCTGAAGTCTATGGTGCTCTCCAAGGTCTTGCAGCAGCCAGGGCAATTGGACACAGAAAACAGCTATATGTCTGCCTGGACAACACGTCAGTGGTAGATGGGCTCAATGGGACTCCACCCGAGACATCACAGAATATTTTTCTACGATTTCAAGAACTTGCCACAGCACACACTCCTGGAGTGACCGTCAAGTGGATTCCTGGACACAGAGATATTGATGGCAATGAAGCTGCCGACACATTAGCAAAAGAGGGTGCCATGCTGGAAACAGACACAATAAACCTTCCTATAATTTCTTGGGTCAAGAGAGATCTCAAAAGAAAGGGCAGAAAGGAGTTCAATCAATGGTGAAAAGACCAATCAGAATCTAAGTATCAAGAAGTATACTCACACGCAGTAACTGAAAAAGATCTGATATCTTTTAAGAGGAGTACTTTACACAGACTTCTAGCGGCCAGATCTGGACATGGCGACTTTGCCAGATACCATGAACGCTTTGGGCATACAGACTCGAATGACCATTGCAGTTGTGGTGAGAAGAAAACACCACAACATATTTTCTTTTGTAAGAGACTGGGGAAAAATCGGCTGCTGCCTAGGTACTCGCCTAGGACAGCTTGTTTACAATACTTAGGGGAGAGGAGCACAGAATGGGCAAAATTCGTGGAGAAGAGCAAGTTCTTTTCAACAATCTGTCCCCGATAGATAGCTTTTCTTGAAGGACCAGATGGATGACCCCAAGGTCATACCACCGCAACAACGGGGATGGGCCCGTGAGCGGGACTGACTGTACTTATTATCTTGAGACCTCCACAACCCTGCGATGCAGAGGCTCTGGGAGGCGTGGTTTGCACTACTGAGGAGCTACCCCCCACGTTAAATACAAAACAAACATACTACCACCAGTCCTCCACAAGTACTACTACCAGTCCATGCTGCTAGGGACAGCAGCAGCGTGTCTCCTTATCTGACATACGATGCCCATGAAGATCGACCTGCGGGAGCCATGCAGCCATAAGTGATGCTTCTGTATCATCGTGTGTCGTGCTCGAACACCCTCTCTCAAGCGATGGCAAGTGAGACATCCTGCTTGCTCGCTTTTGCATTGTTGTTTTAATTTTATCAATTCACCGAAGTACACCACTATGGGGGTTCCAAGAAAAGGGGTATGCTAGGCATATGTCAGTGTACAGCCTGTTGTCATAGCGAGCACTCCCACCCAGCAAACGTCATGGTTTGGATCCACGGACGGCAGTATTCTGGGGATGGTCAATCAAGTCAAGTAAGTCACGTCATGGCCTTGAAGCTCTCTGAGCGGATGTATTGCACAGTAGGTCAAAACGCTTTCAAGGCAAATACTCATCCATGGCACGAGACCTGATAACATCGGGGAGGTATGTTACAGCACCCCTGGTACGTGACGCTTGGTTGCATATAATAGTAATATGAAGTTAATTAGGCTTTCTAACCGGTCCATCAGTGCTCGATTCATATCCATCATTTCCTTGGCGCCGTACTACGAACATGTCTTCTACGTGTATACCAAACCCAAGGCATGTGGCAATGGGGCCAGTGGTGATCGCCTGACCCTTCCACAAGGATAGATCTCCTCGGCTACCTCCAATGTTACAACTCGTCTCCCTCAAGGTGGCAACGAAGACTTACCATTTTCGAGTATGGTTAACCCCTGGATGGCCACGCCAGGCCAGAACGAGTTCGACAACCTTATATCTTAAATACTAGAAGAGTCTTTGCGTCGCTGCCAGAGCTTGTTGTGGTAAGGTCGAACGTTGAGCGAAGGTAGGCAGTTGTTGAGGGAGCGTGGCAGACGGTCCAGTAGGCAAGATCATCGACATTTTGAGCTCTACAGGTGGTTTAAACCCCTCTCTGAGACTTATGTTGTGTTTGGCGTACATTCAGGGTGTTTGGCTCTGAGTATCGGCCTTGAAGCTCTCCTGACTGGAGCCTGGTGCTTGTTGGCACGAGAACAACAGACGTCCGAAACATAGGTGAGTCACTCGGCCCCAGGCAACTCGGTATCGCCACCCACCCCTGCGTCGGCCAAGGCAAACTCTCTTGGTGCCCGTATAGATAAGGGAACTTGGAGATCGAAGACATGGTGATCCATCTCATCACGAACAGCTCTTGAGAAGCCAATGAATGGATGTCCCATAATTCATATACTTGGTATTGTAGTCGATTTCATGTCACGGTCTGGGGGTGACGAGGATCCAAGAGATGATGCACTGTATTAGGAGCATGGCTGTGGGTGGACGGCGATTGCTAGCAAGTTAACTAGACTCTGAGTTTTCATCCACACCACAGTCTGCTTAGTCTTGCCGGCCCCTATAGATGTTGAAAGCAGTATTACGTTCTCGTTGGGAGAAGAGGGGGTCGGGCTTTTTGGGTGAGGGTATGCTGAATCGATCAGCTGTTTGAGTCCATGTCTAGAACCACAAGAGCTGACCCATAGTCCATTGAATGACACCGTTCTCAAAGGTAACACTCGAAGACCATACCGCGTTCTCTAGAGGGTATCGTGCTGGAAAGTCCACTTGGCAGTACCGGTATATCGACGGGAACATCACATCGGAGGTTACGGACTAGTCCGGAGATAAGATGATTCCAGCAAGTTCGCTTCCCCCCATTAGCCTTCAGCACAGACCACCGAGGACACGGCACGTGCTTACATCAGATCGTCGTCATGGGAGAGCTTGGGTTGCCTTTGAGCAATTCCATCCGATTATTCCTCATCAGCTGAAGCACGCCACCAACACATACCTTCTCCTCCTCCTCCTCCACCAACTTTCTTCCCGTCTCTCGACAGTCTCATCCTCCTACATATACGAATTCGCAGCTTCGTCACCATGTCGTTTACAATCACGGTCCGCCGCGGCCCCGTGCGCCTGGCGTCAAAGCTGCCAGACCTCACGAAAGCCTCATTCCGAAGCGCGGCTCCTGCGCGGGCCTTCCACCAATCCGCCACCAAATCGACCAACTTCTTCACACCCAGAACCACCGTCGCGTCGTCGATCCTACGAACGACACAGAAAAATGCCTTCTCGCAGTCGAGAACGTACATGCAGCCGTCTGCGCCGCCGGCTGTCGACTCGAGCACCACGATGCGCAAGCTGCTAACCGGCGGTGCCATCTTCGGTGGTACCCTGATCGCCATCAACGCCGTTTTCAACCGCGAGACTCGCGAAGATGGTGGCATGCCTCCCCACGAGCGCTCCTACCTGAACTCGACCTTCCTCCACACCGGCCTGGGCATCGGTATCATCGGTCTCACGGCCCGACAAATGATTCAGTCTGGCTTCGCCTACAGATTGATGGTCACGAACCCATGGGCAGTCGCAATCGGCGGTCTCGCGCTCAGCTTCGGTACCATGCTTGGAACTCGAGCAGTCGACCCTGACAAGTAAGTTGGATACCCTCCGCAACTCTACTTCTTCGATGTTGTCAATTACTAACCAGGGATAGCTACGTGCCCAAGTACGCCCTGTGGACAGCTTTCAACGCCACCCAAGCCGCTTTCGTCGCCCCTCTCCTTGCCTTCGCTCCCGGCGCCCTGATCGCTCGCGCTGGCTTGTACACCATAGCCATGATGGGATCCATCTCGTTCGTTGGCGCCACAGCCAAGCAGGAGAAATACCTGTACATCGGCGGACCCCTTCTGGCTGGTGCTGCGATAGTGGCCGTTTCGGGATTTGCGCCCCTTATCATCCCCGCCACGGCCGTCCGGAGCCTGGCCATGACGGAGAATCTCTGGCTGTACGGAGGTCTTGCGGTATTTGGTGGCTTCACGTTGTACGACGTGCAGAAGGTGCTTCACCATGCGCGCTTGGCCGAGGCCGGTGTCATCAAGAAGGACCCGGTCAACGAGAGCATCTCTCTGGAGCTGGACTTCCTCAACATCTTCATCAGGATGGTTCAAATCCTGATGATGCAGCAAAACCGCAGGAAGTAGAGACGCTGCTGGTGACGTACCACAGCTTTTCACAAATACACCGACACCTCAGCCTACCTGGGTTACAGCATCGAATGTATGTATGAGGTAGGGGCTGCTGAGGCCTTCCCTCGAGGTATAGAGGCATGAGATACTCCTCTCATTACCCATGCCGCGACTCGCAAAGGTGTGGCTTGGGCCTGTACTAGTCTGTTGTATATAGTATGAGCTCAGCTCTGAAGAATGAAACAAAAACGTACAGAAAAGTTGTTACGATGCTGGAATGTCCGTACTATTGCGTAGCCATTCTACCGTAATTGCTAGCTAAAGTACCTGCTTACATGCATGTAGGACTGCAGCTGGACCGAAGCGTGAGGTCCATTTCAATGTGGGCAGTGACCTGTCTGTCTACTAGCTTGTCTCATCCCCTCCCATCCTCCCTCGCGGGTGACTCATTCCAGGTTGCCTCGCCTCAGCTGACGGATTCATCGGGGTCCCGTCCAGTCCCGCCGCATATGGACGTGACACCAAAAACGGTATATTGGTTCCGCCATCGCTACCTAAGGTATGATTGTTCCTTGATTGGGCTATTATACCTTCTTCACCGCCCCTAGGTTCGATGGATCGGAGTGTAATAAGCTGGAACTCTCTCTTCACACAAGCATCTCACTAGGAGTCATCAGGGTAGGCTGACAACAAACATCGAGCTTGTCCTAGCCAGCCTCATTAACACCAGGCCATGACGCAGAAGGCGGTCAGACTTGCCAACTTCGTTACCCTACCGGTTCCGTCAATGACATTCTACCTGCCAACTTCATGTTCACATTCTCTTCTTCCCGCCGCTCTCCTGCATTAGGAAGTATTCAGTGCCCGGTGTTAGTCGAAGGTGGGGCATTCTCGGGAATAAGAGGTATGCCACTTGTTCTCCAACATTGAAGGTGCATGTGCTTGCTTGCTTACCTTACCTATACCTTCTGATTAGGTAGGATATGGTCATATGGACTATATTATTATGTCCCGACTCGTTGCAGGAAAGCACGCTCTCATGTAAGTGACTGCCTCTGACTGCCTCTGACTGCCTGCATGTGGTAGAACGGTGCCTGCCTACTTTACCTTGTACTTGTATATACTTTACAGCTGTCCCCGTTGGGAGGGACCTCAACCACTCAACCATTAAAACAGGATACCCTTTATCCGGTTGCCCTAACTACATTCCACCCTGACGTTTCCAACTCGTACATTTATTTTTGTACTTGTTGCCACCGCCGAGACGCTCAACATTCCCTAGACCCCCCCTGCTCGCATTCCTGCGGGCGACATCCCACGGTCCCACAGCAAAGGCGCAAGCAGTGGCAAGGTCCGACGTCTTGCGACGAGCTCCGTCACTGACGTGTTCTCTCCTTCAAAGTCTCGCTCGAACCACCATCGGCCAATCCGTCAGCAGACGATTTAAAAGTGTAGTTTGGAAGCTTTCTAAAATGCCAATCGGCAACCGGCGTCATGATGGCAGCGATACCAAGCGCAGCGAACATGAAGTTTGGGAGGGTCTGCCCTTCGACCCCGACGATCAGTCTTCCGTTGATAGTCACGGCGACGACCCGGGCACTCCCACCAGCACCGTCGACTGCGACAGCACTACCACCACGGTCCAGAGCATCTCGGCCGGGAGTAGTGCCTCACAGGCTTCAACCCTAACGTTCAAGCAGCAAGAAGAAGAAAAGGTCTCGAAGCTGTTTCTACTGCCCCAGGAGTTGTTTGACGAAATCACCAAGTACTTACTCCCCGCCAACATACTGATCCTGGCACTCGCCAACAAGGAACTCATGTCACGATTCTTGCGCTCGGCCGGCAGTCTGGAAGGGTCACCAGCTGAAGGCCCTTCATCTTGGAAGGCACTCGGGGCATACATCAGGCAGCTGGATTCGAACAGGACCAAGGTTCGTGGGTCGTTCCTCAGCCTTCTGGACAATGACTTGCTGGATCTGGTGTACTGCTACAAGTGCAAGGTGATGCACGACCCGTTCGTCACCTTCAAGGACAGGGCCTATGCCCCCAAGAAGGCCAGCAGGTGCACCGACTGGGCTCCGGATCACCACATGCCTCCCCGTGCAACACGCAAGCTTCTGCGCACCATCACCAAACGGCGGAGGCTGGGTGCCGAGTACCGATACCTGCTACGGCAGGTCAACAACACCATGACCATCTACCAGAACGGCATCATGTCCCAGACCTCGCTACGGATCCGCTATCGGGACAACGCGCAACTGTTGAGACGACAGCAAGTCATATCCACCATGGATAAGACCTCAATGGCCCTGTGGCTGTTCAAGCAACAGTTGCAAGATCCCGCTCCGTGCGGTAGTGCATCACTGAACAATCCCAAGGTCTGGAAGATCTGCAATCACCTCGCCTGGGACGACAAGTATACCCCGTTCCTGGAGAAGTTGGTTCATTCGCTATGCAAGGAGCCACATGATGGGGAGCGGTTTCCGCTGCACACGCCAGCTTGCTTCACCAATGCGCCGCTAGACGTGTCAAAGCAGGATGAACACATGGTTGCCGAGAGGCTGAAGAAAGTCATCTCTGGAGCCAAGGATAATCCGATGGACGTACCGTGCCTACTGGGAGACGTGATGGGCTGTAACAAGTGCACCACCGACTTCAGCCTCGACGTGGTCCCGCTCCCCCAACCCTTCCACTGGGGCTTCGCTCTAACAACTTGGTTGGACTTGGGAGAGGTCGACTTTAGCGGCAAATGGGACTCGCACCGGGACTTGAGGCCGGGGAGGGAATACAAGCGCGCGCAACAGACGGGCGACATCTGTGAGAAGTTCGAGGACTTGAAGTCCCGACTTGACTTCCGCCCTCGGATCAACAAGCTGAATCAGGAGAGAATGGGCAACTTTGGGTGGGGCAAACGAGCTGCCAACGGGAAGGATAAATTCATGACATGGAGTTGTGGACACAGCTGTGATCCAGCGACGGGCATGCTGCAAGACCCGGACCCGCTGGAGAAGGCGGACTACTAGGTAGGTTGATGGCGTTGGAAGAGCGAGCAAGCACAGATTGGGCGATCACAAGTCGACTATCTGCTGAAGAAATGCATCACGGTCATTAAATTTATCAGGAAGGGTCCATACCTAGCGCCTGGGAGTCGAAATTATCGAAATCAATCAATATAGATCATAGAAAGCGGAACAAGTCGGCTTTAACATTCTATCGTTTTGCGCCGCGAAATTTAAGACTATTTGTACAGGAGAATGAATATATAACTCATGAGAACCCAACTGACTCTCTATAACCTGGACCCCTGCCTGTTCCTACTCGCCAGCCAGTGAGCAACATATCGTCTAAGATCGAGTCTGGCAAGTCAATCCACTGACACCATCAGTTGACTCACTGCAACGGCTCAAACGGCCTCAGGTAATGGCTAGGACACTCGTAGCCCCAGGGGTTCTTGTTCAAGTAGAGCTGGTGGTAATCCTCGGCATCCCACCACGGCCCCGCGGGCACGATCTCGGTGACGATGCCGCCCTTGTACCACTGGTCGTTGGCCTGCCTCGTCACCTCCTTGGCCACCTTCTCCTGCTCCTCGTTGTGGAAGTAGATGCCGCTCCGGTACTGCGTCCCGGCATCGGGCCCCTGGCGGTTCACCGTTGTCGGGTCGTGCATGCGGTAGAAGAACTCGAGGATCTGGCGGTATGTTATCTTGGCCGGGTCGTAGTGGATCTGGAGGCCTTCGGTGTCTGTGTGTCGCATATAGTGTCAGCGGGATGTTCACTCGCGCAGCGATTCCGAGTATAAGAGAGGGGGGCAAGCTTACGTCCAGTCCGCCCCGAGCACACGGCCTTGTACGTCGGGTTACTCGTGTCGCCACCCACATAGCCCACGCGCGCGTCATACAGCCCCTTTCCGCCAAAGTGCTTGCGGTAGATGTGCTCAACGCCCCAGAAGCAGCCGGCCGCGATGGTAGCCTTCTCGGCGCCATCGGGGATCTGTACACGTGCGGGGCCAGAGCTACCGTCCGAGGTGATGCCCATGCGCGTGCTGGACGAGAGCGGGCGGAAAAGGCGCGAGATGAAGGACGGCATTGCGAAGGCCATTATTCCGATGGCGAGGAGGACGATGGTTAGCGGGTGCTTGATGATGGAGGAGGAGAGGGTCGGCATGCGATTTTAGATCGGCCGTGTAATTAAGAGTATAGGCGAGAATGAGGTCGTGTAGGTCGTGTAGGTCGGAAAGGGGACGTGATTTATTATAAGCGACTCCTGAGCTGTTCTATGTTAGGTATGCAACGCAATGCGATTTGAAGGCGTCAATGACAAATATTCCCAACGCCACCGTCTGCCCCGCGACTCCGAGCGACAGCCCCGCCAGACTGCCGGGTAGAAATAGATAACGTCATTGGCCGATGCTTCCAGTCTCTGACAGCAGCTGTTGATTCCAAAGATTCCAAATGCCACCCCGGCCACATCCAAGCATGCCGCTGGGCCCGGGTCCGATAGCGCCGCATGGTGTGGCTTAGTGGCATGGTTCGTAATACCTAGTGTGGCTCAGCCCTATGGAATTCCATTCATGTTTTTCCCCCTTTTTGACACCCATTTCCCAACCTCCATCTCAAACAGTTGATTACCACTGTCTTGTCGAAGGCTCCTCACAACATCATGCCTGGCACTCCTCCCGATGATGTATAGTTCGAAGCATTCTCGATGCTACTTTCTCCGCTTCAAGTGCCGTCAAGGCCTCTAGGTAGTGTCTAAAAGAAAGAGGAAGAAGCTCCAGGTCGACGAGTATGATGAAGTCGTCCGTCGTTGGGGGCCACCAGGTGCCATACGCCGATCTCTGCTGCATCGTGTCGACGACATGGTTCGGAGAGACTATTATCTTTGCGCACGCCGACACCAGTGCTTCATCTGACTGAGCTTTGCTGATATTGCAGAGGCCCGTTGCCAGCGGATGGGGGTACTTACTGTTCCCAAGTTTCCAAGTTCGAAGTTATCGAGAACATGAACATTAATGCCAAAATCTCGACTTTTTGTAGATTGTGGCAAGCAGGCGGGTCATCGCGTTGGTGTTGTACAAATCCTGCGCAGATCCCCTGATCTTTCGTCAAGCTTGAAGCAACTCGGCGCGGTGTCTCAGGACGGCATTGGCACGCGATCTACGGGTGAATGTGAGCAGAAGACGGAGAATTCAAGGACGTCCAGACGAGGTATTTGATCATGTTACAACGATCGTTTCGTATGCCCGAGCTTTGCAAAGTACCTACCTATATGCCATTCTCTCAGGAAGCCTCGCGACGCGTGACATCTTTTTATTTCGCTACATATATACTTGCTCATCTCGCTCATCGCCATCGCAAGATCTAAAGGGCATTTCGAGGACGTCGCCACCGCTCCAACTCACGCTCAGTTCCCAAATCTGCGGCAGCAATTGTCTACGTCACCCTCCGCTCCCAACAGTTTCACTTCGCGCGGAGCCTTCAAACCATCGACACTCGACTGATTTTTCGCCCCGAGCCGGAATCGTCAAAACGCTCAGCAGCCGCCGCTCCACAATGATCGGGCCCTCTATGGGCACTCGCCCCTACCAACAGCCAGGCGCTCTCCCTACCCTCGGCGGCTTCAACACAGAGTCAGAACCACATTGCACAATACCCTGCGTCCTGGGCGCCGTATACGGCTCGACAATCTACGCGACGTACAAGGAGAAGGATACGAAGACGCTGCTCAAAGTAACTGGGCCTGGTGCTGAGGTGAAGGCCCTGACATACATGATTTACGGGGCTCGGGACCAGGCGGTGGAGAGGATGACACGGGACTGCATCTCGCGAGGGGTCAACGCCGTCGTCGCTATGAACTTCAGCGAGGGTGAGCTTCTTGGCTGTGCGCAAGTCTCGGTCTACGGCACCGCTGTGTACGTGGAGCGCGATCAGAGCCGATGGAGAACCCTTTCGCGTCATCATGACATGCGCTGCTGTTTGGTTATCTAACATCAGACGGTGTCTGGTTTAATAGGGGCGTTAATGTCCTGGTGGGCTGAAAGGGGTACTTGCTTTGTGTGCAGGGCATGGTCTGCATGCGTAACTGCAACTGAAATACGACGAATTGGAAGCAAAGCGCTATAGTTCATGAGAAATTGAGGTTGTTATACGCATACAAAGACTCACGTCATGGGCTGGGTTCTCATATGTCTTGATAAAGCATAGGGAGACGATGAAGCGTCTTTGTTAATCCAGAGAACTATAAGCTCCTACACAACACATACCTGAGGGAATCCTGCACATCCCTCAAATATTCATCTACCGCTTCTTATCGGCAGTTCTAGTAGCCTAACTCGAGCTCATTCAATTACCGACATCAGAAGAGGCGATAAAAAACATTGGAGTCGAAGAATGGATGCAAGAGTCCATCAAGGATTTCTTCTCATGGCGTCCCCAGCCTGGCCAAGAGGAATGTGACCGTCGTGCCGGCTCTATCACGGGAACGTCGACGCGTCCGGTGGAAATGCAAGGATCACTGAGCTACACACTGGTCGCCTCGAACGATACAATCGTCACCTTTAGATGCCCCGAGGCAACATTAGGACGCGAGATCGAAAAGCTTTCCAAGAAAATCCATGGAGACCTGGTCCCTGAAGCTACATTCAGGGGCATATTGGGGGACGATGAAGATGAGAAGAAAAAACTCCTCATTTACACCATGTCATTGCTTCTGGGCAAGTCGGCTCTGGAGACTGGACCTTGGATCCTGTTCTTGATAATATGCAAATTGCTAAGCATGTCACTCTCGTCACTCATTTAGCAAGGTAAGAGACGCACGAGTTGCAATTACCATTAGAACTGACTCGTATAGGTACTTTGCAAAAAACTGGCTCAACCCCCAGACTGTTGACCCCGAATCACTTCAAAAGTCGTGGGCAGATCTGGGGAATAAGCTGGCCATCCTGGAGAAAGACGAGAGGTTCGATTACTTGCGCAATATAGTGGCCGAACTTCGGGGCAGCCGTGGCGTTCTTCTACTCTATAGCAGCAGGCATCCCCAAGTCCTCAATCACCGGGACCTCTCAGGCACGAACATACTGCTTGACCAGGATACCCATGCAATCTCCGGAATCATCGACTGGTCCCTGGCCGATATCCAACCGTTTGGTATGGAGCTCAGGGTGTTGCGCCAGTTTTCCGGAAATATGAATGGCAATGGCTGGTCCGACTATGCATGCCGAGAGGCCACCGATGGAGCATTCTGGGCCGAGTTCTGGAAGGTCACTGGCATCGAAGACCCACAGGTTCGAGAAACGACGAAGAGGAACGCGGAGACGGCTTGCAAGTTGGGCGTTATCCTGCAATTCGCTTTTAAGAGTACTTTAGATGGAAAACAGACGGATGTCTTGTCACCCAAGCCTTCTAGTTTTCTGAAGGAATGGCTGAAGTACCCGTCGTGGTCTGACTTGGTCCTGAGAGAAGAAGACGCAGCTAGACTTAAGGCAGGGGATGCAAACACGTCGTAGACAGAAGCCACACATACTGGTTAGCTATCCACAGAAACGCGATTTGGTAATTAGTTGTGTGTCGGCCTTATCAGGAAGCTCGGGGGAGGCTATCTTGTACTCGATGTTATTTGAAGTTCAAAGTCTACGGTTTATTTATAATAGTCTGTTCCTCGCCAACATGGTTGCTTAGTTGATGAGGTGAATTCAACGGCATCACATGTGGATCTGCCGACACTTTTCGTACCACGTCTTTTAGTGCGAGGCCTTCGGCCTTTCCATATTGAATGAGCATTGCAGGCAAAGAAAGGGGTGAAATTTGCAAGAACTTTCATCGTGATCGAGATTTCAGGGGCGTTTCTACTGTCATTAGATGAATCGTCATGACATTAACTGGGGAGGCGACTAAACCACACCAAGAAACTGACAACATAGGCCTACAGCCCTGCCGACGATTTCATGTCATTTTCCCTCATAGGAAAGGAATATATTGTAAAGTCGATTCAACGTAACGGCTGCTGCTGCTGCTCTCGTTCAATTTGGTGGAAATGTAAATGCTCCAGCAACCCCTCTGCATTTTCCGAAACTCCGTCCACCGTATAAAGCACCTGCGCTCTAATTGCAGTCGTGAATCGTAATAAGACCTTCCGCTCACCGAAACGAGCTTGATGGGTGAACGGGTACTCGTTGCTCCTTTGGTGTATCCGTCCTTGGCTTCGAGTTGAGACTTCCTCCAGGTCCGTCATTCCCAGCTTAGTTCGGAACCGAATCCTTCAGAGGCAAATCCGGTAGAACAATGACACAAAATCATACATCGTGAAGACCGGAGACGGTTTGCCAATCGAAAAGCCAGTGGTGCTGGCCTGAAATGCGAGACAGCGTCGCCATTCGAGGTGTTGCTCATTGCACCTAGGATCGTCCAAGCTCGCTTGCTGGTTGAGGCTCTGCTCTGTTCTGAGGATGGCAGTACCAACAGCTACCTGATGAGTACTCCGTCCCACAGTTACCACACGTGTGCATATGCATGATGACCAGCAGAGCAAAGATGCTGTGTCCTGTGCTACCCAGGTTAGCTCAGATGCCCACGTCGTCGACAGACAAACCCTCTCCTGCTCGTTCCCCGGCCGGGAGGGCATGTGCATAGATGAAGAGTGGACTCACAGGTGTGGCTGGCTCGAGGCTACGAGGTGTAAACTGCGTTGATGCGTACCAGAAACAAGGTTGACTGGCCGGCGGAAGATGGCAAAGGCGCTATCAAGTCGACGGTCGTAAGGTCAGAACGAGGTGTATGTCGATCGATCCGATCTGGCACTCCGTCCGGGAAGAGCTAGTATTTTACTTCTGAAGACAGGGAAATCTTATCGAGGACCCTGAAGAGCTATGCAGATGCGGGTCAGCGAGCATGTGCCCTAATGCACTATTCAATAGTCTGAGATGGTTTGCTGACGAGACCCTGTGGATCCCAGCCACTGGATCAGCCACCTGGTAGCTTATCGTATCCCTTATTGTTGAATGGGAGCCGGAGATAGACACCGGAAGATCTCCAGTGGGGCAGAGACGCACAGGGCATCTGACCCACCAAGAAGACAGATGATCAATCTTTGCACGCAGAGCAGAACAATCAATAGAATCAATCAACATCCGTGTATTCAACAGACACACCTGCCTTACCAAAAGGCGCCCTCCAGAAGCAATAATCCGAATCATCAGCTCACTTTTCGGCGGTCCCACAGGACTGAGACGTAGCACGCCAGATAGGTGCAAAGTAGACGACGTTGACCACGTTTTCACGTGGACCCCGTCTCTTCCGGCTTGTTGCGAGATACCGGTAAAGACGCAGCCGACCGCGGAACCTTTGGCTCGGCCGATAGCATATCACGCAAGTCCATTGGGAGCAACACACCGCGAGAAGAAATCAAGTTTGTAGGTGACACCAGTTCCTGGACCGGTGTTGGCTGCAGGACTGAGGTGCGTGAAGCGTCGTGATGCGTCCTAGCCCGGTCAGATAATCCCGCCGGTCTTATAGCTCCAGCCCAGTAGTAGGTATACAAGCACACTTGCACCTCTGAACAGTAAACGTCCGTCTCGTCTCGAGGCCAATGAGGGGACCGAGAATGGAGTACTGGGCCTCACGATGATGTCCTACATTAGGTAATCTGCCCTGAGAGTGGCTTGTGATCCGTGGTGTAGTCCCGCTTCACCTGAATCGTAACCAGCCCTACTCTCTAACTAGGGTCCAGCCTGCTGCAGGGTCCTTCTTCTATCTCCTAGTGTTCTCTGACAGCTCCAACTGGCTCTCTAGCTCGATCTCAATAGTTCCCGTAGTCTGATTACCAATCGGTTACTTTGTACGTACTAATGATAGACTTAACCCAACACTGGTTGCTCAGACTATAATACCTAATCGCGTTCGTCGAGACGAGACCCCCAACCTAGCAAGAGGTGGACGAATCATCTAGAGAGCGCGCTGCCTTAATAGTCGGGGGGGAAACGGAACGCATCAAAGACCTCCTGTTAGGAGCCCAAAGGATAGATCCCGCGTGTAACTATAGCCCAGTGTTCTCGTGAAACGACAACGAGAGGAGACCCAAAGTATCGGTGGAGGAGGAAGGGGTTACAAGTATATGACTGGCATGTTATCGAGCTGGTATTTGACTCTGGTGGTCCTATGGCTACCCAAGTACCAGGTGTAGGATGTTCTGACGTTTCTCCTAACCCCTTTCGTCAAGGATTGGCTGCTACTCTTTATGGCCCTTCATCAGCGTTTCGCCAACTAGATAGATAGCCAGGTCTAACCGAGTGGAGGACCATTGTTCCTGGACTCAAAATCATTGATGGGTGAGGTTGGTTAGAAGCTTTGAATCGTGTCTTATGTGACGCGACCTGAGGTAGAGCCTCTCTCATTTTAAATTCATATGTATGCACATGTATGGACTAAAGGACACAGGTAGAGCATCCTCATGTCCCGAAAGCGAATGACATTGGTCAATGGCAAGATAGACTTGGCATTGGTCACGTCCCAGCTTCTCGACTGCATACACTTCTATGCTCGAAACTACCAAGTACATGCACCACCCAGAGTGGCGAGGCATCAAGTTGTGCTAGACGCGGTTACCCGAGGAATGTTCCTCTATTTCAATCTTGGACATATCGTGTTTCTCATCACCACCCACCGACTTCTCCTGTTCTGGGACACCGAAGAGCTGATCCATGTGCTCTAGTGAAATGCCTATACAGACATTAGCTTGACAGATTCGTCGCGTAAGTTCAGATGGTGACGTACCTTTAGTCTCTGGAACGAGGAACCAGACGAAGAAGAACATGATAACACCGAAGCTGCCAAATATCAAATAGGTGCTGCAAGGTGCGTTGCTGTCAGTATAGTCCGCAACGCTGAGGAGGCCGGAACTTCACTTACCCATATCCGCCCTCTCCGCAGGTTGCAAGCATGGTGGGAACAGCCTTAGCAACCACAAAGTTGAATAGCCACTGCGTCGCAGCCCCTAGCGCGACGTTCAGGGGCCGCAGACGGGCGGTAGGGATCTCGGAGACCAGAATCCAGCAAGCAGGGCCCCAGCCAAACTGGAAGAATGCCGCAAAAAGGAAGATGCAGATCAGGGCGACGTAGCCAGCGGGAGGCACCGCGTCGCCTGGTTGGGGTGGAGCGATTCGGACATATAAACCAATGTAGAACATGCAGAATGACTGGCCCACGGAAGAGACCAAGAGCGATCGACGTCGACCGAGAGAGTCGGCCATGAAGAGCAAGAAGATCAAACATGCCACTACTTTGACAACACCGTAAACGCCAGTGCTGAAGAGGGAATTGGAAGTTCCACTGATACCCAGGTTCTGGAAGATGGTGGGGGCATAGACGTTGATGGCGTTGGTGCCGGTCATCTGCTGCCAGATCATGAGGAAAATACTGAGGAGGGCTCGGTGTCGGTTGGTCTTGATTGTCCACATCTCTTTCTGGAGTGTCCAGAACGAGGCATCACCGACCAGCCGTCGCTCGTATTCAAGTTGGTCGGCGATCTCTTGGAACTCCTCTTGGAGGTATGGGTGATCCGGTGAGAGGCCTCGGATTTTGGTCAGGATTCGCTTGGCGTCTTCCCATCGGTCCTTGCGAGCCAGATACCGTGGCGATTCGTTGCATATCAACATCAAGCCGAAGAGGAGAACGGCCGGTAGACCCTGGACGGCGAGCGGTACAATGTACTGTTTCGGGCCGGTCAGGTGTAGACTGACTGCGTAATTGCCCCAGAAGGCGATCATGCTTCCCGTGACGATGAACAGTTGATACATGCCAGTGAGCAGACCACGGATGGCTCGCGGCGCGTTTTCGGTAACGTAGATAGGGTTTATGACACTGGAGCATCCTACTCCGAGACCTGATGACCTGATTGTTAGCCTATATAGCCACAGTCAGAAGAGAAGAGTGCTTGCCTGCGACGAATCGACCGATGTACATGGGCTCGAGGTGACCAGAAGCGGCTGCCTGCAAGATGACACCAGAGAGCGTAAAGGCGGCAGCACCGAGCAGGCATGATTTGCGACCCCATGCGTCCGTCATTGGGTAAGCTGCCAGAGCACCAACAAAGCATCCAGCTTGCAGCACAGACACGATGTTCCCCTGAAGGTTGGCCGAAGCTATACTGTCTGCATTTTCTAGGCCATAGGCGCTGTTGCAGAGCAAAATGTTAGTGACCCATCCCTTTTACGGTCGAGAAAGGCACTGAGTTCAGGTATACGTACTCGATAAAGGGTTTGAGCTTGATAACACCACCGATGACACCACTGTCCCAGCCGAAGGACATGGCACCGAAGCACGCCTTGATGAGGTTACCATTAGTTTCCTGTCAAGTTCAACATCTGATCGGCTGCCGGTGCTTACCGAGCATGCCAGCAGGTAGACCCTCCAGTTGTAGATCTCCTTTGGATCACTCAACATGGAGTCATTCTTGACAATCTTCCCCAGTAGGGACGTCATGACGGTCATGGTCGCCGATGGCTTGGGTGACCCCAATCGTTCCTATGGTCGACGTCTTTCGTTGGATGGCGGGTCGCGTCAAGTTCTTCCTCAAGGACCGAACAAGATGCAAAAGAGTAGACAAGATGTCAGAACTGGGTGACACGGCGCAACACCCAGCCTTTAAGAGTCAAGAGTGCTCACGGTAGGAAGCCGACGGGCCCATGGCGTCTTTCTTACGCTGCTACAAGGGTCGAGTGCTGTATCATTGGCGCGGGAACGTATCCCTCACTATAAAAGTCCCCATCACAGAGCAGCACACGTCTCCAAGCTTGGCAGTGGCAGAATGGGAGATGTTTGGGCCTGGAATGTTGGGGAAACCTTGCTGGTGACGGTCGTGACTTTATTCCACCATACAGGTTGGAGGATAGGCTCAAGGGCCCTCGAACCGAACGATCCTCGACTTGGGTTCTCGTGATCATAACCTGTCCAGCCATCTCGCCTACGTATCCAACCCCGGTCTTCTGTAGTCGCTTGTGGGGTCCCAGGGCCCTTACCCCATGGGCAACCAGGCCGAAGAAGTCCTAGTGCCACCAAGGTCAGAAATACGACAAATAGGTACATGAGTGGAAAAGTACCAGACATACACTTCTTGTCAAGTCCCTTATCTCGAAGCCATCCTTCCCTCAGGACTCCTCAGAGCTTGATCACGACATGAGTATTGCCGATGACGGGGCACCTCGTGTCTGAGTCTAAAGTCACGAAACCAAGCCATCATCGACCACCTCCTCTCTACCCTGGCCTCGGGCTCTGGTATAGCACGTGGGGAGAGAGGCTCTCGCTTCAGGAACTTGGGGCCGACTAGGAGGGAAGCGTGGCAGTCGTTCCGGGGTATTCCAGCCTACCGATAGCTTTCGTCAACAAAAGTGTTCTTTAGGCTGATGAGTCCATGCGGGGATGGCCACGGGCACAGGGGGGTGATGCCGGGGTTGATGCCGGGGTTGACACTGGGGTAGATCGTCGTTCGATAGGGAGGGCAGGGAGGGGGTCAGCTCGTAAATATCCTCTTCACCAAGAATGCCACGCGTACGTCTAGGAGTCAGATTCATATCGAAAATAAGGCCGTCGAAAATTTCAAACCTGAGGATCTAGAATCTCCTTCATCTCCAAATTGTTGAATGTAATGGTTGGTTGTCTGTTCGTTTCTTGGATTGTATAGGCGCTTGCTATTGTGCTTGTATCCCTGGTCAGCAGCACAGAAGACATATTCGTGTAGGTACTCGTTCTTCGGGATAATGATGCGCGCCCCTACCAGATGTAGCTTTGAAATGACCCGCATTCATACTCTCATTGTAGACTATGTCGACTATACTACTACCATGACTACTACTGTTTCTATCACAGATTCATAAGTAGGAGGCTGGTACCTGGTGAATGCTCCATAAGTTGGACTCTTGCGGCAACCCTACTCTGTCAGGTTGCGCATTACTGCCTCAGTCCACGATGATGCTTGCGAAGCCCTCACTTTCAATTCTGGGAACAGACCCGGCGCACCGGCGCTGCGTTCTCAACGGCAACGCGTTCCAGCAGGATGCCATCCAATCATTCAACGGCTGGCAGTATGCCTGTTTCTATAGCTCTTTGCCTGGTGCCGCGGCGACGGAGCCGCTATTCGTTCATCTGTCCCGCAGGAAGCTTCCGATAGGCGACTGGGAGACTTTGGTCTTCGATGACTATCCGCAGACAACAGATGATGGTCATAACACGGTACAGGTAGGTAACGTCAGGGCCTCATCACCCTCGTGTGCGACTCACGTATCCACCTGATACATGGCTGATATGTGGAAGCTTGGAATATGCCCTGGAGATGGCACAGTACACTTGTCGTACGATCACCATTGCGATATGTATGCCCAAGCCGTCGGTACTGGTGTAGCCTTTCCCTGCTCACCGGTTGCAGAATACGGTACCGTCACTCGACAGCGAGGGTAGCCGAAGCCCCCGAAAAGTTCAAGTGGAAGGCGAAGCTCTTCACTTCTACTCTTGATCATCTGCCAGGCTTGCCTTCACAAGATGAGCTCTTCGGCTACATCACGTACCCCAGGTTCGTGCGGCTAGAGTCTGACCTCCTATTTTCCTTTCGCACGGGCAAGGCCGGTCTAGGAGACGACCACCTGTGCGTCTACAAGCCCTCGACGGGCAACTACACGCTGCTGGGCACGAACTTGAAGGGCGTGGAAAACAACCCCTACATCCACGGCCTCGACTTCCGGGACTCCCGTCTGTACGTAACGTGGGTGTACCGCGCTTTCGTCTGGTACGAGGGCTGGGACGACCCGTTGGACACCAAGCACAAGCAGCAAGCCGGGCCGAACTCGGGCGAGAACAACCATAACATCTGCTTTGCGTATTCCGACGACGGCGGGAAGACGTGGTGTAATGGCTCCGGGGTGCAGATAGCGGATTTGTCCAAGAAGGAGAGCGTATTGCCCAACTCGCCGGGCATCGTCGCGTTTGATATACCCAAGGGCTCCAGTCTCGCGAACCAGGAGGCGCAGGCTGTCGACCATGAGGGTGGCGTCCACGTGTTGAACCGCGATAATCTCGATGGAGAGCAGAGATGGAAACACTACTACAAGCCCCCAAAAGGTCCGAGTCTGCTTCAACGGTTGTACCAAGGAAGACGCTGACAACGTGCATACTAGGCTCCTGGATTCAACATCCCATTCCTCGTGTCCAGGGTGCCTATGGTGGCAAGCGAGGTCAGCTGGCATTGAGCAAAGACGACGACCTCTATTTCATCCTTCCCGATCACAAGTCCTCGGTGTTGTCGATCCTAAAGGCGTCAAAGAGTCAATTCTCTGAATACGAACTGGTGTGGCAACAAGACGGCTTCCCGCCAACAGAGCCGCTTGTTGACAAGGCGAGACTGGACTACGATAACGTCTTGTCAGTATTTACAAGGGCTGATGCAGGATCGGAGGGGCAGATCAACATCGTTGCTCTAGACTTTCAGCTATAATCGCGCAATCGGACTTGGACGAGTCGCATTCTGAGATTGATGCATTGGTAGGCGTGGTTGGCTCCAAAGAGGTGCATATGCTATGACGCTCTCCAGATTAAGACCTACCCTTTCATCATCTGAAATTTGTAGTACCGAGTATTATATAGATGATGTGTACCTGATATACACACAAGAGGAGTTCATGATTTCGTGAGGTTGCCTGTTTTCCAATGCTGATTATTCAAACTTCAACCCTTTTTGATATGGCCATTCCTTACATTTGGCTTTTTCTCCAATATGTCCTTGCGAGGTAATGCCGACGCATATGATCGAGGCCATTTGTCCACATCGAGTCCGGCTGCCAGGCATGCTTTCAAGATGCCGAGGGACAGCATAACAACGACAACGATGAGGTCAAAGACGTGAACAGCCCACCAGAAGTATTGGCGGCCTAAGGGACACGTCGCAAAATCGAAGTTCCATTCCCATGAGTCCTCATCGAACCAAACACTGAGTAGACCGGCGTTTCCGCCGTATTGGCCCATCATGGCTCGGACGGTAATCTCCCTCAAGCCCGGGGCGCCAGATTGTGTAGGCAGACGACTACTCTGGGCAGCTGGCCAACGTGTAACCTGCCACTGGCGCTCATCACCTTCCAGGGTCTGGTTGATATAGTGATACGTATCGCAGCCTTCATGGTCGTGGCCATTCAGTATGACACCTCGCCTGCCTCTGCCACTACCAGGCGCGTTGGGGTCGCCATTCAAACCAAAGATGCCCTCCAGAAATCCGCGAGAAGCGTCGGCAGACAGCTGATTCTGCTCTCTGACGCCCCCACCTTCATGAAAGCTAAAATATGGTGCATCGACACAGATGCCTTCAGGCTTGTAGAGTGGGATATGAGTAAGTACAAGAGTAAAATGCCCCTTGTACTCGACCGCTGAAGCTGTATTGATCACGTCGTTGATAAATCCATAGGTCTTATCCTGGAGGCTCTGTTCGGCGGCGGGAGTGTCGAGATTCATGTCGTTCACGTTGACAATGCGGAGCTCAGGGGCAAGGCGCACAGAGTCGGGGTTCTTCTCGGGGTGGAAGATTGTCGCATTCGCGGCCGGGTTCGAGAGAGGGAGTTCGAATCGTAGCTCATATGCCGCCTTGCCGAAGACACGCTCGAACCGCTCGAGGCGCTCTACGGTCAGGTCACCGGCATAGCCAACATCGTGGTTGCCGGCAACGTTGATGATCCTTCGCTGCCAGGCCGCCGCATCGCTATCTTGCACGCCGAGTAATCCGGCAAGGCCGTACTCGTCGGAAGGGTATGCTGCCACCTCGTCGGGTACCCGCTCTCCGCCCTTGAAGGAGCGGTTCCAGAACCTGGAGCTTCTCCTTTCAAACTCGGGATCCTGGATCCATTGGCTGCCCAGAAGATCTCCGAGAACACTGACGTGGGTAGGTTTGGACCACCACTTCAGGGTGCGGTAGATGTGGGCGAGGTAGAAGTCGTTGCCAAACAGATCTATTCGCTTCCGTATCGACTCGACAGTGTGGGGGATGTCGTCGAAGTAGAAATCGACGAGGTCATGGAAGGTCTGTTGTAATCGCTTGCGCAACGAGGGATGGCTCGTCCTGAAAGACAGGTGTCGAATCACGTCGGCCAGGTGAGGGAAGGGCTCGCCGTAATAGTTGGGTATGGACGTGTCGCCCTCGAGCTGCGGGTCGCCGAGTGCAAGGAGACGAAAAGGCGCTGCGCTGCTCGAGCTGCTCGACCTGGAGACATGCTGTCGCAGGGTATCCTGGAACGCAGCGCCGCTGTCTGACTCGTTTCGATCCAAAGATTGTGGTAAAGGAAAGGCGCATCCCATAAAGACGGGGTACAGATACAGATAAAAAGTAGATGCTACAGCAAGGGGGACGAGAACCCGCAGAGCATTTCGAAGAAGGGCCACAGGGGACATCTAGACGGCGACATGGGGCCGAAGCCGTTGACGATGTACAATGGCCCTGGGCTGTGCTGGTGTAGGTGTGCGAGAAGAGGGAATGGAAAGTCAGGCCATGGTTGCCGTCGTCGGAAAGTTGCGATGCATGTGGATGAATGTCAAGGTTCAATCTGCCGCGGGTTACCTTATGAAAGCAGAATAGGGGTTCACTCCACAACTGACCTGTCAGGTCTGGACCCACTGAGAAGCCCTGAAGAAGCCCCCCGCAGTCCCCTGAAAGAGCCGCGCAACCCACTGCAAAGTCCACGCACATCGTGCCGCCCCAACATAAGGTAGACACCAAAACCGCAGACACGACATCTGAAATACTACGATTTATTCATCAGAGCGGAAGATCAACATAGGAAATGAAGTCCACATGACTGCTTCATAATAATCGGGTGGTATCAATTGAGCAGCTTTCCAGAATGCTACTTGTGGAGCTTGTTATACGCAGCCCCCTATCGGGTTGGTGTGCCGTATTCATCAACTTGCCCGCCAGCATTCTGCCCTCCATTTCCTTGAGAGCTCGAGGTGATGATTGAGGTTCTTAAGATGTGTGTCTTTTCTTCTTTGCTGGAGTGTTCCGTTCCCACAACGTTCCGTGGGCGCGTCCACTCCCTTCGCCATCCGTCATGAATCATCATATGTCGTGAAGTCCTGCCCTGTCATAACCGTGATATCCAGACCACCCGTTCATTGCTCCTCCACATACTCTTCCTCATCGTAGACGGGGACCTCGACTTCAAATGCGACGTCCTCATCTTCGTCGGCTTCCTCAGATCTTATAGCGAATGCAACAATTCCGCCATTCTTGAGGCCCTTGCTGACCGGAGTGTCGTCCTCACCGACATCGAGAGGTTTCCATCCCTGGCTGAGATCCAAAGGCGTCTTGGGCGTGGCGAAGATGATGCGTGAAGGATCATCCGGGACTTGGGTCTGCTTGGGGGGTTCCACGGCCGTTGTCAACCCATCAGGATACCGTTCCTTCAGGATATCCAGCAACTCTTGTTGGAGATTACTGAACGGCTGCATGGGGTCGACGAACAAGAAGACTGTGTGCTTGCCGTGCTTGAAGCGAAGGGACAAGTCGATGTCGCGGATGTCGTCTCGCTGAACCTGAGATGCGTTAGCAAGCAATCTGCGAGTAATCAATCAGTACATCGGCACCAGCTCTCTGGTGAGGTTGTACAGGTTGGGAACGGCAAATGAAATGTGTTTGTCATCTTCATCCCTAGAAGCCCTCACAAGCGGTCCAGCGGTCCAGAGGTATTGACTGTGGGAAGAAGGACAATTCAAAAATTGTGGAAAATCGCAGTGGGAATGATCGATCAATTACATACCATCTTGTCTGTTGCAGCAGCACGAGGCAATGTAGGTGTCGTCTTCGGTGTGTATGGAGACTTGACGAGAGACGCGCGCTGGACTCTCTCTCTTGCAGGCTTGCAGGGTGACAGGGCGAGTTGCGTGCAGAATGACATGGGATGAGAATGTTCGTGACGCGGAAACACGTGCCGCAGCGCGTAAAGAGCCCTGGGTAAGACGGGAGGTACCCGACCTGCCCCCGGGATAGCTGTAGGTCGCCTGACAGCCTGAGTGCTATATTTACAGCGCCTAAGCGCACTACACTAAGCTGCATGCAGCCCAACCTTAGGGGACGGGCGTCGGCGTTAAGCTGGGAGCATCGATGTTTTTCTCTGCTCCTGTTCTGCTCCCCAACAACCACCACGTCGTCGCAACCTCGCGATCCCACCTCTACCGACACCAGCACAAGTTCAATCCGAAGAGGCTGCCTCCGAGTCTATCGAGTCAACTGCGTTTCAAGGCGTCTATCCGCGTAACAACAATGGCGCAACCCGAGAAGAAAGCCCAGCTTGAGACGACCCTGACACGCGAAGAGTATACCCAGCTCTGGAAAGATTCTCGCCTGTCTATTCCACCCCTGGTGCGCATCCCAGCTGCAGCACTCACCGCCTTCGGAATTGGCATGACCTTGGGTCTTGCCCACGGTAGTAAGATGGCCGGTCTGCGATTCAGAGCCGAGCATGCCCACCGTCTTCCCACCACCACCACCGGCTGGTACCTGTACCACAAGAGCAAGAACTACCACCTCGCCTTTGGCGGCCTGAAGGAGGGTGTGAAGGTCGGCGCGCGCCTCAGCGTCCTCAGCACCGCCATGTTCTGCGCCGAGAACCTGTTTGATGTCTATCGCGGGACCAAGGATCTTCTCAATACCGTCATGGCTAGTCTGGCTATAGCTGGCGGGTTCAGTCTGTGGAGTACGTTGGCAGGGCCCTATCTAGCCGCACTCTTATTAGTTATACGAAGCTGACCATGTCCGTCTGCTCTGTCTAGATGGCTTCTCCGCTGCAGAGACTGCGAGAACGGCTAGGAAAGGCCTCAAGTTCGGCCTCGTGTATGGCGGCATCCAGGACGTAATCTCCATGGCCAAAGGCCGTCCTGTCGGATACGTTGACTTCATCCGGAAACACATTGGGAAACCCACGCAACTACACGATAAGGCCGTATGATCAGCGGCATGAGAGCGCCTATGACAGCTCCTCTCGGCGCATCCTCCCCAGGTTCTGCGATGGGAGATCCTTACCTTCGGCAAGCCGTCCGGCCACCCTTGCGGTAACGGTCTATTGCATGTCGTCTACTGCTTGCTGTAACGCCATTCCGACCTGGACGATTGATCGGGTGCTTCAACATGCAGAAGCAGAGAGGCTAGTGCTCTCCGGAGAACCGTGCTTGGACGTGCAGGGCCAGAAAACCCCGCGTTTGCTTGAGGGACGAAAGGGAAGCAGACCGGCCAAGAACTCCGGGAAGCAGGGAGAATTACGTTGCCATTCGCTGGCAACCAGTCCGCGATTTGAAACCGCCAAACCGCGTGTTGCCGTGGTTAGACTCTTGAGACTCACGGTCTCTGGCGGACTTGCTGGACCCACGGGAGGTGCCCCACGGCCCAAGACCCACAGGATCAGTTCACCTTCAAGCCGTGAAAAAGCGGCTGGTGAGGGCCTCAACGCTTGCGATATCCTGGCGCCGATAGCAGAGCCGCTACGCGTGGGCTGCGGGGAACATGGTGTGCCGAAATAGTACCATAAGCCGCTACTGCTGGGTCTGGTCTATAGGACGCTAGATGGAAGCTTGCCTACCTCCAGCTTTCGCATGGTCGGCTCCCTTTACGCCGCCAAACTACGCCCGCGCCACTGATTGGACGATGTTGAATGTGGCCCCTTTGCCCCCTTTCTTGCCTCATGCATCTTAGTTCGCCTTGCGGCTATAGACGGCATTCCTATTGGGCCCACGTGATTCATGTTGATAAGCCCCTTGACAGTCAGAGGCATTGTCAGAGCTCCAAGCCGCCATCGACTCGTGATTGGATTCATCGGAACATCGAACAGACCAAGTGGGCGTCTCGCCATTCTTGGTGATTCCTTGGGTGATGGATGATGCGATATGCCTGCATTGCGCCAGGGTCCAGGCCTGGAGAATCATCGAGCCCGTTGCGATGTTCGGAGATAGAGCAACGACGCGAGTAGAACCTTAAACAAAGACACATTTATAAAGTATGACCCTCCGCTCAGTATGCCCTCCCCTCAGGCCGTGGTCACTCACGATATTTTCTCGGTGTGCTTTGTTCTGTCCATCCCGTCTTTGCCTTCTCTTCTACATCGTCACCCGTGGTTTCCTCTATCGCCGTGACGTACCAAGACACTGACCATGATGAAGGCGTCGGTACTGGGCAGGCAGTCATTGCTGCCCATTTATTCTAATACAATAACCAAACCACCCTGCATTCTTTACGTCACGTGTCGTAATGGGCAAATACAAAACCTCAGTTTGGCCGCGAGCGCCGCGAGGCGAAGAATACATGGCTCCTCCAACAGATCATCACCTACAGAAACTTATGCTGCGACATCTCCACCATCCGTTGAGAGCCTCCCCTCGGAAGTCCCAGCATCATCATTACCGATGGTCAAAGCAGCGCCTTTGTCCGTCCTCCCTCTATCGACAGTCCTACGGACACTAGCCACAACGACCATATCGTCATCGCCGACACTGCTGCCGCCCTCGCTCGCCATGATGTCTACTCTGGCATACTCCCAGCGTGCCATCTTTAACCCCGACAGGAACCCGGTACTACGTTGGTTCCTCAAGAAGACGTTCTACGCTCAGTTCTGCGCCGGTGAGAACGCGCTCGAAGTCCGCCGCACTGTTGATGGACTAAAGAAGATCGGCTTCACCGGGGTGATCTTGGGTTATGCCAAAGAAGTCGTCCTGACCGAGTCGCAAGAGCGCAATCTGACAGTGCGCGACGACGGTCCCGCTGCCGAGGCGTGTCTTCGCAACGAGATCATCCCGTGGGCAGCAGGAACCAAGGAGACGGTCCGCCTCGCGCAGGCAGGCGACTTCGTCGCCTTGAAGTTCAGCGGCGCCGGGCAGCAGGCACTTTACGCCCTGAAGAACCGCCTTCCGCCTTCCAAATATCTAGCGAACGCCATCGACGAGATTTGCCAGTTGGCAGTCCAGAGGGACGTGCCGCTGCTGTGCGATGCCGAACAGACTGCCATCCAAGCCGGCATTGATGACTGGACCTTGCATTACCAACGCAAGTACAATACCACACCCGGGCACGCCATCATCTACGGCACGTACCAGGCCTATCTGAAAGCTACGCCCGCAACACTCGGTTCCCACCTGTCGATCGCCTCCAAGGAGGGCTTCACCCTCGGCGTGAAGCTCGTGCGCGGTGCATACCTCGGCACCGATCCCCGCGAGATCATCCACGACTCCAAGGCCGACACCGACAAGTGCTACGACGGTATCGCTGCAAGCCTCATCCGCAAGCAGTGGGGCCCCGTCCTGCACCAGGACGCCGCCTTCCCCCAGGTCAGCATCCTGATGGGCTCGCACAACCTTGAGTCGGTCCGCAAGGCCCGCGCGATACGCGACAGCGGCGAGTCGGCCAACACGGAGCTGGCAATTGCGCAACTGCAGGGCATGGCCGAAGAGGTCAGCTGCGAGCTCGTGTGCGCAGCGAAGCAGTGCGATGGGTATGTGCGCAGCAGCGGCGAGGTGCCGAGGGCCTACAAGTACATTGTCTGGGGCACGACCAAGGAGTGCATGAAGTATCTGCTTCGGCGTGCGCAGGAGAACAAGGATGCGGTTTCGCGGACGAAGAGCGGGCGTGATGCGCTGTGGAACGAGGTCAAGAGGCGTATGAGGGCGACCGTCGGCCTGGCTTGAGCGAGTTCGCGGCGGCGACAGGGACTTCTCGGTGGATTCGCGATGTTTTCCCATACACCTAACGAGTACTGTCTTTGGGCAGCAACTCGCACTGGCTGATGATTCACGATACATGACGGCTCGATGCTAGAGGGCGGAGTACCCTCATGGTCATAGCAGGCGGTTCCTCATAATTTGTTCTGAGATACCAGCATTACGGAGTAACTTCTATACCCTATCTACACGCCAGTAGCTTTTCACAATGCGCGTCGCTCACAGCCCTCTAAGTGACATGCCACCAAGTACCAGCATTTCCATCTCCTTACTCTTGACGCCCACATCCTTGAGTGCGTCTACCCAGCCCACGCCGTTCAGCTTGTAGTACTTGCGTATCTTGCTCCAGTCTGTGAACCCAGACAGCGTCTTGTCATCGAGCGGACGTGACACGCCTTGCACGTTGTCGACGAGATGCTTCTCTACATCCTCGGCCGTGAGGGTGCTCGGCGAGATGAGCACCCTCACGACGATGATGTTCTTGCTCGTGGGCGTGATGCCGTACCGTCGATATGCCTCAGATATCTGCAGGGGTGAAAGGGGGGTTTGTGAGCCATCATGGTATGGTGGTGCAATGAGTGATACCCAGTTGACCAGGGGAAGTGACGTTACCTACATTTTTGGTGGGACTCAGCGAGGACACGATCTCCGAGTGGATATTGGGTGTTTTCATAGCTCCGTTGAGCTGTACCGTTATGGACTTGAATATGGCCGACAGCACCTGCAGACGGGAGACAACCTGATGTGTAACACACCATGATCAGCTCTTGCAGCGCTTGAGTCTATAAATGGTATATTTAAGAAAAAGAGAAGATAGGAAGTCATACGGAACTCGCGTCGATGAAGGCGTATTCGAAATCCGCATTGCGACCCAGGAGCTGCTGGTGAAGGAACTCGGCGTTCTCGATGTCCTTGAAGACGGCGACGTGCACCGAGTGTGTCTCGGGCACGTGCTCTAGCCGGATGGTCTCCAGCCAGGCTGGCGGCGCCTTCTCCGGTTCTTTCATTTCGAAGTTCTGGGTATTTGTCGCATTTGATCTGTTGCATCACATGCTGCCTTCTTGGGATGGATGCCGAAATACTTTATGCTGTGAGTGACGATGGGTTGGGAGACGCTTCTGACTGCTACCCCGCCATCGGTGGTCTGTCAGCTGCCAGGCTCTTGGAGGGGCACGTCAGCAGCTGTTGGCCTACAATATTTCTCTGTGACCTCCCTCGATGGACACCTCAACACCGTCCACTATTTACCTATCAGCCTAAGGTGGAAAGTGTCCCAGGAGCTCTCATTCCTTGCAACAACATGATCGCGAGTGCCAGCGCGCCACTCAAGCGGTTGAGTCAAGATCGATGGCAGCCTCGGATGTGCGCTCATCGACGCGACTGGCGGCAATGGGTTCTGGCGATTCGGCCAAGGGTGCTGGGGTGTCGCGCACTTCTGTCATTCAGGGGTAATGATTGCGACTCGTCGACGCCGATACTACGGAGAACCGCAAGGTGTGCTGTCGGAGCAGTCACCCTTAGATGTGCCCAGATGCCAAGCAGAGTAGCTGATGTGTCTTTGGCCTCATCACTGCTTCAATAACCACCAAGTGGTGGTTGTGGTTGTAGGGCTGAACCGCGCCTGCCAGCTCGAGATATCCAATGAATTGAGTACAGCTTGTCAAATGAGAGGGATACCATTATTCAAAGGAATATACTTGTCAGAACCGTAATTGTCACCTGTGCGGTATAAATGCCTACTCGCACTCTTTGCATGGTCATAGACCCTCGTCAACCTCTACCCCTTTTCATTGAAGCTGTGGATTTATGGACAGGAGACTCCTGGTATTCAAAGAGGCACGGATGTACGTTCTCTCTCACCGGCAACACCTCACCTCTCAATCTGGAATTCACGTTTCATGAAGTCATCAAGTGCTCTATTCATCTCCCAGTAAATTAGTTTTGACCGCTTTTAGGTAGTTATTGCAGCTTGATGGACACCTGAACATCAGTTTATAATAAAAGATTTAAAATATAATGTGAGAATATTGGTGCCTTTCAGGTGTGTGCTGCAGCTGGCAGCAGGCTGAAAGGGGTGAAAGGGACCCAAAGGGGGTGAAAGGTCCATTGTGGTGACTACTGGCTGGTCTGTTGTCTGCTGTCAGGCAGCCGGATATCAAAGGGCTCCTACAGCTGTATTTAGGTGGGAATATCCCCCATGGGTCCATAACCAAGACACCGAACCTGATCCATCCCATCCTGACCCTATCTGAACCCCTGAACTTCACATATAATTAAAAACTGATTAAAACAACGTTTTAATTAAGGTTTTATATAAAATTATAAAAGTTATAATTTTTTTATAATACTATATCGTATACTATATGATATTTAAATCTGATACGATACGATACGATACGATACGATACGAAGTACGAATACTAATCGTATTTTTCCAGACCCTGAATATTAAAAGGTAATAACAAAGGGGTATACCTAGCCCCAACGCCAATGAGGCTATGCCCCGGATGAGACGGGACAGGCCGGCAGCTGGTCCGACAGGTGCAGTATAGTACCTGCCCACTAGTACTTACCTAGTACCGGCAGTAGATCCCTTGGGCCTTCCATGGTTCTTCGGCAAACTCCATCCTCTCCCAGTCCAGTCCCAATCCATTTGCGTCGCCGTCGCGAAACAAGCTCCAACCAACCCTTGTGCGCCAACAACGGCGACAGCAACGGCTTCGGCTCCGGCTCCCATTTGCATGAAGGCGTACATGTACTGACTGCCGCCCGTGGAGGTACAGCCACCAGCTGTCCCCCCCAGATTTCCAACCCTTGCCATGCCTCCAGAACGTCCGCCGAAACGGCCAGGCGAGCCAGAGCTCGACCTCGACTCGCCTGACGGCCCGGGGAAGTGCAAGCTGCCCAGGTTGGACCGCGACCGCGCCGCCACCAATGACTTTTCAAGTGTGGTCAAGAGCAAGCTCCAGTCATACACCCGGACAGGGCAAGCATGCGATCGATGCAAGGTGTGTTCGCCGTTACCATACCGTACATCAACGTTGGTGACGGGCTGAAGTCCGCGCGCGTTCCAGCGTTCTGCGTCGCGACCTTCCTAAGCGTCCAGCTCTGGTCGCCAGTCGCGTGTCGCCCCTTTATGTATATAGATGGTATCTAACATGAGTCTCTCGCTATCAGGTTCGCAAGATCCGCTGCGATGCCCTGCCCGAAGGCTGCTCCCACTGCCTTGGCCAGCACCTCGAATGCTACGTAACCGACCGAGTCACTGGCCGAACCGAACGACGGGGGTATATGCAGGAGCTCGAGCGTGAAAAGTCGGGCATGATAAACCACATACGAGACCTCGAGAGACTGCTTCAAACCAATGGCGTCCAAGTCAAGCCGTGGCATTCCTCGTCCTATCCAGCCACCCAAGCCTCGGACGTCGCCTACGATTCCAAGGTCGAGCAGGTGCAAGATACGCCTGGTGAAGAACAACGGGGACAGTCTGGAGCATCGGCCGCCGCCAAGGGGCAGCCGGCGAGGATGCCAATGGCCGGCATCTCACACGATATCGCGGAACCCAGGCCGGTGGACACCCATCTCGGTGTCAGCGCAGATCAAGCGCCCTTAAGCTCCATCAAGGGCACCACCTTGTCCATCCTCGGTAGCACCATCGACATGGGGTCCTTCGACGCGCCAGACATGGACGAGCCGTCGCCGGCTGCCCAGGCTCGATCCCCGCTCTACAACAAGTCCGTTCAGGCGCTGCTGCAATCAGTCATGAACATCAACCCTCTGCTTCAGGTCGAGCATCCCCCCAGGGCCGACGCCTTCACCTATGCCGAATGGTATTTCCTGATGATACATCCCTTCCACCCGATCCTCCACAAGCCTACATTCATGGAATCAGTAAGTCAGCCCTACTAGTACGAAACTTTTAGACTAGCTGCTGACTCTCATCTTAGCTGGCATGTCTCTACGATGACCCCGGCTACACGCCGACTGTGGCCGAGAGGGTCATGATTCACATGGTCTTTGCGTCGATATATCTCCAATATGGGATTCGAAATCGGGAGCAGCCGGAGCAGAAGGCTCACTTATACGACCTTTCCAACAAGCATTACCACCTTTCTCTCAGCAAATTCTTTGACTTGACCACATCCCGCACCTTGGGTGACCTACAAGCCTTGACCATGATATGCGTACACACGATGCGTTTTCCCAAGCCCGATCCCAGCAGCATGCTAGCCACATATTCGCTGAACATGGCGTTGGAGCTGGGCTTGCACCGTGCTTGGAAGAAGCCGGGCGAGGGAACCAATCTCGAATACGAGCTGCGCAAGCGAACGTGGTGGACCATCTTCGCGACGGCCGTCACCTTGAACGGTCGAATGGGACGACCGATGCCCATCAGACTAGAGGAGATTGATGTGGAATACCCCGAGCCGATAGCTGACGAGCTGTTGACCAAGGACGGAGTAGACACGACAAGAACCGCCAAGTGCACCTTTGAAATTGGAGTAATAGGCTTCAAGATATCGACTCTGTTCCTTGAAATGTACGCCAACATATACTGTGCGAAGAGGGACCCAAACAAATATCTGCTTGTTGTTGAGGCGCTTGAGGAGCAACTGCAGTCCTGGCAAGACAATCTGCCCGAAGGCTTGAAGATTGGCGATGCCGAGCTGCCTGAAAACGAGAATCAGATGTTCGCCCTGTACGCGGAATGGATGGCGCTGGAGTTTCGGCTGTGTCTCCGGCACCCGTCGGTCACGATATCGAGCGATCCAAAGTTGTTAGCCACCAACACCAAGATTTGCGAGGAGACGTCAAAGGCAATGCTCCGGAAAGCACACAAGCTCTACAGGCTGAAATCTCTCGACACGACATGGTACTGTCTCGCTGTCTACGTCGCCGCGATATTCTCGGCCCTAATGGCACACTGGGAAAGAAGACACGAGACGACAGCAGCTGAGATACAAACTCTCCGTGAAGACATGAACATCTGGCTTGCCATTCTAGGTGAGACTGGAAGCCTCATGGGTAAGTCGGTCTAAAATCCAGAACATCATCTGCAATGGCCTCTAACCAGCTCCACTAGGCTCCGGAATGGCGCTCCGTGACGCCGTCAGCTCCATTGTTGGACGCACCATAGCCTGGATTGAGTATGATGGTCTTCACAAAGCACACGGGTCGGCGGCGCCACCGCAGATCTCTCAGGACATGATCAAGCAGTCACCACATACGCCGCCCTACACCAACACACCTGCCAGTGCGAACCCTGGCCGCAACGATGCAGAGGTTGTTAACGACCCCAAGAACCACGCCATTCCCGGACCACGCAACACTTTCTATTCTGAGACTACCCCGGACTCTGCAACATACCCGGCCCTTCCATACAACAACGTCCCTCCACAAGCGGCAAGCGGCATGACCTACGATGCCGAAAGTCCTTATATCTATTCCCAGGCTGCTGGACCAGTAGCAGCGCAAGCGCAAGCTCACGCCGAAGCCCAAGCTCAGGCGCAAGCACAAGCTCAGGCACAAGCACAAGCACAAGCACGATCTCACCACATTCATGGCCAGGGTCCAGTACAGGCGGCAGACCATAATCCCCTGACAGCATTTGCTACGCAAGCAACACAGATGGCGCAACCAGAAATGATGTGGCGGCAACAGGCTTCAGGGGGGAATACATGGCAAGACTGGACTGCTGCCATCGTTGACAGCCAGGATCGATATAGCGCCAACGCCTTGATGTCTCTGGGAGGCGCTGGGGGTCCGAGGCCGGGCGGCGACATGAATGACAGTGCAGCCCACGGTTTGGCTATGGGTGAGGGTATGGGCAGCGGGGCGGTGACTACTACGACAGCCCAGGTGCAATGGCCGCTGCTGTGTTTTTCAGACGGAGTTGGTGGTGCATAGAACGCAATTACGCACCGGCGTACGGTTTCGATCATTATTATTACCACTGGGCGGTTCATGGCGACTGGCGCCATTGGGCTGGACGGCGTTTAGAAGAGAAGCGGGCTATTGTGAATACGCCCGACCGCTGCTCTTGCTGCATCTCGACAGCATCACATACGGCGGGGTATGGCTTGGGGTTGGTAGAGCGTCGAGGGCCCTGGCTAGATCAACGACAGATGATGTGTGTTATGACCCGCTGGGGGCCATTTTGACGGCATATATGTACTATATTAGGGGTGGAACTCGCGGTACGAGCCAGTCACTGTACAATGGAACTCGAGACAAACGGAATTTGCTTGAAGTCGTTCGCTGACGGATGAGCTCGAAGTCATAGCTGACAGATGAACTCGATAGGAGCCAAAAGGCTCTTGTTAATGTGAAGGTAATCCCCAAGATCATAATACCATAAACGGTGACGGCATGGCATTGATGAAGTGTAGGAAGCATCTCTCTAAGAGGTTTGTAAATCTTGTTTAATGTCCGGCAGCGATTCAACCAGCTCGAGTGTCTTATGATCGTCCAGAGCAGCGGCGTACCGCGCGGCCATAGCGTAGACACACTCCCGGGGCTGCATCTCGTACGGACACATGATCCATCCGTGACCCGCCAAGAAGGACTTTCGATACTCGTTGGCGACGTCTTCCCGCCTGCTGGACAGAACCGGGCCGCCCAGCTTCCGCAACGTGTCGAGGTAGTGATCCACGATGTCCCACTCATGAGCCCTCCGGTCCTCAACGCTCAAAGCGCCGCCGATGAAGTAGGCCACGTCGTGGAAGGCCGACCCGACGTGGATCATCTGCCAGTCAAGAAACCGCGGCGCGCTCCCCGCGTCAAGATACGTGTTTCCCGTGCGGGCATCGCCGTGCAGCAGACACCGGAACGCCGGGTTGCGGATCGCGTAGTGCTTCTCCAGCGCGGCCGTGATGCGCGCCTGGTCCTGGAGGTAGGCGGGCACGGGCGGGCGGTCGGGCCCGCGTACCACGGCGTCGAAGGTCTGCATCAGCGTGAGGACGACCGTGTCGGTAACAGCGCCGGCGCCCGTCTGAAAGCCGGGGTAGTCTGCCTGCGGGGCCCCCCACGTCGCTGCGTGCAGCGCGGCGAGCTGCTCGACGCCGGCCAGCACTCGCGATACCGGCCAGACGGCCCTGGGGTCCCCGAACGTGCACCCCTGGACGCCGAGGTCGTCCAGCACTACGATGCCCTGCTTGGAGTCGGAGCCGGCCCACCATCCCCTGGGAAGGGACATGTGGTCCAGGGTCGGCGCTATTTGTTTGAAAAACTCGACTTCGCGCTGGTAGATGCTGGTTACCCAGGGCATTTTCTGGACGAGGGCCGGGTCGAAGCCGCCCTTGAGGCATAGCTGGGTTGGCCTTTGCTCGGCTGCGTGCGAGTCATCGTCGTAAGTGACTGTGTAGAATAGCTTACTGGCTGTGCCGTGCTGGATCTTGGTGAGCTCGATGGATCTGATGCTGGTCCCCAGCACGCTGGACAGCCAGGTCGCCGTCACTTCCTTTGGGGTGGCGGGCAGCTGGGTTTGAGCAGCGGGTTGAGGATCTGCCTCTGGCAAGCTTCCGGCCACCGTTCCTTGTGCTTGGTAAATAGGCAACTGGTGCTGGAGATTTTTGCTGACGGGATCAAGTTTTTTTGTAGTTTTAGGTGCAGTAGTCACAGCGTATCCTCACAGCGTGGTAGCTGGGTAGAGCGGAAGAGTGGTATGTATTTCGTTGCTCCTTTTCCCTTTGGCCAGATACTCTCACTTCAGTGAGAGCGATATGTCTCCTGCGTCGGCAGCTGAAAATTGCTGAGATTTGCCATTGACAATGGTGAGCGTTGCCTGGCATGGTCGCATCAGCACATCATGTGCCTCTAATATGACTGGTTTGACCGCCAACCGAGGTTGGTAAGGGGAAGCAGTTGGGTCGGCCACATGCAGGGGTCAAAAAGCGGCGCCATATTGGGATGGATGTCTCCCCGCGGGCAATGCTTACATGCTTCATTATACATCTGTATGTGGGCGAAGAAGAGGTACTGTCGTGGATCAACGGCTTGCAGTCTTTCTGCTCTATTTCAGACTTGCATTTCCTACAGGTACAGTCATCACCCTTGATGTGTCCCTTGTGGGCGACCCTGTCTGTTCCTGGGAGCCATTGTCCATACCTACCTTACTGGTCCTGTCACTGGCAATCGAAGCTCTTTAGGTCAAATTGTAGCAACGCGAAGTGAACGATACAGGCAATCACTCATGGACACACTCACGCGTACCATCCGAAGGACGTATTAGTCGACGATTGGGGATATGCCAAGCGGCTTGTAGGGTGGGTGCGGTTCAAAAGGGGGGGCCCGTAGGTTCTTCTCCTGAAAGCCTTCTCCATTCTTCATGTTTACCGAACTCCTCGTCAGTTCTTTTCTAGGACGCTGTGAGATACAGATTAGCACGCCAAAGCTATGTCCTGCTGGCTAATATGAGGTGAGAAGGTTTGGCTTATCCCACAAGGCACAAACGAAACAAGGTCAATATTCAGGTGGCTAGCCACACCGTCCGAATCCAACATTATCAAGATACATATGTGCTTACGACTACCGCTACCAATTGCTATCAACATCATGAGGATATGGCGTTCGCTGCCAGCGGGCGGGAGGGAAGGCGCCAGGGAGCAGAAGGCAAGCTACATCTCTCGTAGGCAAACAGAAAATTACATGATAAGCTAAGGCAAGCCGGCAGCCGGATGTGACACCATTCACACAGATCGATCGAGGTTTCCTTTGCCGCAGTGATCAGGTAGGTGACAGCCTGCTCTTTGGGAAGCTTTGCAATGAGGCTTGTATGACAGGATCTGGTGTTACAGCCACGGATGTAGTCGCGGATACCTTCAGCCTCCCGTTCTCTTGCGATCTTGTACTCTTCGGTACTGCTACGCGGCTGTACAACATGACAGAAAGGGAAGTCACACCAGGATACAAACCAGAGCAACAGTCAGGAAGAAGTTGCGATGTGAGGTTTCATGCCGACCACCTCGACCTGTTCTGGAGAAGTCGACCTTCCCTTTGGTCGACGCCACACACATCAACACATAACACACGCAGAACACCAAGCTGTGCTTCCTATCAGCATCGTTGTGTCACCGGATAGCTGCTCCGGCACTTCACGAATATCTTATCAACACAAACATCGACAAGCCCCTCAACTTCCTGCCAACGTACGGGCCACATCATCACCTTCATCATTCGGCATCGTGGACCACACGATATTCTCATACCTACGCATCATCCTCTCGAGCCGCGTGTTCTAGACCACCACCAGTGTTACCCTGAATCTGGTGTCTTCTCGGGGAAGGTTGCAGCGATCTCCAGCACCCGTCCACGTCGTATCCATATCGAGCCTTCGTGTACCCCAAACACAGGCCTTTACCCAGTCATTCCGGAGGACTGTGATCTCGAAACATTCAGTATACGTAAGTAGCTCATGACTTCCACGACATGCCTACGTCTTCATGACCAGCCACCGGTGGAACGAGACTACGGACTTGTAGGCTGACTGCATCCGAGTATTGAAGCAAACATCACTAGACGATCCATCCGACGTCCACCACCATCGGGGACTTCTGGCTATTGCAACTGCCTTTGGACTTCGGACATCGTAGTGCGGAGGTGAGGTCATACCAACTGGGAACGGCAAAGATGGACTAACAGCGAAAACAGAGGGCCTCGTGTCGAACTCTGAACTGAACTCTACCGTCTGCTACAAACGTCCGTCTATCGAAGATGTCGGCACCAGAGAAATCCGACCGGGAGCTGTATGTTCACTACTATCGCCAGAGCAACGGGTTGATCTACACGCTTTTCATCCTGTGTCTCACGTGCTTTATCCTCTTCGTCCTGTCCGCAACTGGCGTCATTTGTGTCCAAGGGTTCTCATCGAATCAGGCCTGCTACTGGACTTGCTTCAATAATGGGTGGTGCCACCTCTACTGTGCCTGCTCCAAGTTGAGCAGGCCTGCCACGACTCCAGCGGCGACCACGACGACAGTGCCGACCACGTGAGCCGTCGGACCCATTTCCCACGACAGGCATACCGCGAGAACTTGAACAGGAAGGCGGACACGCATGGCATCGCACATTCTACAGTCCCCTCAAGTTCAACATGCTTGTGTATCACAAGCTTGTCTCGGCCGTTCGACACGCAGAGAGAGGAACATGCTAGCTCGGTGAAGAGCAAGCGAAGGAGATACAACAGTGGGTCGTTGGCATCTGCGTAGGATTTTCGACGTCGGACAAGGTGATGTTGGCCGTCATGGGACATCTTAGATAGGCCACCGGAGGATGGCATGACACTGATGGCTGGTATTGTGTAAGGACAACAGGCGAAGACAAGATGTTCCAACAAGACCGGCTTGATACGGGGCTCAACCAAGTGACGTGCATATAATGGTGACGATCGCCCCCTTCCCAGTCCCAGTTCGTGATCAACCCATCAACAACTCTTCACAGATCTCAGCAGAGCTATCCAGTGATATCAGCACAAGCCCTCAACCTACACCAGTTACGCAGACCAGCCCCAGACACACACACACACACACACACACACACACACACAACCTCCACTACAGCCACCATGCACTTCACCACTGTCGTCACCCTCCTCTTCGCCGCCTTTGCAGCCGCTGCCCCCCGACCTCTGCACCATGGGGTCAAGAACACAGTTTTGCCCCCCGGGCTCACCAGTGAGCCGGACTGCGCCAAGATGGAGGACTACTGCACCAGCTGCGGCGGCGAGTAAGTTTCTTGTTCCCATCTTGTTTCTCTCGTGCCGAAGAATATCCAGCAAAACAAATGGAAGTGTGTGTGTTGTGAGCGAATGCTGATGTGGTGTTTACAGAGACTTCGATTGCGAGACGAACCCGAGTTGTGAATGGTGCTACGAGAATCACAGGTTCGGCAACTAGATGGATGTTGTGAGCTGCTGTTGGCAGACAGACACACAGGCAGGCAAGCAAGAGAGCAAGCAGGGGGTTGATGTTGTTATCATTGCCACTTAGCTAGACCGGTGCTACCACGAGATTGTTTGTTCTGGGCAGAGGGGGCGACTTGACGAGTAGTAGGTTTCAGGGGTTGGCCAGTCACTCATTTTGGGGCATGGTGGCAAGCAGACTTTGGGACAACTTCTTCCATTATCATGAAACAATCACTTCATGTGCAGGCCGGAGGATCTACACTAGATCCAGCGGAGCCACCCAAGTCGCTCTCTTATAATATACATATATGATGAACACACAGGTCAAGAATCTTCTATCTCCCTGGAGGCCGTCTCCGGGCCGGTTATCCCAACGCTCCCCTCCCAATGCGTGTGATGCAGACAAATGCATGAGTAGAGTTTGGGTATTCGCCCCTTGGGCCGTGACATGCGCGTATACAGCGCATTGGGACTCGTCGTCAACATAGAGAGCCGGTCTCTCGCGTACTTGTACACTCACCCCTCCTAGTAAGTCGCCGTGAGCCACTCGATTATTTCTTGGGTTGTTGGTCCTGCGATGCGCCGGACGGCACGAACCAGCCCATGAACGAGGACTTCATGCTGGTCATTGCCTCGGCCTGGGCCTTCTCCTGGGCCATCTGCTCCTCCTTGAGCCACTTCTCTCCGTTCTCCCGGATTTCCTTCTCCAACAGCTCGTAGTTCTTCTGGCCCCTCTCGCGCGCAATGTCCTGCAGCATCTTGCCCTGCGCGAAGGCTTCAGATGGACTTTGTTCGCCCTCGACCGGAACCATCATGCTCATGTTGCTCGGCTTCAACCCAAGCAAGCTGCCCAGAGCGCCCATTCCCGATGATCGCGACCTCTTCTCGGTCTTGACCTGTTTCTGGAACTCGGCGCGCGCAATCGCTTCACGGCGCGCAAACTCGGTGGGGATGTCCTTCCCCTCGAATGACTTCAGCACCTCACGCACGTCCTTATATTGCATGGTATGAATGTATTCGAGGAACGGGATCAGCGACACGAGATCCTTGTCCTTCGGGTCACCAGTCCACTTGGGAAGGACAATTGCGTTCTCGGGCTGGTTTTGGACATGTGAGGCTTTGCTGTCAATGATGATGACCTTGGACAGGTCACGGTTCAGGTAAGACAGGTCCTGCAGAACTCGATGTTAGTGATGACGAGTGATGATGTAGCTTCAGGTACAGGGTAACCGACCTTGACGATCTCACCATCGTTGTACTTGGTCGCTTCTCGGAACAGCGGCCAGACGATGAATCGAAACGGATCCAGCTTTCGTACCAAGGGTTCTCCCATAGCGAACGGAACACTTGTGAACAACACCAACTCGTAGTACTGGCTAAGGTAGCGTAGGAAGTAGTCGACGCCGGGGCGCTTTGCAACTCTCCAACCATGCTCTCGTGTCCATTCGCTGTGCACCAACATGTCCTCGAGACTGATGCAGAGAGTATAGGGTCGTTCGAACATGGGATCCGGGTCGGGCAACAGCTTCTCGAAGGCAGGTTCACGGTAGTAGTTTGTGACGTCGTAGAGACGCGCCATTGCACGCTTCCACCACAAGCCGACGGACCACCCGTTAGGTGTGTCCGTATGCATAGGTGCTTCATCCTCATCCCAGTCACGGCCAAGGTAGGCCAATCCGACGACGGTGGTCGCGAGCGCAGCGGCATACATGCGATTGGCGAACTTGTTCCTCCGCTTTTCCGTCGAGCTCATGTATGCTGAAGCGGGAAGCTCCCCTTTACCTCGACCACCCCCACCCTGCGACTCGGGTGCCTCCTCGAGGGCAGTCCACTCCGACTCCTTCAACTCCGACTCCTTGGTAGTGCCACCTCTCTCGAATTCGAGGGTCGATGGGATTCCTTGCGTTAGGTCGGGGAGTGAGCTCATGTCGGGTTTTGAGGTTGCTGGTTCGGCCGACGATGCAGATGATAAAGGGACTTCGATGGGCGGTGTCGAAGGCTCTGTCGAGGGTGAAGATGTAGTGGGATCTGAGCTGGGTGTCTGCTGCTGGGGGGGCTGGGGTTCGCTCGAAGGTTTCGTGCTGGGAGCTCCTTGTTGAGCTGGGCCTTTGTTTGTCGGGTAGCCTCGAGGTCGGTTGTTATTTGCCATTCCGCGCAACCAGAGCGACAATGCCGGCGTGGTTACTCTCGCCAAAGCTGAGGCCGACAAGGTTGTCCTCTGGAGAGGCGGGAGTCGCGCCGAGCGCGCAATAGCTCTGGACAGCATCATGGCGATGATCTGGTGTCTTGACCTGGAGAGCAACAGCGAAGGCCGACCGCACCAATGCCTTTAGTATCAGTTCAAGGATACTCGACGGTGATCAGGTTACCAGCGCGGCGCCAAGTTGTATTGCCGGACGCTTGAATGTTGGAGATATGCTTCCGCGATGGTTGGCGCTTGGAAAAAAATCACCAGCTGGACATAGCTTCTTAGCTCAACTGCTTGGTCGGCTCCCCTGCGGAATCAATGTCCGGCCCAAGGCTAGTTGCCGGAGATTTACCGTTATCGCTATCGCTTATCATGGCGATGAAGTCATTCCCGGTATGCCGATAACCGATAACGGATAGCGGCCTCAGACGACAGGCCCCAAGTACATCCTACCTAATGCCGATAGCTCCGTGGCGACGTGGGACTTGACTTTCCCATTGATGCCCTTTATCAAAGACGCCACCATAAACCACTGCAGTGTCGACAATTGACCGGGTGAGTCTTTGAAACGCAACCTTTCAACCCTCCTGTTCTGGACTTCACCGCACTTCCCGCATACACTCAACGCATACACTCAACGCATACGACACCTCCTTGACCTCCAGCGACTCTGGTTCGCCGCCTGCCGCTGTCTGTGACCCCTCTCCGAATAAGAGGTACTCAGTCTTTCACCGGCACCCACAGTCATCCCGGCTGTTCACCAATGAACCACACTGCATACACCATACTCACAAGATCCTACACTATGGCAGCCCAGAGTGTTGCATTCTAGGGGGTGGCAGTCACTTGTTGAAATATCACGATGGCACCACCCTCGCGATGCCCCATCGTATTCCGACACATCTAGTTACCCGAGACAAACCTACGAGACAAGCATTCTAAAAACCTACGAGTCCGGCCCTCTATAAACCTACAGACATACAGATCTCCAAAGCACCAACAACTCTGCATTGACCCTCCTTTTCGACCTTGCACACCTGTTCTGCGCCACCCTGCGCAGCTCGCCGCAGCATCGTTCAAGTTGTCGCGATCGCGTGAATCCCGTCATTCACTCAAACCCAAGCGCTGCCAGCTGCGACTGTATAGCACCGACCAAGCTGTACAGGCTGCCATTCGAAGATCGGAAGACATCCTAGCATATCACAAACACACAATCCACGATGCGTCGCAAGGTTGGCACAGGCACTGCGTCGCGTGCTGTGGGCACAGCTTCTGGCCCAACCCCGGTTTCGTCGGCCTTCACCACCCCTCTCAGCTCGGCATATCCCTCCACCCATACCTCAGAAGCCGAGTACGATATCACCGACGAGGTGGCCAAGCTGTCCCTTGGTGCCGACCATGTCGGGACCGCCTTGAGCACACCTAAGTCAAAGCGAGTCAAGCAGCGACCATTTCGTTTTCTTGAGCTCCCCTCCGAACTGCGTCTCAAGGTCTATGAGTACCATTTCGCCAACACCGGTGATGTTCTGGACCTTGATCCTGACAACTACAAGCGCATCCATCAGAAACTGGCCATACTACGAGTCTGCCGCACCATCTACAGAGAGGCATCATACTTCTTCTACAGCACCCACTCAGTTCGTGTCTTCCCGACCCATCCCGGACGTTTCTTCAAGACCAAGAAGCCGCTTCTGGCACGCATGAAACCAGGACAGAGGGCGTCTATCAATTGCCTTGAGCTTCGTCTTGGCCCTGGCTGGAGTAAGCCCCCTCGTGGATGGGTGGTGAACCCGGCACTGGGACTGAATGAGTGCATCAGCGTCACCAAGCTCAACGTCTTCGTCGAATGCGATCCTGGCAACGATATTTTCAAAGGCTTTCGCCAACCAAATGGATTCTTCGAAAACTTCTCCAAGTCACTTCTCACCGCCATTCTTGATGAGATGCCCTGGGTCGAGCGGATCGAGTTTGATGCATGGCCCAGCGTTAAGAAATCCGGTGTCCTGATGTCAGGTTTGATTGAGCTGTCAACTTCGAGAGGATTGAGAATCACTTGGGGGTCAGAACGGGGGTGGAGTGATGCTGAGGAGGTTGAGCCGGTGCCTGTCGTCCAGAACTATGCACCTCTCCTCGTCAATTCTGGGAGCCACAACATCTTGGTCGTGGCATAGCAGAAGCATAAGACCTTGGCAGGATTTCCATGAGCTTTGTGCTTAGGTAGCACATGGCACGAAAGATTGGACGAAATGATGCATTGTGGATACTCACGATCGTACGTTGGCAACGAGAAAATGGGCGCAGATTGATCACTTGGTACCTGTAGCTGTGTTGTAAAGTAATGAACAGCTTTGCAAACACTCAATGGCGTGTTGCACCCATAAACAGCAACCCCATGAAGCACAAAATATGCTTATCCTGACTCCAGTTCTCAACCTTTGCTGCAATAAGTAAGTATGTACCTGAGACCGTCACCTTGCATAGGAGCTGTGGGCATTTGCCCTTCAAGCCGGCGGAGGAGGCCAGCAAGGCATATATTGTCATTGTGTGATGACCTTGTATGAACAGTATTCACGAATGTCACCTCATTCGGTCCAGATCCTACATCTCAGGAGCTATGTGTACACTTGCTTGATAGTTCCCAATGGGGGAAAAGGCTTTAAGGAGTAAACCATGCCTTTGACTGGCATTGCGGCATTGTTAATTTCGGCTAAGGCTATGCTGTCAACGACGCACCTGGTCCACAATCTCTTCCGTCTCGGTGAGGTCATAATATGATGGCGATGTATTTCTAGCCGGCTGATCCCAAGAGCGACATGGCCTTAGGCAATCGACCACCTTTGAGTTGTAGGCGTATTGAGAACTTCTTATATAACATTTACTGTAAGTTACCTCGATCAACTATCTTTCTATGGCTATGCTATGAGCTTGATGTGTTCGTACAGGAATATCAAGCTTATTCTCGACCTGGGCGTGAAATTTGGCGGCCATCAAATAAGCTGCCTTGATGAATCCTTGACCTCGGGTCAGCGCCGAATCGTATTGATCTGGGTGTTCGAACTTCCCGTAGGTCGCAAAAGGTATGTAACCTCTGACATATCGTTATTGATGATGCTCAACTCGCTCTCTTCGACGAAGGTAACCGTGACGGGCCTGCGAGGCTTCCCCTTCTGCTTGAAGATGAGACCACCGAGTATCGACATGTGGCTGTGAAACAGGACGGGCAGATGCCCCTATGCGAAACACCAGGTGCTCTGCAACAAGCCATGTCTCGTGATCTTTATTGTGCAGGTGTCTTAGAATTCCGAGAAATCTAGGATACCGAAGCGTGCTGTCCCACTCCGTCGCCTCCGGACCGGGCGTCGAGAGATAGCAGGCAAGGAAAGGTTCTTGCCAACGACTGAAGATGAATCTACAACGAAGTAGCCCCTGATACTGAACCTCGAAATGTCTCCGTACACCCCTCGTTTGCTGAACGGTTCGGCAAACAAGGAATGTATTCATATTAATGGAAAAATCACCCAGAAATAAGCAGAAAGATAGTTCGTCCGATTGCCCTGCTTATTCCAGGGTGCTTATTCAATTAATATGAACACTGCATTCGCATACTCAACCTCCAGCTGTAAGAGTAAGTCGGCCAAAGCTTCAACCAAGTGGTTTCATAGGGCTGACAGAGACTGCCCCCGCACTCCCGCTCAACCTTGACAGGGATCCACATGCCGACCCCACCAAAAAAATTGCAGCTGCAGCCTGCCGCCGATCTGGTTTCGTCAACCAGCTCTTCACCACTACCTCCATCACCACTGGCCACCGCAGCGATTCAAAAACGACCGTCAACCTGTTCGAGACGAGACCTCAGTTGCAACAATGCCCCTCGACACATCGACCTACGACCTCGCCCTGCTGCGGGTCGACGGCCGCCGCTGGAATGAGCTGCGCCGCCTGGACGGCCAGATCCGTACCCAGGCCGCCGCCGACGGCTCCTCATACCTCGAGATGGGCAACACCAAGGTTATGTGCGTTGTCTCGGGTCCCAGCGAGGACAAGCGCCGCGGCCAGACTTCCGCATCGACCGCCACGGGCTCCAATGCCGCCGATGTCGCCGTGAGTGTCGTCGTGGCCGGGTTTAGCTCCGTGGATCGCAAGAAGAGGGGGCGTGGTGACAAGTACGTTTCCCTTGTCCATCGGAACATTTCTAAGCCTGTTTGCTTTGTGCTATGTGCTGTGCGCCACACAATCGGGAAGCTGACCGCGTGACACTCCCTTGACAGACGCATACAAGAACTGCAGACCACCATCTCGAAAGCGCTTGCATCTAACCTGCACACGCACCTGTACCCACGCTCGACCATCTCCATTTCCCTCAACGTGCTCTCCCAGGATGGTTCTCTCCTCGCTGCGCTCATCAATGCCTCCACCCTCGCGCTCATCGACGCCGGAATTCCCATGACCGACTACCTTGTCGCCTGCACCGCGGGCAGTACATCATCGTACGCGGCCAACGACGACCGCGCCGACCCACTCGTTGACCTGAACAACCAGGAGGAGCAAGAGCTGCCGTTCCTGACCATGGCCACGTTGGGCGCTACAGACAAGGTGGCGGTCTTGGTCTGCGAAAGCAGAGTCCAGGTTAGTCGTCTCGAGGGCATGATGGCTGCCGCCGCCGACGCGTGTAAGGGTGTCCGCGATTTCTTGGATCAGGTCATCAGGGAGAAGGGACATAAGATGGTGACCGAGGGTACGATCGAGAAGGGGGCTAGTATGGCCATTGAAATTGATGCTTAGATCACCCAGGAGCACATGCTGGAGTGCTTAGAATACGAATGACGCAGCGTCAACAGCGTCTGAGCTTGACGTTTATGATTTCGAAGGACATAGCCACTTTTTGGGGGTTCAGTAAGTGCAAGCTCTCCTTTACGCCCAATTTGGCACATTTGTGCTTTGCAGCGTTTGTTTTGCTTTACATTCGTGGCTAATGCAGCACTCTCTACAGCTCTTCATGCTTTGGAGGTGCTTCGGTAGCCTCGGGTGTCGGTTCGGCGCCCTGCCATGAAGTAGACTCCGGCTCACTCTCGATCTCGATCTCGACTGAGTCCTCAATCTTGACCTCGACCGTCTCAGCAGGTTTGGTCTCCGCTGTCTCCGACTCCTCGACGACCTCCCCGATGACTGCCTCGGGCAGCTTCTCCTTAGCACCCTCACCCATTCGAATGGCATCAATCCAGTTTTCGACACTCAAGGCACTGAAATCACCATCATAGTGTCGCAGCCAACCCCTCTTGGCATTGACGGCAACCAGCTGTACCTTGCCCGTAAGCCCAAGGTCTTGGAACACAGATGCGGCGCTCTCTTCGTGGACCTCGTAGAAGGGAAACAGATGGCGTTGCACTTGGGCATGCTTGAAGGCGATCTCGGAAAGGCTGGCGAGGGCTGTCTCGGACCCGTCGTCATGCGCAGTCGGCACAAAGGCGAGCACACAGGTGGGGGACTTGCGATTCAGACATTCGTTGGTCAAATCCTGCTGCGACGTAACGGCTGGGATCGGTGGAGCGAGCTCCCTCAGAGCGGGTTTCGATTCGGCGGGAGGGGTATCGGTGGACTGTGACGACTGGGAGGCCTTGGATATCTTTTCCTTGTCCTTCTTGCCCGCCTTGTTTTTACTTTGGGCCTTCGGCGTTGCTGGATCGGGGTTTGGCTCGCCAACTTGCGACAGGAACTCGAGCATGGCAGGTTTCTTCATTTCTCCCTGGTATACCAAGCTCTCCTTGTCGCCACCAGGAAGCAACACCAAGGTAGGGTAGGATTTGATACCGAACAATTGGTTAGCCTTGGCTTCCTTGTTCCGCACCTGGGCAACGGGGATGACGCCAAGGAAGTCAATGGCAAGACTCTTTAGCAGAGTACTTGTAGTACCCTTCTCGGTAAATAAAATGGCCTTGGCCGACTCGTTCTTGGTGGAGAGGAATGATTCGATATCCTTGTCCGTCAGGCGCTTCACATGGTTGTTAATCTTGTCGACAACGGCATCCACGATGCCCTTAGCGGTACGCGGGCCGTTGTAGTCCTCGATGACGGGTGCGCCCTTGTTCTTGCCTGGACGAATGGTCTTGAGGGTGGGAAAACCCTGGACGCCCATCATACCGCAGAGCTGCTTGTTCTCGTCGTCGTCGCAGTTGACGGCGGCGACGGTGGCGGCAAGACCGTCGAGGTTCCGGGCGGCCTTCTCGTAGGCGGGCTGCAGGTTCTTGCAATGGCCGCACCATGGCGCATAAAACTCGACAACCTGGCGCAAGTATTAATCAGTGGTCGAAAATGGAAAGCAAAGTGCGGCCTACGTAAGTGTAGTTGGACTTGATCAGCTTGTCGTAGTTCTTGGCCGTGACTTGAACGACCGGGGAGTCCTTTGCGTACAAGCTAGCGTGGGCAGTGGGCAGGGCAGAGAGGCATGCCACTGCAGCGACTGCTAGGGCGGGATTGAAGTTGAAGGCGTGCATGTTGATGATGCTGTATGTGCTGCTTGGTGGCAGTGGTCAAGAGCTATTAGGCGCAACGAAGACAGAGCGAGCAGCAGACACTTGTGTACCTGCTCGAAGAAAGAGAGGGTATCAAACCGTAGAGTTCGTTGAGGTATTAATGGCAGAACTAGATGGCTTCACATGGCAGGATGCCGAACAATAAATACACAGCAAGCAGGAAGAATGAATGAAGCTTGGTTTGAATGTTGTTTGCTGTCTTCTTCGCTCGCCCATACAATGTTCGAGAAGAGGCCACGGTGGAAAATAGCAGATTCACAATGGCGCCCCTCCACGGCTTCAGCCCCCAACTGCAAGCTTGTAGCTTGTAGCTTGTAACTTCAATCCCAGTGAATCCGGGGTATCTGTGGCTGGTGATGCAGCTTTAGCGGTGGCGCGAGCTCAATTAGTCGATGAGGGCTCTTGGCGGAATGACTTCAGCGGGGAGTCGTTGGTTCTGACTCTCCGTCTTTTAGGTTGTGTCTTCCAGTCTTCAGCCCTCTCTCCTCCGTACGTACCTAGATGACGACGCTTCTTATACTGGCGCCTAGTTTGCTGCTCCCGTTGCTGGTCTCTCACATCACTGCCAACCTGCCTACCTGACGGGACTGACTGCGCAACCCGATTCGAAGCGTCGCTTGGCGCATACCCAACCTTACGTTTGCCTACGGCTCTCCTGGTGCCATCGCGTTCGGCAGCCGAGTCGCGCGCACCCGTCCTTTCTATCCCGCCATCTGCGAATCCGACCTATTCCTCTTGCACTAGGGTTAATCGATATCTGCGCATCGTGTACGAAGAGCTGCGGTTCCCAACATGGCGGCCAACATACCTGCAAAGCTCAAGCAGGCGGGCATCACCCCTTTCATCGTGCGCGCCAATCAGCTGGAAAGCGCAAAGCCCGTCATCTCGTACTGGTGTAAGCTTCCATATCCGCCCACAGTGGTCATGAGGTGAGCTGGGACTGATATATAAGAACAAACCAGGTCATTATTGGGTCGTAAACCAGATCCTTGCCAAGCAACTTCACAACACCGACCACGAATGTCTCAACTTCACCACGGCTTTGATGGACAAGCTGGAGCAGGTATGCGATAAAGCTTTGGTGTCTCTGGGTGCATAGGACGGGGGTATTGATCGATATTCCGGGGCAGACGAAATCCCAACACGCAGGCAACGATGCGATACTCGATGATGTCGCCGGCCAAGCATACGTTGAACAATTCGCGCAGGAGACCTTCGAGAGGGCGCTTCGGCCCTTGAAGGCAAACAAGGTCACACAGTACGGCACTTGTTACAGCTTATAGAGAAGCATTGCTGACACTGGCATCCAGGCAAACTGCCAGCACCTTCGAAGCCGCCGCTACCTTCCTTCAACTCGTCAACATCTGGGGTCAGCCTGATCCCGAGACGCAGGAGAAGATCAAGTACTCGAAATGGAATGCTGCCCGAATACTAAAAGCGATCAAGGAGGGTAAAGACCCCAACGAGTCCAACCCCAGGCAGGAGGAAGAGAAGCCAGAGCAGGCTTTGGACCTAAACGGCCCGGAGGTCCAGATGATTGATTCTTCACAACCAAGGCCGGCAACGGTAGAGGATGTGCCGGATGATGAGACGAGATCGCAGACTGCACCCTCGAGATATTCCCTCCACGCGCCGGCACCGGTATCCGCCCCAACTTCGCCTCTGCCGCCAACAGCACCGGTACCCGAACAGGTGTCACCTATGGCGCCACCGGATGCACCAACGTCAGACCCGGAAAGCTACTTCCCCAGTGCGCCGCAATCAACCGACCATGGTCCCTTGGATCTGCCGTCTACATCGAGTATGCCGCCCCCAGGTTCCGGTGGCTACGACTCAGCGCCCTCTCCGCCTTTAGTTATCCCGAGTCCCAGCACCCATGATCCATCCATGCCACCACCCGCCCCGCAGGTGCCGCTGAACCTCCCATCAACACCCCAAGACTTCTATCGATCACATCCGCCGCCAGCGTCAGCGCCAACACCGCCTGTAGCGCCCTCTCAGCGGCCTTACGCGCCTCCGCAAGCCCCTCCTGCGGTGCAGAACTACTATTCCCAACCCTCACAGCCTGTCGCCCCGCAGGTGGCACCTGCCCCTGTACAGCCGGCGCAGCAATACGGCGGAAGCGGCGGGCCCTCAAACTCGCATACGATTGATGACAGGACAATCGCAGAGGCACAAAAGCATGCCAAATGGGCAATCTCGGCCCTCAACTTCGAGGATGTGCCAACAGCTGTAAGAGAGTTGCATGCGGCACTTGCTTCGTTAGGAGCCCGGTAGCATCTGGTAACCTTTTGGGATGGCGGAGTATATCTCGTAGACATGGTGCAATTGTCTCGACGGCATGTCATAGGATTGCACCAACGGAAAGAAGGACCAGCATAGAAAGAACAAACAAGTTGGCTTCACGTTAACACGTGAGAAACGTGCCTATACACTAGTAGTAATATATGGACGTGTTGATGCACGAACAATTTGTGTTCTATGGCAGCTGCTGTTTACACGAACGAGGCCCCATTTGCACCTATGATCTGTCCCGAGATCCAACCGCTCTCGGACCCTGCCACGAAAGCAACCAAGCCCGCGATCTCTTCGGGGGCGCCCAAGCGGTTAAAGGGGCTCTGCGAGGCGATACCCTTGATCAGGGCCTCCGGCTTGCCCTCCACGAACAGGTCGGTCGCCGTCGGCCCCAGCGCCACGGCGTTGACGGTGATGCCCTTCCTGCCCAGGTCCTTGGCCAGCACGCGCGTCAACTGCTCGACGCACCCTTGGTCGAGGCGTACAGCGCATATGGTGGCGGCACAGCGCTATTGCGTGTGATGCCGGTCGAGACGAAGATGATGCGCCCGCCGGACGACATGTGCGGCAGCGCCTTCTGCGCCAGGAAGAATGGGCCCTTGACGTTGAGGTCGTAGGCCGCGTCGAAGGTGGCTTCGCTCGTGTGCTCCAGGGGCTGCATGGGCATGATCCCCCGCGTTGGGCACCAGCACGTCGATGCGCCCGAACTTGGCCACCACCGCGTCGACGAGTGTCTGGATCGACGAGACTTTAGACACGTCGGCCTGGACGGCCAGGGCCCGGTCGGGCCCAATCTACGCGACGACTTCGTTGGCGGCGGCGCTGTCTCGGCTGTAGTTGATGACGACGCTGGCGCCGGCTGCGGCGACGCGGTAGGCGACGGCGCGGCCGATGCCCTTGGAGCCGCCGGTGATGAGAATGACCTTTCCCTGGAGAGAAGAAGACATGTTCGGTATGTCGTGTTCGTGGTTTGTGGTGACTGTTGTGAGTGGGCGTTGTGGGGACTGTATAGGAAGACAAAGACACTTCGCGAGACGCTTCATCCAGTTTGCGATATGAGGGGTCTACGAGTTGAGTCGAAGAGATGAGGAGTTTGAGCTGGTTCAGATGGTTGATTCCAAGCCCGTCATCAGCGGTTCAGCCGTGGACTCTTATACCTCCTTTTGTCTTCATCTTCTTATTGTCTCCTCCATCTTCCTTACCTGACGTCGGCGTTTAGATACATGGCTACTGCAAGGTCCTTACCTGCAATGTCATGGGGCGAAATACCATAGATAGGGAACCTCATCGGGAGCCGCATTGATTTGATCGTCATAATCGCGACGGCCGGCCTTGGAGTTGAGCAGAAGAAGACCCCGGGTTGGAGATTCGGCTTTGACTCGCCAGGATTCTTCCAAATCCGAGCTGGCCCGCCCAGATCGGAAGAACTACACGCTTGTCGGATTATTCCCTCAGATTCCACCTCGAACTGTCGTCATCCTTCTGTCGGTTTTACGGCTTTACACACCTTACACGGCGAGTCTGACCCGCGATCCATCTATCTCCGGAATCTTGTCCACATCGGATTACCCAAGTATAGACAGAAAAATACTGGACGTATAACAGACACAGGGTTTACTATGTGAGTACTCCGTAGCTCCGAGACCAGACCTGGCTAGGTCCTATGCAGGTCAGAGGCAGGTTGATAGGGTAAGACATAGGTTCAGGTATAAGTATCATCGTCATGTCATACGTCTCATCACTCGCAAGACCACTTGCAACATCACTTACAATATCAAGCTATCCCTTACGTTTACCAACAACCACCATACAATGTCCTCAACATCACTACCTAAGACCTACAAGGTTGCCTGTCTCGAGAAGGCCGGCGAGCCCATCACCATCAAGGACGTCGACTTGAAGCAGCCCGAGCCCGGCCAGGTTCTCGTCAAAGTCCTCGCCTGCGGTGTGTGCCATTCCGACCTGTTCGTGCAGGGCGGCCACCTTGGCGACGTCTTTCCTCGCGTACCAGGCCATGAACTCATCGGCGACGTCGTCGCTGTTGGCAGCAGTGTCACCAGGTTCAAGGGTGGGGAGAGAGTGGGAGGGCCATGGCACGGAGGTCAGTTCAGACAATTGTTCGCACACACGCCACAAGACTTGACCTGCTAACTAACATGCTCTATGGGCAGGCCACGACAAGACGTGCCGCTCTTGCGCGCGCGGTCAGTTCCAGATGTGCGACAACGCCGCCATCAACGGTGTAAGCAGGGACGGTGGTTACGCCGAGTACGTGCTACTGCGCGAGGAGGCCGTGGTTCGGGTTCCCAAGGACATCGATGCCGCCGAGGCAGCACCCCTTCTGTGCGCAGGTGTGACCGTCTTCAACTCGATGCGCAAGATGCACATCGAGCAGGGCAACACGGTCGCCATCCAAGGCGTGGGTGGGCTGGGTCACCTGGCGGTCCAGTACGCCAACAAGATGGGCTACCACGTCGTGGCCATCAGCTCGGGCGACTCGAAGAAGGACTTCGCCACCAAGCTCGGCGCCCACGTCTACATCGACTCGAGCAAGGACGACCCCGTGAAGCAGCTGCGGGCTCTGGGCGGGGCGGCCATGATCGTGGCGACGGCGCCCAACCCCAAGGCCCTCAGCCCCCTGGTAGGAGGTCTGCAGGCGGGCGGCAAGCTCATTGTTCTTGCTCCCATCGGTCCGGTCGAGTTTGACACTGTCACGCTGGTCAACCGCGGCGCGTCGGTTCATGGGTGGCCCAGTGGACACGCACTCGACTCGGAGGAGGCCATCCGGTTCTCTCAGGACCACGGGGTCAAGTGTATGATCGAGAAGTTCCCTCTCGCCGACGCGGCCAAGGCGATGGAGCACTGTGGTTCGGGAAAGGTGCGCTTCCGAGCCGTCCTGACCATGTAACCGGCGCATATATATATATATATATATATACGGTAGTCTGTTGAACGGCGCGGTGCATATAGCCACTCTGATAGGGGAGAGGAACCGCATTAGCGAAGCATTGATATTTACTCGCCCTGCCTGTCTTCAAAGCTAAATTTTCCATGGAGCAGGTAATGTGGTTTCTGAAGCCGTGAACTGAAAACCGCCAGCCAGCAACGCTCTGATCTGTTGATAATCGTTGCAGACAGCCCGTGGCTTACCTTTGCTCTGCGGTAACAATGAGCTGATCTGATGGTCGAGCACTCTTTCTTACCTTGTGTACTACTACTATGACTAGAAGTCTAGAACATCGTCTTGATAGTCATAGTAGTAGTACACGGGTATTTACATGTAGGCCGTCCCTGTGTCGCCTGCGTCCTCCCCTTTTGTCCGCAGCGATGCTCCGGTCAATGTCACCTCCAAATTCCCCGCAATCTCCGACTCCAAGGCTATACGTCATAAGACAAGGTTCACCGCAGGTATCTTGTTCAAAGATTCCTTGGCTGAAGGAAGCTGCGAGATACGATGCATGAATACGAACCGTCGTTGGCCCGTCGCGAACCAGGTCGCGCTTCCCAAAGCTCCCCCTTTTCCCCGTTAGGCCTGCGCCTGCAACATGTGAAATGTTGATATATTCTCGGGATGTAGTCCAGTTGTATACTGTCCTTGATGCCAGCACCATCCTGTCTTACACCTAGGTTACCTATAACTCTTGAATCGAAAACATCAACGCCGGATCACATGCACCATTGTTGATCATTAGAACGCCGACCATCCCAGTCTCGTCCCGTCCCACAAGCCGCAACCTTATATCCAGCTCTATTTCCATCCAGTCATTATGTTTACTCACCCGGCCTCACCTCTATCTCGGCTGCCCATCCTCGCCCTCGCAGCTCTTGCCGCGAGTCAGACCGTCGTGGTCACCGTCGGGCCCTCCATCCCATCCCAGGCGCCCGAGTTCGTCGACCAGGCCACCTTCACCTCGGCCATCCTCAACAGCACCAACGTCTACCGCGCCGAGCACAACGCGTCGGACGTGAGGTGGAACCAGACGCTGCAGGACTACGCCTCAGATTACCTGGACAGCACGTGCGACTTCAAGCACTCGGGCGGACCCTACGGCGAGAACCTGGCCATCGGCTGCGCGAACGCCACGTCGTGCGTCGAGGCCTGGGGGGACGAGGGGGATGATTACAACTACCGTGACGGCAAATTCTCCGAGAAGACTGGGCACTTCACCCAGCTGGTGTGGAAGGACACCACGGATGTGGGCTGTGGCCAGAAGCTGTGCGGCGACGATGGCTGGTATCTCGTGTGCGAGTACTGGCCTAGGGGCAACGTCATAGGCGACTTTGACCAGGAGGTTGACAAACCCGAGAATACAGCCGTGAGCGTACGTCCGACTTGCTCTACTCTGGTTATAATGGCTGTTGCATTCTGGATTCTGTCATGACAACTGGCCGTATGTTTGGTAAAGAAGGGATGCGAAGAGCGTAACGAGGCACGTCTTTACGATTGTATGTCGAACTCACGAATGGGGGCTTCGGAAGATTGAGAATCTACAATATTCCTTTATTTTGATTCGGCGTGAACACCGGACCCGCGGATTACACCAAAAACTCAGTCTCGTAGATCATGTCCTGTCTTCCGGTCGAGTTGGTAGTGCGGGTAGCATTCCCCACAACGGTGCCCTGCTCATTCTCGTACTCTGCCCATGCACTCTTCAGCGCCAATACCGACACACTCACCTTTGCTCCCGTTGGCAAGTCGCGCGTGGCCAAGTGCAGCAAGCTAAGGGGTTGCGTGGGATAAAACAGCACCGTCCCAGCCTGATCACCACCATTGACGAACACCTCGAGAATACTTCGATCGATAACAGCCTGCATACGCCATGAAGCCAGGCTCCCCGACCCGTCGCTGTAGATGTTGGCGGTGCTGAACTTGTCTGTGAAGAAGACGTTGTCGAAGCCGCGAATCAGACCCCGGTTGATGAAGAACGGGTTGTCTCCGCCAAAGAAGAATCCAGATTGTAGCGTTTCGCCCGACGCCGGCGAGGTGAAAGAAAGGTTCAATGTGGAATCCGGGGTTACCAATGTCGTGTTGATTCCCGTCACGTTGGCGTCGATGTATAGAGCGCCAGAGTCAACAGTGGAATAGTCGACTGTCACTGAGCCGTTCCCAATGGTGGACTGGTTCAAGGAGGCGTCCAGCACGGGGCTCAAGTCGCAAAGCTCATTGGCCATGACCAGCCCAATCCGCGTGGCATTCTTCAGGTAGTTGTCCCGCGGAAGTGTGGTCACGCTTCTCCATCCTTCCAGAATTCCCGTCGGTACTGTCTATGTATACTGCCAGTTCGACGCCCATCCTATGCTGACGGCATTTTGCGCGTCCGGGATACCGTGGAAGAACTGCGCTGCATAGTTGTCCTTCGCGAAGTCTGTGAGGCGCGTGGCAGAACCCAGCGGAGTGAAGTGGGTGCCGTTGAAGTCGCCGGGGAAGTACTCAGTGATCGATCCTCCTAGCGGTGCCCCCGGCTGGATTGAGATGGCCAGGACGTATTTCGAATCCACCATGGACCCGTTGCTGTCTCGCACCGGCATCTTCACTAGGTTGGGGCACTCGTATTGAGCGCCGAGGAGCCCATGCCGCGCGAAGTTGGAGGCGAGTGTCCAGTTCTTCAAGTCGGGGCTGTTGTATATACCGACCACGAACTCCTGAGAGTACGCGATTACGGCGACGCAGTAGTCATCGTAGCGTATGACCTTGGGATCGCGGAACTGGCTGCTGTTGCTAGCGATCACCGGATTTCCGTCGTAGTACTCGAACGTGTAGCCGCCATCATGTGAGTACGCAATGTTTTGCGTCTGCGGGCCGTAATACCCGTGCGCCAGAGTGAAGATGGCCACGACACCGTTGTCCTGGTCAGGGAAGAAGCCCGAGGTGTTGTTGACATCCACGACGGCGCTGCCAGAGAACACGTAGACCGTCTCCTCGGGCGGGAACAGTGCGATGGGCTGATTCACCCAGTGGTAGAAATCGGTGGACGTTGCGTGGCCCCAGTGTTGGTTGCCACCGACTATGCCGGTCGGGTTGTATTGGTAGTAGAGATGCCAGGTGCCATTGGCGTCGAGGAACATCCCGTTTGGGTCGTTCATGAAGTTCTGTGGCGGCGAGAAGTGTATCTGAGGCCGCAGAGGCCCCGTGTAGTCCCCAGGGACCGGCTCCCCTGTCGGTACTGCTGGGTTGACATAGGTACTGACGCTCTGAGATGTGACCTTGGCGGCAACAGCCACAAAGGCAAACATGGTCCTGAAGAGCATCCTTGGCGTAGAAATTGGACTTGAAGTTGTCCTGTGAAGCGAGTTTGAGACCACCCCTTGAGCTTGACGAACAGTCGCAAAGGGTTTTTACATAGGTCACTCTATACCATCGAGGAGACAAAACTATGAAGGCCAAAAGGCCTATATATAATTTTCGAAGCGGGGACCAATCGTGAGTCCGTGAGGCTTTCCGGAATGTCTCAAAAACCGGCCGCCTATGACTGCATAAACTGACCAAGTTTCGCCGGCTTCAATGGTTCGCGTCTCCACCTCGGCCGTTACTCAGGTGGTTGGAAACCATAGTTTCCCTTACAAATGGTAATCCATCATCAAGGTCATAACCTCTCTTTAATCCATTTGACCGAACTAACCATGTAGTGGTGCAGCATTGGGCCAAAGTCCAAGATGCGGAGAACCATGGTGAGCACGAAGGGGGTTGTCGCATGGCGGTCAAACAACATTGAATTAGTGGTTACGGTGTAGGGTGGTCATCAGTCTCATCACGGTCACTGAAATACTGGGCTATCAGAAGACTTGAAGCTCTAAACCCATCTCCAGCTTTTCCTCCGTGATATCCATCATCTCTATGTCAGGGCCTTCTGGCCTGCCGGGGCCGGAAAGGGTCCATTCTCCGCCAAAGGGAACTTCGGCATCCCGTCTTCGTTCCACGTGAACTTCTGTATACGAGCAGTGCGATATATATCCGCTGATGGGTTCGGCGTCGTCTGCGCATGATACACGATGTAGTTCTCCGATCCGTCCGGAGAAGTGGTGAAGCTCGCATGGCCTGTTGCGTAGACCCCTGCCACGGTATTCTGGTGGAACACGCACCCAGCTGTATGTTTCCTCCAGGAGGTGTACTCCATTGGGTCATTGCCCACCAGCTCAAGCATACCGAGACAGTAGAAAGGCGTGTTTACTCGGGCTGCCGAGTAGATGACGAAGTTCTGGCCAGTCATGGGGTTGGTAAGCTGCTGGGGCCCTTCATTCGTCGCGAGTCGAATCGGCCGGCCGTACTATAAAGAAACAAGTTAGCACCTGGTGTTGCGGCGCTCAAAATTCGCTGAATTCATTGGCTACCTACCGGAACTTGTTCCCAAGGCTCGTTGGGGACACTGATGATGCGGCGCTCAGCAAGCGTCGAGTTGACTGTCCAGGGGTTCGACATCTTGGTAATACAGAGGTTCGCCGGCCATGATGAATACTTCTGTTCCCAGCAAGAGTATATGTGATACAGCTTGTTCTCGAATGCGAAATACGTCCCGTCGATGGCGAATTGGTCGTAGGTGTCTAACATGGGCTTCAGTGAGAAGCTTGCTGTCCATGGATCCGGTCCATCTGCTTCGAGCACGAACATGCGATGGTTGATAGCCTACAAATGGTCCGTCAGTCTCAAGCCTGCGAACAGAGTAGCGGAGCATCCTCAGCTATTCTGCACAGGATGTGACACTTCGGAACTCCGACATACGGGGCAGTTGATCGGGCACATGGCATCCAGCAGCGGTACTGGATTATCCCCGTCGCTAGTAGCGGTGAATATGACAAACCACGAGCCGGAGATGTTATGGATCTCGGGAGCCCACAAGCTCGTTGACCACGGGTCACCTGAGCTGGCATCCGGGTTGAAGACGACCCTGGTCTCGGCATCGTCCCAGTTGTCAGTAAGAAACCTCGAGCGCCTCAACGTCACGTTGGTGTTCGTCGAGAAGGTGAACAGGTACCACTCTTCGCCGTCTTCGGGGTCTGTGTATCTCGTCATCCACGGATCTCCAATGTTGATGGTCATGACGGGATTCGAGTATGTGGCATTGGCCGTTTTGTTGGTGCCGACGGCCGAGGAGTCCCATCCTTGCGAGCTGCCCTGGTCGGGATCAAAGACTTGAGCAGCGACTGCAGCTATCCCGAGGCAGGTTGACAAGTGCTGGTGCCATGATAGTATATGCTCTTCATCCTGACGTGAGGGTTCCAACAGCTCGATATGTAGCTCAGGCTGGTCTCCTAGTCACTTCCAGCCAGGAAAGGGGGAAGGTTCGCACGATCGACCACTGCCATGGGACACGACATGACCTATATATATACCTGGAGTAACAACCAGGCGCATGTGGGCACCGTCGCCCATGTTCCCATGTCACCTCAAGGGCATGACAATGATAACTTATTACCATGTCGTGCACGTCTCACGAGCACAAAGGCCCAAGCTACCCCGCAAGCTCCAAGGTCTCCCACATCGCTAAGCAGGACAAGCCAGGATATGGGGTTGCATGGCAGTGACGGAGCGGAGTAAATGCTACGTCAAGACAGGTAGGCATGCAAGCATCCATGCAGCAATGAGTTTATGACCGCATTCTGTGCCCAGGTGGTCTCTAGTGTCACTCTCTGATGAGTCAAGTCTGTGTGCAGTGAATATCCAGCATTCAGACTAGACTCATAGCACTATTATATCATGAGCCAAGTCTCACAGTTTGCCATACAAGCATACATGCTCGATAATGGCCAAGTTGCGTGACACCCGGCTCGGTCCATTCAATGTATTCATGCTAGGGATCGTAAAGTATCACGAGAACGACGTACTCAATGCAGAGAGCCGGTCTAGTGGCCAGACCTTGCCACCCTGTCTCAGGAGCCTCCGCGCATCCGAGTCTTGGTACCGGCCCTAGACTAGATGCCAAATGCCTGTGTTGTCCTGTTCTAGTCAGCAAATGAGGATCATAATAGCCATTGGCTCGGGCTATAGACATCAAGTCCTGCACAAGGAACAGCATTGCTGAGAGTCAGACCACTCTAGTGGTTAAGTCACGGCGCTGTGACGCCCGACAGGCATGTATACCATACGGTTTATGTCAAAGTCCTGCAATATGAGGCATTGAACAACTGAATATAAGTCCCACCTGCCAACAGACGGTGTCGGGTATCTCACCAAGGGGAAATTTCGCCTTGGCTCGCCATATGGGAGGATGGACGAGAACAAACCTTGTTCGCCGATATATCATGTTCTGGCTAAGAGTTCCCCTGAGCAGGGAGTGCCTGCGATTGATGGAGGAGCCGCTGCCTGGCATACGGAACGATACACGGGTAGTCTAATCGAACTTCGTCGGTCGTCCCCATGTCTGCATGCCTTCGGTTCCGCAGCCAGACATCCCCCGAGGTACAGTAGTAGTGACTTGGGTCCATGTTTGATATCCTGTCCTAGCCTCAGGGGGGATGTCATCAAAATTCCATCGTATTACCAAACCCAGACCCCAGATATTGGAGGTTTGCTTGTGCAATGTCACTCCTGGAACTTGACTTGGGTCGGTGCCTGTCCCCAGGGGAGGAAAAGCTGACCAGTGGCCACCACCGAAATTAGGCAACTGGCGAATGTAATCGAATGGAACTTTGCGCAAGCGAAGGAAACAAGCTAGAACATGAATGAAGTATGATTATTGGTTCCTTGTTGACGAGGTATGGCTGGTTGAGGGGGGCGGGGAGGGGTGGGTCTCGCAGCGAGTGCGAACTCCTCAGCTTCCAAACCTCAACAAGTCTATTTCCCCCTAGTTGAGCACAACGAAACTGGCACTGTACTGCGGCTCCTACCGTTCTGGGAGGGATATGCTTGAAGTATGTCAATGTAGATATACATGTATCCTCTCAAGCCTCTCGTAACGGAGCAGAAGATATGACATATGCCAGGGGGGGGGAGGCAGCGGGCTGGTGAAGGAACGCATGGCACCCCTGAGGGTAAACGAGCACGCAGATGTACCGGCCAGGTCACAGCATAACATGGTTGTCACTCGAAGATCAAGAGAGCGTGACGCTTCACCGACTGGCGCGAGTGTTGTGGCTGCAGTGCATGACAGGGTCACCAACCAGTATTTCTGGAAAAGCACTGGACACAAAATCCTTCGTGACAGTAGCGTCGCACTACGACGGCTCAACACGTTTTCTGTATGTTGCCATGTGGCCCTAAGCACTAGGTGGTGGTTGGACAGGTAGGGCTGAGCTGAGGTCGATCAGATTATTCTAGTGTGGTAGGATTCTCAGACCCGACGATCAGGCAACGGAAACTCGTCAAAGACTCACGGACTCGGAGGCGAGGGAGGCGTGGCAGCTGCGTGGCAGCCTCAGGGCTCACCAATTTGCGCCGATCTCTCGTCTGTCCTCGTCCTGTCCCGCATGGATCAAACGTGGCAGACATGCTATTCCATGCTATTCCATGCAGAAGCCTGAAGCCTCTTGAATCGCATTGCAGTAGCACAGCACAGTGTATTGTTGTCGACTGACTCGTCCTCGTCACTGACTCTGGTTGATGGTCAGCAGTGATGACATGAGGGGAACCGACATAACATGACATGATCCCAGCCGATGTTTCGACATCCTTCAACTTCCAAGGTTATCACGTCCAACCGGCGGTCCCGCCTCGCCTCTTACAAATAGCAGGGTCGCCTCCAATCGGCGGGATATGGGCCAAGCGCCGGCCGCGCTGAAGATTGGGACGTGACGGAATGGAAGCCGGGGTCGCGCGTAATAGTACCCGGTCTGTGTAGAGTCGCGGTCCGGGAAATGAGATGAGTTGGCGACTTCCTACCAGGGGGGACCCCCCTTTTAGAAAAGAGTGCCAGCAGCCTTCCAAGTGCTTAACAGTGCGGTCAGGGCCAGATATACTGCTGCATAGCTTGTTAGTCTGATTTCGTGATAATTATGGTACGAATATTGCTCTAGTCAGACAATTAAACTACTTACTGTTATCTCGAACCCCGACAGGGGCTAATATAACATGACGATTGCGTACGACTGTCCGTTTGGTTACTTTACAGTGGCTATACTATATAATAATAACTAAACATACGGTCGTACTCAATCGCTGCTCTGTTAGTATTGTTACTTTGTTAGTACTAATCATTTTATAAAGCTGAATATCGTAAATTTAAATTAAAGGATAAATAGATGCTTAAAACGCGCATTTATTTTATTTTTTGTAATATGTTTTATAACTTAGTTAATATATAATAAAATCGTAAGCTTTTAAAGTTTGGACTTTAAATCGTTATAATGTATAACTTTTATAATATATTATATTGGTGAAAAAATTAAGTTATAATTACTAATTGTGAGATTCTAGAAGGGCCACAAGCCTTTGGGGTCTGAGCGGTTGCTGTAAATGTTGTTGTCATTCTCAAGTATGCTCGGCAGGGCTAATCTACAGCTAAATACCATACTGCACCATGTCATGGTGGATTCACTGTTCCCTTAACAGCCCCCTAGTGGGTACTGCACCTAAGGGCACCATATCTGTTGGATTTTACCCCTAGACCAAAACGGTAAGGTGTACAGTCATTCTGCGCACGATGATCTTATCTGTTTTATCTGACACACCCCCTCAGCTTGGCTGCGATGACTTCGGAGGTAAGCTGGACTTTTCTTCTGTTCGTCGCTATTGGACCTCTACGGGAATCGAACTCGCGCCTTTTCTGAAAGCTGGGTCTAGTGGAACCATTGGCTTGCGCCGTACGCAGCTAGCTCGTCAAGCGATGAGACTCTTAATTGTTAGATTTTACCCCTAGACCAAAACAGTAAGGTGTACAGTCATTCTGCGCACGATGATCTTATCTGTTTTATCTGACAATATCTGGGATCCAACATCTGATACTAGTTAAAATAAAATATTTATATATAGCTTTTTTAATAGCTTTAACCTTAGTATTATATTATATAATTATTTCTAATATTTTTTATTGTTACTCAGTTAAAGTGGCTTGTCTTAATAAATTATCAACGTTAATAAAGTCTTAACCTTAAACATATTATTTATACGTTTTATCGTTTTAACGGTAATAATATATTTAACTTAATATAGTTACTAGGTTAACATTAATAAAAGCGCTAGCTATAAAATTATCGCTATATTCTATTTAACTAAAAATAGGCTTATAGGAGTGGTCCGCCTTTACTATTCTAGCTTTTAAACAGAGCACTGCAAGGTTGTTATCAGACTGTTTGAAACCGGGGGTCCCTCACGTAGGTTGGTGTCAGATTTGAGCCAATTGTCAGAGTGAAGTGTGTGTGTATAAGAGGGGGCTGGATCGGGACGGAACAACTAGGTTCCGTTGTCTACCTATCAAGGCGCCTTCTAGGCATACCTTTAATCCAACAGTTGGCGTCAAGCTGTATTGAGGGATGGCTTTTGATTGTGGCTGTGTGGATTGTGGCTGTGTGGATTGTGGCTGCGTCAATTGTGAGGCTGTGATATTGATATCGGGAACAACCCGGGAACTCTGGTCCGGCGTACTCCGACGGAAGAGTGGAGAAGTTGACGGCCAGCGACCGCATATGACGCTCGGGACTTGGCGTCTCCCCTTATCTTGGCTATCTTTAGCACGCCATCGAGGAATCGAAGTAACTTCCATATAAATTGCATGTGAAGGCCAGCCAACTCGGCAACGGGAGGTTTCACTTGAGCAGATAACAAGTGATCAATCCTCCCTTCGCAAATTTCTTTGCAACCCACCCCCCCCCGAAGTTGTCATAACTGTACACTCCAGCGCACCATGGCCTCCACCGCCACCGTCGAGCCCTTCCACTCTCCCGAGGGGTTGGATATGGGTATCAACTTCGGTGCCACTGTGTCCAATGTGGACGTAGAGCGTCTGACCGGTAAGAGACTGACTGATGATTGCTACTGCTATTGCCTTGTCGTGTGATGATTGGACTTTGGGAGGGAGCATAGGGAGAATACCCGTAGAATCGGTAACCTCCTCGGTGAGTATCTCGACCTCTCGCAGCCTTGACCGCCCCGGCGCTAATCCTGGCCCAGATGCCGACTTTGGTATCATCCGTGATGCCCTCTTCCGCCACCAGGTGCTGGTGTTCAAGAAACAAGGCGGCCTTTCCTCCAGTGCCCAATTCGAGTTGACCCGACGTTTCGACCCCAGCGCAACCTCATACGGCCATGGCAAGACCATCGACGCAAAGCGAAGCATTCTCCACCCGGACTTGAAGACCATTCCGCATCAACCGCAAGTTCAGGTCATAGGGAACGGGTTCGTACAGGAATACGAGGGACTGAAGGACATTCGCCTGAAGCACCCGCATCACAAGACCTTCCATGACACGTGCATCCCCCCCGAGGACGATCTCGACTTCACGCGCTTCTACCGATGGCACATTGATGCGGCACTGTACGGTCTTGCACCGCCAGTGGCGACGACCCTTCTTGCCGTCAAGGTTCCAGGTGGACGGCGGCAGACGTGCCGCTACGATGACGGGACAGGCGATGAGCTACAAGTCCCGCTCGGGACCACCGCGTTTGTTTCAGGCGAGGCAATGTACGACATCTTGCCGGATGAGGACAAGGAGTTCGCCCGGACCACCAAGGTCGAATACGCACCGCACCCTTATGTGTGGATGAGCTCGGCCAAATCGCGCCCAGACGGACTTGGCATGCTGTCGCAGGGCCTCGAAGTACGGTTGGAGCAGCTGCCTCCCATCGAGGAGGACAAGATCCAGGTTCTGCCCATGTGTTGGCGAAACCCGGTTACTGGAAGGCTCGCCATACAAGTGCACCCGTCAGCAGTGCGAAAGCTGCACTTGGCTGATGGCACTGTGATTGATGATCTGGTCGAGGTACGGAAGACGGTTCATCGCTTACAGCGCCCCGGGATTGCGCCCCATCTGGTGTATACGCACGACTGGGAGCAGGAGGACCTGGTTCTTTTCCATAACCGCGGCGTCCTTCACAGTGTCGTGGGTGCCTTTGCGGAGGATGAAGTGAGGTTGTTTCGGCAGTGCAACATGGCCGCCAGTCATTTCCCCGAGGGCCCTCTGCAAGTCAGCGCCAAGGCTTGAAGATGGAGGACTACAAATCATCCTATTATGTCACTCCACTTGTGACTTGGTCGACTCTGTTTCCTTTTAGGGCTACTTCTTATGGGAGCACTGACGCTCCAGTCTTCCTGTGCTGACAAGCATTGGGTATAGCCCCCACCGAAGCGCCTTTTTCGTCAGATAACTGCAATCATCTAGCCCACTCCCAACTATGATACATCGTTACAGGCAAGCAAAATAACGTAGGCCTCTCAAAAAACCCCAACTCCCGGGTCACTGGCACAGGGCCGTCACCGAGTTTTCATCTTCACGTGGTCGAGAGCTTCTGCCGTCCAGTTGTCATCGCCATCAACGACGGCACCGCGTTCCAGAAGCAACGCGGCCATGTCGGTACGCCCGTTCATGACAGCCCGCTGGAGCGCCGTATATCCTGTGTGATCCCGACCGTTGATGTTGACGTCGTATCGCTGAAGGAGCAGCCGCAGAGTGTCCATGTGACCACTGGCAACTGCGAAGTGCAGGAGCGGGGCCGAGGTTTCCGGCAAGGAATTCTGCATCTCTGAGAGTTCCGCGACACTGACATTGGACAAGAACGTGGAGGCCAGGGATGAGCTCCCTGGTCTGGTGGATGTTTTCCTGTCCAGGGGAGACCAGCTCGCGGGGCTGTTGAGATCGGAATCCGGCGAGGTGGCATATGCTGTTGCGGTTGCTGTCCCATCATCCAGCGCGTAAGGCGACTCGAGATGGTAGAGCGACATTTCCTCGGGGTTGCTGTACACGTGGAAGCTGTTGGGTGAGACTGTCAGCCAAGTCGTTTGTATTTCAACCTGATTACTAACCTATTAGAGTCATGGCCGCCTGCGGTGCTGGCTGGTGGCCAGGGCATGGGGCTGGGGCAGTTGGACGTGTATATGGGTGGAATACTGTTGCTCCGAAGATGGGACTGGTGCCGGGCCGGGCCGGGAGTCACGCTGCTCGTAAGGGCACGAGTCCGACGGCTGGATGTAGCGGCTGATGCCATCTCCGGCACAACATCGTGGGACTGTAGCTGCGGAAAGAAGGCCGCCGCATCGAAGTTAACCGACGTTTCCCCAGTCGATGTCAATGCGAGGCCGCCCATTTGTTCAGTCCCTGAAGTATGGGGCCAGGTCTGTACATAACCGCTCATCCGCCGAGATCCCCCAGTCGCCGTCTCGCCCAAGCTGGATGGGCTCCGCCCGCCAGAAGCCAGTTCGTGTTCAGGAGGCGGCGTGGTGGAAGGATCTGAACTCATTGTCTCTTGGAGCTGCTGGAGTTGTTTCTTCAACCTCTCAACCTCCTTCGTTCTATCCCGCATATTACGTCCTTGGGTATGTCAGCTAGATGCCAGACTGTGTATCCCGAACAGAGACAGGCTTACGATATGCCCGTTGAGCAAGACGGTTTTGGATCTTTCTTCTCTCTGCGGCATCAGGCAGGTTTCTCCAATCTTCGTCTGGCTTCATCAAGTCCACGTAGGAGGTCGTCAGCGGACGACCGCTGCGAGGTGAAGCCGTTCCTGACATTACAAGACGGGAATAGCGAACACAAGGTTGTGCTAGTGACAAGATGGGATCGAAAGCAAAGAAGAGGTGACGAGAGCAGGTGTGACCCGGGTAGTCGTGGAAGGATGTATAAGCTATTAAGCTTGAATCCCCGTCTTCCGCTGACTGGAGTGCACAGGGGTATGAATGCCCACAGTATGGATCCTGCCGGATCAGACAGTAGCATCGACGGCTTTCTTTCTATTCTGGCTTGTCTGCAGATGCATCTCCAATGTAAGCAAGTTCAGATACTGCAGCCGAAACTGGTGCAGAAACGAGAGGCGTAGGGACCCCCAAGACGTTCCCGTTCAGGATTTCGCTAGCGGTCCAGTGCTGACGAAATCTCCGAAATCCTGGTACCTGATCTATCTGTGAACCGGGGTGATTTGTGTTGTGAAGGTACCCCCATCGTAGGCTTTGCGTCGTGTGGCAGGAGACCGTATACTCCCTATGATGGGGTATTGGCCTGTTATCCGGCCGGATAGGCTGGCCGGCATTGGCTCAGGTTCGTTATCTAGCCCACCCCCATCCCCTTTCTTGACACGACGGACAGCGAGGAGTCGCAGGGCAAAGGGCAGGAGGTAAGACTGGAGAAGCATAGGACCATGTCACCAAGCACGGCGCGAGGAACGTGGCAAGAGACCTTTAAGCTGTCGATGGCGTCGCAATACACACCATCCTGCAACAGCTTATGCACAAGGGGGCGAGAGGTGGTGTATAGTGCGGTACGTGATACTTTTTGGCAGACATTGTGGCTGGCTCCGCCTCACTCCACGAAGCTGACAAGGAGCGTGGGCGCATTCAAATTTCAGACTACTGCCAATGAATCGAGGCGTGACAATCTGCGTGTGTGTCTCCGTATTACCGTAACCACCCAACGGTCAGTCCAGGTTCTCTTCCTTGGCGTCGATCCTACAGGGCGCCACAAAAACCCCGTTGCGGACTTCAACCTGTCGCGTTTCCTGCCCTCCACGTTTCTACAGTAGTACCTGAGCGAAGCCAATGCTGGGCCCCGCGACCCCTTGTCAAGTGGTCCTAGGTACACAGTACGAACTTCCTACAGACTGCGGACAGACTGACAGGGCTTGGTGCTGTGGGGCTGTAAGTTGATGACAAGATCGCCACAGGGCCCTGTAAAACTGGACGTGATCTAGATGCCGCTGTCGTTGGCCACACTGTGGTTACGATGGCATCATATCATGGACAGGTGCTCGGTTACCTGCCTTGTCGAGTCACTCCGTGTGACTGTTCCTGATCGATGTACGCACGGGACAGTGGGACACCATGATAGCAGATCTCTTGGCTCTTGGTTGATTACATGTCTGCATGTCTGAATGTCTGCAGGGCCTGGCGTGGCATGTCAACGACTGACCCGAGCCGACTCGAGCAGCCGTGGATCAAACGTGAAGAATTCAAATCGGAGTGGCCCAGTGTTTCTGCACGTCATATGTCGCCCGTGGATTGCTGCCTTCCTATTAGAGAGTAGTGGGAGTGGGAGTGGGAGCGGGGACCGTCGACGGCGTGTCGGGGTCCAGCGGTACTGGCTCGATTTTTCATTTTTCATTTTTACTTGGAGCTTCTACCAGGGAGAGACGTCGTCTCTCGAAGAGGCACAAAAATCTCTGGCTCGGGTGGGAGTTGTTATCAAGCTGCCAGTCCTATCTGAGGTTGCAACACGCTCGTGATCAGGATACAGTACACATTCCCATACCTTTTCAGAGAGCTAGAACTCCTCAGGCAGCTGTCAGCGAGCGAATTGGTGAGACGCCTTCACACCCGTCCAGACGACGGCTGCTTTTGTCCAGATAATGCTCGTTTCTGTCGCTCTCTGAGTCGGGGCGTTCACACACGTAATGAGAGCAAAGCATAACAAACCGCAGTAGCGATGCTGGTGTTGGAAAGGCCTCTATTCATGAACGTGCCACGAGAAACCAAGTGCCCCCCAGCTTCCCTCGAAGAAGCTGAAGACTGCACAGAAGACTAGCTAATAAGTTGACATGCATTGAATGCTACGCCACTCCACTTTCCTGCCGACAAGGAGTGGTATAGCTGCCATAGCATGGCCCCAGGACTGGTCCTCGCAGGGATAAGAGTGACGTTTTGTGGCGGCCACACGTGAGAGTGAGTGCATGGTACACAACATGGTGCTGGAAACGGGGTAACGGGCGCCGGCAACAGGACGATACGTATTGTAACTTGAAGAGCAATTACTAGTCAATACTGGCCAGACCTACCAGACGGGGGCTCAAGTGGGCTGCTCGGAATCTGGGTAAGCAATTGCCAATGATGCATATGCTCAACATCTTGTTGTGATAGCGTACTTCCAATGAAGTGGGATGGACACACATCTCAAAACTTCTGCAACAAGATCTGCAAGGACCAGGCACAGACTGAGGCAACCTCCGCAACCGCTTTCCTGCACACGTTTCCACGAGCTTCTCGAACGCCAAAAAGGCCAGAGTGTCGGTAGTCCTTTGTGTCGACTTTGATTGATGCTCGTGGCACGACATCTGTTTCAGTCGCCCGGAGAGGCAAGCAAGCTTAGATTTTGGAGGCAGCCTCCCAATTCAGCAAAGGTAAGGTAGTATTAGCTATCGAGATTCGAGATTGTCGTGGAGTTTTTGTCCCTAAAATGGACGTGTGGCAGGGCTATTGGCGAGTGAGATGCCACCGTCAGGGTTCATGATAACACACGGTTGAATCTACTACCTAGATCCTCGCATGTTCTAGAAGAGTAACAGGCAAGAAAAACACTTTGCATCTGCCGAGGGTTGTCTCACGGACCCGTTCGACGCCATCTCAGCTCATTCTCCGTTTGTAGTTGTGTCGCCGGAGCAGTGACCGCACGAGGGCGTCCATCAATGCACACGCCGTCGTTCTTCTGTTGAAATGACACTTACCAATCTGGGAAGGGGGTCGAGGCGTGTTCCAGGAAGCCAAAAAGGCATGACGCCGCACCGCATATCACGGCCGCCCAGATCCTGACATGCTCGGTATGGGTTGGACGTCCGTCTCTAAACAGTCCGTGTCGCCCAAAAACCAGCCGGCAAATGGCTGGGACCTTCTCTCGAGGTAATGCCCCCGTAACAGGAAAGCAGGATGTCTCGGCCTCCACCTCCGATGTGTGTGGGTGAGTAGATCAAGTTGCGCTCGTCCTCTGCAGGCGGGAACGCGAGCTCAATACCGTAGGCAGTCGTCCCGTCCATGGCCACCTAGAGCGCTTGAACGATGCACCGTGTGGAGACAAAGACGAAGAAGAGTCTTGATTCGACGGACGTGTGAGCTGGCGGGCGGGCAACTTGCAAGACCGAATACAGATGCCGTGGGATGATGATGAGCGCGGAGACAAGACAGCAGGACGTGCTGTAAAGAGAAGGTAATGACCGACAGCAGCGAAGGCGATGGCACCGAACACCCATACAATGCGACGGTATCACATGCGGGAGGGCGGCAGGAGGGCGGCAGACGGCAGGCGGCAGGGGCCCCATCTCCCCATTCTGGGGACATGGCTGCTGGTAACTGGTCGGTTGTCGGTGGTCAGTGATATACTCGAGTCTCGAGCGCACTCACGACGTTGTTGAATGCACAGGCCATCACTCCAATGTCCGTCCTCCCCCCTGAAAAGCGTTACATGGTAATGTGAGTGGGACACGACACGCGCTGGTCGGCTTGGCTGCGTGGGGGACGCCCTACCTATCTATACAGTGTGCACTTTGTAGTGTGCACTATTCATCATCGTGTTCGTGGTCAGGGTCAGGGTCAGGGTCTCGGCATGGGTTTAAGTAATAATAAGCTTCTTTATTCGTGGAAAGCCCTCTGTGATCCCGTCCTCATCAAACAGGGTCCATGAATCAGACCTAGTTCTTGTCGCCGAGTACCGGTACAGTCAGTGGGGACGGAGCCGAGTGTGATATCTAGGGGTTTGTGCCCTTTCGAAAGACGCCGTCTCTCCACCGGGAGCTCAACCGTAGAAAAACCCAAGCTTCAGTAAGGTAAGTAGTAGGCCAGCAGAGCATCCGGCCGCTACGTTCTGGCTTGTGGGTTAACCGTGTCACCACAATAGGGGACCTTCTCTCTTCCACTGCTCCATACTCACTGCCATCTGGCCGGCCGCTGCCGCACCTGATGATTTGAGATGCAGTCTCCTCGTGATGGATGGGGATAGGCTTTCTTTTCTTGCACCCCTATGCACCTGTAGGCTGTTTCGTGAAGCGGCCAGGATCTGAACCAACGCTGTCTGTTTTTCCCGGAGCACTTGAGACTGGACTCCGTGCTTACCTACTCGGTCGAAGGCTCCAAGCCGGGGTCAGACAGAGGCTTCAGCCTTGAAGATTCGTCAGCTGATCCTACTTGCCTTAGCTAATATTAAAGAAGTATTAAGGAATCCACTCGTAGGGCTTGGTCGTGACACGCCGCACGCGTGGTCCGAGCCATTAAGCGGCGCAGACCGGCGCAGCGCCTGGCGAGCTACCCAATAAGAGTCACCGCTATAGGCATGGGGAAAGAGTATACTTATTATTAGAATTAGGGTAGGGCGAAATTCTCAACTCAAGCCTTGCCTGCGCCACTAGATTATACGCAAGAAAGTTCCCAAACATCGGGCAGTCAGCCATCGTATCGCACCGGGGTGCTGCGATATGCGACATCCACCCATCCACCCTCACCGGTGCGCTCAGCTATGTGCAACGCATAAAGAGGTGTTGATACCTCACGATGATTACTTCCTACTCGCCTCCCACAGGCTGACCTGATACCAACGGCGACTTGGCACCTTAGACTTGTCTTCTTACTTGCCATCTAACAACACCCAGGTGGACCTCCACTGCATAGCATCGTACAAAATTCATGTTATAATATGCCATTTCTTCCAACAAGCGCGCCGGGCGTGCGGCTGGTCGGCCGCGAGAGCGACGACCAAGGCTCGCCCGGCTGTACAACGGCCGTCCCTGGACCCAACGGACACGTCCCACCAGACGCCTGCAACTCTTACTACAACTACGACCCTCAGTTTGTACCGGCAGTGGCTGTCGCCGTCATATTCGGGCTCCTCACTGTCGTCCACCTCACAGAGGCCTTCATCTTCCGCAAGGTAAGCTCCAAGTTGGGTCAAGGTCGTTGCCCCCTACGTCCGACTGGACTAACAGTGCGGCAGCGATACCGTACGCGTGGGTGTTGATCATGGGCGCAGCGTGGGAGACCATAGCATTCATCCTGCACTCACTGGGCGCCCGAGACCAGCAGCAGGTCGGCTATGCAACCGGCTGGCAAATTCTGTTCCTGTTGGCACCGCTGTGGATCAACGCCTTCGTTTACATGACATTTGCACGTCTGGCGTGGATTACCCTGCCCAACCAGCGACTCGCCGGCGTCAAGCCACCCTCGCTGGCTAAGTACTTCGTTTGGGCCGACATTGTCACCTTCATCGTTCAGGCAGTAGGCGTGTATCATGGCCTCGCCTGGTGCCGGTGCAGATGTCATCCGGATTGGACTGGATATCTTCCTGGATGGAATGGGCCTCCAGCAACTCTTCATCGCCATGTTCCTAGTTCTGATGATAACTTTCCACCGCCGTGCTGTGTCGAAGACTCCGGACAGCGATTCCCAAGACGAGGCCCCGAGAAGGAGCTGGAAGTCATTACAGACTGTCCTATATGCGGTTCTGGGGTTCATAACGGTATGTAGACGAAAAATTTGTCTGTTAGTGTTACCGGTAATACTAATGCTCGCAGATACGAAATATCTACCGTATCGTGGAGTTTGCTGGTGGGATCACGCCATCCAACCCCGTCCCATTCCACGAAGAATATTCCTACGCCCTCGACTGTTTTCCTATGATGCTCGCCCTCCTTACACTTGCTGTTTGCCACCCTGGGAGGACACTCGTAGGGCCAGAGAGCGAGTTTCATAAGAGATCCAGAGCAGAGAAAAAGGCCGAGAAGCAGGAGCTGAAGGCAAGCAAGAAGCAGCGAAAAGAGGAGAAGAATATACGAGAGTAACACATTAGGGTGGAGGACACAAGGATTCACGAGGATAGCTAGGAGAGTCAGGAGCGGGATAAGTATCGCAGTTGGAACAAAGCGCGCCCAGGGGCATAAATTGTGGTGGGAGGAGGCATGGAGGTCTGCTAGTTAGACTCTAGAGATGGGTTTCGACCCTGCATTTAGAGATACACTCATCCCTCATAAGTCTCCGTACGCCATGTTGGCAAGATTCCAGACCACCAGCGAGAGAGTTGGAAATACTAGGATAAGCGCCCTGGAATAAGCGTCAAGCATGGTAAATAAAGATCAAACTGCTTATTCCGGTGTGGTTATTCCGATTTCATGAATATACCGTTGCCTGCTGGAAGGGTTGTGTACGGAGACTTATGAGGGTTCAGTGTAGCATGTCTGTCCCATAGATGGAAATGCAAACACTATCACTGGTGCAGCCTTGGTCTTGGTCCTAAAGGAATATTTCTGCAGCAACCTGGGTGATTGTATGGCCTTGGGTGGTTAGAGGAATTGGGGCCAGGGGTTAGGGGGGATGTTGGCTGAACAGCTGGTTGCTGGGCACTGCCAGGGCAGCTCGTGGTCAACTGGCAACGCGGTGTGTGATTGATTTTAGAACGTAGGTGCCTTAGAGGCGATTCCGCAAATTTATCAATACTCTGTGGGCTGTCCTCCAACACGCACACGGATTCTTTCCTCCATCCGCAAACAACCTTGCACACTTCCTGCTCCTCGACCAACTCGAACACTTTCTTCACAACAACATTACAACAGGAACAAGCAAGCCCTTGGTACGTCTCTTGTCGCTGCACACACTGCTATCCAGTTTGTTTGCATCGGTTCCCTTTTTTTTTTTTACCTCACCAGCCCTTGCAACATCTGTGAACCCGGGCGAACAAAACGCCGACATGGTTTCTGGGTCACTGGCTGTCCATTCACCCTCAGGCGACTACTCTCTTTCCTCCCTCTGTGCCTACCTTTCACTGTGACTTTTCCCTCTTTACCACACCTCACTGACGACGTGACTGCAGCAACACACCACGCACACAGTTCCACCCTTCACACATTCGACATCTACGAGAATCCTCACTTGCCCGCAGCCAAAGCTTCGACCATGTATCGCCCAGTTGCACCCGAGAACCGAAAGACCAAGGCCTGGACCGAGGCCGAGACCATTCGCCTTCTCCTGGTCGTGATGCAGGCCGACAACCCCGAGCTCAACATGAAGGGCTGGGACGGTATTGTCGCTAGAGCTAACGCGACCGGCGGCACCAAGTACACGAAGGCCTCAGTCAAGTAAGTCCCAGACCTCGTAACCAACTTCCTCTCAACACTTCGCCGCAACGTCAAACGAACGAGAATAGAAGCGAAACCCTCAAGTTCTGCAAGATCCAGCACCCGGTCTGCTCTCGCATAGGTAAAGTAGCTGACGTGTACATTACGACATACAGGCAGCAATTCGCGAAGGTGCGAGACGCTCACTTGGCCACCTTCACTCCCGCTACCATGGGCGCCGAGGATAAGCCGGGATTCATCGAGATTCCTGCCGCTGCCGCGAACGCCGTCGCGAACACTGTCGCGAAGTCTGCCTCCAAGAGAAAGCGCGCTGCTCCACGTGGAGCCATTGACAATGAGGACAACGAAGCCAATGGCAACGATGCTGCTGGCGCCGGTCCGGAGGGCGGTCCCAAGCGCGCTCGCAGTTCCAACGCCCGAGCCCCGGTTCGAGCCTCGGTTCGTGCCCCTGAGCAGGAGGACGACGCTTAAATGCCATTCAAGAGCCTTGAGACGAGTGCCACCGACTCAGTATGAAGCACACATGGCGGATGGATACTTTTGGCATGAACTCTGAGTTCAACTGTAAAGGCAAGTTCGCATATGCCAAACCGCCAGCTGATGTCTTTTGCTAACATGAGAATATGTGTAGGGTCATTTTGCCTGCTCTACTTGCAAGGTATCTCTTGCTCCCCAGATTGGAGCCTTCTCACACGCACAGTTCCTCACACCCACACTTTCAGAGATAGGTGGATGGTTCACTGGAGGTGTTGGGAGTGTCCTGGATGTCGGCATTGCCTCGATAATTTCCATAGGATTACTTTCAAAAACAGTACACTGGCCATGGTGGTGGTTCTCTGACACTTGATCTCATGTCTTACCTTGCGCTTCGGTGATATGCCTGTCATCTCTACCAGTGCCTCTCTCTTGACACTTATGTCCCACGACGGCCACCAGTGAGGCAACCTTTGCCTCACATAGTCACTGAATGCTGCCTAGTTCACCAGTAATTTTCCATTGACGCCATAGACAGACAGACTGGCTGCCCGATCACCTCCCCTTGATGGCCCAGTAAACAAAGAGCCAAACACCAGATCCCCTCTACGCCCATGCCCGTGCCCACAGGACGATGATTGGATGTAAGTAATACGAGTATATTCACAACATTGAACGGTAAGTTAACTACCCCTCAACACGTATCACAAGTACGCAAGCAAACACTGTTGACTGCCAACCTCAACGAATAAGCCATCCGAGTACATTGGAGCAAATATTATTATATCAGTCTTCTTCCCCGGGCTAGGCAGACGGGCGACGGCGCCAATGAACGTAGGGTCTGCGCTACGGCAGGGACCTTTGGTGAAGCCCCCTATTCAGCTCAGGTGGCATACCTAGGTAGGTACTAGCAATGGACCGCCAAACTCACAAAGTGGCATGTGCGCTGTATGTGCCAAGGCGGCTACACAAACATGCTCAAGCCATCAGCCTCGGATGATAACATTTCTAGTATGTTTTATCAGGTTGCGGGGGCATACAGCCACGTGTAGTCGTTGCATCTGACTTTGGCACCGACCGCCTCTCTTTACAAACAAGAAGGAGGAAGAGAAATATCAGTAACGTCCGATATATAAGTGGCATTCCCCCTCTGCAAAACTTCAAATCTACCTTCTCCGCCCGAATTCCTTGTATTACTCGACGCAACGCCGGTCAATACATTCTCCCACGTAAACATATCGATCCGAGGCACATCAACCTGCAGCACCCAAGGACTGGAACAACCACCACCACCATTTACACATACAATCCCCGAAAGGCAGTCCTGATTCCGCCACCATGTTCGCTGCCGTGGTATTTACACTTGCTGCCGCTTCAATGGCTTCGGCGCACTTTGCGCTCGATTACCCGACATGGCGAGCCGACACTCTGGAGAACACCTCGTATTCGCAGTGGGAATACCCTTGTATGTGCATTCCTATGTACTCTCCTACATCTGCGTTCATCATCGCCCTCTCTGCGCAGCCTTCCACTAACCTATTGGCATAGGCGGAGGCGTTCCGTACGGCGTCGGTAACCGCACCGACTGGGCCATCGGCGGTGGTTCTCTGAGCCTCGACTTGCACCACCCATGGTCGTACCTGTACGTCAACCTCGGCCTGGGGGAGAACGTCACCAACTTCAACGTCTCTCTCACCCCGAGCCTGACCAACGTGACGGGCAACGGCACCTTCTGCATCCCGCAGCTTCTTATCCCGGTTTCCATTAGCGATGGCCAGAGTGCCACTATCCAAGTCGTCACCAGCGGGGCCTCGGGTGCGGCTATGTACAATGTAAGTTCAACATCGCAGGCTTGCTGTGCAGGCGATTGATGATCATGACTTATGCCGTGCAGTGTGCCGACATCACGTTCCGCTACGATGCACAACTGCTGTCTGGTGACGACTGCACCAACAGTACCGGAGTCTCGGCCGCCATCGTGGACCAGTCACCAACAACAAGCCAGTCAGCTTCGACGCCGACGCCCACAGGTAGCGCAGCTGGGGCAGTCAACACTGGAGGAGTGGCTCTGCTGGGAGCTCTGAGTTTTGCGGGAGCTTCCATGATGGGACTGGTGCTATAGGTCAAGAGGGTTCCCGGAGGGAGACGATGGAGCCTCTGGATCCGATTATGCCACGAAATCAGGGCAACTCTGGGTATACAGCATGGCCTAGACATAGTTAGCTACTGAAGAAAAGGAACTGATTAGTGTTGAGACACACTGCGCGAGCTAGCTTACATTGTGCGCGCCTGTCTTCGTCCTGTTATGGCAATAAACACCTACGGTTTGGTGGATTCCGTATCGACTCCTCAGCTGTCGTATTGACTCCTCAGCTGTTTAGGCCATCCCACATCCCAGTTAATATACCCAAAGAGATGAGGACCAGTAGTTTTAGCCGTAGCCACTAACCCTTCGCCACCTATTCCAGTGCTTCTATCCCCTGTGATAGGCCTGTCTGGCCCCGACCGCAGGTCATTTGCTTTCGACGAGGCCGAGCTGCGTGGGTCTGACAGGCAAGCCCAGTATGTACGACGGTTGATGCTATACGAAAGAGGCGATTGGAGCTTGAGATCCGGAGATAGTGGTAGGCAGGGGTCTATGGTGTTGATTTACACAGACTCGCTCATCTGTGAGTGACGATGTCTTTGTCCTTGAGTACTTCGTTCCTGACCTTTGCCATAGTGATACGTTGGTTCGGGTTGGGCGTTAGCATTTGCAATACTAGGAACTCCATCTTGTCGCGCGGGTTGAGCTTGGCCCTGGCATCGTAGACCTCGCCGAGCCATTGTTGCATCTGTGCGACGGCTGAAGAACCCCGAGTTGAGTGGGCGGCGGGTTTTCTGTTCAAATCGGCGATCATCCAGTACAGCTGCTTTGGGTGACCTTGCCGCCCACGCGCATCAGGGAAGGCGATCTTCCTCAGAACGTATAACATGGTGATGCCGAGCGCCCAAACGTCAGAGGCTGCTCCCCGCAGCTTTTGCCCGATGAATTCGGGCGGAACGTAGAATGGCGTACCCCCATTCGTAGCCGGGTCAACTATCCGAGTTGACAGGCCAAAGTCGCAGAGAACGGCGCCCCTGTCGCGCGAGTAGAGTATGTTGGCCGGCTTGATGTCGTTGTGAATACGTCTCTTCGAGTGGACATAATGCAGAGCACCCGAGATGTCTCTGAGGATTCGGATCGCGTCTGTGCGGTCACCGATGAACTGGTCAGTAGAGGTTTCCCGCCACACTCCGCGAGCGGCCAGATCTTTTCCACTAGAGCGTGTGTGGTCAGCAATTATTCAGACTTGCCAACTTGTCGGGATGAGAAAGTCTACCACGGGCAGAAGCGCCATCGAAGAAACGGGCAGATATAGCCCCAAGAATCCCCTCGGGCACGAGAAAGATAGCAATCAAGAGAAAAGCTTACTCGATATGTTCCATGTATAGAGATAAGTAGCGGGCGTCACCACCATATAGCTTGACGATAGACTCATGCTTCAGGTCCTCTTGGCTCTGGTACTCCCGAAGCCAGATATCTGCCTGACGAATAACATTCCTGTGGGTATCCTGCGGTCTCATGTCCGCATCCGGCGCCCTGGTTTTCAGGACTTTGACTGTGATAACACCCTCGGGCACGTTGGAGTGTTCGGCTGTGAAGACAGAGGACGCGCCGGTGGTGGCGATCTGATGGCGTTTTGTTAACAGGTACTGGTCGAGCTCGCCTGCGCCAGGTATAGCAGCGGTCTCGTCCTTCTGGATTTCCAAAAGCGCATGACCGTTGGCAATGGAAACTTCCTTGGTCTTGGCGGCGTTGGGTAGAGGGAAGATGAGCGGTTCGTCCTTCGGCCCTAGGAATATGATGACGCCGTCCTTGTCGGCGTTCTGGCTGTCATCTGCACGAAGCCTCTTCTCCACAACGCCATTATCCTGTTCGTTGTCGTCTAGAGAAAATGATCGTTTCCCGGACGAGTTACGCCCGATGGGGCTCCTGACGATTGATGGTTCGGGATTGTCAATGGACGCCTGCAAGGTCGCAGGGCGTTTCTCCAAGATTCGGAAGTCCAGGACTGGGATGCCGACGCTGATCCTCCAGGTGCCGGGCGACAGCTCCTTGGTGGCTCCAGGCACAAGCTCCTGATCAAAGTTGGCGCCAGTGTGATTGGGATGGGATGTCCTGGCGAGCGCGACGGGGACATCTGATTTGTTCCACAGGATCAGACTATCGCTGGCCGGATCGTAGTATAGCTCGCACCACAGTGGTGGGCGAACCTCATCTTCCCCTTGGCCTTGGGGGATTCTGATGGAGAAATTGATGTCCTTGGAGGTCTGAGTCACAGCCAGCACCCTGTATCTAGGCTGCTGAGGGTCGGCAAACTCGGCGCTCAGAGCTAGCCACTGGCAATTATCATTTCCAGGGCTCACTGAGCGACTCTGGGTCAGCGGGCGCACGAGTATGCGGATGTTTTGTCGGTGGTGATCTTGGTCAACGACGAGGTTGTCCAAGGGAACACTGTCATAGTGGGCATCGCCAACCTCGTCGAGGTGGATGCTATCGTGCAACAGTCTCTGGTGCAGCTCCTCGGGAGTGAAGGGCTCTGTCTTCTCCTCGGACGGGAAGACTTCAGTCATGGCGGGTACAATTACGGGAGGGCCCGGCAGGCCGTAGCAGATTGACGGACAGGGTAGATGGTGATGGTAGATGGTGATGGTGATGGTAGATGGTGATGGTAGATGGTGATATGGGGGTGGTTTTTCCACCAGGTAGTCTAGCAATAGCGAATATGATGATGGGAACGCCGAGGAAAGTATGAAGCAGATAATAAATGGCAAAGGGAACAGAGCAGAGACGACCCAAAAGACAGATTCCCTTCGCCTCAAGGAGCCATGCTGGCAGTGCACTTGAACGCTGGAAAGGACTCGAGTATGATAGAAGACAAGACAGGCAGTCAGATGAGATGGCCTCGAGACTTCGTCTGCAATTATGCCGTGGCACGGAGAGTCATAGACTGGGTCAGTGGTGAAATGCAGTGCGGCTGACGCTGAATTACACCTGAGAGGGCTCCGGCTGGTCGCGTCCACCGTCCACCTTCGCCTGCCTATCACTACTGTGTATGGGAATTGGTACGCCTTGTCTACAGTACTACGGGCGCAGCATGAGTTGACCCATGGGGAACAAAAATAGAAACGAGAGGGGACAGCGGAGGACAGAAAGCAAGCGCCAATCCCGGAAAGAAGGCCGCGAGGGGCATTGTAGATGCCGCGCTCAGGCTGTCAGGCTGTCAGGGTGCCGCATTACATATCACTTGGACCTCTCTCCAGATGCTGGCTGGTCTCAGTGGTCTGTACTGCTGACCTCGAAGGCTTCGCCCGAGGGTCCTGACTCTTGGACGTGGCAGTCGACACCCCAGCTGGAGACTGGCCTGACAGCCCTAACGGCCTCCTGACTTCTGGACTACAGAGTCACCTGGGCAGTGCCGGTCTCGAGCCGGTGCCGGTGTGGCTGCAGGTGGTGCTGCGAACCCGCGGGGCCAGTATGTTTGGGAACAGGCTCTCGTGGACGGTGGACCACGATACTGTCTCGCTCACTACCGTCACACCACTACCACTGTATGGTGAAGAGATGCAGAGATGGAAGCGAGGCCGTCCTCTGCACATCCGGACGCCTCACCAGTACAATGAGTACATAATGGAAAGGTAGAAAGTAGTTCAAGAGGGTAAATTTCAGAAGAATACTTGGTGGTAATGACGACAAAGATACCCGGGTCACGGATGCCGTTGACGGATGCATCTCAACATCCACTGTTTTCTAAGTCAATATTGATGAATGTATCCATTTCGACTCTCCATCGAGTTCTGCAGCATCTAAACAGCAGAGCTGGCGTGGTATGGTATGCCTTCTGAATTCGCGACGACGAAGCTCGAGATCGAGAGAATGTGCTCACTGGCCCTCTTGCATGTTCGAAAGCGGAGAAGAGCTGACCAGCTGAGCAGTGAGAATGGATTCCCTTTGTAAATTGTGGCTGACCCGACTGAGGATTTCCGGCAGGGTGGGTGGAATCGGGTCAGCCGTCAGCCGTCATATCTCCACTCCTCCTGAATATGCCCAGTTTGATTGGGCGGGCTGCCTGCAACGGAAGCCCCTGATTGGATGATGGGATGACGCTCTGTGGATCGTGGCAATGTACAGCACCTCCCTGACACTTGATTGGGCGCAGCTTCGCTTGGGCGGATGCATGTGGATACCGGATGTTTGGGGGCCGTTTCCTGAGGCTTGGCGCGATGTGAGGTAGTCGGGCAATTCCCACCTCGCCGTCCGTCGTCGTTGTCCCCAGTGTCTTGTCCCAGCTGCCCACCTGCAGCCTGTTCGAAAGCAGTCACCAAGGACAGCATCACCACATTCACCACATTCACCATCCGCTCTCTCTTCCCACGGCCACCTTTTGACTTCTGGGCTGCCGAACCACGATTGGGACTAGTCCAATGATTTTATGATACCCTGCATACTCACTCCAGCACACGCCACAATGCATCTCAACGCCCACGTCTAGATTGCACCCGGAAAACACGACAAAGACAGACAGAGACCCCTTCTACCGACATCCCATTGTATTTCTACCCACCACCCTTCCGAACACCGACGGCGATAAACCAGCACCTACTACCGCCAGTCCACTCGTTCGAGACACGCAAGAGGATGGACGAGCCCGGTTGCTCGTGGCAGTTCTGGAAATTTGGCATGAAGAGGGCCGACCTCGACACCAAACTACATGATCAGTACAACACGGTTGCCTTCTCCATCCAAGACCCCGATGCCTTCCACTCCGATGTCTACGAGATCTCCAACACCGCGGCCACCATCGACGAGTTTCACAGTCTGCTAGCCGAGCGCAAGGGCTTAAGACTACGTGAGCTGAACGAGAGCCTCGAGTCCGCGTCGCTCGAGATTATCGCCAACCCCAGCCTCATCGGCACACACCAGTGGCAGCATGCCTTGCAGCTTTTTCGGACCAAGTCCCTCGACTCACTCGTGAGCTATTTCGCGTCTTACCTCCCAGAGGACCACCCGTGGAACCCGTCCTCGGCCTCGACTGCCAACCCAGACCCTACCTACAAACCGTACTATGACGATATCGACGACTATGGCCATGTCCTGACGCATGAGCCCCTATCCATCCCCACTGGCTGCAGCTCCATCCCAGCCAGCCATTTCCCTCCTTCTCCTCGATCCCTCACGACTTGCTCGGATTCCTCTTCCGCCTCGACCCCAGCGCGCTCCATGTCTTTCTGCGAACAGCAGTCTGACAGTATGGCCCTTTCGGGCACATTGACACACGCCTACGACGATGATGACGAAACCTCACAATCAGATGATCCAGACACTCCGACCACCTCTATCTCCGACATGTCAGAGATACACCCGCTGGATCACGAGCGAGGAGTCGGCATACAGTACGCCGACGCGGCTGCGACCCCAGCGGAGCTTTACTTGGGGGGTGATATCGATGAGTCTGAGACCCCAACACCTCGAAGTGCGCTTTCCTCGGAACCACTTACAACCAGCAAGAAGTCAGAAACGTCGTTATCGTCTTTGTTTTTATCAGCCAATTCTAATCTGCTGCCAAGAGGTTCTTGTCATAGCAGTCCGGGCGTGTCGAGAATACGGCGAAGGAGTCCAGATGCCGGGCGCGTGCAGAAGCCTTCCCCTGGCCCCATGCGCATCAGACCGAAAGGCAGGATACGCCATGGTGGTTAACGGCCTGACGTTGTTGTACATATGTGAAGATAGATCTGTAAAAATGCCTGGTGACGTTTCTATCCGTTCACCCAGTATCGCGGTGTCCCTTGTGCTTCTTCGCCCACCTGGGCACGTTTTAGCATTGAATGTTTAACAGGTATTGCGTATATGTCGCATCACAAATGATGGACTGCCTATGAGTTTCATGTATCCTGGGTATTTACCTATTTACCGGAGGTACCTATGTATAAGGTATTGAGACTCGCTGGCTGCCGGTGGCGGCACTGTCGCCTGTGGCAGCAATACTGATTCGAGGCCATCACCAACCGAATTGGCCGACTGGCCGACCACCGCTGTCAGCACCTCTCCGATCTGGACAAGTGGTACATTCCAAGGAAGTTTCCTATGGCTCGGGCAACGACCCCAGATTACAGCGCTTGAGCGCGCTAGGATCGCGATTCTCGGCATCTGTCACCCACTAACAGCCCCAGACTCCGGGGGGTACTGTTGCTCCCTTTCGTGAGGTCATCGACTTGCCCGATTCATACTGCCCAGGTGTAAGTTGAGGTCGAGCATATGAAAATGAGGTCACCTCCCACAAGCGCACGACCACAAAGGTAAATCAAACGGCACGCGAGAGTCGAGGTGTAAACCCATTCCTCGGCTCGTGGGTAGTCGCCGAGTGTGTACAAGGTATATCTATAGAGCCAGCTCTCGTTCACCTATCTATTCATCATAAACCATACGTCAAGACAACAACCGACTTGCGGTATTGCGAACATCCAATTTCCACCGTTTGACAAATTATCTTCCGCGGCTCTCCTTACCTGATGCTGCCTTTATTGATCCAGACAAACTCTGTCCAAAATGCCCGAGACACTCCGCGAGAAGGCAACAAAAAAGCTCGACGGACCTGACGCCAATCCGAGTTAGCTGGGCGATCCCGTCAGCATGAAGGCTGAGACGAGCGACAAGGTGCCGGTGGAACGGGAGCAAGGCGCGAAGAAGGACTCTAAATTGTAAAAGGCTCGTCGGTGTTGCCGTCAATGTCGCCAGAGTCTCGAGTCAATACTGTGTTGGAACCTATGACGATCCCTTGGTGTTGCACAGACTACGCATTTCGGATGTCCGCTGGCCCCTGGGACGGTCGGAATCGTTGTCATGTCGTAATCTATCACAAAATGGGAAGAACTGGAAATTATCTGACTATGCCAACACTTCATCATTGTTGACCGTACATCTTGCCCCTGATAGTTCCCATGTTAGCTAATGATCGGTAAAACTGGCATCAAGGCTCGTAAGCGGCATAGGTGCTGTCGCCGGTGAGAGACTCCAAGCCGTAGGATTTGTAAGCTGATGATTCATCAGTATGGTCTCCATGGTAAGCACGTTGTAAGCACGTTGTCTCACAGGAGGTACTTTGAGAATACTTCCACATATACATCTGGCCTTTAACCGGCGTTTCTCCACGCACGTCTTTCTAGCAATAGAATCCAGACGAGGAAGCTGTTGTATGTTCGCACATCCAAGTCGTTTCGTCGCGAAGCAATAAGAGCTGCAGCTTATCACCCGCAGTTCAGTACAAGTGGCGGGATCCCTACCTACATATACGTACCTCCACCATCCCAGGAACTGTAAGAAACACAGACATGTCGCAAGATGTAAGTTGCCACAGTACACAACCGCGCCATGGACCTACTGTTGACCACAAAGTGCCAGACCAAGATTGGATACCAAAAGGATGGCCGCTTTATCAGACCCGACAGCGCATTCCGCAACTTCGTCTCCAGGGACCCAAATTCGACATTTCCAGCCGAGCCAGGTCGCTACGCGTTGTATCTTTCGCCCGGCTGCCCGTGGGTAAGTGCCGTAGGTTTCTGCTCGCCTTGAGGGGTTACAGCGCTCATACTGCTCAACTTCAGGCCCATCGTACCTTGATCGTCCGTGCAATGAAGCGGCTGGAGAACGTCATCGACTTATACATGCTGTACACCATGGACTGGCCTCAGGGGTGGTTCTTCAACGGCGAACATGGCACACTCGAGAAAGACCCCCTCTATGGCTTCACCCATCTCCGGGAGCTCTACCTCAAGGTGGACCCCAACTTCAACGGTCGCGTCACCGTCCCGGTTCTTTGGGACAAGAAGACCGGTACCATGGTAAACAACGAGTCGAGTGAGATCATCCGCATGCTTTATACCGAGTTCGATGCCTTCGTCCCCGAGGCCGTCCGCGAGGCGAACAAACCCGTCGGCGGCTTCTACCCGGAGCATCTCCGCGAGGACATCGATGAGATGAACGACTGGGTCTACCATACGGTCAACAACGGTGTCTACAAGGTCGGCTTTGCTGCCACACAAGAAGCTTACGACGAAAACATCTACCCACTGTTCCAGTCGCTAGACCGGCTTGAGGGGATTCTCGAGCGTCACGGTAAACCATTCCTACTGGGCGATCACATAACCGACGCCGATGTGCGCCTCTACACCACACTGGCACGGTTTGACGTGGCGTATCACAGCGTCTTCATGTGTAACCTGAAGTCGATTCGGCACGACTACCCGCGCCTGCATCTGTGGTTGAGGAGGCTGTACTGGGACCAAGGAGAGGAAACAGGCAGCGCATTCCACAGCACTACCGCCCCGTGGATTGGACTGTATGCCCAGGGCTATGCACAGTCGAAGCAGAAGATCAACCCAGGACAAGCCGCTCCTGTCGTCCCGAGAGGGCCTGCGGTGCTAATGGAGCCATTGGACGAAAAGGAGACCTTGTGAAATTGCCCTCTTGTCAGACTTGTTGTTCCACTCTCAATCTGACAGTTTCGATATGAAAATCATCAGGTCCAGTGGGCCATGCAGCTGAAGACATCGGGCTTCTCAGGCATCAATGATATTCGATTCGAGAAGAACTTTAACATGTTCTTGGAAAAATTGATGATAACCTATACGTCGGATGCGGCGTCCTTTGCTCCCAATCGAACATGTTGATTCTCGGCCAAGACGAGAGAGGCGACGTAGTTATCCCTCTCCCCATCGAAGAAGCCCTCTCGGCCATCTTTGGCTAGATACTCAAAGCTCAGGGATCATGAGCCGTCTAGGCCAGGAATCCTTTCCGATACTCGTAATTCTTCTTAAAGGCCTCGGCGATTTCACTCCTCGTTGCCACCCTATGACGAGCAATGTTAATAGCTATCCGAAAGAGTAGTGGTGGATAACGGAATTGCCTCCATGTGGCAGGACGAGAGGCGGACCGTATCGCGGGACAGAGAGATTGACAAAGGGTAGGAGCAAAAACGTCACCCTTACCATACGTCCTCTTTCTGGCTAATATACCCAGCAAACTGCTTCAAGGCGCCAAATCGGCCTGGCCGACCAGCAATGCGACAATGGAGACCGATGGTCATCATTCTCGGCATGCCTGCTTCGCCTTCCTCGTATAGCACGTCGAAAGCATCTTCATATGGTTGAAAAAGCCCATTGGGTTACCGAATCCGGAGCCCGTCGTATGGAACTTGAAGTCATTCACGTCATAACCCCTTCGAATTAGCTGGATAATCGTACGCTCGTGTTCTGGTGGACACACGAATAGGGGACCATTAAGCAACCCTTTGGGTCGGGAGAGTCGCTCTCATATGCGAGGTCGATCCAGTAGGGCACGTCGTCTGCGTATGTGTCGCTCATCCACTCGAGCTTCTCGCCCATCTCCTCGTATACCTGCGGGACTAGTGTGCGGGAGTGAGGGCTGTTGCGGCCATAGTACCAGCCCCTGGGGGCGTATCCGGTCATGGCCTTCAGGGAGGTGATGGCCTTTTTGATGTACTCCCGTTCTCTGTCTATGGACATGTCGTGATACTCAATCCAGCGGTACGCGCTGGCATTGGTTAGAGATGCGGGCATTATTCTTACATAAAATACGCTTTATATCGTAAGTTAAGCCTTGTTGACAAAACGCATAACTTCGTTATTAATATTCGATAATTTAATTGCTTATATGCAAATTTCATGAACGTTTAAGTGCTTAACGTTAACAATCTTACATAATTTTAAACAAAAACGCTTTGTATAATCTTTAATAATAACATTAAATAGCCTTTGTAACTATATATGATTTGTTACTTTGTATAACTTCGCTTATATTCTTTTTATAATATTATATAGTATTGAATTAATTAATTAAATTAATGAGAAAACTTAGGCAAAATTTAAAAAACTTTAAAATTTTGGATATTTCCAAAAAACTAAAAAAAAGCCCGATTATAATTAACTTATTTTTAAAACTACCGATTTTTTCTTAAAATAACGAACAGATTTCAAAATGCTTAAAGGCGATAATATATGATGCAAGTAAAAAAAGTAAATTAAGTCGTATCGTAATATTTAAAAAGTTATTATAAATTTAGTTTTTTTAAAAGCTATTATTAACGATTTTTTTAATAGCACTTATTTTGAAACTAGTATTAAAAAAACCTACAAAAAAAACTAACAAGTATTATTGAGAATTAAGTAAACCCCTTATTCATAATATTATAATAACAGTTTATTTTTATATCAATAAGCTTAATTTAAAGATAAATAGTTTAAAAATTTTAAAATATTAAATTAGTATAATCTTGAAATTAAACCTTTTCTATTAACGGCAAGCTTACTATAAGAAAAAAGGTTAATATTATCGCATAATTTACTAAGAATTAAATACATAACATATACGTTAAAATGATGATTAAAAATAAATAAGAAATTTAAAAAGTTAAGAAACATAAGATTATCAAATTATTTAACCTTTTAACATATTAATATTAGAAACGTTGCTAATATTTTCGTTTATTATGAATAGCTTTAGATATCTTTATAATATAGCTAATATTAATAAAATATAAATAATAATAATAAAAGTATTACACTTTGTTTAATATTATAATTATTAATATTTATTTAATATCACAATCGTAACTATAAATTTAACTAATCTAGTATTTACATTTTATCTTTGTGAATTTAAATAAAAAGCTTATAATTTTCATAATTAAAACTATAAGTTTTAGAACACCTAGAAACCGTTAGATAAATAAATAAATAAATACCTTAAAAAAACAAGATAATCGTAATGAATAGCTAACTAATAATAATATTATAGTAACAATATTACGATAATAAGCTTAAAAAAGCTAATTTGTTTAGAACAATAATAAAACTCGAATCCAAATAATAATAACACTTCTTTTTTGACTACCGTTTTTTTAATCAGGCTATTCTATCACGTTATATATAATAATAAATATATACTATTTTTATTTGTAACTAATATTAATTTTATAACGTGTATAATTATTAACGACCTTGAAGAAAACTAATTTGCTTAAATTTAGAATAAAATTAATCGATTATATACATAGTATTACTTAACTGCCTTTTTATTACGATATCTTACCGCGCGCTTATTAACAACGTATCTTCTTTTCTAGTTTATTTATAGCTATACCATTACCTTTAAAACTATATGTACGACTAAAAGAATATATTTATGCTAACAGTGAAGTAATTTAATAGTTTGTAACCTAAAAGCTTCGACTCAACTTTTTTCATAGACATTTATTATGAATATGTAAAGGTTAAGATAGCTGAATGCTGAAGCAAGGTGATGGCGGTGATTCCAAGAAGTAGGTGTATAAAGATACTTCAATCTATCCTGGTATGTTTATGGGTATTAGGCGTTTTAAAGGGATGTAGTAGTGGAGCCTTAGGGCTCCGATCGGTGACCAGTCGGCCTGACATGCCGGTGCAATACCCTTACATGAATACTTATAGAAGAAAAAAAGTTGAAACAAAACTACTTAAAAGACCTAAATTTAAATATTAATTACGTTATTATCTGTTTAACATTATATGGAGCTATCTACGGCTTTTTCAAACGTTAAAAGGTAAAATCTTACTGCTAGCATTTTTTTTCGATTTCTTTTTGCTATAAAAGGTAATTAAAAGTAAAAAGGTAGAAAAAAAAAGCTCAACACTAATATTATTCGTACATCGCCTATTATACTATACTAAATACCTTTAATAAACTATTAGAATCCATTACATTAAAGCTTTAATGTATTGTTAATAGGTATACCTACTGGAAGGTTTAATGGGTATAATGTAATTGGTTTGACCCCTAACCACAGGTGTATGCAATGCCTAGTGAAACAGTCCTTAGTAAGGGCAGCTTTCCACTTCACGGTTGGTCATCAACTTACAGTCCAGATGCTGTTGAACGCTGGGCTTCCAGTGCTCTCAATGCCCACTGCAGCCTCATCTACCACACTTGGCGTGAGAATAGCGGCGTATTTACTGGCGATATCGTCGATCTTGGGCCTCAGCGAGGCTATACCGGAGTTCTCGACATGGTCAACCAGGAAAGAGTCCAGCTTGTCCTTAGCCACTCGGTATTCTGGCAAGAAGGAGGCGCGCCCGTCGCTGTGGAGGACTATGCCGTGCCACTCGGGCATCTTGTCGAACTCTGAAGGCAGCTCAATCTCTTCCACTTCCGCTCCATGATCTCTCAACAACTTTGCACCGGTTTCCATCGCCGCCGCAGTACCGGGACCAACTGTGGCCAGACGATGGTTGAGAAGGGCGAATTTGGCTCCCTTGACGGTGAAGGCATTGTCAGGGGGCAAGTCGTCTTCGATGGCGAACACGTCAGCAAGTAATTGCAAGTCATCTATGCTGCGGGCAAAAATCCCCAGAGTATCCAAGATAAGCGAGTAGATCTTCTGCCCTTCTCTGCTGATGGAGTTCCACGTCGGCTTGGTGGCATATATGCCGTTATATGAGCCAGGACGGATTGTACTTCCACCAGTGTGGGTGCCGAGTCCAATAGGTGCCTGATAATCCCCAACGGCTGCCGCCGAGCCCGAAGAAGAGCCGCCTGGGTTTCTCGTCGGATCATGCGGGTTGCGAGTCTTCGGACCCAATGTGGTTGATGTAAACTCGGTCGTCCTAGTTTTGCCTTGGGGGTCCAGGTCAGTCTGCGTATGATCCCATGCCGTGCTTCACGTCTTACCCAGTACCAACGCCCCAGCATGACGCAGAGTGATGATGGAGGCTGCATCTAGATTCGGTGCATCGCCCTCATAGATGGGAGAACTATGCTGCGTAGGCATATCTGCTGAGATATTAGTTCCGCGCATCTCCATCTGAGAGCCCAGGAGGTTGACGAACCTTTAGTATATATCACGTCTTTGACAGCGATTCCAACTCCGTGCAGAGGTCCTCGCCCATGTCGCGGGACTTGATCAAATCTTTTGGCCTGCTCGATGACGTATTCGGGGTCTAGATAAGCCCAAGCCCTGACAGTTACATCCCTCCTGTCAATGCGTGAAAGTAGCGACCGGGCGTACTCCTCTACGGTGAAAGAACCGTTCTTGAACTTGGATAGTGCTTGAGTGGCTGTGAGCTTGTATGGCTCCATGTTGCATATCTTACAGATTACGAACTCGAAGCGATGGTAGTCGAAGCGCTCTGGGCCCCGTGGCTGCTTGATAATTCCAGCTTAGGAGAATGGGCTAAGATAATCATCTATGGCATCGTCAAGCGATCTGGGTTAGTTACTTCAAGAAGCGCTGATGATTCCGTGATAGACAGACTCAAGGGGAAGATCCCTTCACTAACACCACTCCCGTCCGGGTGCTGTTTGGCATTGTTCGCACCTCCGCCGGGCCGGCATCGGAGACATCCGGCTATCGATCGGGATGCATTATTTCCCGACTACTGCCCGCACGAGCTCGTTGATGCCAATAAGAAACACATTGCTGTGCCGTAATTCCCAAGCGGTTAAAGTGCATCTACACTGAGCCATCATAAGTCTCCGTACGCCACCCGTCTAGCAAATAACGGTAAATTTATCGAATTAAAATAAGCACTATGGAACAAGCATTAGGAGTGACGTATTGAAGCAGAGCTGCTTTTTTCTATATGCTTATTTTAGTACTCCTAACTATCCTACTAGTAATCTGCAGTCTTGCTAACATGCGCGTACGGAGACTTATGAGGGCTGAGTGTACATGGAGCTGTGTCATGTTCGTGAAAGGATGCGCCCGTACATGGACGGTATTATCCACCGACGTAATGTCGGCCTGTGGAGTCGCAAAACTCCAACATACGGTCTATTTCATCGTCTAGGTTCGTTGTCTCAACATGATCTATCTCGAAGCGTTCAAGGCCCACCAGCTGTTAAGTACATCATAAGAACGAATCTAACCACCCCTTCAAGCAAAGCACGACCACACCTGCCTTGCCCCGTACTGGAAAAACACACCACTCACCTTGACAACTCGTGCTCAATCATACACCCGAGGGCCCTAGGCTGTTCAAAACGACAGTACCGTAGTCTCCCGGACCGTCGAAGAAGAAGTTCTGGTCAAGACCCAGCCCCTCGAACAGATCATGCGCCCACGAAGCGTTGGAATGCCAGCCATCATGGGGTTGTTGCGCGCAGTTCTCTGCCACCATACCGTCCATCGGCCAGTCCCTCTCCGGGGCGGGCTCGCTGAGGTCTGAGTCTTCAGTATTGCTGGTGGCTGTCGATTCGTACCTGCGGCCCAACAAGCTCTCGCCCCCCATTGATGCCACAATGTCTGCCCACCTCTCTAGCTTCAGGCGTGTGATGCTGATCTTCCTCGCAGCTAAGTCCCAGATGTTGTTGTCCCAGACGCCGCCTTGCTTCGTGCTAACTTCTCGCCGGGCCTCTTCGAACCGTGCCCCCATAGCCTGAAGGATGTTGAGGATGTCGATTTGGAGTTCTGGCTGAGAGAGGAAATGAGCTTTGATGGCGCTGACTGCAGCAGGTATAGCCGGGTCTGAATCCCCCGTCTTGAACACAGGCACCGAGTCAGGAGTCGCTCCAGTGCTGGAGGCACCTTGGGTGCTTTGTGTTGCCGAACTTGCCGTTGCCATAGCCACAGTTTGCGGGTAACTAGCTTCGGGGCTGGAAAGCTTTGCCCAACGAGCTAACATTGTCACGGCATTGATGAGCTGCGCGCAGACGGGCATAGGCAACACAAAATACTCCGTGACCTCGATGGACAACCAGTATTCAAACCACGCCTTGAGTGCTGCGTTGGAGCGATAGAAGACGTCGAGAGAGGAGGCTGAAGTTATGGTCAAAGACGTGAAAGAGGTCGATATTTTCTCCAACAGAGCCATGTCGATAACGGGAGGTTCCCATAACCGCAAAGTAGCCGTGTTCATATGGCAAAGGATGAGTTCTATATTTGTTACTCGCCAAGGTCACTGGTCTCGGACGTGGTGAACTTACTATTGGATCTGAGTTGTCTGGGGAGCGCTGTTCTGTACTTGTCCAACTCTGCCTGAAACACGCCGAAATATGCGTTCATAGGTGCCCGGGTGATTCCAGTCAGGTCGTCTTCGAGGTTATCCTTGTCATGTAGCTGGGCAATCCTTTCCGAGAGATGCTGAATACGGACTAGCAGGACCAATAGTGAATCTGTCTCGTATTCCTTCGCCGAGTCAAGGTCCTTGAGGCATTGGTCGGCATAGGGGGTGTACTTTATGGGGTCCATGCGCTGGAATGCGAGAGCAACACTGCGTCAATGTAAGCCTTGACGCCGACCTCCAATGAAGCTGCCAGATGACAAAAGAGGAAGTTCATGGTTGTACTCGAGCCAAGTGGGAGGGTTTCTTACATCGAGTTCATGTACCACACACCACACAAGGCTCTTTTCTCGTCACTTGTTCTTGCTTTCGGGGCTTCAGGGTTCGGGACCAGGAGCCTTGTTCTTTCTTGAAGCTCAGGCAACCTGTTGATGCCGAGATCCGCCACGAGACTATTGGCCAGTGCTATCAGGTTGCTCATTTGCGCATGCATCATGCACTGGTAGTGGTAATAACCTAGAACCAGCAGCAGGGACTGGAGCATCTCTAGAGATCGTTCGGAGCGCATAAGCATCTGCTCCGAGATGTGTTTCATGATGAGATAGTTCTGGGCCCTCATCGATTTCAGATTTCGGTACGATGAGACCATCCGGATCGTGGCAAACAGAAAGGGACGTGTCGATACCATCTCAGCAGCGGTGATTCCCGGACGCAGCGTTACGAAAGGATATTCCGGCATCAGCTTGTTGACGAAGGTTGCCAGGAGAGCCTCATCGGACTCAACAGGCATAGGGACTTCGCCGACCTGGGCCCTGCAAATGCAAATCTGAGGGGCATACACGTTGTAAGAGCCCGGGATGACGCGCAGCTGGTCAGGGACAGCCTCCAAAGGCGAAGTAGTATCGTCACCATACGGCGTTCGACAATGTGCCGAAACATCAGCATCTGTCTCCGACTGGACACATGATGTATCCGATTGGATGTCAACAGGTTGTCTCGCCGAGCTAGAGACTTCTCCCGAGTTAGTAGCCTTGAGAAGGTTAACCAAGCTGTTCAACCTTTCCTCAAGCTGGGCCGTTTTACTGTTGCGAAAGAACCACAGTCAGTACCGATCGACGACGACGATGGTAAGAGCAGCAGCATGAATGATGGGAATACCGAATCGGCCTATGAGCTCTCCCTCTTGGTATCACACAGCTTCCGTAGTATTTTGGCTTCAATACCAACGCACAGACAGACAGACACACACCCACACACAAGGCCAGTCTCCCGATAACTCAAGGGGACGGGAAAATCAACGACAAAGCCGCGGTAATGGACCAAGTGGCCCGCTGCCAAGGACCAGAGCGAGGCAGCCGGCCAGAAGTAAGGAAAGACTTACGACGGCTTGCTCTGTCGTTTCTTCCTTGGTTTGTGGACTTGGCCCACGCAGTCTTTCTCAAGGCGTTCACACCTAGACCGCCAGCATCGTATTAGCAGATGCTCCTCAGTCCAAGGGGTGGCAAAGGGGTGGCGACGGCAAGGGGCGGTGCGTTGTGACCCAGGCGCGCAGGCGTCACCTGCACGCCCCGACCGTTGCGCAACGCAGCAACGACGCGGCCCGGCAAATTGAAAAGGGGAGAGAAAGTGCCTTTACCGGTCACATTTGGAGCCCGTCGAGGAGTCGCTGGACCGCAGGCATTTGGCCTTTGCCAGGGCACATGGCGAGCACGCGGCGCCCCATTTCGCAATGGTGACGCTCTTTGGTCTGTCCATTGCACCATCTGCCAGTTCGAGTCGTGTGTCTCTCTGAGTGGCCACGATCTATCCGGCGGCCGGCGGACTTTCAGAGTCTGAGCCGTCAGCCGTCGAAAGAGCGTGGAGCGCTGGGGGTGTGTGAGGTATTGATTCCCACGCAATGTCCGTCACCGGGGACGGAGGTTAGAGATATTCTCCGATCTCCGCCGGCCACGTACACGGAGTGAGGCGTGGAGCTTATGTTACTAAGTCGATGGTGTTACCTTCCCAATGCCGCAGCTCCCAAAGTCATACAGCCGCAACAATGGGGATGGGCTCGTGAGCGGGACTGACTGTACTTATTATCTTGATACCTCCACAACCCTGCGATGCAGAGGCTCTGGGAGGCGTGGTTTGCACTACTGAGGAGCGATCCCCCACGTTAAATACAATCAATCAATCAATCAATCAATGCCGCAGCTGAACCACAGAATGATAAGTACAGGACTCTGCCCTACCCTACCCCCTGAAGACGGACGGTGTTGGTTGTTGCTTCAGTGCAGGTGGCCGAGGACGGGGTTTTGCGATAAAGTCCGACTGTCCTCGGGCAGGCCAGCCATTCCATCCGCCCCCTTTCCATTTCCCCTGCCCTGCCTCGCGCAAGACACATAGGTCAGGACCAACTGCAACTTTCCCATATGCCAAGATGCGTCTTGGGCTAATACCTCTTTCTGCCTCGTCAGACCAACATCTGGTAATTGAGACGGCTGCTGGAAATACTTCGGTAAATTATCCGAACAGGCCTGCTTCACGATGCGTGTAAACCGTCCCAGTTCCGCTCAAGGAGACCCCAAGGGCCATGGCCATGAATCCGGTTTCTCGACAGACGGCTCGGCACCTCACCTGCCCAGTGCTGAGCTAGAGAAATGCGCGACTGACGAGGCTGGGTCTTTGCGCCCTCCCAACGACCAGCCTGCAAAATTTGAGAGCGCAGAACCCATAGAGATGAGCGGATGGACCTTCTATACTCTGATATTTTCCGTCATCCTGGCCTCGCTCCTGATTGCTCTTAACGCCACCGTGCTGGGAACTGTAAGGAGACTCTGGCAACACCCAACCGACCCCCATTGCTTATACTTTGACAGGCTATCCCAGCTATCACGTCCGCCTTCGGTACCGTCGACGATGTCGGCTGGTACGCCTCGGCGTACCTTATAGCAAAGTCAGTCGAGTATATCCCGTCTTTGCAGCAACACTTCAGGGGCAGTGACTGTACCTGATACAGGCAAAGAACGGACCCGCGGGTTTCCAAACTGCTGCTCGTACTGTTGCTTTTCAAGGCTAAGTTGTTTGCGATAGCTGCGCCATGTCGCCCTTGGTCGGACGGCTATACCGAACATTCCCTCTGAAGGTCATGTTCGTCTCTTTCGTGGTGATTTTCGAGATTGGGTCCTTGATCGGAGGGCTATCAAAGTCTTCCCCGATGCTCATCGTTGCAAGGGCAATCAGTGGGATTGGGGGCAGTGGCATCTTAAACGGAGGCCAAACCATTATCGCGGCGACCGTTCCGATAGAAAAACGTGCGTTCTGGAACGGAATCATACTAGGTTGCTTCGCCTTAGGCCAAGCGATCGGCCCTCTGATCGGTGGTGCGTTAACCCAAGAAGCCACCTGGCGTTGGTGTTTTTACTTGTAAGTCTGGGGATCGGGACGACATCGGAGTGAAATTGTGTATACTAATAACGCCAGGAATCTCCCAGTCGGAGGGATCGTCATTTTTCTGTTCGTGGTTGTGGTCAGACTGCCTGTGGTAAAGCTTTCTGACAAGAAGATGACGGTACTCGAGAGGATCTTGGAAATTGACCTCATTGGGTTCTTCACCTTCGCAGCCGCGTGCACGATGTTCCTGATGGGCTTACAATGGGGCGGGACTAAGTACGCCTGGAACTCGCCAACAGTTATTGGGCTTCTATCTGGCGGCGTGGTAGCCTTCGTAATTCTCGGCTGCTGGTTCGCTCACAGAGGAGAAGCGGCATTAATACCACCAAGGCTCTTACAAAACCGGATCAACGTGATGATCACCATCACGTCTTTCGTTCAAAGCGGTGCCACCACCACCGCGTTGTACTGGTTACCGGTCTGGTTCCAGGCCATCAAAGATGCAAACCCTCTACAGAGTGGCGTGATGATCCTTCCGTTGATCCTGTCTCAGCTGGTTGCGTCGGTGGTGTGTGGCGTCCTCGTCCAGAAAACCGGCTACTATCTTCCGGAAGTGATTGTGGGCAATGCGTTGGTGGCAGTCGGAGCTGGCCTAACATCGACTTTCTCACCATCGACGACCCAAAGCGAGATCATCGGCTACCAGGTCTTGGTGGGAGCTGGCCGGGGTCTGGTACTACAATTGGTCAGTGGCCTTCATTGGCCCGCCCGTCTTGTGGTCATTGCGTATACTGACTGACCGCGATACCCAGCTCGTAACAGCAATACAGGCAAACGCACCAAGAGAAGATGCCTCTATTGCTTCAGCCTATGCCATGTTCTCTCAATTCCTAGGGGGTGCTTTCTTCACCTCCATCGCGAAGTCGATCTTCACCAGCTCTATTGGGGACGCTCTTCATCAATTCGCTCCAGGCGTTGACCCGGACTTGCTGATTAACAGCGGAGTCACTGACTTCATCAAGATCCTCCCCCAAGAACTGCTTCAGGGGGCTTTGCTAGCCTATAACCAAGCCATAGACCATGTCTTCGTAAGTTGTCTGTATAGGTCTGGCGTATATTTTCTGCTGACGTCGTTCTAGTATCTCCAGTTGGCCGCCGCAAGCTGTGCTTTTGTCACAGGTTGGGGAATGGGATGGAATAACCTGAACCATATCAAGCAGGAAAAGGGAGATTACGAGGACGTCAGCGAGGCACAACCCACGGCAAAGAGATCCGCCGTTGTATAATCAGTGTCACAGGCATCTTGTGTTACGGGATGGATGGATGCCGCTGCATGATACCAGGACGGAATAACCCTGATACCCAATAGTATCAAGGCTCATGCAGGTACAGAGGAATGTACAGATTCTCTGAAGCGCTACAAATGCTTCAGGGAAGCCCTTGACAATGGCCCACAAAAGAGACGAGACTCCTGGACTCGAAGAACCATTATAGAAGTCGCAGGTGACGAATCAATTTCTTTTCATCACCTTCAGCTGTTGCCAAATCTGATATTTGCGCCTCCGCACATACCTTAACTCAGCCAGGTGTACGCATGGGCCGAGACATATTCCCTCGAGGTGTCGCACCTAGTCTGTTCATTGTTCAGATGAAGTGGCAGCACGTGCTGAATGATTATTGTATCGGTTCAGTCTGGATGTTGTTCCCAGGCATTCTCGGGTTGTTTGCCGTCTATGTCCCCGTGGCAATCCGTGTCTATTCAGACACATGTTTTGTGACTCCCGACCAATTAAACAGTTCTTTGGCCCTTGTTCATTCCACAGCACTTTGCTTATCAACCAGCGGGCGGCTCATCATAAGAGAGTGTTACGGTATACCCGAGACATCACAAAACATTTTTCTACGATTTCAAGAACTTGCCACAGCACACACTCCTGGAGTGACCGTCAAATGGATTCCTGGACACAGAGATATTGATGGCAACGAAGCTGCCGACACACTAGCAAAAGAGGGTGCCATGCTGGAAACAGACACAACAAATCTTCCTACAATCTCTTGGGTCAAGAGAGATCTCAAAAGACAGGGCAAGAAAGAGTTCAACCAATGGTGGAAAGACCAATCTGAATCTAGGTATCAAGAAGTATACTCACATGCAGTAACTGAAAGAGACCTTATATCTTTTAAGAGGAGTACTTTACACAGACTTCTAGCGGCCAGATCTGGACATGGCGACTTTGCCAGATACCATGAACGCTTTGGGCACACAGACTCAAATGATCACTGCAGCTGTGGTGAGAAAAAAAACACCACAACACATTTTCTTTTGTAAGAGGCTGGGGAAAAATCGGCTACTGCCTAGGCATTCGCCTAGGGCAGCTTGTTTACAATACTTAGGGGAGAGGAGCACAGAATGGGCAAAATTCGTGGAGAAGAGCAAGTTCTTTTCAACAATCTGCCCCCGATAGATAGCCTTCCTTGAAGGACCAGATAGATGACCCCAAGGTCATACCGCCGCAACAACGGGGATGGGCCCGTGAGCGGGACTGACTGTACTTATTATCTTGAGACCTCCACAACCCTGTGATGCAGAGGCTCTGGGAGGCGTGGTTTGCACTACTGAGGAGCTACCCCCACGTTAAATACAAAACAAACAAACAAACATAATACCTCCACATATTTATGTACATATATACCCCTAGCTTCCCCGTTCTCTTCCGACCTTGCCTCTTCTTCCTTAGATATCGTTGAATCTAGATATTTCAACCCATCAGCCCTGACCAGCGCAGCTGCAGGCCTGATTGTCACAGAGAGGCGTCTGGCATAAGGAATTCTTTGACGCATCCCGAGATTATGACGTTTCTCTAGATGGATTGTGGCAACCTCGAGGCGCCATCACTGAGCCTTTGTTTCTTCTGGGGTGGCCACAGTCCGAAGAGCCGGCAGACAAAGCGCTGTCGCATTCGGATGTCAGTAAAATGGTCACTCGGGAGTCTGGATTATCTGCTCGTCCTGTGTACCACGCCTATGGACTCTTGACCACTCGTAAGTAGGTAGTCCCCTAAGCATATACAACACGGCATCACCCTCGACCAATCTCGCAAGCACGGGCGATACATTAAGAGCCATGACTACTTCAACAAGCTCCACAACATCTACTACCGGCCATGCTACCTTTGCATTCACGCCACCGGGGTCCAACCCAACCGCTACTGCAAGTACTACAGATGGAGGAGGGAGCATGAGCGGGATGAGCGGAATGGGGGACACGGCGAGCATGGGGACGACGGTGATGGACACGGGAAGTTGCAAGATCTCGGTGAGCCAACAACAAGAGTGCACGTTGGGATGGTGCTTGCTAACAGACGTCTGCACAGATGCTGTGGAACTGGGAGACGATAGATGCCTGCTTCCTTTCCGAGTCCTGGAGGATAAGGTCGGCTGGCGCGTTCGCAGCGCTCTGCATCGGTGTTATTCTCCTCGTCATGCTCCTCGAACTGTTGCGTCGTACGTCCAAACACTACGATCGATACATCATCCGCCAGCACGAGAAGTCGGCCGCCCTCGCCTCGGCAACATCACAGGGCTTGGCGGAAACCCCCAAAGGCTCTCTGATCGCTAAGAGCCATGACGCCGTTCTACCCGCAGCAGGGTACCGGCCGAACATCTGGCAACAGGCGACCCGAGCGTTGCTGCACACACTCCAGTTCGCCCTTGGCTACTGGATCATGCTGTTGGCCATGTATTACAATGGCTACATCATCATATGCATCATAATAGGCGCGTTCATCGGGTCGTTCATCTTCCAGTGGGAACGCATTGGCGGTCAGTGAGTGTAATCTTCTCATATACTCCAGGACTACCCACCAGCCCTCCGGCTTCAGTACATCACCCATGGCTTGGCTGACAAGGGGTGTTTGTGCGAATTAGCGACAGCCAAGCCGGCGGCGGCTCAGCTCAAGAAGCGACGGGCTGCTGTGGTTGATTCTGACGTTCCACCGGGATGGGATGCAGACGGTGTCGATGGTCCGTAAGGATGATCTTATTCTCCCCGCTGACCGGCATCGTGGTTTCGGTACATACATGAAGGATTCACAGTGCGAGGCCGAGCGAGCGAAGTACCGGTGTCGAATGGGTGGATATCTGGTCGCGAAGAAGGCATTGCTTTGCTGGGGCATGATCAGACAGAGGCATGAATCATGACGGAACGCCTCGGGTTGAACAAGACGGGATTTGAGGTTATGGTTCGCTGTACGATGAGGTAACTTATCCTGTTGTTGTATCTATACTTTGTTCTCAGTTAGGGAGGTTGTCTCTCCACCGTACTCTAGTGATGACTCGCTAATAGAGGTCCCTGGTGAACTCCAACTTACCAAAAGCAGCTCGGGAGTTCATGATAATGGCCAATTCTTTCTGCATCGCGGGCACGACTGCAGACATGGATAGACCAAGGGCAGGTTGCTTGTCCGATACCCAGCTACACCGCCTTTCCGCCGAGTATTTGTCAGCAGCTATAAGTATTGTCTTGTCATTCGCGGCCGAGAACTGGCATCGCCTTATACATCTACAGTATCAACCCTTTTACCATACCTTCGTGGGTAATGATGGCGCCGCCGATCAAGATTCGAAGTTCGCAGGGCGCGTAACCTCAAGCCTATCTAGGTACCTACATCGTTGTGGGCAGTCCTGCTAACCTGGACTCGATAGGCTGTTGGACATGCCGACTGCGTCGCAAGAAATGCGATGAGACGAAGCCGATATGCTCGACGTGCGGTGCGCTGGAGATCACATGCCACTTTGACGACGGGAAGCCGGCGTGGCTGGATGGTGGCGCGCGGGAAAAACGGATGGCCGATGAGATCAAGATCATGGTGAAAGGCAAGGCGAACCACCGTCGGGATCGCAAGTCCGCTCGAGTTGGTGCTGATGCTGGACACGTCGAAAGCGGCCGTCACGGCCAACTCCAGCGCCATTCATCTCCTGACGGCGATGGTGGACTCCCACGCAACCTCGCGCCTGTTCCGGCTCCGAGTCATAGTCGTGATGGAAACCTGGATAGCAGTACGTCGGACGTGACGTCGGAGGGGACGTCCGCCCTCCCACCACTCTCGACCTCGGCATCGTCGGCATCATCACCGACTGGCCCAGAGACGACCGGCATCGAGACCGCACCCCTCGCGGACACGGGGACATTCCCCGGTGACAAGTCGGAGAGCGAGGCGGGCTCCATCATGGTGTACCTGGACTATGTCGTGCCCTTCCTGAGCCCGTTCTACCGCCCGTGCTTGCTCGAATCCAGTCGCGGCTGGATGCTGGTACTCCTGATGAAGAACAGAACACTCTTCCACACGGCGCTGTCTCTCGCGACCTACTTCTACTCAGTCGTCCTGGACGCTGCAGGTGGCAACCACGGGGCATGCAAACAGGCGAACTGGACCGAGCTGCAGTCCCAGCAGGAACTGTCCATCAAGGCTCTCCAGAGAGAGCTGAGCGACCTAAACGCGCGTGGCGTTGGCAGCGCCTTCCAGCAGAGCGTCTACTGTCTGCAGAGCATCATCCAGCTGCTGGAGTTCGAGGTGGCCATCGCCAACACGCAGAACTGCCGGGTTCACCTGGACGCCGCCGTCGTGCTTTTCGACCAGTTGATCGCCAGCCACGCAACCGACTGTGGCAACCCCTGGCACTCAGTTCTTGGACAGATGGGACTTGGCAACCTCGCCGTCTCCTTTGGCACCGGCCGACACCCGTGGAGTAGCGACCAGTCGGCCTATCGCTTCTATACAGCGCACCTGTTATGGATTGACATCATCGCCGCGACCGCCGGCGGCGAGGCACCGAGGCTCCAGAAGTACCATGCCGAGCTTCTGCACGGCGAGAGGCCCCCCATCCGCTTGGAGGACTTCATAGGCTGCCACAACTGGGCCATGGTGCAGATCGCCGAGATTGCAGGGCTTGCCGCGTGGAAGAAGGACAGGAAAGACCACGCATCTCTTTCCCTCGTCGAGCTGGTACGGCGTGCCGACCTGATCGAGTCGTCTCTCCGCCAGGGACTCAGCAATCTCGACATCACATCCATCGTCAACCCGCAGAGCGTGTTCGACCCCTCGGCACAAGCGCCGCATCTGCCCTTTTCAGGTTTGGGCATCGAGGTGCTGGCCGACGCCGCGATGCGAACGACCCCAGCGCTAGCTCTGCACACATCCATCTGGGCGCAGGCCGCACTCACCTATCTTTGTGTGGTGGTCTCGGGGCCGCAGACAGGATTACCCGAGATACGGGAGAGTATACGAGCTACGATGGACCTCATACGCCTCCTGCCATCCCCATTATGCCTGCGCACCTTGGTTTGGCCATTTGCTGTGACGGGTTGTCTGGCCTTACCGGAAGAGGAGACGTTCTTCCTCGACCTCATCATCAGAATGGGGGCCATGCAAGTATTTGGCACCGTCAAGGAGGCACTGAATATCATGCAGAGCGTCTGGAGGCTTCGACACGGCGGATGTGTTGACCCCGAGACCTTGGATATAGCTGCTTCCCTGAGTATACTAGGGCATCGCGCGCTGCTAGTATGAATCCTCGTGGCAAACGGAGCAAGCCAGGACACAAGATTAGTATGCAGTACCATCTAGACACGTCAGCAGAGCAGGAACGACAACGCAGTGCTGGAGCTGGCGATGGCGGCCCCCTGCCCGTTTCTCCACTGTCATTCCTCCCAGGCCGTGCTCAAGGACGTCGAGATAGCCAAACCCCTTTTGACGCCCGATGTGCTTTCAGAACGTGAAGTGGCACGAAGAAGCGCAGAGGTTGGCGCAAGGCAAAAATTAGTGAAAGCAACGTAGGATCTAACACGTGAATGCTCAGTTGGGCAGGCTTTATGACATTCTGGATCACGGAAATTGGGTAAACAAACCACTGAAGCTAGGCCATGGTTGCCGGGAATTCCCTCACTTTTCACTCCGAAAATCAAATGCCCCTGGCTCAAATTAAAAGGTACATACTGCATCAAATCAGCAAGCCAAGCGAAGTGGTCGCCTAGGTATCATTACTCAAGCGCCCCAGATCGATAGCCCGTGAACTTCCTGTAAATGCCTCCCGTTCTCGACGTCAACGCTCATCGACCAACGCGGATGACGCCGGCAGCCATCAGCTTGCGGATATTGGTCGCCACACCGGGGTTGCGCATGTGCTCCTGCAACGCGGCCGGCTCTGACTGCGCCTGCTGGAGGATGGACTGCATGACAGGATCCTGCATGATGCTCATGATCTGGGGAACGGTAGTTAGCGCACAGGTTTTCCAACTAGACACCCCTAGAGATATGCTGAATTCAACTGTGTACTCACCTCTGGATCCTTCATCAGTCGCTCCCGAGTCTGTTCCTCCGTCTCGTTCTCCCGTGCCGAGTACATGGCCTGCAGAGCCTTCTGTTGCTGTTGGTCGATCTCACGCGCATTGGCGTTGTTGTAGTTTTCATTGTCGATCGCCGTTGCCTCGTTGCAGGCGTCGATGCATCTGGAGTACTCTCGCATGCCGAAGTAGATCTGAGCCTTTCGAATGTAGGCTCGGATGAACTTGGCATCTTTCTTGATGGCCGCGTTGCAGTCGTCAAGGGCACTGGGGAACTCGAAGAGCTTGACAAACGCCGCGGCACGGTTGCTGTAGCCACGAGGATCTTCAGGCGCACGCTTAATCATCTCCGTGTAGGCGGCGACGGCACCGGGGAAGTCTTGCTCCTTGAACTTCTTGTTGCCATCCTCACGAGCTTCCTCGGCCTTGGCAGGATCAAGGTACTGGGTCCTGGCCTGGTCGATCTTCTTGCGCTCGGCAGCGCGTAGTTTGTTGACAGTATCGGGCGTTCGGTGCTCGGTCAGAGACTTCTTGTAGTTCTCGATGGCAGAGTCGAGATCGCCCTGTTTCTCGTACGCCGAACCGACACGCGCATATGACTTGGCGATCATCTTGAAGTCGGCATAGATCATGCGACCCTCCTCAATTGCCTTGGTACATGACTCGATGCAGGCCTGGTAGTCGCCCTTTTCGAAGTAAGCTGCGCCTAGGTTGTTCAGGTAAGCGATATCCTTGTGCGAGTCCCAGGCCTTCCTGTAATGCTTGATGGCCTCGTCGAAGTCGCGTTTCTTGTAGCTCTCGGTGCCCAGGGCCTTCTCCTTGTCGGCCTCGTCCTTTGCCTTCTTCTTGGCCAGGGCCTCCTCGTCCTCTGGCTCGGGCGTGGGGGCCTTTGCAGGCTCCGGTTTATCAGCCGGCTTGGTGTTTCTTGAAGGAGCATCGGGCATCGCAACATCCTCCTCGGCCTCCTTACCACGGGACGACGAAGCTCCAGCACCGGGAGCTTCGTCGGGCATTCTCATGTCCATGTCGACACCCATGGCAACGCCCAGCACCTGAATCATTCTCGGGTCGCTGAACAGATCTTGGGTGTTCTGGGGGTTTTGCTGGATGGCCTGAATTTTGGCAATGAAGGAGGGGTCGGCGAAGAAACCGCTGGTCTTGGGGTTCTTCATCAACTTTTCGAGGAGATTCGGGTCGCTGAACATCTTGCCGAGTCCACCAGTGGGATCACCACCTAGACCCGCACCGCCTGGTGGCGAATGTGTGTCAGTCAGGGGATCACCGAGCGAAGGTGTACATGTCTGTTTACATACCGGATTCCTGCTCCATGGCTCTCTGGACCGAAGCCAATGAGCTCTTGAGGCCGGCGTTGTTGGGATCGAGCTTGAGGCCCTCCTCGTAAGCATCGTTCGCGCCCAGTAGGTCGCCCGAGCCGTGTAGAGCTGCACCCTTGCGGCCCCATCCCCGCGGCCAGTCGGGCTTGATCTCTGTGGTCTTTTTGGCGTCCTCCAGAGCATGGGTCCAGTCCCGCTTGGAGGCGTAGGCAGCAGATCGGTTGCTGTACAGGACGTGGTTGGTGGGCGTGAGGTCGATGGCCTTGGTGAAAGCATCTCTAGATGGGGGTTAGTCTACATAAGTGTATAAGCTGGACAGTGCAATGGCTCCACAGGCTATTGCAGAGGATGGGGGCAACGTACATGGCCTCGTCGAAGTTCTTTGCGGACATGGCATTGTTGCCCAGAGTCTTGAGCTCGTCCGCGGACGACATGATGATGGGCTTTGGGTTCGTGAATTGGTGAATGAGGCTTGAACGGAAAGCAGGTCAAATGTAGAGTCAGGCACGGCTTGCTTGAGTATGCAGGAATGAGATTGGAAGATATGAGTCGTTGTGTTAGAACTGGGAGCGAAGACTGAGCGGGTTGAAGACCTCAACCGCAGGGCTGAATTTCGATAGCTTTCTAGATTCTACGCGGCGCAGCGGGGAATGGTCGGCGCTGCAGCTGGTAAGTCCCGGCGCTAACGTGCCCGCTAACCCTGTCGGGACAGCTTCCATGAAAGACAGCTCCAGGCTCCAGCTGCCGCACTCTTAGAAGTTTAGGTAGGTAGATTGCGATAAGAGCGATAAGAGCGATAAGAAATTTCACCTCCAATTGCCCATCTTCACAAGCTGGGGCTTGTTGGAGATCGCGGGGCATATTATTTGGTCGTCCTTTGCAAATCACCCACCACCATCCCATGAACACATGCTCCCTGGCATGTATCTGCCGCCTTCACAGCAGTCGTATTGGTGGCAGCACAGCTGGGGTTCCTGACCAGGCTGTAACGTCTATCACGCTTCCATCTCACACTCTATCAACTCTTCGCCCAGAGGTTTGCAGCGCCCGCGCCGCGACTACTACCTTCATTGCCTCTGACTCACCAAAACCACAACCACAACCATCACGACCGCCACGATTATCACGGCGTCCCACACCACTGGCACAAGATGGATGAACAAACGTCACTCCTGAAGACCCAGCTTTATGCTGCCTGCGAAGATGCCCTCACCCGTGATCCCGACCGCGTCTTCACCCAGAACGAACTCATGGGCTTGGATGTTGTCCAAGATGCCAAGATGCTCCTGCAGCTCATTATCCCTCTGCAGAAGGAGAAGCTCTTTGCGCCTGTCCAATTCGAAGGTGGCACGGCCTGGAGACTGCGAAGTGAGGCTGAAGCAGCCAAGTAAGTCCCCCCGTCCACCCACCGCCCACTCCGAGCCGAGTTGCCTTGCGCTGACAACAGCAAACCTTGCATCTTGACAGGTACAAGCTTCTCACGAGCCATGACCAGGTGCTGGTCTACGATATCATCGACACAGCCGGAAGCGAGGGCGCCTGGCAGCAGGATATCAAGCGACGGGTCAATCTACAAGACAATGCCTTGAGGAAAGCACTGAAGGAGCTGGAGACGAAGCGTCTCATCGCACAGTTCACCACCGTCGAGAATATCTCCAAGAAGATGTGGATCAAGGCCAACATCAAACCCTCTGCTCGCACCACCGGCGGCCCATGGTATACGGACCAGTACCTTGACGAGGCCTTTATCATGGTCCTGCAGGGCGTGGTCATGAGCTTGATCAAGGACAGAGGCAGCTACCTGAGCCACGGCGACAGACAGTCAGGAAGTATGAGCCCCGTACTACCCAAGAAGGGCGTCATCAACGGTGCCACGTCCGAGGCAGCTTTGAAGAGCAAAAAGCGATCCGCAGATGCCATGTCGAAAGAGGACGTCGTATCAGTACCACCGCCAAAGAAGGTCTGGAAGACGGTGCGCCTGCCTCTCCCGGCTGGATATGTGGACTATCCGACCACCGAGGCCATCACGGCCGGCATCAAGGAATCGGGGGTAGCCAAGGGGCAGCCGCTGAAACAGGAGCACGTCCAGGAGCTTATAGACGTGCTGGTGTGGGACAATTGCGTCGAGGAGGTTAAGATGGGCGATCGAATTGGATATCGAGCTGTGCGGATCACAAAGCAGAACCCTTCACTGAGCGTCAGGCCGGACAGCGAGGACTTCTGGGAACCTCGAGGCAACGGGCTGACGACGGTGCCCTGCGGGCGATGTCCGGTTTTCGAGCTTTGCGAAGAGGGCGGCCCGGTGTGGGCTGGTGGCTGCGAATACTTCGACCAATGGTTAGCATAGCGGGACCTCGGGACTGTTGCCGAGTACAAAGGTAGTATAGTAAGTACCTTTGTGTCGGGGGATTGGCGATTTCACATGCATGGCCTTAGCGTTTTGCCCGGGGGGGTTTCTTCTGATGCCAACTTTACGATACCACGGTACGGTCACCATCTGGCATGATGTTGTAGATGACGATGTATGTACCATACAGTCATCCTTGCAAATGACATTACCACATACCTCACCAGAAGGTGGACCGGGAGAATGTACGCAGCTGTTTCAAAGCGGCGCTCATCCTGTCATCTGGGCAACCGCGCTGATGGTGCAATATGACGTTTGACCCGACTGCCATTTTTTTGGAATCTATGGATAACACACGGGTTCACTTCACATGTTCATGAGAACGGATCAAGACTGGAGATCTTCATAGAATGCAAGGCGACTTTTATTCGCAGCTATCTAGCTAGAGCAGCGTGAGTGCCCAATGGATCTCCGGTGCGCTTACTGGCCAGGACATCTTTCCGCAATTTGTTTTCTCGTTGACCTCGATTAATCCATGTGTGAACGTGAAGAAAACACAAGACCGCAAAGTGTTGAGCCGCACTTGTAGGCTCGCAAGATGTTACAGAGCCACAATGGCATACCTGAGGCGTTTGATTCCCCATTGCCTTTAAGCAAGGCCAGACTTGATGATGGTGGGTCGCTTGCCGTACTTGACGGTACCGCTCTGGGATCCGGTGGCCTCGAGAGCCTTGACGACGGCCATGCTCTCGGCGTCAGCGACCTTGCCGAAGACGACGTGGCGACCATCCAACCAGGGGGTCTTGACAGTGGTGACGAAGAACTGGGAGCCGTTGCTGTAGGTGGGCGATCTCGTGTCAGCCCGTTGTCCCGCAAGATGGGGAAGAGCGAATGTGACGCCGTCAAGAGGCGCACAGATGAATGTATGTACTTACGTGTTGGGTCCGGCGTTGGCCATGGACAGGTAGCCGGGCTCGGCGTGCTTCAACTGGAAGTTTTCATCGGCAAACTTCTCGCCGTAGATGGACTTGCCACCGGTGCCCTGGGTCGTGTTAGTAGAGTTATCCTCGCAGAGTAGACAATTGCTCGCGGCAGGCTAGCCGTCCCCACGGGAATGCCACATACGTTACCACGGGTGAAGTCCCCACCCTGGAGCATGAACTCGGGGATGATGCGGTGGAAGGAGGAGCCCTCGTAGCCGAAGCCCTTCTCGCCAGTGCAGAGAGCCTTGAAGTTCTCGACGGTCTTGGGGACGACCTTGTCGAATAGCAGGAAGTTGATGCGGCCGGACTGGGCTGTGCACGTTCTTGTCAGTAAGGGTGGTAGATACTTGGGTTAAGGCAAGCTTGCTTACCCTTGACGTTGGAGGTAGGTTTGCCGCCCTCCATGACGGGGCCCTCAAACTCGACCTGGAAGAAGCATTTCGTGGATCCGAGATCTGCGCTCATCTTGGCGGTTGATGCTGAGAAGAATCGGGTGGTGAATTGGGTGGTGGGTGCTGAGAAGGGTGCGGAAGTCGAAGTTGTGGATGGTTTGGTGAGGTGGGAGAAGACTCGGGAGGAGCTGGAGGAAGAAAAGTTGCTGGGAGATGATCTTGCAACGCGGGGCAGGAGGAAAGCGGGGTTCCTGAGAGCAGCCATCTTGTTTCGCTTTCTGTTTTCTGGTTTCTGTTGACTGGGCAAGTTGCGTCAGCTACAGGTATGTTCCAATGAGGGGGAGGGGGAGGGGGTGGCTGGAGGGGTTGTGAAGGGCAGCCAGCCAATGATATCATCGAAGAGCTTGGAGTGGAGACGGTGGGCATGAGTGCGGGTTGCCAGGGCTGCCGGGCATGCGCTGCTGCTGCTGTGCTCGTGGCCGAAGTGGTGTCTGGGAACGGAGACATGATCATATCCTCGCCGCCCCCCACGCTCTTCTTCCATTCACTCCCCCTATTCGTCACGAAAGCTTCTCTCCCTTTCTATCCAACCCGCCTGGCCGGCATGCTTGCGCCGATTGGGATTGGGGATGGGGCTGGGGCTGGATCTCGAGTTAGAACGAGCTTCCAGCTTTCAAGCACACCCGACCTCGCTGCTTGGACGAGGGCGATGCACACTAGTAGTATGCCCGCCCTCCTCGCATGCATCGAGTACAGTAGTCGAGTGAAAAGCGTCCGGCCCAGCTGTAGTCAACCTCGAGCTACCTACGTGTCATGGGGTGACTGTGCACTACAACATGCATGTACCTCAGGACACGAATTGGCTCTGTTCACTGTACGATGAAGCCGTACAGCTCGTAGAAGGACAGCGGAGGGAGGACGCACACGGAGTCGCGGACAGCCGGCCCCCTTGCACTTCTCCAATGCTCTGCAGGTGCAGCTAAACATAGCTGTCCTACAGCCGCAGTTGGAGCTCCGCCCGGAGAGCTGTCTCATACCCGAACAAGTCAGGAGGCCCTGATCAGCCGGGAGACGCCTGCAGCTTTCCCATCCGGAGCTGCAAATGCTTCCCCGGCGTGGTTCGGCCTGGCACGACGATGGCGTACACGAAGAGGAAGCTCCAACGATGACAAGAGTTCCCCATCTTCGCATCGAGCCGCGCCGAAGACGTCAGGAAAGGACCACAGCCGCCCAAGCTGAGGCCTTCTCCTGATACACCTCGCTCGGGAGTGGAAGGGAGAAGGAAGGCAGCGTCCGTCACTCCAACCAGTATGCAAGATGGATAGGGGATGAGTGCGGTTGACGACTATGCCACGAAGCTGTATGCCAGATGAAGCTCCCTTCCGTTGCTTCGATGCTCTCGGGGCTGCAAGTTGTGAAATAAGGAACTGTTCTCACATACCTGTCTGCTCCGGCTGAAAAGTATAATACAATGTTTAAAACGGCAGAGGTCGAATTGAAAAGGTTTGCTTGAAGGATGGGATGAACAAGGAGGTAGTTTACAACTGCGAAGAGTATTCGATGATGAGTTCAAGCTCTTACTAAATTTTCCCGCCGAGATTGCTCTCTAATAACGATAGCCCCCTGAAGGCGCTGGCCCGGGCGGCGACCTGCAATCTGCAGGTCATCTTCCAATAGCTGGATAGGAGCATGTGGCATGATTCGCCAATACCGAGTACATGTAACTAAATCAAATGGGTACGTAACGCGGGTAGACGATAGGTACTTTAAGTAGGTTCAGCATAGGTACCAACACTGATGAACATAATCACAATTTCATTATTTCCTTACGATATGGTCCGATCGATGCGATGACAGCAAGCAACAACCTGTTAGTTGAGCCCATCAAACCAGGCATGGAGGCGTGGCGGTAGACTCATCAAGCCAGAACGCCATATGTAACTACGCGAGCAATGATCATTACGGGGTCCAGGTTCAATGATTATGCCGTTGTGAAGAAATGGGTCACGTGTAGTAGACTAAGTCAGGTCCAAGCGTGCCAAGCTGCCATTGGAAGGTTCCAATGGCTCCAGCACCCGCCAAGGCAAGGAGCTCAAAGTGGCTTCAATCTGCATTCACCGCGGCTTGCAATTGATACCGTGAAACCCAAGTCTCCCCTCGACTATCCGACAGGCAAGACACCACCACCGACACTACTGACATCACCAACTCGGCTCCGACGTTACCAGTCCTTCCTTTTCTTTCTTGCTCTCCCTCGCAGCCTCGACTTTCGGGCCCCTCAACAATGGATTTCAACAGCCTGAAGGACCAAGTGTCCAATCTGACCTTGTATGACCTCAAGGCCGGCGTACGCAAGGTCCAGAATGGTGAGGGACGCCCCTGACGCAGCATCACGCCAGATGCACGGTACTGACGTTTTGGCCTGATAGCGGTCATGAACTACACCGAAATGGAGTCGAAGGTGGGTTGGCTCGAATGCCCTTTCCAGCGCCCCGAGCTCGCGAATAGATCGACTGACCACCTGCGCGCGACAGGTACGAGAAGCGACCAACAACGAGCCATGGGGCGCATCTTCGACACTCATGCAGGAAATCGCCAACGCGACCTTCAATTAGTACGCTTTCGCCGGGCCATCACCCAAGGTAACAACCGATATGCTGACTCTCGATACCAGCCAGGCCTTGAACGAGGTCATGCCCATGATCTACCGCCGCTTCACCGAGAAGGCCGCCGAAGAGTGGAGGCAAATCTACAAGTCGCTTCAACTGCTCGAGTTCCTGATCAAACACGGTTCTGAACGAGTCATCGACGACGCGCGCGGTCACATCACCCTCCTCAAGATGCTCCGACAGTTCCACTATATCGATCAGAATGGCAAAGACCAGGGCATCAACGTCCGCAACCGGGCCAAGGAACTAGCGGAACTCTTGGGCGATGTCGAGCGCATCCGGTCGGAGCGAAAGAAGGCTAGGGCCAACAAGGCCAAGTATACAGGCGTAGAGGGAGGCGGAATGGCAGGGTTTTCAGGCAGCGGCGCCGGCAGCAGCAGGTACGGGGGCTTCGGCAGCGAATCGGCCGGCTCTGGTGGTTCCGCTGTGGGATACGGTGGCTTTTCTGGTGGCGTCTACGGTGATGGCGGCGGCTTTGGCGGACAGTCAGACGACTGGAGGGATTCCGGCAACCGCGGCGACAAATTCGAGGAATACGACGAATTCGACGAGGGATCAGCGGGGGCGAGCTCTTCGCGCGCGAGGCCAACCGAGAGAGCTGAGAGGGCTGGGGTCAAGAAGACTACGCCCGCGGAGCCACCCAAGAAGAAGCAGCCCGAGGTTGATCTGTTCTCTTTCGACGACCCCGAGCCCACGGCTGCCTCCTCCGCGGCTGCCTCGGCGCCTTCGAATGGCTCTGGACTCGCGTCACTGTCGGCTCCCGCCAACGACGACGACGACGACTTTGATGATTTCCAATCGGCGACCCCTGCCACCCAACCGCCGGCCCCGTCGAACACCTTCGCCATCCCGCCACCCATGGTCACGTCGAGTGTCCAATCAACAGCGCAATTCGCGGCTCCAAGGCCCGTGTCCGGCCCGCAGCAGGCAAATCTTTCTGATATGATGTCGTCCATTTCTCCGCCGGGCAGCTCTACCACGACACCCGCTGCCAACTATTCTTCCTTCAACATCCCAGCGGCCGCTGGCCCAACAATGCAAGCGCCGAAGCCTGCGGGCTACCAAGCATCAACACCTAACTACTACCAGTCGGTTCAAGTGCCGCAGCAGACCGGATCATCGATGGCAGGCATGTCATCCATGTCTTCAGGGACTACCCCGTTGGGCATGTCGGCACACAACCGTCCTGCAGGCACTGCGACGGCCAAGCCGAGTGCTGGCGGTGATCCGTTCGCCAATCTGTGGGGGCAGGCTGGCTCTGGCCTGAGGAAGACGAGCACGCCCACCGCCGGCCCTAAGATGGGACAGCTTGCCAAGGAGAAGACCAGTGCTTCTTTGTGGGGAGCGCCTGCTTCTAGCACCCCCAAGCCCACTGGCCCTTCACAGGGTGGTAGCAGTGGCCTAGATGACTTGCTGGGTTGAACCAACAGGCGTGTGTCGTGAATTCAGCAAGCCAGGCAGGCATGTGGATTGATTCCGGGACGAGGCGAGCTTTGGCTCTCACGAGGCTGGTCATTTCCACGGCATAATCCGCGATATATCCTGTCCAGACTTGGGCGGTGGGAGAAGGGGCATAGGTTGCGTTGTAGCGAACTGTTGGGTGATTTGGTTGGTATGGTCATAGATAGGCGTCAAGGCGCATGAAAACACGTACAATGTCACCATTCCCGATCTCGGCCTCCGCTTTGGGCAATGATCGAGGTTTGCTTTTCTACCAAGTCGTCTTCTGCCGTATGAGGTGCAGTGTGTACCAGGCAGCTACCATGCTGGCCAGCTATCATGTTTGGATGAAACACGGAATGATGCGGCGCAACGCTGCAGCTCGCCAGTGCCCGCAACCAACGAGGGCGCGCAGCTTGGAAGATCACAATGAATCTGGTTTCAGGACAAGCTGAAGTGCTGCTTGAACGACGCGGGTCTAGACCTCGACAGCTAAGAGCATCCACGGGAGCTTCATTGGCCAACAGCGGCCGTTACGATGCCGGCACGCGAGGGAGAGCCGCTCGCTTGGCCGTGGACCACAGGCTCAGCCTCCTCCGTCAACCTGGCCTGCCATGGACACCTTGTAGGTCCATTGAGTAGAGTGCATTGCTACCTATGGCGACCTCCCGCCTCGCGGTCAGTACCCGGCCTCCTTGGTGCCGCTGAAACGGCTCCCCTCATGTCAAGTCTTGGTCAAGGTTTGTCCAGGGGGTCGGCGCATAGCAGAACTCTCCCTATGCTCTTACCCGCCTCCGCGCTTAAGAGTCCGTGCCGACCCACCCGTCTCATTTCGCCTCAGCTCTCAGCTGGGCCCAGGAGCCAACCAGAATTCTCCGAGCCTCAATCCCGGAGTTCAACGCGGTTGTTCAAACAACCAGAGCGACCACACTCCGATGACTCGTCCATACCGCGGGACGGAAGGGCGTCGCTGTAGAGTTCCCCGACCGCGGCTGGGGAGAGGAAGAAAAAGACCAGTCCACTCCTACAAGCGCGGTGATGATCGTGGCTCTTCATTGGATACCTGAGCGCGTTGTGACGCCGCCATCTGCGTCAGTGGTCGGCGACATGTCAGCCAAAATAGCAGTCTATCTTGGCCGACGCATACGAATGGCTACAACCACAACAACAAGCCTGTAGGTAGGTGGATAGCAACCTCTCCAAGGTTCTGGGAAGCAAGGTTCGACATGAAGTCTTCGACTCGGACTTCTTACTTAAAGGACTGTCTGTTCCCGAGTGAACATGTCCCTCTTCTCTCTTTATCCATCAACCAAAGTGAAAGCGGCATAGTCACGACTTTTTCCTTGAGTCTTTCTCTTTTCCCTATCTTCCTTTTCGGTCTCTTTCTTTCCTGGGCAAGGTTCATCTAAATCGGTCTCTTTCTTGGGCTCAACGTTTCCTTCGCATTACCGGACAAGCTTTCTTTCGCCCCCATCTGACCCCCAGGACATATCAGATACCTCGAACTCGTCTAACTCTCCGGTTGCCCTTGGCGCTCGAACTACTTTCTTCCTAACCATCACTCGCTTCGACCTGAGGTCAGCCGTCTTCTCTCTTCGCTTCTCGATTTCGCAAACCTCGGTACTTTCCTTCACCAAGTTTGCTGCGTCCGGTCGCGGCAACGCCCTCTTTCACCATTTCTCCTTCAACTTCTCCTGTGTCTCTTCCGTACCCACGGCAGCGCCTTCCTACGCGCACCATACTCAAGCTTCGTTCACCTCGTCCCAAGCTTTCGCTTATTACCGATTTCGAAACGGCCATTCCTCTGAAGATGCGCTTCCAATCTCCCCAGCTTGGCGCCCTCGGCGTCACCTTCACGGCTCTTCGGGCCATGCAGCTCGTTTCGTTGGTTGCCGTCATCGGTTTGAGCGCCAACTTCATCAATGAGATGGTGACCTCTGAGCGTGAGGCACCGGATGTCCTGATTGGCACTCTCGCCGTGGTACGTGTCTCTGTTGATGTCACAGCGAGGAAGATTTGCTGACGTCGCAGCAGGCCAGCATTACCACACTCTATTCGGCGATATCTTACATCCTGTACTATGACGGGTTGCTCCCTCTGCTTGTCGCGGGTGGGATGGACCTGTCTTTCCTCATTGCTGCTATCGTGGTGGCTGTCACCATCGGCAAACCGCTTTCCATGCTGAAGTGCGAGATTCTGCCCGAGCCAGCATCATCGACCCAGACATTCACCATGTCCATCTCACCCCGCGATTCAGCCGCAGTCAAGTACAACAGCTACCTTGCCTTGATCACTACGGACCAGCCGCATTGCTACGAGATCAAGGCCGTGTGGGGCCTGGCCATTGCCCTCTGCGTGCTTTATGCCTTCTCGGCTCTGGTATGCGTCGGTCTATGGCACCGAGTCAGGAGCACTGCCGCGGCCCAGGCTGCTCCCAAGGATATTGAGGAATAGGGGTGCGCGGGCGTACGAGCGGAGGCCACCATTGAAAAGGTCCCGGGGTCCTTCGGAGAAACACACCACATCTCCGGACCGACCGCGCTCGGTACTCGACTCCTGTCGACGCAGAGTCGTGGACCCGGGTCGCGATTTTCACCTCCCCTCAAGGCGCCCGAAGTATCCCATCGTCGTGCTGTACTACGATCCATCGACGAAGATATACGCGCGGTACCGACTCCCCCGACTATGATCAATGCCCACGCTGGGCCGTCAATCATGATGCGGCGTCGTCCTGTCGAGCCTATCCTTCGGCCAGCACCGGCGATTGTGCATCCAGCAGTTGCCATGCCACCCATGCCATTCGGTCCTCCGACTGAAGATTTCATACCGGTTGTCCACAAACGTGTCCCGGAGCCCATTCAGACCAACATACACGACATCTCACGCACTCCCATCATCATGCCGCCCATCCCGCCTACGCCTAGCAACGATGGCTTCACCCCTGTCACACCCGCTCCTTCCCCGAGGCTGAAAGGGTTTCGGTCGAACAGGACGTCACACCTGTCACAAGACGCTCTGGGTATCTCCGTGGTACGGTTCAAGAGCGTGAAGGCCCAGATAGTAGACGACGAACATGACGATATGACGCCGCTGAGCCCAGCCAAAAATAGAGATATCGAAGCGCAGGTATTGCCAAAGATGAAACCCAAGCGAAAAACACTGCTTGGCGTGTTGGAGGGGTGGTGGGATCTTGGATTGCTGGAGAGGGGAAGAAGCCTGAGGAGGAGGGGCTAGGAGGAATCGTGGTAATGGGTCGTATGTTGCGGTGCGGGCTTGGGCTGGAGTTTGTGACTTTTCTTTTGTTGGGTATACATAATGGTGGCTGGCTTGGCCACATCTCACTGGGCATCAAACGGGCAGCGATGGTAATAGATTCCTGTAATCAGAATGTCAAAACCTATCAATTACTTTGCACGACTTGCCATGTGGGATTGTGTTTTTGGATGTATTACAATATTGCTAAAGTAACCAGCAGACATGTCGCATGTCCAGACTATGGGGCTCCGGCATGGCGAATCGCAGTGAGAAATCACAGACCTGGTTCACATGCTTCCTCCGCAACACTCCCAAGATATTTCTTCCGGCATGCGGTGGGCAAATTTTCGTTCCCAGTGCAAGCCTGTTCGAGACCGCGGCGATTGAGCTATCCTCCCTATTCCTCATAGTTGCTATCGAAGAGGGCATAGAGTGGACGGGCAAATCCTCCAAGTAGCGAAGGCGGCAATAGCACGTGGAACAGCAAGGGGTGAAGGCTGCCAAGTATAGAACGGGGTCCACGTAGTGCATAGTGAAGATGCCCGTAAGAAAATAAATGTCGGCGAACTCACTTGGAGCGGCCGGATGTCCACTAACAGCGGTGATATATCCGGCAGACATATCATGCAGACATATCATGCAGACATATCATGCAGCTCATATCATGCAGACACATCATGCAGACATATCATGCAGCTCATATCATGCAAACATCACACACCGTAGTGAGTACAGTTCACCAGGAGGGTAAGTCGTGACGTACAGGCTAGGCTGGGGTGCCCCGCCGTGCATATTCATTATAGATTTATATAGAAAATTTTCCATTCACGCTATCGGCCATAACTATTTATACCAAGGAGAAACTTGATAGTTTATATACATTATGTCAGGCAATATAGCCTCCGGGGCCTCACCCCGGGCATCCTCCCATCCTCCCGAGCCTCCTTCCCGAGCCTTCTTCCCGAGCCCCACCATCCTGGTGATCTGTAAGTGAAAGAGTGTGGAAGCCTTGAGAAGGACGGCGTCGCCGGTGCACCGGGTTGACCCACCCGAAGGAATCAGCTTCACGCCAGAACGGCCAAATCGTCGAGAGACTACATCCATACGGGCTGCTATTTTGGTCGCAACCTGACGTCTAACAATTGACTGTAGCTCCTAGCTGCGCAACATGTTTAGGTGACATGACGCACATAGCAACGACGGCTTCTCGGGGACCACACCTGTCGTCATTCCGGGCTATTGGGCCCAATCCGTACTAGAAACGGGGGGTCACAGGCCATCAAAATATAACGGTGAAGCTTGACGCATGCTTGCCACTACTCTAAATAACAATTGATCGAGATGGTGTGACCGTGACAAGAGCAGTTGTTGGCTGGCTGCCTGACTAGTTTGAATAGAGGTCCTGAGTGCTCAGGTCTATATAAGTCGTCGGAGTCCCCATCCAAAACAGCACGTTCTTCTCTTCTCGACCTTGACCGCGCAACCCACAACAATGCGCCTCCTACCACTTCTGAACGTCGGCTTGCTTCTGGTTAGCAGCAATGCACAATTGAACCTGCCACAAGACAACGAGCCAGGACAATATAGGTACGGAACTCGATAGCTTTGGCGACCTCCTACACGGCCTAGCGAAACTAACGAGTACGACCAGGCGAATAACCAAGAGAGCTTGGTCGGATGTTGGTCGCTGCCTAAGTGTTATTCCCATCTGGTCCTTCAAGGAAGGCTATCTATCAGGGGCAGATTGTTGAAAAGAACTTGCTCCTTGGGCTTTTGGTCTCCTATAAGTCCATCTCTGTATCCCAGGTAAGTATAGAAACGTTCATAAGGAGTCATCCAGTTATAGATGTACTTAGGGGTACGATTGTATAGATATACCGCTGTTCGGAAGATCTCAACCCACAGATATGCTGGCAACTTGGCTCCATTTCGCATCGAACGGGCCTTGTCCTTAATCACACCCCCCGAGCGCTCGGCGCCTCCATTTTGGTCTTGTGTGTTAGGCGCTGAGGGTTCCACCTTCATCTTCTTGGTTATGGTGAGAAACTGATACACATGAGGCTTCTGGGTCGTGAGCTCGTTGTCGCATTCTATCACCTCCGGCTTGACCTGATTCTGGTGCTCTAAAATCCCGAATAGCAACTTAAAAGTTGCTATAAGCGTATCCGTCTTTCGGTCGCTCAGATAGAAGTCCCAGATATATCCAGACCATCTGTCAGTAACAAGCATGATGCTGTTCAGTCCGTTGCTATCTCTGTCAAGGTCGTGGAAATCGATTGCTAGGCGGACTCCGGGCTTCCCAGGTCTATCCCGCCGTGTACGTCTCCTTTGCTTCTTGGCCTTCCCGCAGGCGCATGCGTCACATTTCACGGTTGTGATACGTTCTTCTGCTGAATCTCTAGGCTTTAAGTCCTTGATCTTCACCCCCCGAGAGTGGCCTACAAGGTGATCAAGAACATCTGGCCCTGGGTGACCTAATCTGAGGTGCCATCGGCGACTATCGGTAGTGCAAGGCGCCCTCTCGGTCCATGAGTTGTATTTCTTCCTTCAAATAAAGAATGCACGTCTTGTCAAAGACTCAGGCAAATATTCAATCACGTATTGCTCATGCTGATCCGTCAGCTCGCAGAGGATCGAATCATCCTTCCTCCGAAGATAGTTATTGCTTCCTTTGTTGTCCCACCAGTACCCCTGGCGCTTGAGAAGTCGGAGTGATACCAGGTTACATACAAAGCCTTCGCAGAATGCCACATCGTGTAAGCGCATAATTCTTGACCCAGAAGGGCCAGTAACGCATATATCGACATCTCCGTAGCCTAGGATAGGGACTACTGTGTCTCCTGCAAATACTGCGTCACCCTGAATCGCCGACCGGAAGTTTAAAAACCTGCTGATCATGTTATTCACCTGTCTGGATTGTCTGGAGTCCAATCTACGTCGCCTAGTCTCTCGAGTTGAGCAGGAACATCCAGATCATGCTTTAGACCTGGTCCATATGGATACAGCCAAGCACTCTGTCCAAGGCTATGATGGTTCTCTCTATGCCACCGTATTTGTGGATGGCAAGTCTCGTTTGAGGGAGTACTGCCCTCACGAGAAGAAAGGGGAAGCTTCCGACCAAGCCATTCGCTACTGTGAATACGCTCACACCCAGTACGGGCGTTATCCGAAGCGATTCCGAATGGATGGTGGTTCTGAATACGCGAGATTCAAGCAATGGGAAGCTGAACGTGGTATCCTGTTCGAAGTCAGTGCTCCATACACTCCCGAGCAGAACGGAGTGGCTGAGAGACCCTTTGGCGTTATACACGCTCTCATTCGCAGTATTATGAAGGATTCCGGGCTACCTGAAGCCCTTTGGCCGGTAGTTGGACCTGCCGTATGTGATAGGCTCAATGTGAGCTATACATCTTTCCTCCAGGGCGTTAAGAAGACTCCCTTTGAAGTTTTCTTTGACGATCTGAACCCTGGAAAGGATAACAAGCCTGATTTGACGAATTTACTGTCAATCGGGCAGGCCGCTGTGGTCCATTTGCCGCAGCAGCGCCGCCCTAAGGGAGACAAGACCACTCCACACGCAAGGAGAGGTCGTATTCTTCGTTCCCTTGGTTCCAACCAGTACCAGGTGTATCTTACACACCTGAGAAAGGTTGTAGTTACTGCCCATCTTGAGATTTTGGATGGGTATGTACTTTCAAGGGATTTGATCCACATCTTTCCAAACTTCTGTGGTACACTCGATGACTATGAGACAACCAGACCCGATGCTGAAGATCTGCCAGCGCCGTCTTCACCAGAGGGCGCTCACGATCCTCTCACCCCAACCAGTTGTCACGTTAGGGACCCCTCTTGGGTCCCCTTACGCTTCTGATAATGATGATGGTCATCATTCTGACTCTGGATATAGCAACCCTGAGCCTAGTACTGCTCTAGCTGACTCGATTCTTCTATCATCTGAACCACCTCGTCAAGAAGTAGCCCCAACGGCTGCTCCGAGGTCAAGAATCCAATCAGGGCTCAACCCAGAGAATGTACTCTCCGGAGGGCGCACTCGGAGGACTCACAACCACTACGTGGCGGAGTCTTCTACCCCTGGCATATCTCCACATGTTACAATCTGTTGGATAACAGGGGTCATGAAGATGAGCCGAGTCTGACCGGAAAAACCACGGTACGGCGGAGATGACCAGCACCAAACTGGGAACCGATCAGGGGCACCTGAACAGACAGAACAGATACAACACACTACATGCAATACACGAAGAATCACCCTCCAATCACTGAACTCGCTTGAATCTAACACAATCGAGGCATCTTATGCCAATTGGCCGTCTTCTGACCCTGATCAGGCACTTCCCCGTAATGACGAGCCTTCTAGCTACAAGGAAGCCATGGAGTCTGCTGAGGCACCTCAATGGCTGGATGGCACTCACACAGAGATACAGGCGTTGCTGTGCAATAATACCTTCATTCCTTTGTAGAGGTCTGATCTGCCTGCTGGGCGTAAAACTCTCTCTAGCCGCAATGTCTATAAGCGGAAGAGGGACTCTGACAGCAACACCTCTCGGTACAAGGCTAGGGTGGTTGTACGAGGCTTCATGCAACGCTATGGCCTTGACTATTTTGAAACCCAGGCCTCAGGCGCTCGTACTACCACCTGGAGGCTCCTTCTAGCCATTGCTGCCGTTCTGGACTGGGAAATTGACCAGATGGATGCTGTATCTGCCTTCTTGATGGGAGAACTGGATGAAGAGATTTTTATGGAGACGCCTGATGGTCTCTCTGACTTCTTTGAGATGTATCCAGATGAGAATACCATTAACTGGAGACCTGGCATGATTATGAAGCTTGCGAAACCGTTATATGGGCTCAAGCAGAGCCCAAGGCAGTGGCAGAAGCGCATTCGCAGCGCTCTGAAGGACCTTGAATTCGACCCCCTGGTCTCTGACAACGCAGTCTATGTCAACATCAGCCATGGCATTATAGTGATCAGCTATGTCGACGATTTCTTCATTTTGGGGGCTAATCGTGACGGGATCGCTGCCTTCAAGAAGGAACTAGGTTCTACATTTGAGATGAAGGACATGGGAGCTGCTGAACACTTCTTAGGAGTCCATATTGTCAGAAACCGAGCTGAGAGGACGTTATATCTCTCTCAACAGACGTATGTGAGAAGGACTGTGGAGGCGTTTGACCAGCAGAACACTGGCAAGATGAACGTGCCGATATCTCCTCAAGCAGTGGAACAGATGGAGTCCCTGGACAATGACCTTGAGGTCGATACCCGTCCTATTCAGACATACCAGTCCCTGATCGGTTCCAAGAACTTCCCCGCGTCGTATACGAGACCAGATATTGCACACTCTATGGGTGTTCTCTCGCGATACCTTCACAACCCTGGCTCAGCCCAATATAAGGCCGCTCTGGGCCTACTTCGCTATTTGTGGCACTCTCAAGATCTTGGGATCAAATTTGGAGGTCCCGAATATGTCAGGAAGACCCCTCAGGAGGTCCTTAAGATGATTCCGGATCTGCTGGTTGGTTACTGTGATGCCAGCTATGCTAGAAGCATCAAAACCAGCGCCAAATCCACCTCAGGCTACCTGTTCACGTTTGCTGGGGGCGCTGTCTCCTGGGCATCCAAGCTGCAGACTGTTGTGGCTCAGTCTACTGTAGAATCGGAGTACTATGCACTCTCTGAAGCCGTCAAAGAGGCTGCCTGGCTACGAGAACTGATGCTGGAACTTGGTTTCACTCTGAATGCTATCAACATCCATTCAGACAGTGCTAGAGCTACTAATTTGGCTCAGAACACTGAATTCCATCGTCGAACTAAGCACATTCGAGTCAGGGAACACTACATTCGTCAGGAGATCTTGGAAGGCCATATACGGCTCTCTTTCCTTGGAACCAATGAAATGCCTGCAGACGGTCTCACCAAAGCTTTGACAAAGGCAAGGTTCTTCAAGTTTCTGGAGTTGCTAGGACTGGTTCATGTAGAGGGGTGATATTATGGTTATGTTAATTCCCTCAGTCTGAGAGGGCGTGTTGGATTCTGGGCTACGTTAGCCCATCCATAGTCATCCTTCAGGATCACCATCCCCATTTGTGACTCTGTCATATACGTGGCCAAAATAAGGCCACGTATCCTTTCCTTTAGTATCTTGGATATATATAGGGCCATTCCGGCCGCTTCAGAGTAGCTGGAATTCCTCTCCTTAATAGAACACTTTTTTTAGTCATTCATGTCTGAACGGTCCGCAAGAGTTCGGTTTGAAGGTATTGTGACCGACATAAAAGCTCTCACTTGTGGGCTACCACAAGGCTCACCAGCTTCTCCAATCCTTTATATGCTGTATACAGAGCCAATCTGTGCCCGACTCGGTATGAAAAGGAGACGCTTTGGATATGCAGACGACGTAGCGACTCTCTGTATTGGAAAGGACCTTAAAGAAACAGCCAAAGAGGCTTCTGAAAATCTTTACCTGCTCAACCAATGGGGACATAAAAATGCTATTGAATTTGATCCCGACAAAACCGAGATTATGCACTTCTCACGGAAAAAGAACTCAGACAATCCTCCGGTCCGCCACGGGACAATAAACAGAACAGCAAAGAACTCTATGCAATGGCTGGGTGTCTTTCTGGATAGAAAACTGAACTTTAAAGATCACGTTTCCTACTGGGCCAAGAAAGCTAGTAGGGTAGCAAACCACCTTCGAGGACTATGCAACACAGTCAAAGGACTTCCAGTAAAGTCAACCAAGAGGGCTGTGAAAACTTGTGTTATTCTTATTCTTACACATGGCCTGGAGGCCTGGTACCCAGGAATGGAAAAAATTGGGAGCTTAGGTGGGACATCAGCATGTCGCATTAAAGGGCTTATTGGAACGATAGATGCTGTACTACGAACGGCAATCAGAGCTATCCTGCTGGTCTGGAAAACACACTCTGGACATATCCTACACTTTGAATCACAGATTCCTCCAGCAGGAATTCTTGCAGAGTCAATAAGAAGACGTCACGGCCTCCGACTCGGACGAGTAGACCAGAGACACCCTCTTGTTGGCAGGCTCCAAATACAAGCTCGCAAAGAACCAACAAGGCTACAAAGGAGCTTCCAATTAGTCCCTAACTTCCAGAGACCAATACTTACCAAGCCATCATGGAAGAAGCTACCAGTCCGTAAAGACAAGGACAAAGAAACAGAGCTCTTCAAGCAATGGTTACAGGAGTACGCCCGCGCCGGCAGTGAGAGGGTCGTGTGGGATATTCATGGGAGCAGTGGTTTCCCAGCATTCAAGAGTTGAGCTACCATTTTGAGCACTGAGCGCAGTGATATTAAACCGAAGTGCTAATAACAATGGAACGTAAAACAATAGAAGGATATTGACATATTCGATCTGCATAATGTGCTTTGTTGTAGTAGGAACAGTGTGTAGGGAAGATTTTTTTTAGTTGTAAAAGTTACCAATTTGAAACCCAGTCGTTTGTACACTCTCAGATATTTTGCAGTCGCGATATTGATATATGTTTTCCAATATCTCGCTTGCGACTCTTATTGGTTCCATAACATTAGATCGACTGAGTTTTCAGTGCGTTCGTTAGGTTGCACAAGTTAATGTTGGTGGTTAAAGTTAAATGTGTTGGTGTGAAGGTGTTATAAAACAAGCTACGACCTCCACGAAAGCTACCTGGCAAGCACATGTTTGCAAATACTACCGCAGCTAACCATGTTTATTCTGCCTTGGATTGGAGATTCCGACAACGTTCGTTCTTGACTGTCTCTATCTTCTCAATCTGGATCGGAGTCCTAAGGAAATACCTAAGTGGGTTCCCTTTCTTACTGCATCTAATAGCTTTTCGGCACCACATACAAACAAGCAAACAAGCAAACAAGCAAACAAGCAAACAAGCAAACAAGCAAACAAGCAAACAAGCAAACAAGCAAACAAGCAAACAAGCAAACAAGCAAACAAGCAAACAAGCAAACAAGCAAACAAGCAAACAAGCAAACAAGCAAACAAGCAAACAAGCAAACAAGCAAACAAGCAAACAAGCAAACAAGCAAACAAGCAAACAAGCAAACAAGCAAACAAGCAAACAAGCAAACAAGCAAACAAGCAAACAAGCAAACAAGCAAACAAGCAAACAAGCAAACAAGCAAACAAGCAAACAAGCAAACAAGCAAACAAGCAAACAAGCAAACAAGCAAACAAGCAAACAAGCAAACAAGCAAACAAGCAAACAAGCAAACAAGCAAACAAGCAAACAAGCAAACAAGCAAACAACAAGCAAACAAGCAAACAAGCAAACAAGCAAACAAGCAAACAAGCAAACAAGCAAACAAGCAAACAAGCAAACAACAAGCAAACAAGCAAACAAGCACCATCCAATGCGCTACCGTACAATCTGCTCCACATGGCAACTCCCATATGAGCAAATCCAGAAACAAAATACCCTCGCAGCTATGAGAAGTACTACTAGCATTACTAAAATCTTGTCGACCACTCATGAATGAATTCCGACTTTCGGCGTATGTGGGATAAGGCATTGCCAACATGCTGCCGTCTCATGACACTTTAGTATATATGATAAGACTCTCCCATTATTTTTCTGTATACGACTACATACTGCGACCACAGAATCGAGATTGGTTTTGTGACATATCAGCGCGGACTCTGGCATTTGAGCATCTAAAAATACTGTTAATCTTCCTAATCGCCACTATGTCTCTGTTCACAGAATTGGAGACGCCAGTCACTGGCATCTACACCCAGCCTACAGGCCTGTAAGTTGACATCAATGCCGTCTCTGTCTTTTTAATACATTTGTTATATTATATTTTCTTTATACCCTCCTTATTTTTAGCGGTCAGTCACTAAGGCTCTACTGATAGGTGGATTAATAACAAATGGGTCGAGGCCATAGGAAAGAACAGCTTCGAAGTCATAAACCCTGCTACAGAAGAGGTTATTTACTCGGTCTCTGAAGCCACCGACAAGGACGTAGAAAAGGCCGTATCGGCCGCACGAAGAGCATTTGAAGGTTGTTGGCGCACCACCACACCCCAACAACGGGGAATCCACCTCACGAATCTCGCTCAGATATGCGAGAAGAACATAGACAACCTGGCTGCCATCGAATGTCTTGAGAGCGGAAAGTCTATCTTGACAGCCAAAGAGGAAATCATTGCCGTTATCGGCTGCCTCAGATATTACGGCGGCTGGGCCGACAAGATTGAGGGCAAGACTCTCGACATAAACCCAGAAACAATGCACTACACCAGACAGGAGCCGGTATGTTACATGCTAGAGTAGGCTCAAGAAGGAGTGGGAGTAACTGACGTTTCGAAGCTCGGTGTCTGTGGCCAAATCATCCCGTGGAACTTCCCAATGCTGATGTTGGCCTTCAAGATTGGACCAGCGCTTGCCGCGGGTAACACAGTTGTTGTGAAGACCGCAGAGCAAATGCCGCTCGGGGCGCTTATTTTCGCCGACTACGTTAAGCAAGCTGGTTTCCCTCCTGGCGTGCTGAACATCCTTTCTGGCTTCGGCAAGGTTGCTGGTGCTGCCATCTCCTCCCATATGGGAATCGACAAGGTAGCATTCACCGGTTCCACCGCTGTCGGGCGTACCATCATGAAGGCGGCAGCAATGTCCAACCTGAAGCAAGTGACCCTGGAACTTGGGGGGAAGTCGCCAAATATCGTCTTTAGTGACGCCGACATCGAACAGGCAGTCTCCTGGGTCAGCTTCGGCATTTACTATAACCAAGGTCAGTGTTGTTGTGCCGGTTCTCGCGTTTACGTGCAGGAGAGCGTTTACGACGTTTTCATTGAAGCATTCAAAAAGCGGGCTCAGGCAATCTGCGTTGGAGACCCCTTCGATGCAAAGACATTCCAGGGCCCTCAAGTCAGCCAGCGGCAGTTCGACAGAATCATGGGATACATCGAGGAGGGCAAGAAAGAGCGGTGCAAAGGTCGAGACCGGGGGCGAGCGACACGGAAGCAAAGGTTACTTCATCCAACCAACCATCTTCAGCAATGTCACTGCAGATATAAAGATCATGCAAGAGGAGATATTCGGTCCCGTTGTTGCCGTCGCCAAGTTCAAGACAGAAGAGGAGGTCATCAAGATGAGTAATGACAGCCCATATGGTCTGGCGGCAGGCGTCCACACAAACGATCTCAATACCGCCATCCGGGTCAGCAACTCCTTGCTTGCCGGTACCGTCTGGGTCAACTGCTATACCATGGTGTATCACCAACAGCCATTTGGTGGATATAAGCAGAGTGGCATCGGTCGCGAGCTTGGCGAGGCGGCGCTGGCAAACTATACACAAACTAAGTCGGTTACGATTCGCCTAGGCGGTGCCCTATTCTAAGTCATGCGTCAAAGGAGGCCCGACTTACGTGGTAGTTCTAGTCTATCATTTCGTTATCAAGGAAGCACGTGTTACAATGTTCAACTCTCTATTCGCTAGCTTGGTTTTACTCTCGCTTAGTTCGTATACTCTCATACTACGAAGAATCTGTTGAACGGCCGAGGATGCCAAGGGGTATCACTTGAGGACTCCTTGCAGTTAGGATGGACCCACAGTGGAAGGGGTATACCTGGTCAGATTTCTGCAATGGAGGACAGAAAGACAGATTAAAACACACATCAGAATCGACCATACGTTTTACGTGACAGAATCAAACAAGGCCATCCGGTGAAATGTTACTGAATAATGTGCCAGCTATGCGCATGTAAGAGGAGTTGGTGCGAGCTAGATAGGCATGTTGTAGGAACAGGCTTGAACGTTCAATCATAATACTCGAGTATTGGGTCAAGGTCATGATGTTGCTGATGGGTTGGATTGGGAGGTCTAGCTGGACCTGAAGGTCTAGCTAAGTGACCTCGCAACCCGGTATCTAATCTCTTATCTAATCATACATGTGGTGGGTCTTGACAGGGGAGGAGATATGTAACGTCTACATAACAATAGTAAAAGCAGAAGGCGAAAGAATAGGCAAGCAACTATCAGTTCAGAAAGCCTTAGGGAAGGTGCTATCTAGAGAACGTCGACGCTGCTTCCCGCCGCGTCCAGCTGACCATCTAGATCAAGGATAACAAACCCAGGCAAGACCGCGAGGCTAGCTCTGCTTCTCCGTACCGTACCAGTTCACAAAGTGTCTCACTTAGCTGTAGAGAACCACCCATCCATACCACCTGAAATTTTCATCGGCCTGGGCTTCATCCTTCATCGAGTCGTTCCCTCTTTCTTCCTAGGTGCTGATCACGCTATTGAACATTAGACATAAGCTCTTCTACTTTCACTAGCCAGCTCATGCACGAGATAATGCGCCAGAGATGACTATCGGTAGTATTTATAAAAACAACCCACCGGTACGCTTGGCTCAATCATGCCAGGCTACCACAGGCTTCAGTTGGCTAAGATGCTTAGATTGATCACTGAGGTAGAGTTTGTTTGTTTGTTTTGTATTTAACGTGGGGGTAGCTCCTCAGTAGTGCAAACCACGCCTCCCAGAGCCTCTGCATCGCAGGGTTGTGGAGGTCTCAAGATAATAAGTACAGTCAGTCCCGCTCACGGGCCCATCCCCGTTGTTGCGGCGGTATGACCTTGGGGTCATCCATCTGGTCCTTCAAGGAAGGCTATCTATCGGGGGCAGATTGTTGAAAAGAACTTGCTCTTCTCCACGAATTTTGCCCATTCTGTGCTCCTCTCCCCTAAGTATTGTAAACAAGCTGCCCTAGGCGAATGCCTAGGCAGTAGCCGATTTTTCCCCAGCCTCTTACAAAAGAAAATGTGTTGTGGTGTTTTCTTCTCACCACAGCTGCAGTGATCATTTGAATCTGTGTGCCCAAAGCGTTCATGGTATCTGGCAAAGTCGCCATGTCCAGATCTGGCCGCTAGAAGTCTGTGTAAAGTACTCCTCTTAAAAGATATAAGGTCTCTTTCAGTTACTGCATGTGAGTATACTTCTTGATACCTAGATTCTGATTGGTCTTTCCACCATTGGTTGAACTCTTTCTTGCCCTGTCTTTTGAGATCTCTCTTGACCCAAGAGATTGTAGGAAGATTTGTTGTGTCTGTTTCCAGCATGGCACCCTCTTTTGCTAGTGTGTCGGCAGCTTCGTTGCCATCAATATCTCTGTGTCCAGGAATCCATTTGACGGTCACTCCAGGAGTGTGTGCTGTGGCAAGTTCTTGAAATCGTAGAAAAATGTTTTGTGATGTCTCGGGTGGAGTCCCATTGAGCCCATCTACCACTGACGTGTTGTCCAGGCAGACATATAGCTGTTTTCCGTGTCCAGTTGCCCTGGCTGCTGCAAGACCTTGGAGAGCACCATGGACTTCAGCATCTACTACTTCTGCTTGTAGAAGTCTGCCCCTTCCCCGGTATACTTCTTGTGTAGTGCCGCCTTTCCTGATGGTATAACCCCATCCAGTGCGGATTGTGCCTTGGTCATCCAACTGTGATCCATCTGAGTAGATGACAAGGTCAGTGTTCACGTTTCTCTCTTGTAACCATTGCTTGAAGAGCTCTGTTTCTTTGTCTTTGTCTTTGCGGATTGGGCGCTTCTTCCATGATGGCCTGGTAAGTATTGGTCTCTGGAAGTCAGGGACTAGCTGGAAGCTTCTTTGTAGCCTTGTTGGATCCTTGCGAGCTTGTATTTGGAGCCTGCCAACCAGAGGGTGTCTCTGATCTATTCGTCCTAGTCGGAGGCCGTGACGTCGTCTTATTGACTCTGCAAGAACTCCTGCTGGGGGAATCTGCGATTCAAAGTGTAAGATATGTCCAGGGTGTGTTTTCCAGACTGGCAAGATAGCCCTGATCGCCGTTCGTAGTACGGCATCTATTGTTCCAAGAAGCCCCTTAATGCGACATGCTGATGTCTCACCTAAGCTCCCAGCTTTCTCGATTCCTGGGTACCAGGCCTCCAGGCCATGTGTGAGAATAGGAATAACACAAGCTTTCACAGCCCTCTTGGTTGACTTTACTGGAAGTCCTTTGACTGTGTTGCATAGTCCTCGAAGGTGATTTGCTACCCTACTAGCTTTCTTGGCCCAGTGAGAAACATGGTCTTTGAAGTTTAGTTTCCTATCCAGAAGGACACCTAGCCATCGCATGGAATGCTTAGCTGTTTTGTTCATTGTTCTGTGGCAAACTGGGGGATTGTCTGAGTTCTTTTTCCGTGAGAAGTGCATGATCTCGGTTTTGTCGGGATCAAATTCAATAGCATTGTTATGTCCCCATTGGTTGAGCAAATGAAGGTTTTCAGAAGCCTCTGCAGCTGTTTCTTCAAGGTTCTTTCCAATGCAGAGTGTTGCTAGGTCATCTGCATATCCAAAGCGTCTTCTTTTCATGCCAAGTCGGGCACAGATTGGCTCTGTATACAGCATGTAGAGGATTGGAGAGACTGGTGAGCCTTGTGGGAGCCCACAAGTGAGAGCTTTTATATCGGTCACAGTACCTTCAAACCGAACTCTTGCGGACCGCTCGGACATGAACGACTGGACCCATCTTATGAGAAAGCCTGGCCAGCCCTGTTCTCTCATGCGAACCACCAGCCGTCCCATTAGGGCAGCATCAAAGGCCCCTTTCACATCTGATGTGACTACCGTTGCAACGAGGCCTTGGTCAAGGGCCTGCTCAATATCGTGTATGAGTGCAGCTACCAGGTCAGTGGCAGAGCGCTTTGGTAGAGCTCCAAAATGTTGTGGGGCTAGAATTCCAAGTTTGACAACAAACCAGGTAATTCTTTTCGCAATGAGTCGTTCTAGGCCCTTGCCAAGACATGACAGTAGCGATATTGGTCTGTAGGCCCTGGGATTGGAGTAGTCTTTCTTTCCTGGTTTTGGGATCATCACCACCTCAGCTACTTTGAATGGTTTAGGGTGGTGTCCAATCAGTAGGCAGGTCTGGAAAAGGGCTCTGATATGTTCACCAATGACTGGCCAGCAAGCTTTCAGAATCCGTACTGTGAGGGTATCTACTCCCGGGGAGTTGCTCTTGGTTCCTAAAGTGCACCCTTCAGCCTCTTCCAGTCCGACGTGGTATTCAAGGGGGATGTGTGGCTTGGGTTGTACGATCTGAGTGGACCAGGGGTCGATGATATCGTTGTCTGAGGTACTTCGTTCAAGCGTGGCTGAGCGTAATGCATTTGCCTTGCTCTCTTGTGACTCGAATATTTGGTCTCCTATGATGATTGGAGGGGAACGCAATCCTGCTGATAACTTGTGCCAAGAGACGATTCTGTATAGGTCCTTTGGCTCAGTTGCTGAATTGATTAGAGTCTGCCAGTACTCTCTCCTAGCTTTCCGAACCACGCCGCGAAATTCCCGTCGGGCTGAATTCCGTCCTTCTTGGCTTGTAGTCTGTTTGGAAAGGGCCCTGTATGTCTGAACAGCTGCTTTGCAGTCATCATTCCACCAAGCAGTGGGCCTAGATTGACGGGGCCTCTTGCCCACTGTCCTGATACAGCCTTGGATCATGTTGATCAGGCTTTGTGTAAAGGTGTCCACCTGGCCAGGGGATACACCCAGCCGGGGGAGTTCATGAATCCTGGTTTGGACATTATCTGCCAGCTCCTGTAGTTTATCGTCCGGTACTATCCAATGATTGGCCTTGGGTACTCGGTCCAGATCTCCCTGGATTGGAATGACTATTCGTAATGTCTCATGATCTGAGGTGCACTGAAGTGCATCATTGACTGAGGCTTCAGCCATGGGGACATCAGAGAACACCAGATCTAGTACATTTCCGTCATCATGTGTCGGGACATCTGGTTCAGAAATCAGATCCAGTCCGTGGTCTGCCATAGTTTGTGCAAGTATAGTACCACCATGATATCCTGGATTGCTTGAGTCCCAGGATGTGTCGCCAGCATTGAAATCTCCAGCTATAACGCAGCCAAAAGGTGGAGTCCATACTTCCAGAATGTCATCCACTTCCTGTGGGTTGTCACATGGCCGGTAGACACTGGCAAATGTAATGCCTTGTACCTTGACCCAGGTGATGTCTCGTGTAGCATAGGGCCGAAGTTGATCCGCTTGAAGGTATTTTCTCACATAGATGAGAGATCTGGGCCGTGTACTGTCGCTGTCCCAGGAATCCACTGGGGAGTATATATCGTAATTGGGGTGTGTCTTTACTCCCATTCTCCTGCCTGGTGGTATGCCAACCCAGGGCTCTTGTATCAGAATGATGTCTGCTTGTTCTCCTTTATAGTCAGCCAGATTGATGGCTAACTCTGTAGGGCCTGCACTCTTTTGTCCCCCTGCTGTATTCACAGAATGGATGACTAGATGCCCGTGTCGATGTGTTTCGTTTGATGTACCTAACATTGACTGACAACAATGGTATCGGCATCTCTGGGATGAGTTGTATCTGTTGTGTCGATTTGCATTGTGGTGTCTTTGTTATTATTGCTAGGTGTTGACCCAGCTTGGTTTCTGCCTGCTTCGTTGAAGGCCTTGGATCTGGCTCTTTCTCCGGCTAGCCTTATTTCCTGGATTTGCTCCCATGTGTGCTTATGGATGGTACCTTTCACAACCTTGGGGCGGGCAGGGCATTTGTCGAAGTTGGCAGCATGAGGTCCTTTGCAGTTGACACACTTTGGGATTGGTTTTTCGCACTCTCCCTGGTGTACTGTGTTGGCGCAGTGTGCACATACTTGCTTTTCGCATCGGTAATTCCTACCATGGTATCTGAAGCAGCTTGCACACTGGTGAACCTTGGGGGTGTGTTGAATATGCCTTGAGGTCATTGAGTGGGCAAAAAGCGTGAATGGTTTCCTTGCTGCACTGGGCAGAGAGATTATCCATGTAGTTTCTGGATCAGAATTAATCGTGTTCTTTGAGAGTATGCACCTCAGAGGTCTGTCGCCTGTTTGGGCTTCAACTTCATCGGCAACAACAGTGTCAGTAATATCGATTGTGAACCCTTCTGCACTGATGACCTTTCTTGGGCATCCATTGACCTTGTAATGATGCCAGACTGTGTGGGTCTCAATCTTTTGTGCCTTGAGAATGTCGGCAATTTCTTCTTGGAAAGCCAGAAGCTTAGCCTGAGTTGGCTTGTCCCTTGGGTGTAAGGTAAAACCAGAAGGACACCGTGTCACTTCTCTAAGCTCCTGAGGGTGGAGCTTAAGTCTTCTGTTCAGTGTAGACTTGATTCCATAAGGTTCTAGGTGGCTATTATCCATGCGGACAAAGACCCGGAGATCATCCTGCTTCTTCTTCAGTTGGTTGGCAGTGATGAGGGCGCCAGGCTGTGTTTTCTTCATGGTAGTGTTGACTGTCCATGGATGCTGTCGTTGGCCAGAGGAGACAGCTTGGGCGAAGGTCATGGTGGGCTTCCCTATCCCTATCCCGCCAGGAGTGGTCTTTCTTTTGGGCAGATCTCGGGTTTCCAGCCACTCGTTCAGGCATTTGGAGAAGAAAGCGCTGAACTCCTTGGCATGAGAGTATAGTTCGGTTCCAGCTTTTTCCAGTGTCTTATCGACTGCTGCAGCACACTCCTGAAACATTGTCATCCTGGCTTCATAGAGATGCTTGTCTTTAGCCAGTATTTTGGCTACTTGATCCTGGCACTTTGAGGAAGAGACCTTGTTCCCTGTATCGCCTCTAATGGCTTGGTCTGTAGAGATTTCGTTTGATTGAGGTACTTCCATATCAATGATGCTGCTAGTATTAATATTTCGGGATTTTCCTTTCAGAGGGGAAACAATGGTGAAGTCAGCCTCAGAGACCTGTGACGGGCTGCTGTTGATGTCGTCGAGCAGTGCCTGGCGGAGCTTGCTTGGGGTTGCCGGGCCATATGTTCTTTTAGGGACCGGGGATTTGAGCACGCCGCCAGTAGTCGTCTTTGGGACGGCCACTGGCGTATTTGGGGGCCTATCGTGAAGGGGTGCCATCCAGCTTGTGAGAAAAATTTTCTGCGCCTTGGCAAGGATAGTCAGGTACTGAAATAAATGCCTGTTTTAGTGCAGATATAGAGGTTGCGCCCTAACAGCGGGGCGCCAAGAAAAATAGTTGTTTTTGCTCCGAATTGCTGTTGCACTTTTAACTAATAGGAGAGACTGAATGGGCTAAGTCTGGTCGCTTCACGGGCATTACTGACGTCGAGCTCACCGAGGCAGGCGCCGCGCACGTGTCCTCCACAGCAGCAAGTCTTGTTGGTGCTGGCAAACTCCTCGACCCGTCTCGCCTCTCGCATGCATTTATCAGCCCGAGGAAAAGGGCTGTGAGGACCTTTGAACTTCTGCTGCCATCTGGCCTTATGGGAGACGAGCAGGTTACCTACACCGAGGACATAGCCGAGTGGGACTATGGTGACTATGAGGGGTACCATGCCAAACAGATCGAAGACTTGAGGAAAGAGAAGGGGCTGGACTCGCAGAGGAAGTGGATCATCTGGAGGGATGGGTGTGAGGGTGGAGAGTATGTGTTCCTTGGACTGCTCATTACTGTTGGAGTCTTTCTAACAACTCGCTTGAAGAACACCTCAGGGCGTGACCGAGCGGCTGAACAGGCTTATTTCACAAATCCATGAGATACAGAGGCCTTGTATGAATGGGGAGAAACCAGCTGATGTGCTTCTTGTATGCTCTTTCGCTCTTCCCCATTCTGCAAACCCCATTCTGTTCTTTTTCTATTCCTCCATGGATCTTTAACTTCGCCTGCAGCCGCTGAGACATAAGAACCCCAGGTTGCACACGGCCTCATCTTGCGCTGCTTTATAAAGCGCTGGCTCAACTTATCGCTCGACTTCCCCATCGAGATGACCCTGGCCCCAGGGGCGATTGCAGTCCTAAGGTATGCGGGTCCCCATATGTCCCTAGAACGATGACAGATACCAAGCCAGCCCAAGACATTAAGCTGACTTAAACTCTGCGCCTCAAAGCTACAACCACAATGATGTCGGTACACCGGCCCTCCATGCTGGCATCGCACTACCGTAGGAGGACTACAATTGTAGCTAGATTAAAGTGTTGTATCGTCGTGTGACCACTAGGGTGGATTGTTTTCCGCGTCCACTGCAGCAGGCCACCACCTTCTGTGACGGCCTGTACAGACCTTCCCACATGACAAGTGGATACTTCCCAATAGAGGAAGGATCTGACCAGAGGATCCCCTTAAAGGGGCAACCTCCCACTGTATCTATCTCTCTCTCTCTCTTCCTTTCCTCTCTAGTCTTGATATTCTTGTTAATAGAGTAATAGCTACTTGCTGCCGGCCTTGTCCCAGCTCCTCAGTAAGCTCGCCGTGACACCTTCGGAGCTCTCACATCAACAACAGCAATAGAGCATATTTGCAACCTTCTTGAGTTCTTGCTGATAAAGCATATTTTCATTTGTGAGAGCTGTGGATACTGCAAAAAACTATCATGTGCGACTTGTGACAAGTCCGCGTAAACTTATAGGGTTGGATGATGATCTTGTACGGGTTAATGCATTGAGATAGATTAGCTTTTGTATTGATAGAGGCGCCTGTTAATTAAACACTCCAATTTTTGACCTGGGTTGAACGATGTTCTCAGGTAGTTCAGGAGATTGATCACCTTAGGGTTGGCCAAAATGCTTAGAAAGATCACTAAGGTAGGGATTATCTATTTATATAGCTGCGAAATGTCCATTCTTATGTATTTACTCCCTTCCTCATCACCGATGAGGTTTTGATCAGTACTGCTCAATGATCACCACCAATCACCTGTCACGTGTTTCTATATTCACGTGATCTTTTGGGCCCGTCGTCTTGGTCTTCTCCAGGTGTCCCGGGCCTAGACCCGTATTGTCATATCATCCATCAGGACTATGCTCCGGCCTTTTCGTACTTTGGTTTGTAACACGATGATTTCATGGCAGCATCAGTGGATAAATGGGCATCTGTTACTGATTAATTGATGGCAATTCACGGCATTCCTAGTGATAAGAAAAGGAGATAAGGGTATGGTAGAGGAAACTGCTCACCTCCTGACTGAAATGAGGCGGCTAATTCCTGTCGGCCATTGACTTGGACCTATAAACATTGCCGAGAACGATTTTTGGACGCTTGGCCTGACTTTTTATCGTACTTTCGCTACCTTTGGACGCTAAAGCTGTCCACTCTAAGGTCGAGACGCTATTTCCACCTGTTGGTTGAGTTGAGGATCGATCGCGTCTCGTCGTCGCCGTTTATGATACGCGATAATGGGGGCTCCCGCAAGTCACCCTGGTATCGGTTAATAAATAGCTCTATCATGGCATGATTATTATGGATTATCGCCGCATCAAGCGGAGTATGCCCGTTAGTCGACATGTGGTCCGGATTGGCACCACAGTCAAGCAGGATAGCCGCACAGTCCACATCGTGCATACTTGCCACCGTGTACAGCGGCGTCCGGCCCTCTGGATTGCATATATCGACCTCGGCGCCAAATTCCACAAGCAGCCTAATAATGCCTGCCAGGCCCCCAAAGCTGGCCGACGTGAGCGGGCTACTACGGAACAGGCCTTGCGTCATCTTCGGGTTGGGGTCCGCGCCGGCTTGGAGGATAATGCGGAGGGAATCTTCGTTGTGGCTATCGACTGCATGCAGAATAGTGGTGCGGCCTGTGATATCCATCACGTTCGGGTTAGAGCCGTGAGCGATTAGGATCTCCATGTCGTCCAGCTGGGCCCGTGCCGTGGCCCAGTCGAGAGCTGTGCGGCCCTGGACATCTTTCTTATAGACGGCGCCCGGGTTTTCCCGGATCTCGTCAGCGAGTAACTTGGGGGATAGACCGAGGATGATCTCATGGATCAAGGGGAAGTTCTGTTCCTGGATCCAGTTTCTATCTTCTTCGCTATTGACAATACAGCGGAGCTCTTGCAGCTCCGCTGAACTGCACCTTTTGCGCAATGCAAAATCCCATACATGTTGATACGAACTGTACGCGGGTAATTTATTAGTAATTAGCACTGCTCAAAATCATCTTCACACTCACTTTTCATCGACCCTTCCCCCTTCATTGAGCAAAAACCGTACGGTTTCAGACTGGTGCATTCCGCCGTAAAGCGCCCACTAACAATGTTCTCAGTATTCTCATAGCAGAGCTGATAGGCCCTAGGAGAAGAGGGGGCTGGCAGAACCTACTCTTATCAAAGTAAACCCTCGAGAATGACTTACGTCTCTTAGAGACGCGAGTCCCTGTAGAAACAGGTTCTTCAGTCCATCGATGTTTCCCTTCATCGCGAACTCAACTGACTGGGCGGTGTCTGCAACGATTGACGGCATCGCGAGCGGAGGTTGGGGTGCCAAGTGAACGAAACCGAAGTTCGCGAAGGTCGATAGCGGCGTAGCAGGAGCACACGAGTCGAAAGGTTGGAGAAGTGCAGAATCCGAGGCCGACAGTCCGAACGCCAATGTTTGCCAGTTACCAGGAGTGTCCATGCTGTGCCTCTCCCAGGCGCCCGAAGAGGCCATGGAGGCTCTCCGCTTCCGATTTCTGCTCGTTTGTGATTGAAGCACGGACGGCGAATGGATATTCTGATCGGACAGGGGCGCAATCGGGCTTTCATCTGAAGTAGCTCCAATTCCCCATATTGCTGACATAGAGGCCAGATTGACCTGTTCAGCAGGAGCCTGTGCCGCTGGCCTGTGGTGGATTCTTCCGAGCGCCCCACGAACTGCCATATACAACTGCGGAGGGTTGAAAAGCTCCAACATCGTGATATCTTCTAGTGATAGTTTCGAGAGCGTTGTGACAAGGCGATCTTCTATTGTCAAACATTCCTCCACTGGGCCAGAAACCCGAGTAGTAGCAAGGTTGTCCTCCGGAGTAGCTACGCTGGCGGCGATAGAGATCTCTCCGACCTTAGTACCGCCGGTGCCGCCTACGGATTGTAACAAGCCCACTGATGTTGGCGGCAGTGCTTTTTGCACTGATGAAGGTAATGACACTGCGCTTTTGTTGGTGATGTTCCCAGTGGTTGCACGACCTGGAGGCTGCTGGGAAGATGATGATGGCAGTTGTGATCCGAGCTCTGCGGCAAAGCACTGTTCAACAATGAGCCCGTATTTGTCAAAGCCATAGCCAGACGGAAGGTCCGGCTTCTGATATCTCGTGGTCTTCCAAAGCTTCCTTGCATATCTTAAATCCAAAAGCTCGATGGGATGAACTGATCCCTTCACTGCTGGCGTCCGTTTATCCCGTGTCTTTATTCTTCGATGGATCGATTGATTTAGTATTGCCATTGCTTCGTCCCAGGCGGGAACCACGTAGGCAAGAGCACGGAGCTCGTCACAATAAGTTCTGTACTTGGAGGAAAACTCATAATGGACGACGATATTCTCACCCCATTTGTTGCTAATGGCAAAGAGTGATGTGAAACATTTGTGAGCTTTGCTTGCCTTGACGATGTTGTCAAAACGGTGCTAATCCTTATTACTGGTGCATCGCAACCCAGGACATTCCTGGAAAACTAGCCCGTAGCAGGCAAAGGTGCAACCAAGCGATCCATAGGTTTGCAGTAGATCATCTCGCTTTTGCTCACACCATCGAATCTTCTCCTGAGAGTCGGTTTCGTTCAACGAGTGACGGAATTGGCGGATTTCTTGAGCGGCTGTCGGGGAAATCAAGCGGAGAGCTCCGTCAAGGTCGAAGGACATTTTTGGAGATATAAGGCCGATCGTGGGAGATAAAATGAGGTTCCGTTATACTAGGCCAGTTGCCTGTCGGAGCAGTGTCCTAAAGTACTGAAGGATCCTTCAGTAATGTACTTGGGGATCTCTGCGCAGTGGCCTATTGAGCACGGCTCGCGCCAGGGTCCCTGGTCAATAGTAATCGGTTTTATCGTTTGGCTCACCCCAGGGGTGCTTTTGCTTGGGAAAACGAGTTCTAGGCCGTCCATGCCCCAATTCATGCTAGTTGTGATCCAAACAATGCGTGTCTGTGTGCATTGATTCCGCTACGTGTTGGTTGGGGCCTGTAACCGTTGACAAATTCGACCCCACTTCTTGACCAACCAAATGTGAACCCTTGTTGCATGTGGTCTATGTAGCCTCATCATGTATGCTTTCTAAGTCTGACAAAACGGTGTAGTGCTAACGGCTAACTATTTAAGCTATATCAATACGTTCAGATTATAGCTATGATCAGGGGCTATGTAGATTATCGGGAAAGGCAGGTTGCCACTTGTAGCCATTTCGTTCTGGATTTAACTTGGGAGCAGTATTATAAGATGCAAGGCGATCATAATAGTCACTGAATTTCCTACACGCTAAAGAAACAGAAACCCTGCTCGTCCTCTTCGGGTACAGAGACCAATCATCAGTCCAGACCAGTTGTCCAGACCAAAGCAGAGCACAGAACCGCACGTAAACTATAAAATATTGGCTGTCTACAGGGGCCCTCACCCTCCCGTCCTGGATCTCCCCATTGTTCTATGATATGGCTGAATCCCATCCACCCCTTTCGGTCCAAGGCGATCTAGAGGTTGTCCAGGCGCTCCCGGTCAAAGCTCATTCTGATTGGCCGGATCAGATCTTGTCGTCGGATGACTATCTTCCCGTGGACCGCATGAGCTACTTCAACTTTGAGTGTGCTTCCCTCGATGACGATGATTTTGGCTCCTTGAACCAGTGGGCCGCCGACGAATCGGCCTGCGACAAATGAGCGGTAGATCTCCCTCTGGCGTCGGGCGCTGGGACGATGTCTTCATGATCACCAATCCAGATCTTGTCCTATTTTAGACACTGCCCGGGGCATCAAGCCTCTGCATCCAGGCGATGTTCATGCATAACTATGAAGCTATCAAACAAAGCCAAACTGACTAGAGACTCTACACCAGTACTCGTCTTCCCAAGGATCTCACTCAAATTTCAACAACTCGCTCGCTCACTCATTTGAGTCTTCATCATCTTAGTCAGACAAAATGGAGTACCCAGAGCGCCCGTCTCCCTCGCCCCCGCCATCTCCCATCCCAGACCGACCAGCGTCGCCCGAGCTCCCGCTCACCATGATGGCCTCGGTGGTCCTGGAGGCGCTGCCGCAAGACGCCAGCTCGGCCCTGGCCAGCGCCGGCGAGTTCGACCGCGAGAAGGTCGTCGTGCGCTTCGTCGCCGTCGAGTCGGCGCCCCAGCTCAAGGTGCAGGTGCGCAGGATCACCGCCACGCAGAAGTTTGAGGCCATCGTCGCCTACCTGCGCAAGGTGCTGCGCATCGGCCCGCCGACGGCCTGTTTCTCTACGTCAACAGCGCCTTTGCGCCCGCGCTGAATGAGGTTGTCGGCAACCTGCACAGGGTACGTCGTCTCGTCTCTCATCTTTCCGCTGCAGACAGGATTGCTTCGTCGTGCGTACATCATCGACTGGCACGAGGGTTACTGACGAGGTGCGTGTGATAGTGTTTATAAATCGGAAAGGTTCCAATACACACAACACGGGCAGATAGATCAACTTCCCTATTACAACGAAAGGGTATGCGACATGGCACAGGGTCGACACGATATACGATTCATTTTATCATTAAGCTCTTCGACCGCGAGGCGTGTAGCGAGCAAAAGGACCTAGTCTCGTTCATCGAGTATCCTCCCAGAGATTAATCATTCCTAATGGCATCACCATTGCCGGCGCCATACCGCCAGAATCACAGCCGGCGAAGGAGCATGTCTACGCGCTGGGTAACACTATCAAACGTTGTAATTCATTGGGACATCCACACTCTTGACACGTGGACTTGTCCAAAGTGCACACTCGTCGACCATACATTACATACTCACACCATGCCAGGATTGTGGAACACGCCAACTACATTACGGCTCTCAGGCATTACAACCCTGAAAGATGGTGACCCGACCCAAAGACTCACGAAGTCACGATGAACTCCTACATAAAAACGAAGGACCACAGCACCATCCTGCCGCCAATTTCTGATGTAGACACCATCTTGAGGTACACCAGCTACACATTAGAAGCAACCCCCCCCCCCCCCCCCCCCCCACCGAGCGGAGCTCTTCAGTACGAAGAGTCACCCGACCATGAAAGCCTGCTTTCGATTTTGGCCCCTTATAAGAGATACGGCCCGCTTTACGCGCTAGGAAAGACTACTTTCCAGGCTCTGGTCAGGTACACGGGGTTCCAAGACCCGGTTCCTTACCTGGGAACGTCTCTTTTCGGTCATGCTCCCAGCCTCCAGTCAGCTATACGAGGTTCTAAGCTCCGGTTCATTTACCTGGGAACATCTCTGAGCGGCTCTTGTCATCCTCCCATGCAGTTATCAATTTCGACTCCCTCTTCTGCCCTCTAGTCCAGGGACAGGGAGGATTAGAGCTGTACGCTTTGCAATCAGACTTAGCGTCGAAGAGCCGACTGGGTGCGCCATTATCTCGAAAAGCACACCGACGAGACCAAGACAATCTGTGCTATCTGCGGTGATCGCCTTCAGAAGCGAAGCCTGAGGAAACATGTAGCAGGTCACACGGGGTCAAGCCATGTGCTGGTAAGAGCCCTTCCGCGGCACAGCTTCTCGTTGATACCAACCTAATCTCTCTCTAGAACATCGGCAAGACGACGTGGTCGAAAAGCGAGCTGCGGAAACACGCCCCTAGTAAGCTCGACGATAATGGTTTCGATTTCAAGTTCGATATCGGCCGTGCGAAGGAGCTGGCTGTTTCATATCCTGCCACCATTCGCCATTCCGGAGGCAGAGTCAAGGAGGGTCCCCTGGTCGGCCAAGTTGTGCAGGGTTATCCCCAGGTTTTCTACAAGGACGGCCGCATCAAAAGAAACTACGAGTGGCTCAAGGCCGGCACCGCGCAGACACGCAGGTATGCCCTCAATGCGCCAAACGCCAGCGACGCCCACAGAGCCCGGCCCCAGCAATGCAGCACGCAGACCAAGACGATGCAATGTACTCTTGTGTCCGCCTCACGCCAATCATCGGTGGACTCCCTCGTCCGCTACCGACAGGTTCACACTAATCCAGACCAATCTGTGGACTCCCCCACGATTGCTGGGTCGATACAATGCTTGCAGACCCATCGGAAGTCCCCGTCCGTCTGGACATCGTCGCTGTGATTCTAGGATGCTTTCGGTGTTTGTTGCCGGATGTTTGCCATTTGCTAGAAAACCAAGAATCGAGAATGCAACACATCCTTAGTGTGTATATGTTGCAAGATTGTGTTTGTTTCTTCTTTATGCAAAGATATGTCTTGTTGGGTCTCTACATTTTAAGGTTCTTTTAAGATAATAAATAAGCTAAGTATTACTTGGAAACAAACATGAAGCAAATCACTTCTTGTATGTTATGCTCCAGCCAGATTTGCTAGAATGAACTCATACTTTGCTAGCTTTCGTTTGCCAGAGGTTGAGCTAACTTATCGCTTCTATCTGCGAGCATGGTGGCAATAAGGACTGAAGGTTCGAATCAAAGGGGATAAATCACCAGGTATGTAAATGTTCGAGAAACCCATTATTATATTAGGGGTCAGGCCCCTGAAGTAGAAAACTAGCCAGGTGATTGGTGTTACCTTTCTGGTAGCTCGCGCAATTCACATCCTTGTCAAGCTGAGAAGCGTTCTCCTGCGGCCAGATCGCTGTCGTAGGTACCACTATTTGCTTCCTGCTTCCTGGATGCACTCCCTCAACCGCCCATGGTACCCAGGTTGCCCATGCCATGATGTCTACATCCATAGGTCGGCAGTCTCTGCTGGCTTCTGGAATGCCTATGAGTCATCCTGAAGGCGCGCACCAGGCTGGCCATTTAGTGAGAGGTGCGTTTCATCCGGTGACTCATCTTGGATGATAACAGGTGGCAATGAAAGATTGGTCAGGAAGCAGTAACGTGATGCATGGGTGAAGTCAACCGCGACCACTGAATTACGCGCTCCTACCGCCTGCGTTTCCTACGCCTTGTGTATGGGTTCCGGTCGTTGCTTTCTACCTGACGTTCGTTTTAATACCCCTAAAGGAGACATTAGATTGTTTATTTCCTTGGCATTTCTTCAGCTTTTGTTAACTTTCCATGGTCACGCTTTCTTCACACTCTCCTAGAGTACTTCGCAGATCTACACTACTACACCATAACTGCTTATCTGGGTACGATGGCCGAAGATACAGGCATGTTTTCAAATTCGCAGCGAGGAGAAAACCCAGCACATGTTGAGCAGGGAACGACAAGCCCAGCTTCTACACCGGCACCTGAACCAGCAGCGGGGGAACCGATACACGGGCAGAAAACCGTCGTTCACAACTACAATGCCAGCGGCTACGACAAGGGCTCCCCGAAACCTCCCTACAACAGCAACAAGAAGCAGTATGAGGAGTATAAAGAATGGACAAGGGGTGAAAGTGAGTGGGCTCGGACTCAAACACAATCTGAAGAATTTTGCTGGGAAGGTCTGAGGGGGGGGGGGGGGGGGGGGGGGGGGGGGGCGCATTCTCAATTGCGGTACTGTTATTTGAGGCCCAGCAGTCATCATCGACAGAAACAACTGCAACTATTGATTTGGATGTCACCGCAGATTTGTCTACATCGCCGCCGGAATCATTGAGATCGAGGATTAAGGTTAAACACTGTCCTGTCCATTACCTAGTAATGCCACCAATGTCCTGTTAACATCCTATTGAGTAAGACATTTAAGCTGCGCACCACCTCCAGACCTTCAACAACAACAATATTACCAAAGTGGACAGTCGATCGCCGACTGTGGTTTCCGACCTGAGCTCTGGTTTGTCTTGGTGGATATATATAAGCAATGTCCATTTCTCCCCGCCCCCCCAAGCCATGGTTTTGGAGTTCAGAGTGCGAGACGTTCTTCCTGGACTGGGAGAAGCGTTTACAAGGACACGCTGGTGTACACGCTGTCTACCTTACCGAATAGATAAGCAGGACTGGTGCGCAGATTTACCACCACCACAATTCTGGACTAGGCCACTATCGAGAGCACCGCCTCCGCCCTGGACATAATTATGAAAGTGCTGCTGCTGCAGCAGGCGGACCATCTCCTCGTGAACTGGGATAGAACCGGCGGCCCCTGAAAACGGGGGTAGCACCATTGGCCAAGATAGCCGCCCCCTCCTCCACCCCCCAGAAGATGATCGACTTACGGCCTGAGCCTGCAATCTGCTCTTGGCAGAAATTATTTTCTTATATCCTTGCCCCGGTAAGATATGGTGGGATCTGACCCCCAATTTTCAACGGCTGCCGAATCGCCTGTCATATATGTCCCTTGGAATGATTGGTTGTCAATGGTATCAGGGCCGCCACCGGCACACTGTACGAAACTGGGAATAAAAGACGCGTGGTTCCATAGGTCAACAGTCCCTCTCATGAAGAAATAGTACAGCAATTATTGCAACACTCCAACACCAACCCCGATTTGGCACTAAGAGGTGGCACGACGCCGCTGATGCTCTCTCAGACATGACGGGGTGGTTCGTTTATTTGCGGAAAAGCGACGATCATGACTCGTGAGCCGTCAACCTCTGGTCCGATCGCAAGCCATTGGAGGCCGGTTCTAGCATGGGGAATAAACCCTGACGGAGTCTGGCGTGACTTCCCAAAGGCTCAGCCGCATCAGCCTCTTGCAAAAGAAAATGTGTTGTGGTATTTTCTTCTCACCACAGCAAGGCTAAGAAAGCCCGGATAGTAAACCGTCCGAAACGCCACCCTGATAGCACACAAACTGGACAAACTGGACTGCCCCAGGGATCTTCAGACCTTGAGAGGCTCAAAAGAAGACTTGCTAGTGGAGCTAGAATCCAGCAGAGCGAGCTCCCATCACTACCGAGAACTCACAAGGATCTACGAGACCACTTGATGGGTCAGGGGTTCAGAAGTGCAGAGCGAATGCATCTCCAGAGCCACCATGAGATGAGCTCGTGGAAAGAAGTCGAGATAAGCACAGCTAACGGCAAACAGGTGTTAGACTGCATGTGGGTATACGTCTACAAGTTCGACAAGTACGGCTGGTTCCTGAAATGCAAAGCCCGTCTTGTGGTACGAGGGGACAAGAAGGGGAAAGAAGCTACAGCCAATCATCTGATCAGTCGGCTTAAGATGACCTACCAGCTTACTGGAAGAGATGATATTCAGTGGTTCCTTGGCATCGAGATCATCCGAGACCGGAAGTGACGGCTCCTCTGGTTATCTCAGTCATCGTATGCAGAGAAGATATCCCGACTAGCTGAAAAGGCTTGGACAGGCAGAGACGATACTCCCATGAAGAACGAAGAACTAGACTTGAATGCCCTGCTAGACATATCCTGGTGTTCGTAAGACTCAAGAATTAGGCCTCCATGAATTTAAACCCACAATACGCTCATTGTGAAAACGCTGCATTCACTGCCAGAATATCGTCCTGAAACCCCACTAGACTGGAATGTGGACGTCCCATGTTCTTCTCCATGTTTCTGCCGTGGTCCCATGGCCGCTTGTTCGGTACTACCTGACCAAGCGGGCTTCGCGCCGGCTTCACAATCGATGCCCGCTCGAAATCAACTACCATCACTCGGCCCGTTCTGGGATCAAACAACACATTCGCCCGCCGCACATCCCCGTGAACCACACCCTTCTCGTGTATTGAGCGTAGACAACCCAGCACTTTGCCCACACTGGCAGATGAGTCGATTGTGTTGCCGCCCCACGATAGGAACAACATATACTCAATATAGACCCGAAGATCATCATAATACACCTTGCCCATGTTACGGAGATCCACGTCCCCTAGAAATATAGGCACTGCAGTCCCCTGCATTTGCTCAAGGTGCTTGTAAACAGCCGCTTCGTGTTCCAGGTTTGGTATGAACGCCGCCACAGTGCCCTTGCTTACGAAGGTATACCCGTATGCTAGCAGGGTGACCTGGAACAGCACGCCTTGTGAGCCTTCTAGCCCCAGCTTTGTGACACCGTCGTCCAGCGACGTCTTCAGCTGATCGCAGAGAAGTCGAAGGAAGTCGGCATGCTTGATCGGGTGATAGTTCTGAGGTGCCCCTCGCTGGTGGAGCGCCGCGTTGGGGCACTGCTTGTCTAATGGAGCACCCTTGACCATCCCGAGGAGGACCAGTTGGGTGCAATATACTCGGGCCTGTTCGCCACCTCGTTGAGGCCGCCGATCCAAGTTTCGCCTACTGCGCCGAGTCACCCGTCCTTGACCCTGTGGACCTTGACCACGACGCGGCTCGGTCGGACTCGGGGTTTCTGGCATCCGGGGCTGCGACTTGTCGTCAGACGATTCGCTCTGGTCTCTCGGCCTGGGCTGGTCAACTCGACCATCCCTTTCGACACGCCGACGGTGAGGTTTTGCACGACCAAGGCGCGAAGAGGGCGCGACCGGCCGACCAACTGTTCTACGGATACGGAACTAGACAGCGTCGACGGCCGATCGCTGCCACGCGAATTTTCGGGGAGACAGGACATCGACGATCTCGTGGCACTCGTCCCAGACGACGGTGTCGAGCAGGCGGCCGTCGACCTTGGGACGGAACCAGGTCTGGAGAGACAAATGCCTCGGGAGTGACGACAACAACAGCAGGTATCAGAGGGTGGAGAACAGAGTTGGTACGGTGCGACCAGGGCCTCGCCGGTACCTGTCGGGCGTTGAATTCGCGGACAAGCTGAAGAGCCAAAAGGGTGTAAGAGGCAACGACAACAGTGGTCTGACTCCAACTTCACAAGTCAGATGTTCAGGTATGTATCTGGCAAAACTGTCAGCTTCGGCAGAGAACGAGGATCAGACGTCGATGCGCTTGCACGCTTGCACATACGCATACATACCGGGGGCGGCTGGAGTATGGGCTGCAGTGTTTCTCTTCATAGACAGCCACCCTATGAACCACCACACACCACCCTCTAGACATACGGTAGAGACCACGTTGCCGTGATTTAAAACCTGATACTTGCACTGCAACGACTGGCCCGACGAAAATGGACGTAATTTTCTCGGTAAAAGCGACGACTAAGTTATGCGCTGCGTTGCGACTTGTCGATGTTGTTCCGCAGTCGTTGTTCCGCGCTTTGGTTAAGCATTCACCTAGCAGTGCATCACCACCTATCTCTAACCTTTTACAGACATACAGACCTAGTCTCCTTGTCTTCAAGTCGTAATGCATGTAAAAATACTTTGCTTTTTATTGAAGTCTCTGACCGCAGTCCAATAGATCAGGTGCAGTGGTGGAGTCAGTAAAGGAGGCAAGGTGTGCTACAAGTCGTCGGCTTTGTTCCGGGTCTCAAATGCGCGTTTTACAGTGTACCAACACCCCCTTCACTCATACATACCAGCCTTTTTGATTCTGGCAGGCCAGCACCATATGGCCCGATGGTATCAAGAACCTGAACTATATGGAGATACAGCTATTATCCCTTCTTCTAGCGGCTATTTAAACGATCAAATCAGCTTGGAATGGCTAAAGCATATTGAAAAACACACAGCGACAAAGGCCATTGGGACGAAACGGCTCCTTATTCTAGATGGCTATGGTTCACACCATACGATTGAATTTATTCAATATTGCGAAGATCACGGCATCATCCCTTTTGGCATGCCTCCAAACCTGACGCACTTGCTGCAGCCGCTAGACGTGGTAGTCTTCCAGCCACTGAAGCATTATCACGTTAAGGCACTGGACTTAATGGTCCGTGATGGCCTAGTGAACATTACGAAGCTTGAGTTCTTTAGCTGTATTCAGCAGGTCCGCCAGCAAGCATTCAAGTCTAGTACTATTCTCTCTGCCTTCCAGAAGACTGGTATCTGGCCATATAACCCGCTGCCGGTGCTTCAAAGCCTAGAAGAACGACAGCCAAAAAGGACACCTACTCCCCCTACCTTGGCAGGTTCCTCGCCATTTAGCACGCCAATGACCTTGCGCCAGATCAACAAGGTGGCTGATAAGCTAGACACAGCGCTGAAAAGCGACGAAAGTCTTGATCCTGAGTTTGCTGCTAATATTAGCCGCTTTATCAAAGGGTCTCTAATAAGTGCCACGGAACTGGTCCAGACTAAAAGAGACCTGGGGAGGACTAAATATGCTGAGCGCGTTCAAAAACAACGCCAGGCCACCCAGAATACTCCATTGAAGTCAGGAGGGGTGTTGACAGTAGCTGATGGCCGGCGGATGGTCCAGCAGAAGGAAGAAGACCAGATAGTCAAGGCGAGGAAGATGGTTGAAGCAGCAGATCTAAGGGCTCGCAATGCTGCGAAACGCTGTTTTTCCGAAGCAGCAAAGGAGTCACGCAGACAGAGGCTTTCTGGGAGACTAGCACCGGCGGAAATCTACGAATCCGGCCACAGTTGCAGGTGGTTGAGGCGTTTCTAGTTGGATAGATCGAAAAACTGGGTGTTTTGGTGATCTGGGTGTTTTGGTGTCCAGCACCAGCTTTAGCTGGTGAGCCCGGGCGAATCCTGAATAAAGTGGGGCGTGGCACGGGTAGTTATTCGATCCTTTTACATCATCACCCACACCTTTCCTGGTAAAAATCATCCGTGCGCTTACACTTGTTAGTGTATTTGCGTGCAGCACAGCAAAACCCATAACACTTGGCATTGTGCCGTAATCTCAGACCTAAACACCAAGGCCAGAATCTCGAGATCTGCCTCGTTCCCTACTAAGGGAGCGGACTCAGTACTCGCTGATGGCGGCCCTTACAACCCCCCAGCGACCTACCCAAGTCGCACCCGACGCTGCTCAGTTCACACGAGAACCTGAGCCCATCACCTCTCTCAAATTCGACCAGCGGAACAAGAAAAGGAAGCCTGACAATGTCCAGGCTTCCATGACAGTTGACCTCACTGGAAAGCCCGCTACCCGACACAATGACATTGCTGCCAACGCATTCGCACCTCATCTAGAGGACCTCGAGCGACAAGCCCGCATCAAACGAACGGTCCTAGGGCAGCTTGCCGGCTGCCTGGACGACTTCGTCGGCTCTTACAGCAGACCACAACAGTCCGAGTACAAGAGGGAGGCCCGCTTAGTTGTCGAGATGATCTACAGTCACTTAAACACTGCTATTTTTCGAATACTGGCGGTACCCGATATCTCACACTGGACAACACCAGAATGACTCCCAATTGCCCAGAGAAATGCAACCCAGGAGCCATCAGGTCCCTGGTGTTACGTTATTACATAATACCTCCACTTATTATGTACATATGTACCCCTAGCTTCCCCTTTCTCTTCCGACCTTGCCTCTTTGACACCCACTGACAGGTAGACTCGAGGGGGCGGTTGGGGCCTGGTCCTTGGCTGCATTCCATGATGTTGTTGTCCGCCTTGGCATGACCGTGCTACATGCCGAACGCCGCAGTTATTAGATTGGGTGGTTGGATGTAGCGTCCAGGCGGTCGTTCTCAAGCAGTCCATGGAGCGCCGGGCGCTGCTGACAAGGATCAACGTGGCCCTCACCTGTACCCCTAATGAGACTCTCTTAGAACGCCAGCGAGCAACCGTCCGCCGCCGTGCTGCTGGCTAGTACCGCTATATTCTGCGACGTATAAATCCGTTCAAGTAAAAAATACTTGCCCTTATTAGGAAACTCGCATCGGACATACCCTCCTGGGCTCACTGGACCGCCTCCACGTAAGTGGCAATGTCGGTATGACCACCCAGCCACTGAGCAGATGGGAGTCAACCCACGCTGACAACAGAAGTGCTGGGCGGAAGCCAAGGCCCCAGGGACAATACAGCTGACGGGAAATGGATCGGGCTGAAGTCAGTCACGGGTCTAGCTCTGAACGCCCGGATTGTCAAGATGTGCCCTGGCCCTCGTATCGACGGAGCTGCATTCCAGATAACCCCATGCTATCCGTGTTCACCGTCCCTTACAAGATGAGCACAGTCAACCAGTGCAAACCCCGGATCAAACGCATCGCGGAACGAGCCCGCCCCCACTCCAAAGGCTCGATACAAACCCTCGTCACACATCCCTCCCCTGTATGCGCATCAGGCTGTGTCTTGTCACCAGCACGCTACACTATCGATGACCGTGAACCTATCAAATGTCGCATCGGAATGTAGGCTGTGCTGGCATCGGTGAGGCATACTGGATTCCCTCCGCCTCCGTTTCCAATGGGCAGTGACCAATACGCCTTCGAAGGAAAGGCAGGGTGCAGGTGCGCCTAGATGTGCATTCGCTGCTCGTTTCTCGACCAATAAACTTAGGCGGCGGAATGTGGTTAAGCAGATATCGTAGCATCAGGAGGACGATCTTTAAGAAGCAACCACATCCCTTTTTACCGGGGGTTTGTGAGACAATCAAAAGATGCATTAACCTTGTCATGGGCGGCGCTACTGCACGGGTCGATGCGGGTATTTGAGATATTGAGCCTCGATGAGGCTCTGCTAATGTCAAAGGGTAGAAGTTGTAGTGTATAGGCAGGTATCAAGGCATTCATAGCAGCCGAGGCGGATTGGTATGATTTGCATAGGAAGGCAGGCACTTCAGGAGTCGCATGCTGAGCATTCCGACGCCATCGTATAGCTCGACACCTATAAGAAGAGCCGTCGAGCCCACAACAAAAAGTTCGAAGCAGTTCTTCCACGACGAAATCTTCAATTATATTCTAATCAATATCCACCCTTTACCATCTTCGAACACAACGGTACCTCTCATTGTCAACAAGATGGATCTTTGGCCCGAATATACCCAAGTTACAGACGCAAACGTCAAGGAAATCATGGCCAAACACATCGATCTTCAAACCCAGATGCAAGAAACCATGCGAAGCTCCGCCAATGAGATCCAGCGTTTCTGGAATCGTCTCGGCTATTCCATTCTTGCCGTGTCAGTACAGAGTGTGCAAGCCTGGAGTCAGTGACGGGTCCTTTGATACCGAATATAAGCTGACGGAGTTTCAGAAGGAGACCCAGACCTTACGCAGGCGATGGAGGCAGTCGAGCGTACAAAGACCCCTGATGGAAACCACTATATCTGGGTTCCTAATGCCGGCAAGGAGGTATTTGGATACGCGAGAGCACTTTCTTTCGATGCTACGATGAATCTTCTCCACGCGGCCCTTATCGCTGCCTACTTTCTCTACAACATCGATACCATCTCAATCTGCTGAGTTGGGAACACGAAGACGAAGGCTGCCTACATTCTATGAGTCCGAGTATTTCTTGAAGGGTGCGGCTGTTAACTGGGCGCTTTTGGCGATACTCTGAACTGTTCGCTGAAGCATCTTCTCATCTAGCTGTGTGTGGAATGTGCTGCCTCGCCCATTCATCTCAGCTTGTTTCGATCTTTCACCAGCGAGGCTTCTATCGTGGCGTACAAGCGGACACAGGACAGGTCCTAGAGATGGTTCTCCTTCCTAGAACAGTTTTGAAATACCATTGGGTGCCTGCAACAACCGTGATTGATTCTGAGTCACTTCTTCTGTGCTGCTTACTGAACCAGCTAGCACCGGCCCATCCTCAGTCGCGAGCCGGGTGTCATATTCATCCTACCACATTATGTAGCAAACGTCCAACGTGGACGTCCCATTCAACTCTGCCCAGCTGTTTCTCACAGCGCCCAAGTAGTCAATCTAATTCCACGCCTTATTCAGTCCTCCCTAGATCACAATACTGGGCCTACCTTGTGGGCAGGGCGTATGAGCGAGCGTGATCACACCAAGTCACATTGCGACCCAAGCGTTCTCCCTAGGAACGACAATGCCGTCCTGTACGGATGCGATCGAAAGCCATCCTAGCTACCATCAAGACCATAGATACGAAAAATTGTGATCAGATCTAGGCTCCCAGCTTTGATGCAGCTTCGCTTGAGGAGCCACAAGCGTAATCAGATGTAGCCTCACCATGTGCAGCGCCGTCATGTTCCGAGGCGGTGCACGCCTCATAGGCATCATCGAGATCATCGCGAAGCTCGGCCAGTATGTGAGAGACACGTTCTGCAACCTCTGTGGCATCCCGCGGTCTGGCTTCAGCGGACCGAGCGTCTGATGCTGGGTGATGAGCTCCGATGTTGTCGGCCCAGATTCTGAATCTCGTAGTATCGTCGACCACACGAGCCGCATGCTCGGCATAGCCTTCCGACCCCTCTGTACTCAACACAGATGCCAAACTCGCAAATCGCTGGAAGACGGACCTGGTCAAGCTGGCGATTGGAGACGAGGTTGGAGAGACGTCAGGGTTCTGGTTCTGGTACTGGTATTTCGGTGCGGCCTCGGGAAATGCCGTCTCTTGCTTTCGTGGTCCGGTCTGGCTTTCCATCTTTCCATCTCTCATTCGGACTAACGGGTGCATGTTATCCATGGCTCTGATTCTCAGGCTGAACCGCATCCGGATCTTGCTGAGTATGGTTTGTAGGCCTGATTCTTTGAAGAGTACCTTCTTTGGTATGGTTCTCCAAACTGGGAGAATCACTCTGATGGCCTCTGTAAGGACTCTTTCGAGGTCGTCCGAGTGGCCGTTCTGGCGGGTGCTCACGTCGCGGGCCTGGCCGTTTCCTGCTCTCTTGTAGTCCCCAGCCCCCCAGACCTCAGCGTGGTTGTCTTGAGTGTTTAGCACGCATTTACACACAACTTACTTACCAACCGACTATTAATCTTGCTTTTGACGCATTCAAATCTTCTCCCAGGTCATCCATCGACTCTGTTATTTTCTACCCATAGCATCCTCCAAAGCCAACGGACGAACGGCCTATTCCTTCGATTTGGCTCTCGTACCTTACTCGGCGCTAGGGCTAAGCCACAAAAGGCATTCTTATTTATTGCCTTGTTTGCAGTAGCGCATCGAAAAACGTGTGCCGGCCCCCTTTCCCAAACTGTTGATTTCATTTTTGGCTCAGCTAATAACCCGGACGTCCCAAACCCATGGGAATGAGTCAGACTAAGCCGCCCCCAACATTGAGCCTGAACAATCGCCCCGTTTGGGAGTCAACGCACTCAAGGCAGAATTGTCAATTTCCGGCTGCACGTCAGCCCCATACATTTATCTATAAGAGTGCGGCCAAGACTAGGTGCTTCACCTCAACACTGCTTAGCACTTCTTCAATTGCGTCTCTGATTCTCACATTCCGTAGTCTTCTTCGTTATCGCCGCGGGCCAATGGCAAGGATGACACCAACAACAAGCCCAGTTGAGACCAGCTCGGCGAATACCTACGACTTCTCCTGCCTCACCGGCTTCTTCGTGGACCACGTCGAGGTCGCAAAAGTCTCCCCGGGCTCGCTGGTCGCAACGCAGCCGGGTCTCGGTCTTCTAGGGCGGAGCTATGAGACGGACACATCCCCGAGTGATAGTCGGCCCCAGTGGACGCGGTTTGCAGCTTATGTCAAGCACCTGAATCAAGTGTCTCCGCCCGCCGAGTCTTACAAAGTCATCTATCTGGTTCGCCATGGACTAGGCGTCCACAACATTGCGATGAGCAAGTATGGAGGCGAAGCATGGAAGGTGAGCGGAGTCTTGCGAGCGCGTATCTATAGTTACTAACAGCTCTTCACTAGACCAAGTGGTCGCACATGGATGGTGACGGAGAGGGCAATGTCTGGGCTGACGCACAACTCGTGGAAGAGGGCATTCGTCAGGCTCAGAAGCTCTCTCAGATCTGGTTCGACGAAGCGAAGAAGGACAAAGTAGCTCTGCCGGAGTCACTTTATACCAGCCCATTAGCTCGATGTCTACACACGACCAAGCTCGTCTTCCAGCCCGTCATGGAAGCCAACCAGCGCGAGTTTCATCCCATCATCAAGGAGCTTCTCCGGGAGCGGCTCACGGATCATACTTGCGACAAACGGAGCTCGCGATTTTGGATCCAGCAGAACTACCCAGAGTACATCATTGAACCTGGCTTCGAAGAAGACGACACCCTGTGGAAGCCACACTCGAACAAGCCCGAGGAGGCCGAGGAACATTTTGCTCGAAAGCAGCGTCTGCTTAACGACATTTTTGAGCATGATAAGTCGCAGTTCATCTCCCTCACTAACCATTCATACGCAATTACAGCTATACTCGTGACTGTCAAGGCACCCAAGTTCCGGGTCTGCGAGGGCACTATCGTGCCTTTGTTCGTGAAGGCGGTCCGTACCAAGGAGAAGACAGTATGACCGGGTGCGCGTGCGTCCTGCCCAAATGACTTTTGCGGCAGGACTAGGACACATGTACTACTTCGGTCTCCTCAATTGGACGCAGCCTTTCTACTCTGAGTTCAGGGTTTCGAAGCAATAGTACCTGGGCGTTGTCCCACGAGGCGGTATTGGGGGGCGCAGATTTCCTCTTCCTCTTCCTACGTATCACAAGACTACCTACAGCCTGCCTTTGGGGTGGGCGTCTTGCATAGACGCCCACAGGCAGCCACTTTCAAATTCGGTCTCCCAACTGCATTTGTGCTTCCAATCTCGTCCTGGTCACAAGCCGGTACTACGGCCCGTATTATAAGAGAAGCTGCTCAACACCAGTCAATGTCATGTCCAAGACGGACAACATAGCCTGAATAGCATCGGTAATGCCCGAAGCAGTGAGCGTGTTTACGCCAACCGACAAGTAATGTGGCATAGAAGCAATTGCGCTACCAACATCTTCCACCTTCGTACAGGCAGAGAGTGCTTTAGCCTGGGCGTCCGTCAGGTCGTCTCTGAGATTATCCAGAAGTATTAGTATCCTAGTTAAGACGAGGAGCAGCAGTATTGTCCAGCGGTTTAACCATATCGGAGATAAGCGATCTCGAAGTTTAAGGTATGGGGTGATATTGTGGCTCCTCAACCCATTTTCCAGCCACAATGACGGATGGGTCACGGACCAGGATATAAGGTACCTTAGAGCCTGACGGGTACCCGTTTGTACCTGATTTGTACCCAACTGGGATGATAGCTACTTCTGGGATGGGGGCACCACCCATCCCTTCTTTCAATCAAGCAACTTCCAGAATACAGACCAATAGCCACCTATCGTGACCCTGGTCCTTATTCTGGATACCGCTACCACAAGGCACAATATAGCGCCTACTCTTCTCGGTCTGCACTTCATACTTTGTTGATTTCGGGAAAGGCTTACTTGCAAGATGCAGTGGTTGTCTACGGACGAGATCTGCTAGCTGGGCAGCTGTATATAATATAGAATGAGACCTAGCCTAGCACGCCCGCGCGCCCTCTGCTGGCGGTCGACGATTCGCCCGGGCGGCTGCGGGCGACTCCTCCTCCGGTTCCACCACCGAGTCTGATGTTGGTGTGCTCATCCGAGCCCTCTCTAGCCCGAAACCCTAATGATTGCTGGTGCATTGGTGTCATTGGTGCATCAGGGATATCGTGATCGCCGTCCGTGAAGTTGCGCCACTGCCAAATCCCCGTCCCTGCGGAGACGAGCCTTATGTCGCTTGCGAGAGAGGGTTAACGCAGGGCCCTGGACCGTGTCGAGACGGGCCGATCCTGCATGTTGCTGTCCTCGGTCAGGACCTGCATCACCACCAGCTCCGTGTTGGTTAGCACAAACCCGAACCGTACCCCTAGGTTTATGCAGTAACATCAATCACCCCCCCACGGACCAGCGCGTTTGACCCACTAACGCGTAAATCACCACCCACCAGGATTATGGTGATCTACCCATTTATACCATCACTTTTGCATCTTTTTTTTTCGCAAAGTATACCATTCGACGCGTTATCTTCCGCTGATTCTTACGATGTCATTTTGCGACCGCCAAAAGAAGGCTGAAGCCGCAATTCGGGACATACAACGCGGGACCCCAGTCCGCTCGTCGGCCTTCAACTGGCAGATCAGCCGCTCGTATGTCAACAGGCGAATCTCCGGCACCCCAACCCGGAGTGAGGCCAGCCAAAACCAGCAGGCTCTCTCACCATTCCTCGAACATAAGCTAGCACGCTGGGCTCTGGGACAGGCACGGCTAGGGTATTCTCCGGCGGTCTCTAAGTTCCGTCTGATGGCCCAGCGGATGCTCCATGCCACCGGGGAGGTTCGAGATTTAGGGGAAAATTGGGCATCCAAGTTCCTAGCTCGAAATTCGGAAGTCAAGATAACAAGGTCTCGCGTTATCGACTACAATCGAGTGAATGGTGCTACGGCGTCAAATATCAACATCTTTTTCGATCGGTGTAACGCCCCTGACGTAGCCAACCTCCTGGCAGCACGCTGGTATAACGTCGACGAGATGGGGATCGCCCAGGGGGTTGGGGACTCCCATTGGGTGGTCTCCGAGGCCTCCGGCAACGTGGCTATGAGAAAGGGGGTCGAGAAGGGTGAATGGATAACTGCCCTGGAGTGTGTGAACGGATCTGGAGATGCCCTCCCGCCCCTGGTAATTCTGAAGGGGGTTAACGTACAAGCCCAGTGGTTTAGCAAATGAACCGTCGACATAACTCTTCCAAGAGAAGATACCAGATGACAACAATATACTTCACGGCACCTCCACTTCGCCAACAGTATCCAAGTTCGTGCAATCTCCCCATGTCGTATTTTGCTGGAAGCAGCATCGTGACGTACTAAAGGTCAACGCTCTGTCGTCTGCCCAGCTGGTTGATCCCCATCATGCACGTGCTATTTAAAACGCTGTCTTTAAAGCTTGGGGCTCTGTCCTCCAAGGTCTCCAGCTCCCCGAGCTTTGGCTGTATTACGAAAATCTGCGGGGACTCGCTGGCAGGAGCAAAGTTTACAGACGAAAACATAAAGGACAGAAAGAAAGGAAAGGGAGCTAGAAACAGGTAGGAGGCTGTTGCGTGGTCAGGTGACCCAATCTGGCTGGCATATTGCCTACACCTAATGCAGCTGTGCACCACCTCCAGACCTTCAACATCAACAACACTTGGTCCGAGCGATACGTCGAACAGGTGCGGCATCCACGTCAGCGAGCCTGGCCCAGATGCTTGTCCCTAATACTCGTCCGTGCTGGGTGGTGAGAAGGTCACAGTGGACATGCAATCGACCCTCCGAAACGTCTACCGGCGAGACAACATGCTCCAGCCCGTGCTCTTTTCCCAGGCCCTGAAGCGGCCATCGCCGACGCCGGATTTCCAGGATTGGCGCTGCAGGTAGGGCCGCATGCTGCTTTGAAAGGCCCGGCAAGCCTCACCATCGAGGAATGCGTCGGCTCGTTTGCCCCATACTCCGGAACGCTGGCTCGTGGCCAGAACCATGCCCTCGCCGTTGCGGATACCCTGGGCTCCATCTGGAGCGTCTTGGGTGCTTCGGCAATCGACTTTCAAGCGTTCCAGCGGTCTTTCGTCAGGGAGGCCACCTTCGCGGTCTCCAAGGAACTTCCCACGTATGCCTCGGATCACAATCGGGTGCTCTGGAACGAAACCCCAGATACAAGGCCAGATGGTCTTTCCGGCCGCCGGTTTCGCAGTCATGGCAACTGGAGGCTGCGCGAACAAAGGCGACCCCTGTGATCAGGCCTGGGAGAAGTCAGCCTCTACTGCTTTACGATGTGAAGAAAGATAAGTTACATAGTGGCAGAATAAGTGAGGGACCCGACGAGACGACGAGTGAGGTCTGATGATGAAGCGCACTGATATGTCCTTGGTGGTCAAATTGGGATGAGTTAGACAGCGACATCTTCTAATGAATCCGGTGAGGTAGCGTCATGCAGCATGAGGAGGGCATGAGCTGTCCAGAGCCTAAGTCGCTTTTGAGATACAGTGTCTGCGGCGAGGTGCAGCTGACCTCTGCCAATACGTGACTGGGAGAAATAGTCTTCCAGACCAAGCTAATATATACACAGTGATGATAGCCAGTCAGGCACCGGTCGAAAAACTTCCATGATTCCGCCAAGTCGAGTCTTGAATATTCTCAGCCATCCCTCGTGGTCAACTGCAAGAACGACCTCATGCCATTCCGAACCTTGCTGTAATGCCCGTGCGACATGTTTGGCGTCTACAATAGCCCTGGACCTTGGGTGACAGCGGCCTCGGAGGTGAAACGACTTGACCTGGCAAATGGGCAGCAGCGTCTTCTGTCGTAAGTTAGCTACGCCCTGGGATTAAAGCTGAAAGACTTACTAATTCTTGACTTCGTTTATACCGTCCAGTAGTATATGAACTATCTGCTAGGTTGATAGGTAGTCCTAAATGCAGCAAAGCAGGACATTTCCTTACAACGGCTTGGAGATCCTTTATTGTGTAACGGTAGCTCGATTTGAGGTCCAATGAACATTTTCGTGACTCTACAACTAAGAGCCGAAGGCTTTTTGCATGCCATAATGCCGCACCCAGGGGGAATGGAGCGGATGCCTTATGCAGAAGCATGACTAGTTCTCTTAGGATTTTGTGTTCGGCCAATCGTGCCAGCAGCCTGATGAGCATAGGCCTTATCCCATCTGGTGCGGTGATCCGGAGCGACACTAATCTCTTTGGACTATTGTTGATCAGTTGCTCAAGAAATCCTGGAAGGCCGGAGCAGTTTCGGAGCTCTAACTCTTCGAGGTTTCTTGTATCTAGAGATTGTATCAAGTCCATATTCGTGTTTTCTAGGGACAACCTCTTTAGCATTTAAAAACCGAGTCGAATGATTTAAGGAACGGCCGACGTGAAACGAAGCTTTAATGAGATTAATCTCTTGCAATTCATAGTGTGCCACCTGATCCATTGCATCTCTTGGATGAGCTTTACATTTGTATACGAGAGTTTCTTTAGGTGAGGGAACGTCTGGTTTCTTTGCACATCGGGGAAATTGGACGAGAACTCCTGCACATAATTATCTCCTGAGCCACGGAAGATAGCAGACACAATACGCTGCACCAAGGCTGCGTGGCTATACATCCATGCATATGGGTTGAGTTCGTTGTAGTGAACAACTCGTACGTGAGAAACCAAGTCTGGCCGTAGAATAAATAGACTGATTAATGACTCACTCTGAAGGTTGAAAGATCCCGCCTTTACAGTTAACCAGAGTTCGCGATAGAGATATTGGGTAGAAATAACATTAAAGCGTTTATTGCATTGGCTTAACGCAGCAAGATCTTTAGGTGTCAATAAGAGACATATAGATGCCCAAACTTCCACAGGGATACAATCCATGTTGAACGCTAATATGGAAGCAGGACAGGCCACCATGTGCCATTTATGTACCCATAGTTCTAACAGAGCAAACTAAACGCTCCAACTTATATTTGTAAATTCTTATGAATCAAAGAACTTTATTTAACGTTTTACCTAACCGGTACTCTGTCACAGCCACAACCACGCCTGCTTGGGACGCATAACTTGATCAAGTCATTCATCTCTGTCCACCTGTTGCCCTGCTCCCCAGATATGTAGCTAGCAAGCTGAGATAGCTTCACACACCTCAAACATCTTCAACACAACATTGTCTACTGAGAGTGCTGTACAACCACGCAACAATAGTACGCGCCAAATGTAAGGTTTCCGGGGCAGCTACAGCCGCAGATGTTCACTAACTACCTGGAGATCAGCCGGTTTTGGAACGAGTATATAAGGGCCGAGAGGAAAGGTAAAGCCTATGCGCATATACGATATCTAAGTAGTCTCGTTCGAATTCTCATGTGATCGAAACCGTTCCCTGGAATTTTCTGAAGCCATCTTGTCATCGTTTCCGCTGCGTGTGGATTGATACCGCGAACGACCCGGTCTTCGTTCCGGACTATTCGCGTCTTCGGGTCTGGCATGCGGGAATGAGAACCTGATCGATAGGTTGGATGATAGAATAAAGAATAATAATGCGGTTGCCATGCCGAGACTAATATAATCATCTTGTAACTGATCCACTTTGTAGCTGAAGAATCACCCATTTGGCAAGGAATTTGGCGAAAGAGGTTGCTTCTCGGCTCACATTTTGCCCTTCATGGCTAGCCTTACGACGAGCTTCTGATGGTCTTAGAGGCGAGGGATAAGGGTAGATGTAGTGGCCAGGGCCATCTCAGGGGTAGATTGATCACTGAGGTAGAGACTGTCTATCTGTCTAGCTAGGAAATGTCCATCCTTATATATTCAATCTCTTCCTCACTGATGAGGTTGGACATACCATATATCCATCATGTTCGGCAAGGACGTCCAGATCTATGAAAACAAGCCGCAGGGTACTGCTCTTCTCCACCCAGCGATCGCTTCCTTTTGGCGCCGGGCTCGGGAAATAACGAAGGTGGAATCGTCGGCAGAAGCGCAATACCGGGCCATCTCCGCAGGGGCATCGGAGATCCAAGAGGATTGCGAAACCCGAGTAGAGGCAACTGCAAGGAAATATCGATATAACCTAAGGTGATAAGATTCTTAGTACCCCTCTGGGCAGTTACTGCTAGCACTTTGCAGATGATGAGACCAAAGTATGACGTTGAACACTGCTCACCTGAACAACATATATGTTGCTAAGTCTAAGGACAGGACGTAGCATGAAGCGCTATAAGTCCACTTGATACAACTGATACTTGATGCAAGCACACCCACCTATCTATCCCAAGGCTTTGAAGCTCTGCCTTCAGGCCTATTAATACCATCCTTTTACCATTCCACCTACCATTACTACCGATTCCGTCCAACACACCGTGACGATGAGTACCATTATCATTCCAGAATGTCAGGATAGTTCTGAAGGGACTGGTCTTGAAGGGACTGGAAGACCAGTCCAGCCTACCCAAACACCCCCCGACACCAATAATCTTCCCCCGAAGAAAGGAAAGAAGAAGCCGAGAGCCAAGGCACGGGGGGCCCAGAGCAAGCCGAACACGCGATCAAAGGCCACTTTGACCCACAGCCAATCTCCCTCAAACGCTTCATCGTCCCCATCTTCTTCTAGGACCACATCCCGAGACCCACGGACCCAACCTAGCTCGCCAATCATGAGCAGTGCGCAGGGGCGATCGGACGACCCCTTGCTCTTCAACCTGGATGCGCTTACGCCAGAACAGCTAGCCAGATTACAAGCCGAGATTCACACGCGGATCCCCAGGTCTGAGCCTCCAAGGCACACCATGGAGCGGCAGTCTGTGCGCTTTGACGCACCGCGAGAAGAGGAGCCTTTCCTTCCTTAGAAACAGGTTTTTCCACGTACGACGCCCTCTAGATGGGACTCCCCGTCTTCCATGGCGTCAACTTCGAATGCCATGCGACATTCCATCAAGCTGGCAGACCCTGTAAAGCTAAATGATGGTCAAAACCCAACCTTTGAACAGTGAAAGAACAGCACCCAACGCAAGCTATGAACCAACTGGTGGCTCTTCCCTACTGAAGAATCAAAGTTTGATTGGCTTTGTACACTAGTGGAAGGTGATACAGCTATAACATTGGAGCCATTCATTTCTGAAGAGAACACTGAGTCACTTACTACCATTGAAGAGGTGTATGACCTTCTCCGGTCCTCTTACAGCAATCCTGATGCAGCTGCTCAAGCCAGGGATCAGCTCCATGATCTGTGCATGGAACCGGCGCATGACTTCTACTCCTTTGGTTCCACGTGGGTTCTCTTAACCAGCAAGGCAGGCCTGTCCCGGACAGAATGGAAGTATGAACTGAACCGAAAGCTGATACCACCCCTGAGGATATAAGTGATGGCTTCTTACCTTGACTCTAACGTTTCTCTCAACCAATTTCGAAACATCTGTTCTAGCAATGCTTAACAACTTGCTGAGATTGAACGAGTCAAGAAGCAGCGCCAAAGCTTCTTGAAAGCTTCCTCTCGCCATACCATCACTGTGGCACCTGGACCCCAGCAGTTCACCAGAAGCCTACCAACCCTAGCCTTGTCCAACCAAGCGATTGATACTACCTTCTAACCAGCAAGAGCATCACTGGATCAGAAGACTCCCCGTCTCTCTGCAGCCCCTGAAAGGAAGCACATTGACCGATCACGCACACCCCACAAGGCGGAAAGCATTACATGTTACTTGTGTGGCAAGGAGGGTCATATCGCTCCCAAGTGTCCAGACAAAAGAACTCCTCATGTACACTTTCTGGAAGAAGACAACGAGGCCCCTTCCCATCCGACCCAGGATGTCACTTCTGATAGCAAGTCGGAAAACTCGAAGGCCTAGGGAAAGTCACCCGCCTAGGCCTCCAATGTACTATTAATCAGCTAGCTTACCACTCCCTTGAAATTCCATCACTTCGATCAGACCTCTCCGGCTTGATTGGCGGCAGTACCTTTGTGATGACTGCAACCATCCGATAGAATGGAATTGCGGTACGCGTGAAAGTGTTGATTAATACCGGAGCAGAGGTTTACCTCTTAAGCAGCCGTTTAATTATGAGCCTTTTAGCTTAACTATAGGAACTCCCTTGAAGGCATTTTAATGAGCCCGCAACCCTGAACGGCTTCGGCAAGGGACACTTACAGGTTATTAACACGGCGGTTGCAGTAAACTTCCAGATTAAGGGAAGGATCTTCTGAGAAGCCCCTATCCTGGAAGCTAAGTTTAGGCCCAGCAAGAATTTTGACCTTATTATCGGCAAGCGGTTTTTAGCTGCTTATAACCTCTTACCAGACTGCCGGCGGAACCGCCTATACTTCCCACCAGAACTACCTTACCTTACCAACTAGAAGACTAATATTACCAACCCAGCTCGCCAGTGGTTAAAATAACGGGTTATTAATCCTCAGGCCTAGCAGGACATGCTCCATAGGGATTCACGGTGGGAAGATCAAGAGAAACGCCCGCAGAAGATACTGCGTCGCCCCCAAGTGCTGGCTACATGGACAGGAGACTATCATGAGTCCTTGCAGGCAATGAAAGACCAGCTAGCAGGACGGGACCGCGGGGCATCCTCGCAAAAGACTTCCCCACGCCAGGCTGCTCATCCCAAGATTAACAGGGACGTAATCGTGAACGCTCTGGACGCGGATATCCATCTAGTCTCAGGAAGTACCTTTTTTAGACGGGCTGGTTACCGTCAGAAGCGGCAACACTAACGGCATAGCTACGGAGACATGTTCTCCTTTTCGGTATACAAGCTTGATCAAGCCATTGATTACTCGATTGATAAGGAAGACTCAGAGACTCAGCACCTGCTACGCAGCAGGCTTCCCCCAGAGGCGCAATATTTTATGGATGTGTTTTCCAAGACGGAGAGCAACGAGCTACCCCCTTTCCGCAAGGATATTAACCACAAGATCGAGCTCAAGCCAGAGGCTCTTCGTCTGCACCCCTTGTATAGCATGAAGGCCGACCACCTTGTTGCCCTTAAGCAATATCTGACCGAACACTTACGTAAGGAATGGATTGTTCCCAGTGCAGCAGAGTATGGATCCCCTGTCCTCTTTACCAAGAAACCAAACGGAGGCTTGCGTTTCTATGTCGACTACCGCGAGCTTGATACTCAGTTAAAAAAGGGCCGCTACCCGCTGCTGCTAATTAGCAAAACGTTGGAACGTTTATCTTGCGCTAAGCTGTTTATTAAGCTAGATATTAGGGCGGCCTTCTACCGAATCCGTATAGATCTAGCCTCTGAGGATCTCACGACCTTCTGCTCGCTTTTCGGCCAGTAACATCTCACCCCCCCCTGCGGACCACCCCCCCACGGACCACTCCACACCACACCACTCTCATTCAGATGAAGCCATCTACAACCACCACAGTTGCTAAATACACTAAGGTCGTGGTGTTCTAACCATAATACAGCTCCCAGAATCCGATTCCGACCCTAAATCTTCACCAGGGACCTCTTGTGGGACCTCTTCGCCTGCAGCGGAGTCCTTATAGACCCTCCTGTTCCTCAGCTCCATTTTGGCCTCCCTTATGTTAGCCATTGTGACGAATCGTTCCCCTGGTATTGGTTTGACTGCTTTTCGAGTGGTATTAGCCTTTTTAGCCACTTGAGCCTCAAGCAGCTCACATTTGGCCCGTAGATTTGCAATGGTAGCAGCCTGAACATCCATGGCCTTGCCAGCCTTCCGCACCAACAAGCGCTCAGAGGGCCCCCCAAAGGAAGGGTCCTTTCTTTCGAGCTTTCGAGCACTCTCCCGCAAAGCCCGGCTTCCAGAGGGTGTTGTGACAAGGGTTTTAGCTACCATCTCGAGAAAATCTGGTGTTGTGGCTCGCTCGGAAACCTTAGGGTCCCTCTGACGTGCCCTGGCCACCCCCTTGTCCTCCAGAATCACATATTTCGACTTCAATGCCTCCGCTCTGTTGCGAGGAACAATCCCAGTATTTTTCCAGGCAATTCTGATATTGAGGAGCGTCATTGTGTCCTTCCGGGCCTGCTCGTAGCACTCCAAAACCTCCTCCTTAGATGGCCTGAGTCCCAGACAGCCGCTGGGCGTCTCCTGGAGTAAGGTCTTCAACCTCTTCTTTACCAAATTGAAGACTCCCACATCTAACACCTGGACTACATGGGAGCAGTGAGGTTCATAAAAGATCAACCATACTTTGTTTCTTAAACAGGTGGCTAGGAACTCGTCATTCGTGTGGGAGTCGTGGCCATCACACACCAAAACCACCCATGTGTTGCCGTGGACCTCCCGAATGTGAGGAATAAAGATACGTTGAAGCCATTCTAATGCAATGGGATTCGAGGTCCATCCATTGGGCGACGTAGTAAACCTCCAGTCGGTGAATTTGCCCTCGTTTTGGTTACTAAATCACTGAACTTGTACGTTAATCTCCTTGAGAATCACCAGCGGCGGCAAGGTCTCACCAGATCCGCTCACACACTCTAGGGCAGTTATCTATTCACCTTTCTCGACCCCTTTCTTCATAGCCACATTGCCGGAGGCCTCGGAGACCACCCAATAGGAGTCCCCAACCCCCTGGGCGATTCCCATTTCGTCGACGTTGTACCAGCGTGCTGGCATGAGGTTAACCACGTCAGGGGCGTCACACCGATCGAAAAAAATGTTGATATTTGCCGCTATAGCACCATTCACTCGGTTGTAGTCGATAACACGAGACTTCATTATCTTGACTTCCGGGTTTCAAGACAGGAACTTGGATGCCCAATTTTTCCCTAATTCTTGAGCATCCCCGGTGGCATGGAGCATCCGCTGGGCCATGAGACGGAACTTAGAGACCGCCGGAGAATACCCTAGCCGTGCTTGCCCCAGGGCCCAGCTTGCCAGCTTATGTTCAAGATACGGTGAGAGAGCCTGTTGGAGAGCGCTGGTCTTATTCTGCGTTGGGGTGCCAGAGATTCGTCGGTTGACGTACGAGCGACTGATTTGCCATTCGAGGGCTGACGAGCGGACTGGAGCTCCGCGTTGGATGGCCAAAATGGCGGCTTCAGCTTTTATTTGACGGTCGTAAAATGACATCATGAGATTCAGTAGTGGATAAGGATTCAAATAGTGTGCTTTGTGAAAAAAAAGATGCAAAAGTGATGGTGTAGATGGTGGATCACCATAATCCTGGTGGTTGGTGAATTACGCGTTTGTGGGTCAGAACGCGCTGGTCCGCGGGGGGCTGGTCCGCAGGGGGGTGGGAGATGTTACAAGTACAAGGTGCTCCCCTTTGGACTCTGCAACGGCCTAAGTACCTTCCAGTCCGCAGGGGGGTGGGAGATGTTATCAGCCACTTGGTCAAACACGAAGGACCGGGGAGCATTATGGCCTATATCAAATCGAAAGGTTGGGCAAATTCCCTAAGTGCTGATGCATATACTATTTGCCCAGGGACGCCGGATATCTTTGACGTTCAGGTCCGGCTGACGAAAGAGGCAAGTCGTTCCAACCGCGGCTGGCTTCTGCTCGCTAACACTGCCTATAGGGCCTCAAGAACTACCAGGAAGTGGTCAAAGTCTTCTTCCAATACGTTTCGCTGCTCAGACAAACGCCACCTCAGGAGTGGATCTTTGACGAGCAGAAACGGATGGCTGATGTAGACTTCAAGTTCAAGTAGAAGACACCAGCCAGCCGGTTCACGAGCAAGATCAGCGCCGTTATGCAGAAACCCCTGCCCCGGGAATGGCTGCTTAGTGGGCAAAGTCGCCTACGGAAATTCGACGCAGCACTGATCAAGAAGGGCGTGGAACTTCTGCGTCCCGACAATTTCAGAATGACCATAGTATCCCAAGACTTCCCTGGTGGCTGGGATTAGAAGGAGAAGTGGTACGGCACGGAATATAAGTCTGAGAAGATACCGGAGGATTTCCTGGCTGAGATATCGAAGGCGATGGATTGCTCCGCGGGAGATCGGCTCCCTGGCTTACACCTTCCGCACAAGAACCAGTTCATCCCGACCAAGCTCGAGGTCGAGAGGAAGGAGGTCGAGAAGCCGGCCTTGGCGCCCAGAGTAATCCGGAACAACCAAGTCGCCCGGACGTGGTACAAGAAAGACGACACCTTCTGGGTTCCGAAGGCCAATCTCATTATGAGCTGTAAGAATCCTATTATCTTCGCTTCGGCCGAGAATTCGGTCAAAGCGAAGCTCTTCACGAATTTGGTACGCGATGCCTTGGAGGAGTATTCATATGACGCTGAGCTTGCTGGCTTGCAGTACAATGTCAGCCTCGATTCAAGAGGACTTTTTGTTGAAGTATCTGGCTATAATGACAAGTTGCCGGTTCTCCTGGAACAGGTACTCATCACGACCTTCAGGTCAAGGACGATCGATTTGACATCGCCAAAGAGCGCCTGCTCCGGGGCTACAAAAATAGCGAGTTGCAACAACCCTTTGATCAAATCGGAGGTTACGTGTCCTGGTTAACGTCCGAACATGTCTACATCTTTGAGCAGCTCGTTGTCGAACTGCCCGCCATCACAGCCGAGGCCGTGAGCCACTTCCACAAGCAAATGATATCGCAGCTGCATATCGAGGCCTACGTACATGGCAATCTCTACAAGGAGGATACGCTCAAGTTAAGCGACATGATTGAGTCCATCCTGAAGCCGCGAGTTCTGCCAAAGGAGGAATGGCCAGTCATTCGATCGCTCGACTTCCCACCGGGATCAAACTACCTCTACAGGAAGACACTGAGAGATCCGGCTAACGTCAATCACTGTATTGAATACTATCTTCATATTGGCGACAAGGGAGATCGCATGGTTCGCGCAAAGACACAGTTGCTGGGCCAGATCCTCCACGAGCCAGCCTCTGATCAGCTGCGAACCAAGGAACAACTCGGATACGTTGTATTCAGTGGCCTTACAGGGTCCGTGACTACGTACGGTTTCCATTTCATCATCCAGAGCGAGAAAGCCTCGGAATATCTAGAGTCTCGTATCGATTCTTTCCTTGCTGCGTATGCCACGTCTTTGGAGGACATGAGCAATGCCGACTTCGAGAGCCACAAGAGAAGCGTAATAGTTAAGCGTCTCGAAAAGCTGAAGAATCTGGATCAGGAGACTGGGAGGCATTGGTCGCAGGTATCTAACGAGTACTACGACTTTGAAGCAGGTACGGTGGTTCCTCGACCGTTGCATCCTGTATTAACCATGTGCACAGCCCAACAGGACGCCGCCCAGCTCAAGCAACTCACCAAAGCAAAAATGGTCGAATTCTACTCGACCCGCATCGATCCTAGGTCACCGACACGATCCAAGCTAATTGTGCAGCTGATTGCACAAGGGGCCAGCTCCGAGACCAAGGAGGCAGACACCACGATTGATGACAAGAAGGTTCCGACACCATTGAATGGGACTGAGCCAGTCGTGATCGAGAGCGTGCGGGATTTCAAAGCTGGACTGGGCACAACAGCCGGGCCCCGCCCGGTCAGAGACATTGGCGGATTCGAGGATATAGACTCGAAACTATGAAGGGACTGACAGGACAAAGGCAGAGATATCTGCTCGCCATCTGAACACAGAACGTGGTACCTGTGCGGACCTGTGTTGCTTGCTATCCGCATCGTGGTATTCCTTCAGCTGCAGGGCTGAGACTATGGTCATCACGTGGGACAACCTGTGCATACTCATCGGCGATTCTAGCTGCAGCCATTGCGAGAATGCCTTGTGGGTACACACTATGGGGTTTCCTTCGAAAGGGCCCGGACATGGGGAACAAGCAAGGCGAGTGTGCCCGCTTTTCGACTCATTTCGTCCATCAAGCAGTTGGTTCTACTTCGCACCTATCTACCAATCGGCCACGTGAGGCATGGAGACGATCAGATTGGGGTGGGGTTTGTACATTATTGTTGCATTATAGGAGTACTTCATAAGCACCACTAAGTAGCCTTCTAAATGTGATGGCAGCGTCCTATCCCACGCGCATACAGGCTGCAGCAGCTCCGGCAGTACAGCTGCATGGGATGAAGCGCCTCGCTTTCTGCTGACCAACCGCGGAGCTTCCGGGTCTGTGAGGCTCTTGGGGCATCTTACACGGTGGCGCCGACTATCCAACACGAGCTGCCTGATTACGACTACCCCTGGAGCCCAAGGTACGTACAGTTCATATGATGTCCCAAGGCGGAGTAAACCGCGGCCGTGGCTGCTGCTCCCCTGCTGGGCTTCGCCATGGCGGGCACGAAACCGGTCAAGGCAGCAGGCGCAGAAATGCATCTCTGGGGTGGGAGACCTGACAATCTCTGGGTGTTCGGAAGGCTACGTGTCGAAGATCCGGCCTTCACCACGTTCTGCAGACCAAGAGTCTCGCACGTCGGGCCAGAGGGAGTCCATCCCGGTGTAGTGATATTGGCAACCCGTACTTTCCAATATATTTCGATAAACAAATACATCGGTGTACCCGACAGCAGGGTTGCCCCGACGAGTGGTGTCGCAGACGCGTTGCCAAGCTTGGAAAGCAAGGTCGACTGGCCCCTGCAGGTGCGTTGTAACGGCAAGCCCAGAGAGACGGCAATACAATCCAGCTCATCCAGTGGCCCCCCGGCCTGAAGTTGCTCGTACATCGTCTGCGCCGTTTGTACCTTGCTCAGAGTGTGGATGCGCTTTAAAGCATCATGCAGGCTGGCGAGAAGGCTGACATCGGCCAATGCAAGCCTGATGCGTCGAACTGCTCTGGAATCCGGCCTGGTGGCGAGTTGCAGCCAGCCCTTGAGTTTTGTCGACGCCTTGTCGCACTGCCCGAGCTCACACAGGACCGCGCTAGTATGCCCGAGGACCCTGCTGCTCGTTGGGAGACTCGTCAGTATTTCAAGGGAGTCGGTAAAATACCCCTGGAAACGGTGCATCGCAGCACGAGTTAATTTTAGTTTGTTGATCTGGAGCACCTCAGGCTGGGATGGGTTGTGTGTTGCGGTCACACAGTGGGTCGCTGTGCGGAGTAATGCATATAGTACAGAAATAGGAGTCAATGACCACTCGGGTCATTGTTGAAGCTTTTGCCTCATGGCGCAATGGTTGTCCTATACGCGTTGTAACATTGTGGCGCGTCACCATGGGCTCGCAAACGGACAACTCCCTGTAAGCCGCGGCGATACCGTTGGCGCGGGTGAGCTCCTGGGCGTTTAGGATTGCTTTGTCGGCTGCATATGCATACGATCGTCTGTCACTCTGAGGGACCACGACGGATGGCACCTTGCCGTCCCAGGCGGGGCCGGCGTTGGTTGATTGGGAAAGCGACAGGGCCCGCACTTTTATTCTCGCAGAAAGGAGATCTGCCCCTACCCGGCTGCCGATGGATTGTGTCAGTGTCTCCGCCGTAGCGATTGCAGCCTCTTTCCCGCATGTGCTCCCGAAAAGGGAAGCTGCCAAGCACGCCTCGACAATGCCTTCGGGATTGGGGCCCCGGGCCAGATGCGACACGACCCGCTGGTCGACGGAATAGGCGAGCACATGCTCGAACTGCGGGCGAAAGCTCGCGTGAAGTCGCATGCAGCTAAGACGTAACGTTAGTGACGGGCTTCTATTTCGTCCGGTGTGGCTACCTGTCAGGCTCCATTACATAATCTTTTGGCTGTGCATGGCACACCGCCGTGGTGGCCTCAACCTCCCAGGCAGGTACTTGCGGGCGAACTTGCAGGAGCTCCGACAGCCGTACGTTGACGCGGATGAGGTCGAGGGTCGCCTGCACTAAGGCGATCGATTCCAACTCCTCAAGAGACTCTTCCAAGGCATGGAGATATTATACAAGTGAGGTTAGACCGGGGCCAATCTTGCATGGGTTTTCATCCACATCCCACGTCTTAAAAGGAATGCTACACCGAGACAATAGGGCCCTGGGTATGACAGCGGTACCTAGACGGCATAGCAAACAGGCGAGGCTCAGATAGTAGGGCTCCAATAGGTCGGCTAGCCGGTTAAACCAGACCCGCAGGCTGGGATGAGCCGGGAATGTGTTGGCGCGCTTGTAGACGATACTATAGATAACATAAACCACGATAGGGGACAATATGTAAAGATACAGAGATAAGAGAAGAAGGACAAGGGCTGGGATCACGCGGAAAGGTGGGCGGGAGAAAATAGCAAGGCTGAGGGATCTGTTTAACGTTGTTCATCTTCAAACTCCCAAAACCGCTCGACATACTCAACGAGGTCGGACGTGTCGAGTACCACCTCAATGACAAGACCCAAACCTTCATTGTATCGTCTAAACTTGTAGAGTCCGATGCTGCTCCAACGCTAGTTAAGGTATTGTGGGACAATGATCTAGTCTTCCAAGTAGACATTAAGAGAGATGGGATATATGCTTCGTATGCGGGTTGTATGAAGTCCATGTTGTATGAAGTCCATGTGGACTGTCCAATCTATCAGGTCGCCAAAGTCGTCATTGTCGCTTTGGTATTACGCGGTGCGGACGTCGAGGCGATCTTTGACGAATGTCCGAGGCGTGGGTGCTCTGTTAGACAAGCAGTGCCCTAATGGGGCGCTTCACCAGTGAGGTGCACCTCGGGACCAACTATGAGAGAAGTGGTAGTTGGTAACAATGGGCATTCCTAGCCGTCTAAACAAGCAAGGGCAAGGTGCCAAGGTCATAAGGAACGTGAAGTGCACGCCAGCCTGCGGCAGAGATACAAAGTATGCATCTGCTAATCTTCAGTAGAACCCAGGGAATTTGCCGCAATATCGAGCCCATGTGGCTTGCGGGTTTCTAATTATAAAAGACACCACACCATCTGCCAGGCAGCGTTGTCGTATGGTTATCAATCCGTGCCTGTTTGATTTGTGACTATTTCCCGACTACGCACCAGACCTCGCCGTCCTCCACATTGTACGGGTCGCTGGCAGCACAGCTGTCGATGTAGCTGGTCTCTTCCTTTTTTGACGGGCGCTAGGCCGACAAAGGAGACATGCTTGGTTTTGGTTTGCTCGTAACAGCCCTCAGTATCGTACGGATTCTGTCGGTCGGTCAGGGAGGTATCGGGGCCATCGGGCTTAAGGAATGGTTTCGTAGTGAGCCCTGTGGGTAAGCTTTTCCTGATTGATATGGGAACGAGCCAGCTTGACGCGGGCCGCCATGTCGCGCATGGTGATCCGCAGCTTTAGATATCATCTTCTGCTGTATTGTATTGGCATGCACAGTGAGATACGTACTTGTCTTGTGCGCTTGGATGCGGGCGTCGGAAAAGGAGTTGACTGTGATGATGCAGATTGGTGGGTAGGAGAAAATATGGCGTTGGCAAGGCTGAGAGATTCGCTTGAGGTGGGGTTACGGGGTCATTGCGGGGCAGGACCCCTGCCCCACAGCTGCCAAATGGGGCGATTCTCTCCCTTTTCCCCGGGACGTCCCCACGTCGAGCAGATCGCCTAAGCCCCCTCCCTACCTTGCGTTATTAGGAATACCCATGCGGCTATTAGCTGCTGCTCTCAACTTGGCTGCCGTCCGGTCTGTTGATGCGACATGCGCTCTTTGTCTGGCCGACTGACGCTTCTCTCCCAGTGGCAGGCTATTCTCACTCAGCTTATTTCTGTTGCCACCGTAAGCCAATCTCAAAGCCCGTCCTTCCCTCTCGCTCGAACTGCACATGCCCACCTGGCTAACTAGCTTCCTCAGCAGCAGCAACTACACAACCCATCTAACACGCCACTTTGTTGCGGTCGCTACTATCACCACGTCGCTCGCACCCTAGTTGGACTCCCTCCAACCTGACTCGAATATCGAAACGAGTTTGCTGCGGCAGATCGGCTAGAATCACACGTTGATAGTGGAAGTCCGTGCAGGAAACCACAGCATCATTCAATGATGTAAGAAGACGGCAGACTGACTAGGACGAACGAAGTGCCGGCATGGAATCAGTTGCTAATACAATGATAGTTTCTTTTGATCCAGGAGCCATGCAACATAGTTCCCCTCAGTCCTTTGTGCTTTCAACGACTGATTCAAACCGGGTCGTCATTGATGTTAAACCTAACAACCCCCAATTCCTCGAGGCCGACCTGGAAGGAAAACATGTTTTCGACAAAAGCAAAAACATCATCGAAACGGCGATAAGGGTGGTCGAAGATAGCCAGCTTGTTTCGCGTAGTATAGGGGATAACTGGCGATGCCTCGCCGTACAACTGTTCGACAGGAGGAACTATATTGTTTTCGATATATTCAACGAAACTTATGAGTTCCACAAGGCCCACGAGCCAGGCCAGGACAGTTTACCATTGATCAAAGTCATTCTCGGGAAGCAAAACTTGGCAACACGTGCTGGAAAGCCGATGGAGAATTTTGTAAACGAAGAGGTTCGTTTGCTGCACCAGAATTCTGGTTGGGATGTGCACCCGCCATTCTATATAGATCGCAGACATGGCCAAGCACCGTACTATCCCAATCCACGGAATCTGCAGAAGACATACGAGGCAGAAGGCGAGGGGGGCTTTACGAAAGGAAAAAGCCAAGGCTGAGCGCGAAGCAAGACGCATCAGGGCATGCT